ACCTATCTATCTTTTTTATTTTCTTTCTTCTTTTTTAGAAAGTAAATTAAACGCTCCAAGCTGGGGATTAATAATTATAATGTATATTTAAAAAAATAAAATTATTCCTCTTCATTTTAAAAGAAAGTAACTAATAAATGCTTCTTAAAAAGACACTTATTTGCCTTTCAATATTTTTGATTTTAGCTCAATGCTAAAATTTGAATGGCAAAAGAAATATGTATAAATTTCTATCTTCTAGTAATATTGAAGAGGCCATGTAAGAATTGTGTCCCTTCCCAGGCTATCATGGTACCTACTGTCCTTAAGAAAATGTTGCTTTTGCTTCCTATAAGAGAAATCTTCAATCTGGAATCCCTAAAATGCCTTCAGGTATTGGTGCTTCATTTGATATATCTACAGGTGAACTCAAGCTCCCAGCTATCTAACTCACTTATTAATCTGAACCCAGCTAAGAATAAATTTATACTGACCCTTTTTCTAGTCATCGATTTATTGTTGCTGATGAAACATCAATAGAATAAGTTAATTTAGATGCTGATATCAGAGTTTTCAAAAATGAATTTGAACTGACTAATATATGGCTTGATGCTACTCAAAATGGATAATGGCTTGGAGGTGAATACAGTTAATCAAAAGACTTAAATGATGTCTTCACTAAATTCTTCACAAATAACTAATAAACATCTATTGCCTAACAATCTAAAAATGTCATCAGAATGACTTTCAAGACTGATAGCTTGAAGCTCAATAGATTCGCTCAAAGAGCCATTGACGCATTACCAGAAGATTATTAAGTTGATGTTTACAACGAGTTCTTAAATGCTTGGGGAACTCATATTTCTATTGATACTTTTGTTGGAGGTATGATTGAAAAACAAACAGTGTTTAAAGATTGCATTTTCTTCACTCCTTAATTCACTGGTGGCTTTTCAGCTGAACAAGTAAATGAAGCTTTAAGAAATGAATTGTAGGGTAATCCAGCTGATGGCTTTTTCACTGCTAGAAGATAGGTAGCATTGGATCATAAATTTGGTGGTAATCCAGAAGATGTTGCTAATTGGGAATAGACTATCAGTTAAAATCCTGCTTTGTTAAAAATTAATAGATTCTTGTCTTGGGATAACATGACTGCAAATCCTTAAGTTAAGGCAAATTTATAACAAGCTATCAATAATAGAATCGAATCGATGAGACAAAGACAATAGAGCTATTAAGACTAAGTAAGAGAATAAAGAAGAATTGAAAGAATATAACCTAGAATGGCTTGGGCTATTGGAGGAAATGGCTACTGCGCAGGATAAGTTCCTCTTCCATTAAATATTAGTATTACAAGATAATTTGAAATGAAAGCTGCTGATGTATGCCCTGTAGGAGCTGATAGAACTTATAGTGAAACATACTGTGTATCTGGTCCTGTTCACTAAGTATAAGATTTGATTAATGAAGTAAGATATGAAAGAGACCAGTAAGGTAATTATAGAACTATTTAGTATAACTTTTTAGCAGATTTAACAGGAGGACCTGAAGAGCTAGTAGGAGATTTTGTTGATAGAGGATGTAGTGTTGCATAATATTACGAAGATACTAAATATACTGATTTTAATTTACCTCCTCCAAACGAGACAATGTTCAAAATGATATGTACTGATTGCATACCTAGTGTATATAACAGTCCTTAAGGATAAGTTTTCTAATGCAGCTGTCCTGCTTTTTGAAAAGATTGATACTTAAACAAAAAGCTTTACTAAAATAAAAAACTTTTAAATATATTAAATTGTTTATATAATAAAAAAAATTCTGAGCGCTTATAAAAAATTTACAAATAATAAAGATTTTTTAAATAAACTTTTTTATTAATCTTATTTTTTTTGGCTTTGCAAAAATTCTTCTTTAAATTATTTTATAAAACATTTTTAATATTTTATTTATTCATCAACATATAGCAGATATTGATAACGCGGTGTCAGTGGAAATAAAAAAATTCCTTGACCTGTTTTACCTATGAGAAAATATGTTTAAATATGACAAAAGAGGTTTATATTCTACTGAGTTTGTATTCTTATTATCTTTTATATGACATTCATGAACTATTATTGCTTACTTCAAAATTAAAGTAATTACTTTTTATATTTCTGAATAAGTGAATAATGATCTCTATGTTATTTAGCGCTTTATAAAATTTTTGCATTTACTTTGAATTTATGATAATTAATTGTTCGAATTATTTTGTTAATTTTGGTTCTTTAATAAAATTTATCAGTGTATTCTTTTACATAATACTATTTCTTATTATCATACAATTTTATTAAAATCTAAATTTTGTCTTTATCAATTTGATTTTTCTGGTGATTTTTTTGATCTCTACGAAAAATTACTTTGAAATTATTATTTTTTCTTCTATCTATCTATCTTTTTTATTTTCTTTCTCTTCTTTAGAAAGTAAGCTAAATGCTCCAAGCTGGGGATTAATAATTATAATGTATAATTAAAAAAATAAAAATAACATCTTAACATTATAAAAGAAAGTAACTAATAAATGCTTCTTAAAAAGACACTTATTTGCCTTTCAATATTTTTGATTTTAGCTCAATGCTAAAATTTGAATGGCAAGAGAAACATGTATAAATTACTATCTTCTAGTAATATTGAAGAGGCCATGTAAGAATTATGTCCCTTCCCAGGCTATCATGGTACCTACTGTCCTTAAGAAAATGTTGCTTTTGCTTCCTATAAGAGAAATCTCCAATCTGGAATCCCTAAAATGCCTTCAGGTATTGGTGCTTCCTTCGATATATCTACAGGTGAACTCAAGCTCCCAGCTATCTAACTCACTTATTAATCAGAACCCAGTTAGGAATAAATTTATACTGACCCTTTTTCTAGTCATCAATTTATTGTTGCTGATGAAACATCAATAGAATAGATTAATTTAGATGCTGATATAAAAGTTTTCAAAAACGAATTTGAACTTACTAATATCTGGCTTGATGCTACTCAAAACGGATAATGGCTTGGAGGTGAATATAGTTAATCTAAAGACTTAAATGATGTCTTCAATAGATTCTTCACAAATAATTAATATACATCTATTGCTTAATAATCTAAAAATGTCATCAGAATGACTTTCAAGACTGATAGCTTGAAGCTCAATAGATTTGCTCAAAGAGCCATTGACGCATTACCAGAAGATTATTAAGTTGATGTTTACAACGAGTTCTTAAATGCTTGGGGAACTCATATTTCTATTGATACTTTTGTTGGAGGTATGATTGAAAAACAAACAGTGCTTAAAGATTGTGTTTTCTTCACTCCTTAATTCACTGGCGGCTTTTCAGCTGAATAAGTAAATGAAGCTTTAAGAAATGAATTGTAGGGTAATCCAGCTGATGGCTTTTTCACTGCTAGAAGATAGGTAGCATTGGATCATAAATTTGGTGGTAATCCAGAAGATGTTGCTAATTGGGAATAGACAATCAGCTAAAACCCTGCTTTGTTAAAAATCAATAGAATCTTGTCTTGGGATAACATGGCTGCAAATCCTTAAGTTAAGGCAAATTTATAACAAGCTATCAATAATAGAATCGAATCGATGAGACAAAGACAATAGAGCTATTAAGACTAAGTAAGAGAATAAAGAAGAATTGAAAAAATATAACCTAGAATGGCTTGGGCTATTGGAGGAAATGGTTACTATCCAGGATAAGTTCCTTTTCCAATAAATATTAGTATTACAAGATAATTTGAAATGAAAGCTGCTAGCGTATGTCCTGTTGGAATAGATCCAACATATGCTGATACATACTGTGTATCTGGTCCTATTAATTAAGCAGAAGATATGCTTAATGAAGTAAGATACGAAAGAGATTAAGAAGGTAATTACAGAACTATTATGTATAACTTTTTAGCTGATTTTACAGGAGGTCCTTAAGAGTTTGTAGGTGAATTTGTTGATAGAGGATGTAGTGTTGCATAATATTACTAAGATACTAAATATACTGATTTTAATTTACCTCCTCCAAACAAAACAATGTTCAAAATGATATGTACTGATTGCATACCTAGTGTATATAATAGTCCTTAAGGATAAGTTTTCTAATGCAGCTGTCCTGCTTTTTGATAAAGATTTATACTTAAAACTAAAATATTTTTTAAATATATTAAAATTGCTTATATAATAAAAAAAATTTTAAGCACTCATAAAAAAAAAAATAAACATTAATTAAATAAACAATTATATTAGACTTTTTTTTTTATTTTACAAAACTTCTTCTTTAAATTAATTTATAAAACATCTTTAATATTTTCTTTATTCATTAATTGTAAATTTATTCTAATAATTGATGTAGATTAAGAACTAATTTACTGAAAAATTTAACCTTCACTCATCCTTGTTTAAACAAAACATCTTAAAATATAAAAAGCAAAAAAAATAAGGTGTATTTTAAACTTTTTATTATAAACATTTTTTTACATATTTCATTACAATAGCCAAACTACTTCAAACTAATCTAAATTTAATGTTTCCTTTTTAATTAAATTTATAATAATATAATTTTAATTTATATCAAAACTCACTCCTTAATTTTTAAAATTATTAATTTCTCATTTTTTCGCTAACTATTAAATTTAAATAAAAAAAAATGTAAATGGGTCAATATTTAAAACTGTGATATTATAAGGACGATTTACAGTAACATAACTTAGCTTGATTTGGTTTACAAAAATTTTAGTTAAGAAACATATAAATATGTATTAGATTCTTTATCAGCTTGAGATTAAATAAATATCCTCCATAAATTTACTATTAAATTTGTAGACGATTTAAGTTAATTAAAGCATGATTCATTTCAAAATTAATTTCGAATAAAGTGTGAGAACAAATAATCAATTAATTAAACAAGCAAAATAAATTAGCTCATGAGATGATTAAATTTATATAATACTTTCTTAAAAACAATTATTTGTATAAATAAAAGAAAAAATCATAGGTTAAAAAAATGATCATATAGCATAAAATATACTCAGATTTGGAAGAGGTTGATAAATTTTTTAAAAGGAAGACATTAATTTGCTAATTTAACTCATAATTATTTTTGTAAAAAGTTTGAGAATTCTGAATTATATAACCATTAAGATTTATAACTAAACTTAAGGTATTTATTTAATTATTTTTTAACAAAAAGAAAACTCAAAATCAATAAATACAATCAAACAATTTATTGTTTTTAGAAATATTTCAATTTATAATTTATCAATATCTTTCTAATTTATAAAAAATTATTTTTATTTTTAAAATATATCATAATATATAATTTAAAAGAGGTTCATCCAAAAATAGGCTTGGATTTAAAATGAAACAATTCTCTTCAATTCTTTAGAAATGCAAAAATATTAAGACTTTCAATATTGATTTATCGTAAAATTTTAATTAAATATATTAATGTTTGGTTAATAATAACTTTTATCAATTATTTTTTTTATTAACTTTCTTAGTTATTTATTTTAAAATTTAAAAAAATTAAAAGAATTTTTTTGAAATTAATTAATAAGCTTTCAGTTTTATAAAACAAAATTCTAAAATAAGTAACATTTTATTAATTATTAAAGGGCAAATTACATAAATGGAAAAAATTTACCTTATTTTACTGATGCATTAATGGAGCTTTAGAAAATTTCATTGCTAAAATTAAGTTTAAAGTAAAATTAAATTTTATTAACTTAAAGCTTTCTTGAGGCTCATACATAAATAAGCAACAAATATTATATTTTAAATTACTTAAAAATTATTTAAAATAAAATTATCATAAAAAAATATCTTTTAAAAAAACAATTTTTTATTTAAAACTTGTTTTTTATTAAAAGCTGTAACCATCTTGGATTTAGCGATATTGCTGAATTAAGCAATAGCATAGCGAATTTATAGAATTTGGTTTCTTTAGATCTTGATTTAAGGTAAAAAATAATGATTTATTCATTCTCAATTTAAATAAATGTGAGAATTTACTAAAAATAAATAAAAAAATTAATTCTTTTAGCTATTTAAGAATATAATTTGCATATATTTTTAATTTAATTTTTTTAATACTTCTTATATGATTAAATAACTAATTATCTATCATCAAAATAATTAGCTAAAAAAAATTATCTAAATAATTAACAAAATCACTAGTAAAATAACTAACTTATTTTTCATATATTTTTTAAAATAAATTTAAAACATTTTTAATTATTAATTTTTTTTTTAAGTTAAAATAAGATTGGTTCACAAGATTTATCTAGTTTAGATTGCATTTTTAAATATTGTAAGAATATAACTAATTTAGACTTTAACTTCCGGTAAATATATGAAATTAACAAGATTAATTATTTTTTATTTGATCGAATGCTAAAATGTTAATTTTATGAAAAGTATGAACAAGATATATAGTGAAGGGATATACTATTTGTGCTCTTCATTAGTATAATGCAGTAATCTCACAAACTTAGCAGTCAATTTTGGGTAAATATTCTCAATAATTTTATTAGACATTTGATAAAACAAATATCTCTTTATTAATTAATTTTATTTTTAATTACCAAAAAGTTCAAATAAAATTAACTAAAATTGTGGAGATTCATTTAAAGATTTAGCTTAATGTAAAAGTCTTTAGAAGCTAAACATTGATCTTAAGTAAAAAAAATAATTAATTTATTTATTATAATTTATTATTTTAGCAGTTTTGAAGTATTTATTTTAAAAGAATATTAAATTAAAATTTAATCAGCTAAATTAGAATGATGATTTTTTAAATAGTATTTGTTTGGATAAAAAATCATATTTCATTTTATTTATAAAAGTTTTAATAAAATCGATGATTTAGAAATTAATGAATTAGCAGATGTTTTAGCTAATTGTAGCAAACTCTCAGAATTAAGTTTAAATCTTTCGTAATAAATTATATTTTGTTCATATAATCTTTCTATGAATTTTTATTTCTTTTAATAAAAAGTGATACATAAATTAGCAGTAAAGGTGTTCATTATCTAGGTTCTGCTCTGAAATCTGTTGGGCTTCTTAAATTCTAGTTACTTTTAAGGTAAAATTGTTATAATTTATTAATTATTAAATATGTAGTATAAAATATTAATTTTTTTTTTTTTCATAATTATGATAGAAATTAAAGTTATAGATTAGACTCAAATATACTCTATAATATAAGTGTTTGTTTGATTGAATTCAAAAAGCTACAAAATCTAAAACTTAGTTTAACAGGGTTGATAATTTTTATTTTCTTTATATTTATAGTTATTATTAAAGAATGTTAATATCTGATATTAATTAATTTAATTTTTTTGATAAATTAAAAGCTAAAATGAAATAAATGAGCATAACATATCAGAGTTTAGTTTGGTTCTACCAAAAATTAAAAATCTTAATGTGTTAGATGTTGAGTTAAAGTAAAAATATAAATTAATAATAAAAATATCAATTTAAAAAAAGAAATAAAAAAATGGATTATTTTTTTTTATATATTTTTATTTTCATAATTTTTTATGGTTTATTTCTAAATAAAATGTGAATGAATTGAATTAATATGAATTAATAAAACTATTTTCTAAAATAATTAAGATCTGATTTGATTTCTCCAAACAATACAATTTAGTTCGCTAAAGCATTGGAACAATGCAAAAACTTGTAATAACTCTCACTTGAGTTTAAGTATAGTTATATTTTATTTTTTACATTTAAGTTTATCAAATATATCTAATATATATATTTTTTATATATTTTAAAAGAACTCTTGAATCATAAGAAGTATTGGCCTTGTTCTAATCTTTAACACTGTGCAAAAATCTCACTAATTTGCATATTATTTTATGGTAAAAGAGCATTTAAAATATAATTTTTAATAACATTAAGATTGTTTGTTCTATTTATCTAAATATTAAATTAGGAGTAATGGTAGAAATCCTGAAGATTTAACTGTGTTGTTAACTAAAATAAAAGAATTTTAGAATATTTAAATTCTAAGAATTTAGTACATGTAAATTATATTTAAAATTAGCCTATAAATATTATATTCTTTACTTATGATTATTTGAAATTAATTTCTTAGATCAAAAGGATTTTTCAAAGATTCTGAAACTGCTTAAAAATTCATAAGAAATACTATGAAATTAAATAGATTAGTGAAGTGTTATGTTTGGTGAAAAATAAATTACTTAATTGATAAAATTGGCCTTTTGATTTAACACAACTCAATTTTCCTAGATTTATAAAAATTTTGTTTTCACTTCTATTTGGTTAGTATAAATCACTAAAAAATTTTGAACCAGTCTATCTATCTATTTGTTTTGTTATTTTTTTAATATTTATTTAAAACAAAATAAATTGTTTCAACTATTTTCAGTAAAAATTATATTGCTTTTTATATTTTAAATAATTATTATTAAAAAGATAGGCTTTCCTTAAAATGAACTATCAAGATATCTGTTTAGATGGAAATTTTTCTTTCTAAAAACAGTTAGGAAAATAAATATATTTTATCTTTTAACTTTAAAGATTTAAAAAAAAAAATTTTATTAATTTGTTTATTTTTAATATCATCTCATCTAATCTAATCGCAATAGAAAATAGAAGAAAATAAATGCTTAATTTATATTTTTTTAATTTAAACAATTGATATATTACTATTCTCAGAAAATTATTTCTTGAGTTAGAAATATACACTAATTAAAATAATAACTATTATTTAATAAAATATAAAAAAAATTAAAATAAATAAAAAATAACTATTTTTTTATTTTTGAAAAAAACATAAGAAATTCTATTTTTTATTTCACAAATTAGATTAAACATTTATTTTTATATGGAACATAAAATTATGCTATTAAGGTAAAATAAATTTTTATATTCAAAAGTTTAAATTAAATTTCTTTTCATTATATTTTGCACTTAAGAGATTAGATTCTGGAGCATTTTTTGTTGTTTATAAGATTGGTAAATCTTGTTAATTTAGTTAACTAAATTCAAAGCATTTCTGCACTGAAAGTCTATTTTGATAAAATGAAGATTTTAAAAGAGGAGATTTTGGCATCTTTGTGGATGATAGTCTGGTCAAAGGATGATCTAATTTATTTTTTTAAGTTTTGATTGTATAATTAATTTAAATTAAAAAAAATTTTACATGAGCTAAAACTAATTTTCTTTGGGTTATTATCAAGCTTTTTTTTTAGTCTCTTTATACTTTTTTAAGCTTTAGATTTAATTAGTTTACTAAGATTTTTCTTAATTAGCTTCCATCTTTAGAACGTCTTAAAGGAAACTTGCCTGATGTTGAGAATTTTTTTAGAGATTTTAACAGGCAGGAGCTTTTAAAGGAGGTATCTGAGTACTTAAGTAAATCTAGAATTAAAATTATTTGAATATTGTATTAGCAATATCGCTAATATTTAAAAAATAAAAATGTAATCTATTAAATACATAATTGATTAAACAATTATTTAGGATGTGTTTGATTTAAAGTAAAAGTTGAATAAAATTATTTTGAGTATTAGAAGGATGTAGCATTGTATTTCTTTTTAGTTTAGATCTTTAGTTATATATGGTTTGTTGCTATTTAGTATTTTCAGATAGAAAGCCATAAAAGCTATAATAATATTGTTTGCGATATCCTTATCGTACTAGCCAAGTAAGCTATAGACGTATATAACTAATATTTTGACATAAATTCTTAATATTTCCCAGTAATAGTATTTGATTTTAAATTCGTTATAATAGTATCCATATATATATTTCACTGTACAATAATTGAGAGTGTTTTTATGTCTTCTTAGTTAAAATAGAATTATAAGTGGGATTAATGAAAAGAGCGAAAGCTGCAAATAAGATACAAAGTATATGTGAATTATATAATTTTAATCAGAACAAAGCACTGTTGTATCAATAGATTAATAGCTTTCACTACCTATTTGAACACAATTTAAGGCCGAAGAAAAGAATTGTATGGAGTCTGTTAAAAAGAAAAAATACAATAAATGTATGTAAGTTAATGCTCTGTAATAAAGCATTCTTTTACTGTTTGGTTAAACACTGATACCAACTCTCATAAAAGCTAAAATAAGCTGAATTATAATTAAGAATGATATTGGTATTAAAGAATAAACTAATAAAACAACTTTTATTTTGCCATATGTTCTGAATATTTCTTAGCCTAGTATACAACTTAGTCCAACTGAAATATTGTATGAAGAGGAACCAATGTAAATAAATGGTAAATCCAGTTTGAGAGAAAAAACATCATGAGATGATGTTAAGATTGAAGAAAGTTACAAGAATGTGAGAATTATTTTGATATAATATCCTGATAAATCTCTAAAAGAATTCTTTAAAATAGGAAGGAAATTTAATTATCTTAAATAATAGCATGTTGAAGAGTAAAGATTGTTGGACATGAATGTTTTTTCGCAAAATAAAAAATAGCACAGTAAGCAAAGTATGTTAAAAGTTAGAATTAAATACTAAAGAGCAGGTTAAGAGCAGGGATAGCAAACTCCTTTTTCAATTTAGGGAGAATACATTACACCTGTTTTGTTCCATACTTTCCCTGTTAAATCACATTACAAGCATAGAGGTCCGATGTACCCTTCAGCACATCCTTCATAGCTGCTGCCTATATCTTCTGCTCTACAGGAATTATTTATTTAGCTGCATTCAACTATTTCATCAGTTGTCTAATTTTTTCTCCAATATCCGTTTTTTAATTGTATTTCGTTCCCCTCACAATATAAAGCAGAAGACGGACATAATTTACATTAATTTGACAAATATTAAGCAGAGTCTTATGAAGTCTAATCAGGCAGAAGAGGATCTTGCAAGGAATAAGATCCTAATGAGCAGTACTTGCAAACCTAAATGTTATCTGTAATAAGCTAAACAATTTCACCAACAAAACAAGGTCTAAACTCAATTAGTATCAAGACAGGAAGTTAATTAGAGTAAATATTTTGCAAAAATGTATTGAAAGAAAAGTATATGGAAGAAGATATCTAAGCAGAAATAGTAAGATCAATTAGAATAAAGCTAGATGTTTGCTCATCATAAAGATTGTAGTCTATTAATTTGTCTCCTGTAAGCTATACAACTGAACCAGAAAGACTTTCAATATTAACCTACATGCTCATTAGCTCGTCATTTATAAGTTTTGGGTATTTTTAATTCTGAAGATAATTTTTATTAAAAGTAATTTTTCTTTAATAGTTATCCAAGAAAAACACTTACAATTAGATTTTACCTCCGCTCATAAAATTACTAATTATAATTTATTTTGAATATATTTTATTTTGGTAATGGATATACCTTTCGTTAAGACTAGGATTTATTTAAAAAGTATAATTTAAACTCCTTTGCTAAGAGTTTTCAAGAATATATTTATTTATTTGAATCTCCTAGATGTATGTAGCAAGATCATCTCCATATATCTCAGCACTATTTTGATATATATTTGATTGAAACAACTAATTTTGAGATGTTTGGTTAGTAATTTAGCTATTTAGGATTCTAACACCTCCACCAATCCTTGCCTGATTTTCAAAAATCCTTGTAAGTTAATCAAATTAAAGTATGCATTGATAGTTTGAGTTGAAAATGTAAATAGAGCCACCACTACCTTCAGCTCTGTTTTAAGTGAAGGTAGAATTTCCAAAAGAAGTAGAATTTTGAATATTATACAAGTATAGAGCTGCTCCATCGATAGCAGCATTCTGCTTGAAAACACTATTATTCACACTTATAATATTTGCATTTTAAATTAATATATTTCCTGTATTTTACTCCCAACTTAGAAACTCAAAAATAATTTTTGATGACTCAATCTAAATAACTGAAAAGGATTTATCAAATTTGTTACCTTAAAATTAACAAGATTATATAACAAATAGAGAATTAAGTAATGTCAGCTTGTAATTATTATAATATGTAATATAATTAATATACTTTAATAGAGGTAGTCCTATATTTCTAATAAAATTACTATTGATAATTGTTGTGTAATTGCTACTGATAATATTAATAATTGGAGATTATTAATCTTAAATTTTTTATAATTAATTGGAATTTTAACTAATTATTTCCTAAGATATATTGGTATTATTAAATACATAAAAAGAGTTTATTTCTGAAATTTGTATTAAAGTTAGTTAGAAAATAGAAAAATTCTAATCTAAAAAGTTGTTTTTTATTTGAATGTTATTAATGATAACTTAAACATGATTATCAATTTAAATTAGAAATTTTAAATAATTTGAAGAGCTAAAATAATTGTCAGTTATAATTAAATTATAAATCACTATCGAAGTGACATTTGAAGCATATATAAATCCCTATATTTAATTATCTATTCCATTTTTTATAGTGCAGTTATGAATTAAAATATTTGATAACACAATTTTTTGCTGGTTTGTAAGAGCTATCTATGTGTTCGAGATGTCTTAATTTATAATTGATATAGAGTCTAAAATAGAATTTTGAATGCTATCATCGAATGTAATGTTTATTGGTTCATTTGGGTTGATTGGTTGCACTTAAATGTTATAACCTTAAATCTGGAAATCATTCTTTTTCAATGCAAAAAATAAAGACTATGAAAAAATTAAGTCACTCTAATCAAATTTACTTTTTGATAATAAAATTTAACTTATTTAATTGGAATCAGATATTTATTTTATTAAATTGGATATTTGATCTTAGCCTAAATTTATGTAAAGATATATATTTGTGCTATTATTATTAGTTGCTTATCTTCCGTTTTGCCCAATAGACTATGAAGTTATAGGTAAGATCTAATGTATTTAGCTTAGAATTTATTAAGAATTAGAGGTGCTCTGCGGATAGAAGTAGCATTATGTAACAGTATTGGTTCCATAATATTAACTCTGCTAATTATAATTGTACTGGTAAAGTTAGGTGTTGTATTATAATTCAAAGACACCATTTTAATGAAATCCAAATACTTATATAAATTTATCTTCGATTAGTATTTTCATAATTTTTGGATAAGTATATTATCTGATATCTATAACAAAATTATCATTATTTTAAATTACAAACACTTCTAAATGATCAGAATGCTAAAGAACTACAAACTAATCTTCGATAATAAAGTATTGAACTATATAACTTTCTTAATTTCTCCTTGATACAGCAAGCTAAAAAATAATAGGCCGAGTTCTTGTATAAAAATTAAGTTAAAATCTTGAAGAAGTTATGATGTATTTAGGTGTAAGCTAAATAGATGTATCGTAACCTTCAGAAATACCTATTATGGACTCTAATATTTGAGATTGCATATCAAATAAATAAACCTTTTTGTCAGTTATAAACTAAAAAATAACTCTATTAAAAATATTGTCATACTCTAAATTAATTAAAAATTGGTCATTTTGCTTTTGAGCTATTTAAGCTAGATTTAAATTCAAGATTGTTTTATTTTAAGTCATATCTACAATAAATAATTATCCTAAATTTGTTGCAAAGCAAATTTTAAAGGAACTTATTATTTTTATGAATTTCACTTACCCATTTGTTTGGTTAATAATTCCAAACTAGTAATTTTTAATAGTTTAATATTCTGTATTATAAATCAAAGCAGACTAATCGCTAAGCCCAATGTATAAGTTAAATGTGTTTTAATCGAATATAAAAGATGATATAAATTAACTGTTTTTTAATGAAATTACTTTTAAAATAGAGGCATTCTTAATATCTATTTGTACTATTTATTTAGCCCAAGTCTGTAGAATTGAATTGGTTAAAAAACTTTGAAATTTTTCAATAGGAATAGTGATTTATTTACTTTAGATATTATTTCTAACACTATTTTCATAACCATTAAAAAGTATGATTTCATTTTTAAAAGCTGCAATTAAAGTGTCATTGCCAACATCATATCTAATATCTTGAAGTTCTTTGTTTATGAATGATAATTCATATTTCAAGTAATAAGAATTTTATTTAAATCTGTAAATCAAACTTTATTTGCTAACTAATAAAAATTGAATTAGATTTTGATTATCATTAAGCATCTATATCTCACAAAAAAGATTTTTTTATTCAATTAGTTGATATTTGAATTAAAATCCAAATAAACTGTAATCCATAAGATAAATATTAGCGTTTGAAAAGATAAAAAGAGAGTTTTAATTAAAATCAACAGACATCCCTAATACTATTTCTTATTAATCTGAAATGTCAGAAATATTTGCTAAATTAAATACAGTGAAACTCTAACCAATTATTTAGTAACTCACTATTTATCCAATAGAATCTATAAAAACTATTATATTTTACTCTAAATCATAAAACATGTCAATCAATTAAAACACTGTTAATCCTTATTATGAATCTTATAGTATTGTTGTTTGCTAGGAGAAAATATTGTATAAAAATAATTATCCCACAGCAATAGAATTGCAAAAAAATCCAATATATTGATTAAAATTTATGTAAATGTATTTAATAATTGAAAAACTAGAAGGAGCATTTATTACCTACTAAACCAAGTTGTCTCTTCTTATTATATAAATATCTATTTAATTATTTAATAAATTAAGTTTAATAAAAATTTTTAGGGATTAAATAAACTTCTCAGTTTGTTGCAAATTGCTAAAAAAATATTTGATGGTAATTAGAAAATTTTATATTAAAGATTTCATAAATCAGGAACTTATAAAAAGGAAATTTTTATTTTTAATTTACACTATTAAGTCGCTATGATGATAAAGTCTTCATGTTAACCATATTACACAATAGACCCATTAATTTAAAATTAATTCTTAATGGTAGCTTAAAAGCTAATTATATATACAAGTTGCTATATTATTAGAATATTTTAGTTTTCTTCATCTATTATAAAATTTAAGGTACTTTAGAATCCTGATTGCGTGATTATTTGTTTCTGATAATTTAAACTTTTGTTAAAAATTATCAAGTTTAGTTTAGAATCTATACAAACTAAAATGCTAGAAGATGTTTAGCAAACAGATATGGTCCGACCTAATTATTTAGCTTATATTATATTAATTTTATTTAAACTTAAATCTAATTGAAGTATTTCATCTCCATATGTTATGATTGATTGTAAATTTTCATCATAAATAAAACCTGTAATTTAATTGTCAGTTTTAAAATAATTTATTTAACTTTTTGTGAAAAATTGTCTTATGGCTATTTGGTTATTATTAAAGCAAACAATAGAATATATTTTATCTATAATTAAACATTCCTTGAAGCTTATGCTGGTATCGTCAGCTTAAAAATATTCTAGAAACTCATTTGTGTATAAATTGAAAATAGAAATTTGCTATTAAGTTATTATTAAATATATTCCTAAGTAATTACTTTGCTAAAACTCTAATATAAAATCTTAGCTGTTTTTAAATGAGTTTTAGACATCAATCCTCTAATATTTATAAGTTAAGTAATTTCTTAAAGCTAAAGTTCCTTATTGAGTACCTAGAAATTGTAAAGTGTTTAACTCAGTTCCTTTTGAGTACATTATACTACTTACAAAGGATTGACCTTATAAGTACTACAAACTAGCTATATAACTATAACTATATTAATCTTATATATATATTTTGCTTGTAGCCTGTAAGAATATCGTTATTTGGTTGAGGAAAAATATATTCTCATAACAGTAGTAATTTTAATTTGCAGAATTTGTTTAAAGAAAAATTGTTTTATCTAAATATGGAAAATTGGGTTCTGAGTATGTCTAAATTGGATATGATAAACCTACTTAAATGAAATATAATTATGATTATGGCTTTGTTGTTGCAGACAATCCAATTACAAAGTAAGTGCTTGGATCATTTTATACTCTTACTATTTAAAATATCTAACTGAATTAAATGTTTGGAAATACATAATTGACAGAAAGATCGCTATTTAAAAGATTGATGTTAAATTAGTTATCATACATTATTAACACGTCTAAATCAAAATTATTCAGAATTCTATTTTATTCACTCTAATAGGATTTGAAAAACGTAAAATATTAAATTTATAGATTCTAAACATTATAAGTAGAAATTTATTGATAAGCTCCTTATTATGTATTAAATTAATAAATACCTAATGAGCTTGGTGTTTGTATGTAAATGTTATTTTTCACTATTATTATTTATTATAATTAGCCCAAAAATTCATTTTAACATCCATCATATATGTAAGCAAGGTGATCATCTAAAATTTTCATGCATGAATCAAGAATAATGGCTAATTAATCGTTATTGCTAGTAATTAATACATTTTATGTTTATTAATTTATTGCTATTTCTTAAAGGATAGTCCAATCTTTTCCCTAAATTATTAATATTCTATCTTACATTTAGACAATTAAATTTTAATCAAGAAAAGTAATCATGTCTATACAACCACTATTAGCGAGATTCAATTTTAACATTAATTCAGCATATTATGCAGCAGAAATATCGTAAAAGATGATATCTCCATTTGAATGGCAAGACACTAACTGCATATAAGAGTATAATATTGCAATTTAAACAGCTTAAGAATTGGGTGTTGGAAATGGCTATTAATAATTACCAATAATCTGGGAATTAATTGTATTTTACATAGAATCTCTTTTTAAAATTTACACAAATCTCCCCACTAAAGAAAATTAATAAATTTAGTTGTTATTTGCATTTTGATATTATTATATATTTGAAAGAATGATAATAGTTTCAAAATTATAGTCTATTAACAGCTCAGAGTAAATTAATTAAAAAGAACTTTACAAATCTGTTAATTAATAAATTTGCAAGGTACTATTTCCAAGTAAAGCTAGGATTTCTAAGGTGTTATTTGGCAGTGAGACGATACTAAAATCTAAAATATTTTCACACATTTTTGAAATCACTAAGTTTTGCTAATCTAAATTAGAAATCATATACAGTGTTTAATTGCTTAATATTAATAGATTTGAGTTACTACCCTCAATTTAGGTAAATTAAGTTATATCAAGCTAAAGACTCTAACAAGATTACTGATTCAAATTATAGACAAGGAGATTATCTTCTAAAGCTATGAATAACTTTCCTTGAATTTAAATAACAGTATTTACTTAAGTAGAATTGAATTGAATACATTAGTTTCCATTTTATTACTAGTAGAATTCAACTTCAATTTTTTAAAAATCAATGTTGTACTGAACGATCTAAATTCCTTATTTATTATGTATTACGATAAATGTTTATAAAATGGTTAAAGAAACAATGCTTTAACTCAACTAAACTTAAAATTCATATAGTTAAAAGTTAGACATATCTACAAGATATGCTACAACGGTATCATTACCAATATTATATGAGAGGACAAATAAGATATTGCTTTTTACAAAATTAAAATAGGAGTTCTATCCTATCATATGAGTTTAAGAATCTATTAATAGGGTCCTTTTATCTAAAGTTAGATCCCAAACTGAAATGGAATTATCTGTACTTTGTAATAATATAGTCCCATTAACGTTAAAAGCTTTTAAATCTCCATTTTAAAGCTTTTGATTAGAGTAAAATTCTAGATCATCAATGCTAAATAGTTATATTTACTAGTTATAGATGATTGAGTAAAAATTTTTTTTGTATATCTAAACATCCAATAACTCCTAATCATAAGGAATATTTTAGCTTATTTCGTCTGCAACAGAGCATTATGCAATTTACACACATATGTTCTATATAGTATTTCCAATATAAGAAAGATCACATAGCGATTAGCATTTACCATTTGAATAATTTAAATCTAAATTAGGTTGAAAGTAGAAGTTTTACTCGCAAGATTTATACACACAAAGTCCTAATGATGTATCTAATTCAAAGTTCTGTAAACATAAAGTACATTGATCCTATTAGCATATTTAGCACCCAAGACCACAACCTTCAGATTTAATCAAGACTATTATGCTAGTTATTAAAAAGAATATTTATTTAGGCACCATAAATTTAAAAAAGGAATTTTTTTAATTTGAAGTGATTGCTAGATTAAAGTAATTAAAAATAATTTGTAAATTTTATACATTTTAAATTAAAAATAAGCTTTTGAATGAATGAATGACTTACTTATTCTTTTGTAATTATTTACCTACATTATCTTTTTGATTAACTTTCAAAGTAATTTATATACATTCATGAAATCAATTAGTGATTTATTTCTTTTTTAATTTTTTACATAAATTTAATTTTAAAATATTAGAGTAAATTATATTTATTTTCTAAAATATAAATAACAGTTTTAATAAATATTTCAGTATAAATTTACTCTTTCACTAATATATTAATTTATTATAGAATATTTAAAAATAAAATTTAAATTTAATACTTTTAAATATAAATATCCTTACTGTTCTATTAACCAAAAAAATTAAAAAGGGAGTTTGGCTTTTTTTTTAATTAATTAAAAATTAAAATTAGGAGATTAAATAAATAGGAAGGTATTTATTTATTTATTTTTAAATTTTGCAAAAATTAAAATTCTTTGAATATAACAAAAATTATATATATAAAAACAAATTTACTTGCTTCACTCCCTTTTTCTTTTTGATAAAAAATATTTTAAATATTATTAATTTAAAAAAAATAACTTAAAAATAATGTGAATTTTTAAGATTTAAATGAGAAATATTTGATTGCTCATATTACTTTTATTTGAACAAATTTAGATTTTTTTTGATAGTATTGCTGATGTTTATATATTTCATGCTATTAAAATAAGCCCACATAAATAAATTTTAATTTTATTTTAAAAGCTTAATGGTAGTATTGGAATACAATGTAATTAAAACAATTTATTATTATTTATCTTTACTTTAAATATAAACTTTTTATGTTTTTTAAGCTTAAATTTATTCTTAAAATTAGTTTTTCTTGATAGATTTGTAAATTATTTCAGGTTAATTTCCATATTAATCCTTGTTGTCGGAATAAAGATATCCAATCTTTTTTTAGTAGGATGTACTCAAATATTAATTTAAATCTGCCTTAGTTTTTAATGAAATATATATATCATTTATATTTTAAAGCTGGCTGAGATATGAAAAGATTCAATAGAATATTTATATCAATAGGATTGGTTTCTAGCTAAATAATTAATTGATAAGCAAACAAATTAATACTTTCAAATTATTTAACCACTTTCAATAAATAAACAAGTAAATAAATTATAGATATATAAATAAAGATTGATAGATATTCATATATTTTCCATGAAAGTTACAAATACAGCACCTAATTAAATTATTTAATATCGAAGCTGCTCATCTAATCGTAGCCCTATTTATATATAATATCCAAAAACTTATGTAAAAACCATATAGATTCCCAAATATACTACTAACCTAGTGCATATATCTACCAAGCAAATTCCAATTATAAATGTAAGATTTAGTAATTATTTAAAATAATTAAATGAAAATCTTTAAGTAGCCAATCTGTTACGCAATTATTTGAATAATAATTTTACTTATAAAGGTGAAGAAAGAGCAAAAGATAGTTTTGCCTACTTAATATCATAGTACTCCTATTTGTAAAGTTCAAAACTCTAGCTAAAAAAAATAAGAAACAACTATAAATTAAGATTGCTTAGAAACCCTACAAACTTCAAAGGAGATAAATGAAAAAGTAAGTAACTAAATTATTTAATCAGAATAAAAAAAATTTTATTAAAACAAACATAAAATATTCTATTCTTTATTCTATTTAAAATAAGTTTTACATTTCTCAATCATAAATTTAAATATTGTAGAACTTGGGTGTATATTAAGAATGACTGTGTATTCTAAATATTAATGGCAATTTTTTTAAAAAAAGAACATTTAAAATATTAGCTAAATCTTTTATTAAAAAATATTTTATTTGCTGATAAAATTTAGTCCAATCAAATAAAAATAAAACATTTCTATTATGATTTTTTTAATAAATTTTTTTCAAATTATAATAATTATTGTTTTAAACAAAATATTAAGTAGAACGAACAATCAATAGAATCAATAAATTTTATTAAAGGAATTAACAATTAATCTTATGAGCAAGAAAATAGTCTAGTTACACAGAATTTAAGCCAAAACATATCTCTAATGTATCAAAATCCAGTCAGATAAAGTAATTTTTAAGTAGTATCATAACGATATCAAAAATTTACTCATTTTATTTTTTAGATTCACAAAAAGTCCTTTTCCCTCTAACTCCTAATATGAATAATAATTCATTTTTCCTAGACAATAGAGTTAATAAGCACTAAACTACCAGTTAAAATACTTCTTATATTAGTACAACAACTAGGATAAGAAGCTTGAGTCCTGTAATACTAACTCCTAAAGTTTAGAGAGTATAAAAAATACCTGTTATTACTAAAATGTATTCAAGTCAAATTAATTTACATCCAGTCTCCACTTCAATCATCAACACAATACCAATATAAAAAATAAATCTTATTTCTCCTTAAAATATAATAACAACAGTAATACTCTTTAAATTATTCTTAATTATTATTTTAAAAATTCATCATTTTTTATTATTTTTATTTTTATTGAAAATTAAAAATTTTGAAAATTAGATTTTAAAAAATATGTTATTAAAATGAATATGAATTTTATAATTATTTTATTTACAGAATACAATTATACACAGAAAATATTAAGACGGAAGTATTTATGAAGGATAGTTGCAGAATAATTAAAAACAAGGGAAAGGAAAATTAATTTTTACAGATGGAAGCTACTATATTGGGGAATTTCTGAATGATTAAATAAATGGCTTGGGAGAATATTATTCACGTGATAATAAATTAATTTATGAAGGTGAATGGTCATCTAACAAATATCACGGAAGAGGAATATATCATAATATTCTTAATAAGTAATCACATAATTAGGAGAAATTAGCTGTAGATTATAATGATTTCGCTAATTATGAGAGTCTTTGGACAGAATATGAAGGGTAATTCTTCGAAGGATAGAAAAATGGAACTGGTCTCATCCAATTTATTGATGGATCACAATACTTTGGAGGTTTTAAACATGATGAAATAGATGGAGCTGGTGTATACACTTTAAATAATGAAACTAAGTAACAAGTAACAGGAAGCTGGAGCCAAAACAAACTAGAAATTTTGCTGAATTGAAAATGAATTAATTTGCATTTTTATATAGCTTTAAAATTCAAAAATAAATAAATAAATAAATATAAATTTTGGAACACAAAATTAATAAAAACGATTAATTAATTAATATTTTTTATTAGTATTTAATTAACTTTTTATAAAATATTTATAATATCACTATTGAAATCAATCACTCTAAGAAATTTATTTAACAAAGTGTTTTTTTATTATTTCCTATCAGACTATTATTTGTTTATTATCAATTTTTTAATTACTTCTTCAAAAGTGAAGAGGAATTTGTTTGTTAATAATTATTTTCTCAAAATTTAACTTTGTTTTTTTATGGTTTTGCTATTGTTTGAAATGTTTATTTATGATTTTTATTACTCTCATGAAGAGAGTTGTTAAAATGAAGAACTGGTTCGTTATTAATTTGTAAATTAATTAATTTTCTTTTATTTATCAAAATTTAACTTTTGATTTATTTATTTGTTTTATAAGATGTTTTAATTGTTTTGGTTATTTATTTATTTAATTAGTTAATTAGTGAATAGTTTGTTTTTTGCAGATTGAAAAAGAAGTATTTTAAATATAATTAATTAATAGGTTAGTTATTTTCTTGTTTTTATAATTAAATAGCATTATTAAGTTAACTTTTTGCATTCATTTTGATTTTGTTATTTATTATCTTTTGTTCTTCAAGCAAAGAGCTTATTTGATAAAACAAGTTATGGGGCATTTAAATATTGTGCTTCAGTATATATCTCTTTTAAGATAGATTTGTAATTAAATTTGATTCCACCTTTCACAACGTCTTCATCGCTGCTAACATCATCGTCTTGAGACTATTAAATTCAATGTTAAAACATTAAAAATCTAAAAATTATATGAATATAATATATTTACATGAGTAATAACTTTGGAGAATTAGTTGGGGATTTTTAAGAAATCCTCTTTGAAAATTTTAAAAGTGAAGAGTTTTTCACCTTTTTTGTATACTTTATATCCATCTAAGTAATCATTCAGTTAAAATTAACTGATTAGAGGTGACTTTTTAAATGAACTTTCAACATTTTCGTTCTTTTCTGTGTTTTAGATGCTCATTTACTTTTTGTTAATATTGCTACCTAAGTTTTGCACTAAAGAATTTGTAGAAGAGCTAAGATTAGTGCTTGCTATAGATGTATTTAGAGAGCTTTCTAGAGTTTTGTTTTTTTGGTTAAATTTCTCTTGCAAAATTCTTTCGTTCTTGTCGTCTTCATTTTCATCTTGTAAGTCTTCTTCCTCTATCTTTACCATACTAGCATCCATTAAATTACTAAGAATATTATTAGATTAAATTGGTTTTATTTATTGATATTATGAGGTCTTGTTGCAGTTAGAGTTTATCTCTTACAGAGGAACCCTATTCAATTATTAGTTAATATTTTCTTAGCTTTTAATGATTTTTTTTTGTTGCTATTCGCTATCCTCAATTTCTATGTCATATCTTTGACTATTTGTGTTAAATATTTTAGTAGAAGAGTTTATTTTTATCTTTTCGTAGGATTCGAGCTAACCAATCACGCAAATTATATTTTCTTTATTCCCTTTATTCTTTTAAGTTTGCTTTAATGAGTTTTCCTTTGATAAATTTTTTTTATTTTCATCTTATGGAGCTTAGTTTTCTTAACAGGAATTTTAGGATCTTGTTTACATTCTATATAAGGTGTTACTAGGTCTAAATATCCTAGTCTTATCTACTTTTAATGTTCTCTAAGACAAAATTCCTCTCTAAACTAAAAATTAAGCAGTAGATTCATTTTTAATTGACTTTTTAAATTAAAAAATTGATTAATATTCAAACAAAATTAACTTCATTTTTTATAAAAAACTTAATATTTTGATCATTATGATCAAAATGCAAAGTTATGTTAAATGAACATAAATCAAAGTTAAAACTGCAATATTTTTAAAATTAACTAGCTACCTATCCATTCTGCTACCATATAGATTTCTTGATCCTTTAGCAAGTATTTTCTGAGCTTTAGACTTCTGGGATTTTCATTTATGAGATGTTTAACCTTGTTGCGCAAGCTTGTTTTTTAAATATAAGACACTGGTCAGTTTATTTGTTTGTTTGTTTATTTATTTATTTAGATTTTATCTTGTAATACTAAAGTATTATTAATTAATTAATAATTTAATTTCTAATTATAATTTGCAAACAAAGGCAATTAAAGCGTATTTATTGATATATTAATGATATGATATATGTGTGGTAAATTTCTAAATTCAAAATCAAATTTGCTACTAATTTATTTAATAATTATAAATTAATTTACTTTTATTATATCTTTCATCAATTAAATTTGTTTAATTACAAATTTCAAATTTAAATTTTTTTTCGCTCAAAAAATTTAACATATATTAAAGAGTTAATTACCAATTACTTAATAACACCAAGCAAAAAAGATAATTCTAAAAACACTCTCTTTTTGATTACTCCGCATAATTATTTATTTATTTATTAAATTTTTTAATTAATCTTTCTTAATACCCAAATTAACAACGATATTAAAAGCAAACATAAATGATTCATTTATCTTTAAATTCATAAAAAATTAAACAAAGTAAATAAAAAATATTTCAAATTTAAATTTAAATAGAATTTTAAAGATAAAAATAAAATTTTAGTATTAAAATTTTATACTAAAATATTATATAAAGATTTACTTATTTCTCTTATTATTTTTATATTGTTTGCTTTATATCTAAAATCAATTATACTTTATATTTTAGCAAATATATTTTATAAAATGTCTAGCATGAATCTCATCTCATTCAATTAAATTCAAAAACAGTAAAAATTTATTCGTTAAACTTTGAAACAGTATTTTTTAAATATTAAAGCTAGTTACAACTTAAGTGTTAATAAAATAAATGTTTTTTAAGGAGAACCAATAAATAACAGTCAAATAATAAAATAATTTTTATTTCAACTAACTGTTTGATGCATCCAATCTCTATTTCATCATCACTAATAATTGAATCACTTTTTTATCGTTAAAATTTTAAATTTAATCTTAAATTTAATTTAATCGCTTAAATTTAAAATTAATCAAAAAGTGAGGGTAATTCATTGAAATTATCAGAAATAATTAGATTTTAGTTTTTCTCTCTCTCTCTATGAAAGCAAATGCTCTCAAAAAGTTTAAAAGCTATATTTTTATTTTTTAATGAAGTAGATATTCTAATATAGAAATTTTAATAATCCTAAAATATCATTTTATCTTATTCTCTAGTTTTATTTATTTATTGTAATCTTAAAAAATATTTATTATTCAATTTAGTGTGCTAGATTAAATTTCTTATCAAATAAATTCATTCAACTTATTAAATATAAAAAGACTATTAATCAAAAAATTGTAATATAACACGCACTAAAATTCAATTTACTTAAAGATCAAATAAATTAAAAATGAAAGTAAACTAAATATTTAATTTTGTTTATTAATAAAACAAACAAAATTAAATGAATTTTTTTTTACAAAATTTTTTAATTAATTTTTTTTCGATAACAAAAAATACAGAAAATTGCTTCAATTTTATTCTTAATATTTTAGTAGTTAAAAATAATTATTTACAATAATAGCATGCAAAATGAATATTAATTCTAATAATAATTTATAAATTTTAACTAGTTTAAGTTTAATTACTCTAAATAGTTTTTGAAAATAAATAATGGTGGCATAAATATATTTTAATTTATTAGTTTCAATGATTTTTAATATAATTTTTTTAGGGAGAGCTATTCATATTATTGAGGTAGTGGTTTGAAATTTAGTTGTTATTATTATTGTTTACGAAATTATTTGAATTATTTTGTTAAATAGAGTTGTTATATTTATAGTTTGAATTGCTAGATGCTATATTCGATGTTCTTTTTGCTCTAACTGGGCTAGATTCATAATTAGAGCTGGAATTCTAATTTGAATTAAAACTGCTTGCTAAGATTTATCTTGGATCTATTTAAGATTAATTCCCAATTTTATTTTTGGAAGAGGAATCTGTTATAATTAATTGATTAGAAGAGTTTTCATTTGAATTAATCCTGTTATTGTTAAGTGGAGGTTTGTATGTGAGTTTTTTGTCGATTAACATTTATACAGCTACAGAAGTATTAGCTTTAGCTTCTTTTGATTCATTTTATGCAAAATATTTGTGTTTTTCAGGTGTATATGTATTGTATTTGTTTCTTCTGCCTGCTTAGTCATAGCTGAGATGCCTCTGAGTTTCTGTTTAGATTTACTATCTGTTTATTTGGGGATTATTCATTAATTAATTTTATTAATCTTAATTCTTTTCTAAGTAGATATCCATGAAATTAGATTGAGAACCCTATCTGTTTTCGTAAACAAGGTAGTTTATTTCATTGTTTCTCAAATTATTCCTACTCTTCCTATCACTAAATCTTTCTAATTTTTAACCATTTAAACTTTGTCTTTCATGAATACTTATTTGAGTGTTTAAAGTTGTGCCATTTTGCTTAATTTAGTCATTATATTCATCTTATATTATTCTTGGTAGGTTTGAGTTTAAATAGTTACCGTTCTAATTGGGTTTAGCAAATATATCTTGATAGTCATTAATATGATTTTACTTACCATTTCTCATCTTTTAATTAACTTCAAATGTTTAGTTGTATTCATTTAAGTGTTGATCATTTCCACCCTTGTACGTAGCAGTGTGTTGACTATTTTTAGTTTTGTATTGTTTTGAACCTAAAGAAGGTATTTCTCCCATGGAAGAATTGTGATAGAATGATAAATTTGGAGAATTTTCTCTGTTTTGTTAGTATCTTATATTATTAATATAATTTATATTAGTATTATTATTAGTGTTATTATAAGAATTATTAAAAGTGCTATCATGATTATTGTTAGTATTGTTTTAAAAAGAGGGTCTTTTCTTGTCGTCTTCGATTTAGTTTGATTAGTTTGTTTATGACTCTTAGTTAAGAAAAGAAGAGTTTTCTTCAAATTCGTGATTATTTCTAAATTAAATTAATGGAGGTAGACGGTCTTTTTGAGCTAAAGACTTATCTTAATCAATTAGTTTATCTTTTGAGTCAGAATTATTTTATCTTTTATTAACTGAAATTCGTTTCACTTTGAATTTAAAATTTTTGTTTTCATTTTAATCAAAGCTTCTTTAAGATTGCATTTCATTTTAATTTGTTTGTTGAGATTGTTCGTTTTAGTTATTGTACTCATCTTCGTTTAAAGGATAAGGTTTAATTGAAAAACTATTCAAATTTTAATCTTTTTTTATTAATTCAAGCTTTTCTGGTCTCTAACCATTGAAATTTTATTTAGTGTAATTGTAAGCGATTACACTGGGCATAAAATCGCTATCATTCATAAAACTGTCGCCCTATTTATTTCCTTTGATGATAGGGCTGCGATCTAAATTTTCTTAGAACTCATTCGGTTTTTATTCATAAATTGGAGTCATATTTCCATTGTTGTTATCTATTTAAGCAAAAATAAATTGAATAAATAAATAAATAAGAAAAAATCGATAAATTACTTTGTTTTCTGCTTGTCATTTAATTTGATTTTTCTAAATTTTGTTGTCTGTTTTCGTCATCAAATAAGCTTATTTAATTCTGAAATTATTTGCCATTACTTTATTAAGGAGTTGATTTAACTGAAGAGATATTGTTTTGACTAAGAATATTTTGTTAGTTTACTCTTGAGTCTTATTTCTGAATGCTGAGTGCAGAAACAGATTTTTTTTAATTTTATGTTCCATCATTCAAAGAATTTTAATTGATAATAGAATTACTATTATTTATAAAGTGAGGCCAAAATTCTGGTCTTGAAATAGTTTGTCTCTAAAACTTATCAACACTTGTCTTTGAATAAAATAAAACGTAAGCTTTCTATGAAATTATTTCTTTATATGGATTCTTCACGTAATAAACTTTAGAATCATCAAACAAATACCAATCTTGAGTATCTCTATTCTTTGCATAAGCTGTATAATGTCCTCCTCCTAAATTTCCAGAATGGTTCTATTTAACAAATTAAAGTGTAAGAATGTTTTTGATAGTAATTTTGATATAAAGTAGTTTAAGAACTTTATTTTTTGCTATGTAAAAAATTAAATATTTATTTGTAAATTATTTGATCTAAATTCATTAATTATTAATCTTAAATCATCATTTAAAGAATGAAACATTTGATTTTATTTTATTTGAATAATTAAACATTATTTAAAAGTATAAAAAAAATTATGTGGTTTTAGTTAATAATTTTCATTATCATTTTACATATAGTACCAATAAGATATACATTAGCTTAGGTATTATCTAGCTTGAACTTAAAAAATTGGGATTTAAACAGTTAAATAATGCTTTTCAATCAAATTTAATCATTGTTAATTACTTGAAGAAATTAATTTTGTAAAATTTTATTTATTTAGAAAATATGATTAGCATTAATTGAAATTAAATAAAATATAAAAAATTTCTTCTTGAAAGTATATTGGGTTAATAATATTTCTTTTCTACAACATCAATTTTTATTTTTTAAACAATTATTCATAGAATAATAAATTCTCAACACTTGAAATGATGATAGATTAGCAAAATAATTTAATTTTAGATTAAAAATTTAAAAATTAAAACTCAAGATATTAAAATTGTCAATATTTTAATTTATTTCATAATATTCTTTTTTAAATCTGCTTTAAAAAATCCTTAATTTGGATGGATGCTTTATTTAGGTTATTTATAAAAACCCACTTGAATATTATTTAAAAAATACTCTCAAAGATTGTTAATTGAGATAAATTTAAGTTTGATTTAATAACTCTAAATTTATAATGTCTTTTTTTAAAATCATCTAGTTTATTTAAGTCATTATTTATTACACAAACTGAGAAAAGATCATAAATTGGTCTCATTTTTTCTTTTCCTGAAACTTTTTAGCTGAGATCAAATTGAGTAATTTTGAAATCTATAAATTTGTTGATTTTTCCTCTGTTTTCTTTTGTGAAAGAAAATCTATTTTAAATAAATATTTACTGACTTTTCAATTATATTTTTAATTACCTTTTTAAATGGATAATCAGAATGTTAGGAGTCTTCCATAAATCTATTTTTTTTGTTGAGGGCGTTCTTTTTTTACATGAAGTGCAAAGCCACCATTCACTTTTATCAAGCTTTTCTTCTTTTGTGAATTCCTCAATGCAATCTTCAATAGATATTATGCCTTTGGATTAATTCTTGTCTTGTTATGGAATTGGAACACTCAAATACATAAAAGTATCGAATTTGTGGGAAACAGTTTCACAAACTAAACACTTTAGTGTTGATTTAAGTTGTCCTTGAAAGAGATCTACTACTATAGATTTATTTCTAAGAAGATAATTTTTCCAGGATTCAGCTGCATATGTTTCATATTGATCACTTTAATAATCTTTATCTTCAATTGCAGGTTTCTTTTTGACTCTATTTAAATCCTTTTTATAAAGAAAAATACTTGTAGCTGACACAATTAATTTAAATAATCTCTATTTCTTTACTTCGTGCAGTAAATCAAGTAGAAATATCAAAAATTCTTGAGAATCTTATTGTGAACCATCACCAAATATTGCAGAAAACTACTATATAGTATTTAAAAATACTTTTGGCACAATGTATTTATTGTTTTGACACCATATCATGCTATTATTTCAATAAAAATCAATAAATTACTCCCATAAATTGCATTGTTAAACAAACTATTTAATTAATTACTTCACTAAATCAGCAAAAGCATAAGTTACTTTACCTTTAGATCCAAGTGGATTATTTGTATTAACCTCTTAATTATGTAAATCACTCAAGAAATAATCCATTAGGGGTTAAACATTCAGAAGACATTAAAGAGCTATTAAATTATTTTAATGAAACTGAGTTATTTTAAAGCTCTCAAAATGAACTTTTAGTTTCTATTTGAAATATTTTACCTGAATTGATAAAACAAGTATTTCCTAAATTTGATATACCGACCAAACCCAGAGGATCTTAGTCTGTTAATTCATTATATCTCTGCTTACTCTGATGTATATCGTTTGGGATCTGACAATAATCTATCTGTTAAAAAAATACAAAATCAATAAATCATTTTGTCCATAATTTCTAAACATCTATTTACATTCAGCTTATTTTCTCTCTTCAAAGGTGATTTTACATTTTCTACAAACTGTTTATTGCTATTTTTCCTCAATGATGATTTCCTCAAGTCTTCAGTTGCAAATACTAAAAATAAATTAAAAAAAGCTTGAAATCCATATATGAATTGCTTTAAAAATATCTTAATATTTAACAATCTATATATTTTGTATCTAATAAATTATGATACTTTATTAACTTTTAATGCCGCAGATGCCCATAAAATTTAATCCTCCTTTTAAAATCCAATTCGTTCAAATACTTTTGTATGTTCCTAATATAATCGATTTGCTACTTAGTTAGTTAGTCAGTAAATGATTTAAAAAAAGCAATCGAATTTTGGCTTGTCTGTCTAACTAAATATTGCAAAATTTTAGTTTTGATAATTGATTATTTAATTGATCTGATTTTAAGAAACAATTACTTTTTACCAATAAAATTAGAGATTTAATTAATAGGAATAATTTGCAAACACAATCAATCGATTAGTATTTACTTTTTAATAATTAAATCCAAACGCTTTTCTCTAATGTTATAACAAAAGTATTACTGCAAAATGCATTCATAACATATTAATTATACTTTCCTAATTAGTAATATGTATTAAATCAATGTAAACAAAATTTTACATAAACCACTCTTTATTAAAATAACTCATTTACCAAATTCCATTATTTTAATTAATTTATTTGTTTGTTCACCCTTAACTTCGACTTAGAATTCAGCTTTTAAATTATTATTTAAGTATTAAAAAATTTTTTATTTATTTTAATAGGTTTGTCTCAAGTCATATCTTACTTAAAAATATAAGTATAAATCATATTTCTTTATTTCATTACTAGCTTTTTACATCAAATAAAATTTTTAAAGCATTTATTCTCAATTAATTTGTCATTAATTAAACAGAACACTAGATATCAAAATTATCTTACTAAAAATGGTCATCCTTTTGTTTTTACAGATATATACAAAAAATACAAAAAGTTTGATTTTTTGGTATATATTTAAATACTTATATGAATTTCTATAAATAAATATGACAAAAAAAGTTCCTAACATATATTTTAAGCTTGAATTTTTAATTATTATAAACATTTTTTAACATTAATAGATACTTATTAAAAAACGATAAATTAATTTTATTTTATTTAACTTTAAATATTTTTTGAATATCTTTTTAAATTAAAATTTATTATTATTATTTTTTTAAAATTTGTAAACAAATCTATTTTTTATCTTTTAGTTTAAATTCCAATAGAATTATTGATTTATTTTATTTAGCTTGTTTAATAATATTATTATTTTATTAGCAAAAATATTTTTTTTTCTCATAAAAATATTAGTTTTTTTAAAAATTTTATCTTTTTGTAGTGTTAATTATCATAAAATGATTTAATTTTGTTTGAAAATAGAGCTTGTTTAATTTAAATTTGTTTTGAAATAATTTGAGAAGTTAAAATATATTCAAGAATTAACTATTTCTATAGTTAAACAATATATTTATTTCTAAATATAAAATTTACTGTATTTATATGATTACAACAATTTAAGAAATTGTAAAAATCCTTATTTATTAGATACTTAAGTGTTTCATATTAACAAAAAATGATTAATTAACTTTATAAATAAACTTTTGGATTAAATTTTCATCCTTTTAATTTAAACTGTTGGTAAAAAATTTATAAAGAATTAAGTTAATATTTTTAAATTATTTTTTTCTGTTTAAAAAATATATTCAAAATAAAGGTAAATTATCCTGAAAATATAATTCAATTGTGTTTGATTATTATAAAAAAATGTTTATTTTAAAATAATTAACATCTCCTTTAACATTTCCAAAATAGTCTTAACTTTCTTAAGAAATAAATTTACAAAATCGATAATCATTCATATATAATTAGAAGTTAAATTTTTCAAAATTTTACTTAATATTAAAAGTAATAAAATTTTTTTAATATCTTTTGATATTAAATTATTTAAAAAAATTTAATTTTAAAATAAATAAATAATTATTCACAGACTTTAGGATAAATTTTAGGTGATATTTTAAAGTTTTTAAAAAATTAAACTATTAAGTGCTATTTTATCAAGTATAAAGCTATTTGTACTCATAAAACAAATCTATATAAGCAATCTTTAAAAATAATTTCAATTATTAATTAAAACTGTTTAGTTTAATAAAATTATGAAAAAAATTGAAATAATTTGAAAGAGAACAATTTTAATAAAGAACATATTTATTGGTTGATTTAAATATATATTAGTTTTTTAAGATATGGGAGAGTATTATATTAATAAATTAAATCATAATTATGTATTAAAATTTTTATGAACGTATTTTATAAAGTATTTATCAGTTTTTTATTAAATTAATTGCTAATATTAAAAATAAGTCAAAGTTACTATATTTTTAATAGTAAATCAGCGTAATATATATTATCTGCAATGTAATTTGTGTTTTAAAAACAATAAAATATATCCCTTTACCCAATTTAACTCTCAATCAATAATTTAAATAATGTAATAATTTCTAATATATAATTCATTCAATTTGATAGCAAAAGCTTTTAAATTTTTTAGTAAAAACATAATTTAGAAGAAAGTTAAAATTCGTATTGGTTATTTGTATAAATAATATTTTTTTAATGTTAAATTAGCTTTAAAATTTTACATATTTTTTAAAGGAAAAAAAAAATATTTAATTGATAAAGAAAAAGGAATTTTTAAGTTTTGATATTAATTATAAAATTTAATCTTCTAGGAAATAAATAGATAGTAAATTAATTAATTTTGTTCTAGGACTAGTCCTTAAAGTGAGGGAAAATTGAGTAAAAGTAGTAATTGGCTTATTTTCTTCCTCAAAATAAGTAATTAAATTAAATAATTTGGCCTATACAAAAAATAAGTAAGCTAAGTTTTCAGAGTTATTAAATGGAAAAGACTAAAAAATAATAAAATGACTAATGAATTTGCTTATAATTAAATGTGTTGAATTGATTGAATGAAAATTTTTCTTTTATATAGTGGATTCTATTACAATCTGAAAAACTTTGTGTTGGGGAGGTTATAACATGAAGAGTTACCAATTATTATTACTTACTGTGTTGTCAGACAGACTTAGGTCTCTATATTTTTATACAGAAAAATAGATAAGCATGAAGGTAAGCAAAAAATAGCTAACTTTGTTAGAGCGAAGAAATTATAAGTTTTTGTAAAATAATTAAAGTTAATTAGAATTCAAAGTATTAATTAATTAATTATTTAATTATATCAGTAGAATAACTAAATTCTCAAAAAGGTTAAGGATAAATTAGCACAAAATAAATTACACAACAAAACACAACACCTAGTTAAAGGATCATAGTGCCGATAAAAATAAACAAAGAATCAAACAATAGGTCAACAAATATAGAAAGATGAAAAACTAGCCTGCAGTTTTAAGTAGCTAAGGGGAGGAGCAAAAGCAAATAAGTTCTACGAAATTAGAAGATGAGCTTGATCCATAGGCCTAGATTGAGCTTGATAAGGAAAAGAAAGAAGCAAGAGAATGGATTAAAAAAAATATAGATACTGATTTGAGATAGAAATATATGCAAAAATTGGGAATCACTAAGAAATCATTCAGTTTTTTGAGTCCTCCAATTGAAGATAAACCTGAAGAATAGGAAATTTAAAAATAGTTAGATGAAAAGTTGAAAGTTGACAAATTATTTGAGTAGGGTGAATATCAAATTACATTTTTTTCACGCTCAGATGATGACGTACGTAAAAGCTACATCAAAAAGTTACAATCCTAAAATATCTTGAAAAACAACTAAGCCTAAAAGCACTAATCATGTAAATTTTATTCAATTATCTTGCAATAACTGATTTTGATTAATTATTTGCTTTAGTGGTCATTTTTGATTGGGATGATACTATTCTATGCACAAATTATTTAAGTCAATATAATTTCGTTGATTTGCCAACAGAAGTGCTCAGATAGCTTAGCAATTTAGATAACTCAGCAGTAATTAAAAGCATATTATAAATTTTAACTATTTTTACTACTTGAAATCTTAACAATTTCTTATTTTTGCTAACTCCCTCTTAAAATAATTTAAAATTAGAGTAAACTCCTTAGAAAAGCGCTTAACTATGGTAACACCTACATAGTTACAAATGCAGCCAAAGGTTGGGTTGAATATAGTAGCAAACTGTAATAACTCAAATTAGAAATTATTTTATTTCAATTTTATTGAAATTATTTATAAAAAATAAGCTTTTTGCCAAGAGTTAATGCAGTCATTCAAGAAAATGTCATTACAGTAATATCAGCAAGAAGTGAATACGAAGATATTTTCCCAGGCGATTGCTATAAATGGAAGATAGAAGCATTCAAAGACTTGAAGAAAAACTATGATGAAGATGTAAAATTAACTATAAAAAACATGACAATTCGATTTACAATCTTTTTAAATTATTTTAAGCTTATTACAAATTTAATTTGTCTCGGAGATAGCAATATTGAAATAGAAGCAGCACATATATTAGCACAAGGTTTTAACCAGTCACTAATTAAAACAATAAAGTTCAGAGAAAACCCAAAACCAGATGAACTCACTAAACAATAAGATTTAGTTGCAGATAAATTTGAATAAATCTACGTAGGAGTTAGAAACCTGACAATTCGTTTGGAGAGGTAATAAATTCATTTGCTATTTAAAATATTTTTAACTAGATTGAGTTTTTATTTAAATCTTAAAAAAATAGAAGAAACAACTAATCTCCAAATATTTACTGATATAGCTAACAAACTAAATAAATGAGCAATAGTGTTTGCTTAACTCCCTTCCTTCTTTCATACATAAATACCAACATACGCACACAAATTTCTACTATTAAATTATTTTATCAAAGTTCCTAACTGAATCAAAAAAAACGAATAAATCAATACAAGCCAATATAATAAACAACTTAATAAATAAATAAATAAAAAATCAATAAAAATAAAATAAAAAATACATGAGTAAATTAAACATTTCAATCAAACACCTTCTTTTGTATAAAATAATACCAGCCATTAAATAATAAATAAATCAACTCTTTATTGAAACTTTATATTTTATTCAATAAATCAAAAAATATTGAAAGTTAGTCAATATTTAAAATATTTATTCATTCATTCTTGCTCAAGGTTATCTTCATCAAAGTTTAAGAAGCAATTTCAGAAATGAAATCCATTTAAAAGAAATAAATAAATTTATAAATATTTTACATCCTTATATTTTCGTCATTTTTGAATCAAAAAAAATAATACTTATAATTCAAATAGTTATTTAATATTTAAAATAAATATGTCTATCTAATTATCATCACTCGAACTCTATATTTGTGTCTATAATCTATATCAAATTCAAATATAATTCTTATCAAATTTACATTTTTTTTATTCAATAATTCTTTAAATTTTATTTTAATTCAATAAAAATTAAATTTTACTAGCTTTATAATAAAAATTTAATACTTTTAAATTAGAATTTCAAACAAATAATTTTTTCTTATTAATTCCATCTTATATGTTACAAATTTTATTATAAATAAACTTAAAACTTATTGATAAATAAAATATATATTGATTCATAGAATTTTTTTATAACCAAGAACTAAACTAGCATCAATAAAAAACGAAATAAAAATTTTTTAATTTAAAAAATAAAATTTTGGTTTAAATTAACTAAAAAATATTAAATATTATCCATTTTTATTGATAATATTTAACAGAAAAAATTTTCAAAATTTAATATTGATGTTAAAAATAAAAATTATTGATTTAATTTAATTTATTTTTTATTTATTTTTTACTTATTATTATTTAAAAACTAAATTTTAAACAAACCTTTTAAGAAACTTTTTGACTTAAAAATTATTTGTCTATTTCATATTTAATATTACCCTATCAGAATCTTAATTCTATTTTATTTTATAGAAATATAATGTTTTCAATTCAATAATTATCTGTTTAATTTAATAATTAATTGTTCAAATTTTATAAAACTTTTATAGATATAATATACTAATTTTTTATAGTTATTCACACTATTAAAGTTAAAAATGATATTAAACTAAAATTTCTTTATTTTAATAGCTTTCATTAAATATATGATTATACTATCCTTAATTTGATACTTTAATCAATTTCTTCTTGAGTTACAAAGATATTTTCTGTTTGGAGACATGCATTTGCAAATTCATATAAAACTTAATCACTAAAGACGTAGTTAGTATAAGTATCTTATCTTAATATTTTTTATTAGAAAGTTGTATACATCAGCTGCATCCTATAATAATAGATTAGGGAAGCAACAGTTAAATTTACTAAAACAGCTTTTGTATTCTATTTCTATAGTACTTACTAATAAAAAGCTTTACAATATATTTGAAAAGAAATTAGCAATTATAAATAGAATCATACTAGTTATGCTAGTTGTTAAGGTAGCCCAGTTATGTTATTGAAGTCACTTATATGCATGGTATTTAATTTTAGTAATCATGTTTATTGATGCTGTTGAGAGAGGAGCTTATTGAGGGTACAAATATTATTATTATTAATTAAAATCCTGAGTCATAGAAATAATTTAAATAAGTTCTTAATCTAAGTTTTTAGATTTTTGTTTCAATTTATTTTTTAGTTTTTAATTAATTGCAACATTTTGAAATTAATAAAAAGTTATTTTGCCAAAAATAAATTTTAAATTGCAAATTTTTTGCCTTTAATGTCGCTTATTAAAAGATGAGATCATTTTTCAACTAAATCCATTAATTAAAATACGCTTTCAAAATCATTAATTTATTTTTTCAGAAAAAATATTGTAATTAATAATGCGTAATATTTTGTGTGTTTCTCTAAATATCTTTTTGAATTATAATTAAATAAACGCTTAATTGATTAGATTTCGTTTAAAAAGCACACATTTTTTGTAAGCTAAATAAATTTTTGTTTAAAAAATAGACCACACAAATATGAATTTTATTGTAGAATTCAAATATATTGATTGCTTAAAACTTTTGTTTTATAATTACATTTATCAAGTTATTGATTTATACTTATTTTTATATTCTACATCGTTCTTAATTTTTTTAGATAAATGATAATCTATCTTTTACAAAGAATATGTAAAATAATTTATTAAACCTTAATTATAAATTGTAATAGTTAATAGTAATCCTATTTTCTTTATTTTTTAAAAATATTTCTTTATTGCTTCAACGTTTTCCTTAAATAGATTATTAAAACAATTAAACTTAAAGAGAAATTTGTAAAATCAAGACAATTAGTCTTGTAATTACTAATAATGAAAAAACATCTTACTTTGATTAATTGTAAATATTTCTTTTATTTAAAAATAAATTGAATTAATATCTCAAATCAAATCTTTTTTTTAGAAAAAATTTTGAAAAAAACAGCTGTTTTCTAAAATTATTAAGTCTGATGGGAATTACATTAAAAATTATTTATTATTTTTAAACAAAAATTATATAATAAATAAATGAATCAATTGTGATTTATCAATTTTTAGAACAGAAATACAACTAAAATTAAAAATTTGATTGGATTTTTAAGAAATCTTTTTTATTATCTAACTTGGTATAATAAAAAACTATGCTTACTGTAATCAAATACAAATGATTACGTATTAATTATTGATGAAATCTAAATAAACTCTTTTCTCTAACGAAAATACTTCTTTTTAAAAAATTCTAGATAGATAATAAAAAAATTATTTACTTCATTTAGAAATAAATAGGCACACCATATTTATTTTTTATGAATACTCTATAATTTAATGTAATAAAAATAGTTTTTATTAAAATTATTTTGTTGCAATTTTATTCAAATAAAATACAAATTTTATTAGAATTTTACATATTTCTTGCAGATAATAAATTAATACATTATTTACATTACTTAAATTAATTATATTTTATTATTTTAATGATATTTTCTATTATAAATTCATTTTTTTAGTAATTTATTTCAACTGAATGGTCTATACTCACATACACCAATAACATTGTGGCACTTAGGGCAAGAATGAATTTTGTCTTGGCAATTTTTGTTAAAAAGGGGAATACAGCAGCAACATCCCACAAAAATTGTTAAAAGAAAGCAGCAACAAAAGGTACCTTGTCCACGCTTATATGTTAATTCAGTTGTGACCTTTTCCTAGCAGCTATTACAGTTTACTTAAACAGGGTGAGGTGTGATTTGGCATATTTAAGTTGAGTCAAGCTTAATAATCTAGATATTAACTAATTGCTAACCTTGCATAGGTATCGGCTACATTTAAACAGCAGGCATGTAATTCTAATTGTCATTTTTAATTGACATAGCAGGTAGAGGAGCTTGTGGAGGGTAAGGATATTATTGCTATTATGGGTCTTACATTTTAAATATTAGTAGAAAGTTTTTTATTAAGTTTTTAGACTGTTTTTATTACAATTTAATTTTTGATTTTTTATTAATTATAAAATTTATAAAGACAAAAAATCATGTAAAAATATACTTTATTTTTTTGCAATTTGTGTTCCCCATTAATAATTTAAAAAGAAATATCTATTTTTGATTTATTCGTCTATAATTAATTACGTTTGCATCATATTTTACTTTATTTTAACAACAAAATAATAATAATCAAAGCTAATTAGATGTAAATTTTGATGCATACCATACAAATTTTTTAATTATTCAATCAAATTAATAAAAAAACGCTAAATTAAAATTAAATCTATTTTTAAAGACACTTAAAAGCAAAGACAAAAAAAATATTAGTTAGAGAGATAGACAAAAGTTTATTTGAATTAATCAATAAGTTAATAAATGATTTTTTGGAGCCAATTAAAAATTTGTCTATAATATTATAAAATATATCCTTTATTCACAAATAAACTTATTATACAAATTATTTTAGCTAAATTACACTAAGCTAATAATTTTAAATTATTTAAATATTAATCAATTTATTAAAATTCCTTCAACTAATTTACTAAGATTCTTAATAATTTTGCGAGAAAAAAAAATGTAAAATTAATTAATTTAGACAAAAAAGTAAAAAAAAATTAAACACAATTAATTTCTAAAAATCAATATCAAAACCTTTTAATTAAAATAAAAAATGATATATTTAATTAACAATGGAGAAGTTTATTAAGGTAAAAAAATCATTTTTATTGAAAATACTATTTTAAAAATCCCTTTAAGATTAATTAATAATTTTATTAATCATCAATTTCTAAATTGAATTTCAATTTTAAAATTTAAACCAAAAAATGAAAATTCATTAAGTAATAATATTTCTTTAAAGAATCCGTTAATTTTTATAATTTCAACTAAAAAATATAAAAATTTATTAGTTTGATAAAGATTTGAATTATTTATTTTAAAGGTGAATAAAATAAATATATAATTTATCTATTAAGAATACCTTAACTTGTAGAAAATAAGGTTAAAAATATTTTAAAATAATTTCTATCTTTCAAAAATTATTACAAGCATTATAATTGATACATTTTAATGATTAATAAATTATATAATATAAATTTCTTTCAAATTAAAATTAAAACTCTAATTGTATTAAAATACATCTAAAACTTTCAAAATTAATTAATATTTTGTTTTTATAAATTGTTTATGATCTACTTTATTTCTTCTACTTTAATTTTTGTTAATTTTGTAAACCATATTTATGTTAAATTTTTTTAATTTGAGTTAAATTTCTATTTAATAATTTTTGATTATTTTATTTTTTTAAATGTTTTCCGAAAAAATTAATAAAATCAACTTTTGAGATTTGGCAATATTTAACAAAAACATTATTAGAATAATTAAGATTTATCAAATTACTGCAAATTATAGAAGAGTTATTTAAATATAAATGCATGCTAATTATTTAAGTTTTGATATTTAAATTAAAAAATAATTATACATTTTTATATTTATTGTGATTTTATTATAAAAATAAATGTAAAATATTATCAATGTATAGGTAGGCTTTTAAGGTCTTTTATTATTTAAATCTTAAAAAGAGAAGTACTTGATTAAATATTATTAAAAATACCTAAACAATTAATTTATGTTTGCAGTTGCTTTTTAAGTAAAGAAAAACTATCTAACATAAATTGTAAAATGCATATCTAATTTTTAATTTTTGTTTATCAATAAATCTTATTTTGTAATTTAATTTAGAAAGATTTTTATTAAATTCATGAATTCCCTTGAAAATATTAGAAATCGAGAGAAATAAACTCATTTATTTTATTTAAATGAATGATAGAACAAAAAAAAGCAAAAACAAAAATGATAAGAAAAGCATAAATTTAATAACTTTAAATTAACAAATATTTTTTGAATAAAAAAAATTAATTGATAGCTTTAAAAGTAAATTAAAATTTTTGTTTACTATTTTGCTATAAATTTATTAGTTAAATAATGATATTTGAAGAGAAAATACAATAAAATATTTATTGACTCATAATTGTCAATCATGATATTTGGTTTAGTTTTGATTATTTTTGAATGTTAATGAAGAGAAATAAGTAGCAAGCAAGCAAGCAAACTATCAATGAATCAAATAAATAAATTAACATTTAGATTAATTTATTTATATTTGTATATAGAATTTTAATATTTTTGTTAAGAGTGAATAGATAGATAAATAGGTTTTGGGTGCAGTTGATGATTTGATTAATTAAATAATAATTAAAAAATTTCATATTATAGTTTGATTTGATTAGATTAATTAACACATACAAAAAAGATAAGTTAAAAAAAACTTGCAAATTTCAATCAATCAATCATTAGGTAGAGAAAGACTTGCATTGGGTACCTTTAGTTTTTTTCTTTCAGAGAGACTCCCATCATTAAATCTACTTTGCAAAATTAGTGCTGAAATGCATTTTAAAAATATATAGATTTCAAATGATACAAAGCAAGTTATTCAGGGCAGCGTAATTGAATGCAGAGAAGAAAACATATTTGCATGATTGCAAGCCTATTATTTGTGATAAAAGCTAGATTATCTCTTATTGGGAATCACTTTCTTTGCATGAAAAGGAGAAAATATTCATGGTATATGACCTCAACATTATAGATGAGCTTGTCGAAATTCTCAACATAGCCAGGACTAGAATAGCTTCCACTGTAAAATTTATTTTGCTTTATTCATCTTTCTAGTTTTTGAAGAGTTTTTTACCTTTTTAGCTGTTTCATGCCTACCAAACTAAATACTTACTTAACTCTTTTGATTTATTACTTTTCCCTCTTTATATGAAATTTGTATGAATAAGGATAAAAATAAATAGTTTATTTATTGCATTCCTACTAATAACTCAAAAAAAGTTTCCATTTTTTAGGGCTTACTTATTAGATAAAAGTTATAGCTCAATCACACAAGTTTCCTTAAATAAATAAATTAATTTTTGTAGTATAATTAAATTAGATTTTTAATTTTCGACTCATTTATTACAGTTTTTAGCAATGAATTATAAGGAATATTATTCAGCTATTACGAAAGTAGAAAATAGGCCAATAAATGTTTTTTTTTGAAACTAGCTTCTTTATTTAAAAGGCATAGCAGTTTTAGTATATAGTTTTAAATTAGGAAAGCGAATTTGAATTAGTAGTAATTACAAATTTCAGCAAACCAATTAGTTTTTAGCCATATTTACATGAAAATCGAGGGAGAAAGTAGAGTTTTTGCATATGCCCTGTGAATAAGTTTAAATATTAGGAAAATTGAATAAAGATTAAAATGTTTTTCAAAGCAAGAAATTTTTATAATTCATCACAATTAGGAATTTGAGCGAAAGAGTGGATAGATCATAAAAATGCCAGAGAAAACTATTTTACTTGAGTACCTTTACTTCGATGCACTGGAAATATATTTTAAAGAAGAGTTCTTAACCAAAAAGTTTATAAAGTCTCTTTGTCTTATATTTAACAAGGTCACCAATGATGTTTATCAGAAATACCTCGAGGATTTAAACATACCTCAGTGTACTGACTCTAGTCTTATTTAAGCAAAGAAGAAAGTTCTTAAATTTAAAATAAAATCTCTAATATCTTTATTAGACATATTAGATGTATTTGTTGACTCTTTTTGTAATGGAGAAAAGGTCATAATCAAAAAGCGTCACTATACTACTTTATATCAATAATTAGTAAAGAACCCACTAACTAAAAACCCTTCAAGTGACGAAATACGCTAGAAAATAAGAGAAATCACTGAACTTTTAAGCATCATGCTTGAAAATAATTTGATAAAAGCTTACAAAAAGGCAACAAAATATTACTCTAAACCCAAAAAAGAACAGCAATATAAAAACTAATCTTCTTCTAGTTCGGCCAAAGTGAGCATTATTATTTAGCACCAAACAAATGTGACAAATTCTAATTAGCTTAATTCATAAACAGAAAAAGTAAAAATAGAAGGTAACAAAGAGAATAATAGCAGTCTTAATATCACTGAAAATTAAACAACTAAAGAAGAATTATTATAAAGTAAAAAAACTTAGTAATAAATTACACCAAATCGTAATTTGTAAGAAATTAATGCTGAAAAGGAAGAGAAAGCTGCTATTGATCAAATAAAAACTGATGAATAATTAGAAGTAGTGGATAAAAATTAATCAGAAACCATATTAGTTGAGTAAAATAATTAAACCAAATAGCAAAGCAGCAATCCAATTCAAAAGGTTTCCGTATAAGAAACCTAAGAGGTTTATTCTAGCAATTAACTTGAACAAGAAGATATTGGTCACTAAAATTTAAAAGAAGAGTCCAAAAAAGAGTTATTAAGTGAAGTTGAGAATTAGATGACAGGAGTAAATGTTTTATCTGAAAGCAATATGAACAGTACTGCTCATGAACTTAGTACAAAAAATGATATTACTAATTTAACAGAAGAAAAATAAACTTTAGCAAGCAATAGTAAGAATGGTGCAAGTGAAATAAAAGATGAAATTATTGATAATATTAATATTTAAAATAAGAAATCTTAAGATTATTAAAATATTTCATTAAACGATATAATAAATAAACAGAAAAATGAATGTATGATGGAAATAGAAAATTATGATATCTATCAACTAGAAGACGAAGAAGATAAATACTCATTTAGCAGTAATAAGAAAATCAACAAAGTTTTTCAAGAAGATGGATTTTACCATAATTTAAATGACAACAAAATAGGGTCTCTCTCTAGCTCTCCTCAATTTGCTAAGCTATCCTAGGATGAAATTGACCAAGATAATTCTGATTATAAAAAAGGCTCATAAAAGAAAAGAAATATTAAAAAATACCTCTAGAGTGAAGTAGAACCTATAAGCAAGAAATTATGCATGGTAAACCTAAATAGCTTGATAATAAAACTTGAGAACGATGGGAACAATGAATAATCATCTATCTTTGACAGTGATGAAGAATACTATGAACCAGATGAAAAAGAGAATTTCCACTACAATTAAGAGCTAAAAGACTATGATATTGTTGATGTACTAGGCGATAACTTTAAGTTTGATCCTAAATTCTGCTTAAGCAAAGATAAAATTAATTAATTGCTTCTTTAGTCTCAATAATAACAACAATAATTCTTTACTCACAATACTATTGCTCCAAATATCTAAATCTAGTAATAATAGCCTGCTATTTCTTCTTCAGGGAAAAAATAATTGAACCAAAATTACGACTATTAAAAAAGCATATATTCAGACGATTCTAATGATGAGTCTCAACATAATGACAATTTCAACAATAAAGGTAAATACTACGGGCACAATAATTAACACAAAGGAAGATAATAGCCCTAGTAAAATTACTTAATGCAAGACCAAATGAATCACATGATGCACAATTTTCCATTTTAGATGCATACAAATTAATACCCTCAGATGCCTTTATACTTTATATTCAATCAAAATATGATGAACCCCTAATAGTAAATACCTTAGTAAAATAATAAATATAAAAGTTCAAATAAGCATCCAAGAAATGCAAATAACAACAGTAATTCTAATTCAATGAGTAATTAAAGTAATAGTAATAATCATGTAATCCATACCAATCCAAACAATCTAGTCAGCTCTAATAGAAAGAATAATTAACAAAGCAGTGATTATCATGGAAACCAATTAATTAACAATAATATCAACCATACTTAAAATCCTAACAGCGGATAGTATATATTCTCAAATAAGGGCCAGAGAAACAATAATAATTCTAATAGTAACACCAATTAATAATCTCATTCAACTCACAATAGCAACAGTGGTTAAGGATTTAGAAGCAAAAAGAGATTTAATACAAAAGGAAATAATTAATGAGCTAATATAAATAAATTTAAATTATTCATTAATTTTTTCCTATTTAGCATATTTAAGATTAAATAATTACCTAGATAGATGGCTGGTTGACTCCTTTTAAAATGATTAAAACATTTATCATTCATCCACCCATTCACCCATGCATACATACATCATAAATGCAGAAGTTTATTCAAAGATATCAAATCTTTACTTATTTTTTTAAACTTTCCTAACAAATATATATCAAAAATAAATTTACTTATATATTACCAATCTTATCATATTTTATATTTTATGCTCTTATTTCTTTATACTTTCTTCTTAACTTGTTTTAACTATTGTTCTTTTAATCTATCGATCTAATTACTTATCTATCTATCTATCCTTTATTCCTTAATCTTTAATGAAGTCATCTTGAGTGTATTATTTTTATTTTCATAAATATTATCCTTCTAAATACAATTTTTTTATTAAAAAGTTTAAATTAAATTATGATTTGTTTAGAAGTACAAATTTGCTAATTTTAAACTTTATAATATCAACTTTTCAAAATTTTTATATTTATTTAGTACTTTTTTCAATACTCGAATATTTCCAAATACTCAAGTTTAAAATACCCCAAAAACTGAGTCAAGTAAAATTAAAAGCCCTTTAAATTTGAAAATCTTTTTGGAAAACGAGAAGACTTAAATTAAAATAATTATAGTATATTCATTAATTTAATTTTTTATAAAAACTTATGATTTTAATATTATTGTTTATAGTCTTTCTTAATATAATTTAAAATTTAATTATTTAAAGTTAACAATACATATTTAGAAGTATAAATTTATGAATAAAACAAAGTTAAAAGAAGGTTTGATAAAGAATTTAAGAGAGCTATCAATAAAACGATTTGGATTTTTTATTTGCTATAAAATTTATACAAATAAATTAATTATTGATTATAGAATGAATATACAACAAAAATATTTATTTAAATTTAAAACAAAATGTTTTAAGTCATGCTTCATATGATTATCTGTTATTTTGTTATTGAGAGTTATTGGTTCCACTTCTATCGTGATTACTATTTTAGATTTAGACTTAATTATGGCTTAATTACTGATCGTTTTCTTCCATACCATTTTCACTTACAATATCAAACTTATCAATTTTTCTATCGAATTAATCCCAATCAGGATTTTTTTTGTAGAATCTTTCTTTATTATATCTTAAGAAATAGATGGCAAAGGCAGAGAAAAGTACTCCCCAGAAGGCACCCCAACTAGAGACTTTATCCATAATTGTGTCATAAACTACTTCATTTTATACTACATCCTTTTAAGTTAGTTTAAAATAATATTGTTATCATATTACAAGTAAAAAATAAATTAATTACTTCTGCTAATCTAGTCCAAACTTAAAAGGCATATTATGATGGCATTTTACCAGAGGTAGAAGGGTCTGTTACTTGGTCATTTGGTGCAACATCTGAAACATAATTATATTAGTTTACTATTTCTAAAGTATTACTCTTTTCATGGGTAAAACGAGTTGCATAATCAGGATATCTGTCTACTTCTCCATACTAATAAACGATTTCTGCTCTGTTATACAAACCAGGTACTATAAAGAAATAGAATTAGTAGAATTGGTTATCGCTGGTATCAACACTTTTTCCAGAAGCATAGTTGACTGAGGGTTTCTTCTTGAAGTAAGTGAAAAGTCTTCCACCTTTTTTTTTTTTTTTTGTAAAAAAAAAGGATTAAAATGTTTAGTTTGTTTAATTAATTTGAATGAAATTAATATTATTCATATCAAATTAAATTTAATTCCTGACCAGAAAAAATTACTAAAAAAAGACTTGATTATGTGAGTAAAAAATTTAATTTCATTCATTTAAAAAACTATTTTTAAAAGAATTTTATGTTTTACCTGCAAATAATTAGTTGATTGCATCTTGAGAGGCACATACTTTTTATGTGGTATTTCTGCAAGTGTAGAGAGTAAAACTAGGGAATTAGTGGATCTGTGAAGTATACAATAAACCTTACATTTAGAGATCATCACCTTTTTCGTAGTAAGGAGTAAGGATGGTAAAATTTTGACTAATCCTATAATATTTATTAAAATTAATTAATTATAAGAATACTGAAATAATATTTACCAATCAGGATCCTCAAGTTACAAGTAGAGATCTCTTGAGGCTTCAGTAAATCCTTGGGTGTCAACATCATAATATTTTATCTTTCTCTTACCAACAATTTCAAAATATGAAGTATCATTGTTATATCTGAAGTCATTTAATTCTTTACCACTTAAAAAACCAATAGCCAGATCAGGATTGTTAATAACTAAGTTGTAATCAAGAGGTACAGAATATTAATTAATTCTTGGTGCATTATTAGTGAAAAAAGATATTAATGAGAAAATAAGATATCCTAAAAAAATGACTATCAATGATAATGAACCAATAACTGAACGCTTAGTTGATACTTCTTCTGTTTTTGGAACAGGAAGAAAAGCGAAAATATCTATTGCATGCAGACACTTATTTCTTACAGCTTATCTATCAGAAACACCATTTAATGGATCCTACATTTTTTCAGATTATTTTAATTATTTATTTTATAATTTGCTTGTTTGTAAGCAATATCCTTTAATTTTCAATCTACTTCTTTTAATGATTTTTGTAGTATAAATAATGTTTATCAACTTAACTTACCTTTTGATTATTATTAATTTTTTGTTTGCTATTCATTTTAGAAGGATGAATATCTAAAATCAATAAATTAATTAATTAATTAATTAATCTATCTATCTATTTTTATGGTAATATTTTTTAATCGGGGCATTCATTACCCTTTATCATTTCAAGCAATCAATAAATTAAAATTGATGTCAAAATAATAATTATAATCAGATTATTTTTAATTGCTATAATTTTGATATTTCGTATCTCTCTTCTTGGCTTGCTTTTAATACTACAAGCAAATTTTATCTATGTACTTTTAAAATTAACAATTTTTGCCTTACAACAAATTAATTATCTTTTTATTTTTTTCACTTTTTATCATAAATACTGCATTTTAAAAACATATTTTTCAATTCTTTTAAATTAATTGTAATCTTTTACCAAAATCTGGCTCTACAAAAATATTATTTCTTCTATAACTAATTTATCTACTAGAAAAAAATAAAAAATAAATATCTTTTATTTTTAAGTATTTTGACTTTGAGTATTTAGTATTTTTACTTTCTTCAATAAATTATTAAAATTTATTTATTAAGAAAGTAATCAATTTATTGAGAAGCATATTTATTTTTCAATCAAAAATTTTAAAACACTAAACTAAAAATAAAATAATAAAATTGCATACTTTTATTGGTTTATTTCTCAATTAATTATTAAATTAAAAAGGCTATGTCATTAATTTTTTTTACTTATTAACTAAAACTACTTCAAAAAATATGTCAAGTTAAATAAATATGATTTGTTGCTAAGGTAAGTAAATATTAAATTGATTTGATATTTATTTTTTTTATATATATAGAATAATACTAATATTTTTAAAATAAAATGTCAAAGCTTGATAAATAGAAAATTTTGATATTATTTACCTAAAATGAATGAATGAGAAAAAATATAAATTATTATTGATAGATATCAATATTTTAATAATCTAATATTGAATTTCTCTATCTCTAAAATCCAATTTTTGGGCACAGCTCAAGAGAAAAATCTAATTCTTTCTTATTTTTCTGTTAAAATATATATTAAAGATTAAAAATAAATGTTAGGTTATTTTAAACTTAATTTTAGAATAAACTTAAAACTAAAAATAGTAAATAAAAAATACTTGTGAAGTCAGTTTTAGTTAATTTTATAATATTTATATCTTTAAAAATTTTTAGGGTTTTACTTATTTGCTCTAGATTATTTAAATAAGCTAAAAATAGTTGTCAGTATTTTAAATTATTTATTTATTTTTAAATTTTCAAAATAATTAATAAATATTAAATGATCAAATAATATTTTAAAGTTTCATTCTTAAGGTCTATAAAAGTTAAATTATTGAATATGCTGCATTTATATTCCAGTAATAGTTTATTAAATTATTAGATTGCTTTTGCACTTTTTAGTGTTATGAGATACACATGTTTTAGTAATTATGTATTTATTTTCAAATTAAAAAAATGTTTTAGCAAAAATATTTATAGATTTATTAAATATAAAATGGTTTTTAAAATTTTTAGAAAATTCTAGTTAAGCAATAATAAATATTTTTTAAAACTTTTACCTGTAAATTGCTTTTAAAATTATTTTTTTAATAAATAATTATTTAATAAAATATAAAAAAAATTATGATTTTCACTTTTTATCATATTAAGAACATTTAATATATTTTATTTCCTTTTTTATAAACTAATTGCTACTTAATTTCAAGAAAAAAGAACTATTTTTGTGAAAACAAGTTATTTTATCATAATATTTAGAATATATTTAAAACATTAATTAAATAGAAGATATGAAGATATTTGTTTCTTTTCAATAATCTTGATTATTCACAAATTTAAAACTTATGAAATAAGGATTTTTAATTTGAAACAAAAAAATTTAAATTTTCTAAAATCAAAATATCATTAATTTCAAGATAGAATTTTTAAAACAAATCCATCCGTAAAATCTTCAAACTCAAAATAAATATAATAATATTTTATTTTAAAATAAGATTTTTAAGAATAACAGATAAATATAAATTAAACAATTTGTAGAATAAGTTTATTTATAATAAAAACACCATGCTTTAAATTAAGATTGAAGGGCTTAGATGTTTGTAGTTAAGATTTATATCCCAAATAGATCTAATAATAGACTGAGAAAAGTGATGATTAAAAAATTAGTTTTAAAAATTTTAATATGACAGATTATTTAAAAACATCACATTAATAATTATAATATTTTCATATTAATAGAATATAAAATTGATAATTTGCTTGCTTTTATTATGTTTAAATGTTTTTTATGTTGATTTACTTAGATTCTCTTGGTTCGAAATAATAGCAACAAGGATGATTTAAGTTATTGTTTATGCAAATTATTATGGAATATAATTCTAAATTTAATAAATTTTAACATGAAACTTTTTTTTTCATTTGTTCCTAATTTAGCTAGCTCAGAATGTAAAGAATGTATGATTATCAGGTTAATCCATTTATTAGATAATAATTCAAAAAATGTGATAATAATTGATAGAAAGAAAAGATTATTGATAGAATCCTAAGATAAATTCATTTACTTGAGCTTAGTAGTCAATAAATCTGATAATTTATTGTGATAACAATTAATTAAATAAAATTATATATCAATTGCATAATTTTTTTCTTCAAAAGAGAAAAGAGGGAGAAATAAATAAGAGAAAAGAAAGAAAGGAAGAATAAAATTGAAGAGATGTCTGAGTATAAGCAAATAGATAAATTCATAGTCTGTACCAACAAGCAATTAGGTTAAGGTGCTTTTGGCTAAGTTGTTAAGGGTTTTTTGAAAGATAACCATGCTTAACAAGTTGCTGTCAAAATTATTTCTTTATAGAAGGTAGCCTCAGAGAGCAATTTTATTAAGTTATTGAGAAGAGAAATTGAAATTTTGCAAAAAATTAATCACCCTAATATCGTAAAGTTGCACTACGCCACAAGAACAACAAATAATTTGTATATGTTTTTAGAATATTGTGCTGATGGAGATCTTAAAAAGCTTCTTGAAAAGCGTGGCGGTAAGCTTCCTGAGAGTGAAGCTGTGTAATACTTCAGATAGATTTGCGAAGGATTCAAGGAATTATATAAAAATAACATCATCCATAGAGATATTAAACCAGCTAATATCTTGTTGCACAAAGGAGTTGCCCATATTACAGATTTTGGTTTTGCAAGAACCCTTGATTGCTCAGGAATGAATAATCAACTTAAAATGACTTACTTAGGTAAAATTATATTCTTTATTTCTTATTAATTAACCAATTAAATTTTTTAGTTGCAATCAGTCTACTTGCTAATTGCTTGTCTGCTTGCTTTAAATAATAATAAAACAAAACAAAAAAAACACTGTGATAAATATAAAATCAAGTTTTTTTATTTGAACATAAATTATAACTATAGTATCATAATTTATTTTTTCTATAAAATTTCTAATAATTAAAGCATTTAAGCAAATAAATACATAACATGGCTTAATTAACTACTTTATTCTTAATATGTTTTTTAGCAAGTCTTCATAAATATTAGTTGAACTATGCTCATAAATTAGAGTTTTGCTCCTAAATCAATATAATTTTAGGAAATAGTTTAGACTGCATTCAATTTGAAAAATCCTCACTTAATTTATCTTTTTTAGGAGGATTGTGTGATTTAAAATTAATAATAAACATTTTAAATTAATTTAAAAAGGTACTCCCCTTTACATGTCTCCTTAGATATTGGCTGAAGAATATTTCTCTAGTAAATGTGATATTTGGTCTTTGGGAATGATGTTTTACGAGCTCCTCTACGGAAGAACTCCTTGGACTGGTAAAACCCCAAATGAGTTGCTTGAGAATATCAGAAAGAAACCTCTAGAGTTCCCTGAGCAACCTCCTCGCTCTGAAATTGTAAAGGACATGCTTCGCAGAATGCTTGTCTACGAGGATTCAGAAAGAATTAGTTGGGATGAGCTATTTTAACACAAAATCATTAAGTTTGATAACGAAGAAGTAACTAGACATCTTGCAGAAATAGAATTAGAATCAAATGCTTTGTATAAATCAGCAGCTAGAAACGAGTATTATGTTAATAATATCAGAGTTGTAGGTGTAGATAAAAAGATGCAAATAAATGCCTTCAACACTGATAAGGACAATCTCATGGAGCTCACTACTGTTGGCGAAGATAACAGTACCTCCGAATTGCAAGTTAAAGAAGTAATTTTTAGAATTTAAAATTTAGTCGGTTACATATTTGTGTTTATCAAAAGATATCCCTAAAAAAATAAGAATATTTTAGTTTCTATAAAAATTAGAGTTACTTTTAAAATAATTAATCATTTTTTCATAAAATTATATAGTCTAGCGATAAGATAAATATGGAAAAGGTAGCAGAAATATAGAGACAATAGAAATAACGTAGAGATCAAATAATGAAGATCGATTCTTACTTAACTTTCGATCGTAACTTAGGAATATTTGTCAACTTTACAACTAACATGATCTTCAAGCTTTACAAAGAACAAGTTCTTAAAATGCCTGAAGATCTTTTTTATAGAATTATATTCTTGCTATAGAAAAATCAACTGATTGGCTTCTAATACTTGATTGACTGCATGATGGATAAGACATAATAGAGTAAATTCCCAGCCGAGCACTGGAAGAATTATATCTCATCCAAAGAGTATTAAGAAACACTTTAAATGATACGCTAAGACATACAATATGTCAAGCCATATTTCTAGGAAGTTTATGTAAGAGCTGCTAACTTCTTGCAAAAGATAGAAAACTCACCTAAAATTAAGGAATTCTTCAGCATATTAAACCAAGAATTAAACATGAATGACCAAAACTTCTAAAAAATCCTGAAATCTAATTTGCAAGAATTCATAGATGAAGCCTTCAAGTTAGTACCTAATACCACTAACAAGAAGAGAGAACTCTTGTAATGCATCAAATATACTTTCATTTGTAAAAATCCACAACAAACTTTCTAATGGAAAGAAGAAGATATTAGTTCCTCTGATTTCCACGAATTCTATGATGAATACGATAATAAAAGTGAGCAACAACTATTAGACGAAGTTGTTAAAGACCTAAAGACTGTAGAAGAAAATAAATAATGATTTAAACAAAGTGTCAATCAATAGGATCAACACTTTATCAATTTGTGAATAAAATTAATTACTAATTGATTCTTTCATTATACATAAATTGTTGAATCTATTCTATTATTCCAATTAGCTCTTAATAAATAAAAGCACGAAATACATACATACATTATAAAAATTTCATATTGCTCCCACAAATTTATTGATACTATATTTTTGTTACTATAAGTATCATCCATAATCTAAGTAAATATCTATCCATATATCTATTCTTTTTTACACTCATTATAATAACTCATAATAGCTTTTAATTTTTTTAATAATATTATTGCTGTTGTATTTACCCCTGTTTTAATTTTTTAATCCAAATTATTTATTATCTTTATAGTTTTGTCTTATTTTTACCAGAAAATCAAATTTAAATGGTTTTAAATGTTTTTAACATTTGATGAGTTATCCTAAAACTCTTAAACTGCAATCCTTCTAAAATTATGGATCAAATTTATCATTAATTAATTATAAAAATTACTAAAATTATGGATTAAAATTGTAAAATAACGAATAATTATAATAAATAAAATTAGTCAGTGCTCTTCTTCATTATTAAAAATAAATATGCACTTGCTTATATTTAATAAATATAAAAAATAATTCAACAGGCTAAAGAATTGATTAAATAGTAAATGAATATGTTTAAAAAATATAAATAATAAATAAGTGGACTTATTTAATTTATTTCGAATGATTGATGAAGTTTATTTGTCATTTCATAATTGATGATCCAGGAACTTTGATTTTGTATGTTTTGTCATGCGTGATTTGTATTTTTAAATTATTTATGGAGACTTGAACTAATAAATGGTTTATGAGAAAACAATTCAATTAATCTATATATACTTATGCATGAGAGATCAATCAATTGATCAATTAATCAATCAATAAAAAGAGTGAGTGAGTGAATGAGTAAATAATATTTATAATGATGATAATGGAAAGAGTAAATAAATAGAAATTTTGGCAATAAACAGATACAATTTTTGTATTTTTGTGAATGAATAAATCAATTAAATGAGTGAAACAAAATCTAATAAAACACAATTAATCAAAATAGAAGTTATTTATTGTAATAACTTAACTATCAATAGCGATCAGCAGATAATTATCTTATTTTAATTATTCCTATAAATACATAAATACATAGATAGCAAACACATACATACAAACAAACAATTTATATCCTTAAATAACTAACTTTTTAAGATATTACTAAAAAGATAAGTATTTAGCTGCTCTCATACTACTTAAAGAGCAAATTTATTTTCTGAGCTGGTTTAAACACTAAAATATACAAAATTATTGATTCGTTGCAATGGGTAATAAAATTTATAAGTAGAGTTAGATGTCGAAGGCGAACCATGAATTCGAAAATGGGAGTTATCAAAAGTGCATATAAATACTTAAGGAGGAGCTCAAATTCCATCCTAGGTCAAAAGAAGGACTAAGATTAGTTTTGAAGGCATACTTGAGACTCTATGAAATAGACAGGGCTGATGAAGTCTATTAAAAGTTTTTTCCATCAGGTTCTACAGAAGATGTATTAACTAAGTCTGTTTACATTAAGGAAACTTTATTTTATGATGAAGCAAAAGCAAGGTTTATGGGCAAAGAACTGCAGCAATAGCTAGAAAGAATGAAATATAACAATAACACTTCTGCTTTAAAGGCTTAGCAAAAAGATTAGTCATTATAAAATTAGCAATCAAATCAACAACAAGTTAACAATTTAAGTACTTCAAATAACAATAACAATAACATGAGCCAATCAGTAGCCTCGGAAATAATAATCACTAGCGAATCTCTCTGTTTTGCCAAAGCAATTTTAAAATATTTAGATAGCCAGTTTGATAGCTGTATTAAAATGATCCAAAATGATATTATTTCCTAAGGCACACTGATTAATGCACAAATAAAATTTGACTCTTAAATTATAATGATAATGGCATATAATAAATTGAAGCAATACAAGAACAGTTTATCACTCATTTAGGAATTGTAAGCTTCATTTACTTCATTAGTTTCTTCTAACTTTAATATATGAACTTTTTTCTATTTAGATTTAAATCAACTCTCTTCTCTTTTTTATGGAGAAAGTCCTAAAATTATTTAAAGATAAGTCTTCATTTACAACAAAATAAAATAAAAAATTTTTATCAATACTTGTATTATTGAATAATAACTCAAATAACTTATAGTCTATTCAATTATAAATAATATTTATTCTGATAAAATAATTAATGCTTATTTTCAATCTATTAATCGTTTGTTTACTAAAATAGGAAATAGCCAGCTGCCGCTCTTACCTAAGATAAAAACTTTGAAATAAATACCATGTAGGCTGAAACTTATTCTGCTTTAGGAAAAATAGAGTAGTCGATTGAAACATTCAAATCATGTTTAGAAATAATTCCTGTTAATACTTATGTGATGTTTCGTCTTTTCAATTTATGTGTGAAATTAAATGACTTAAGATAGTCAAGAAGCTTTTTGGAGAGAGCTTTCAAAAATAGACCCAACGATAGTTTGTGCTATAAAATGCAAGGAGACCATTACATAATTATGAAGGACACAAAAAATGCTATGAAAATGTTTGAAAAAGGAATTACAATCAATAAAAAGTGTTTTAGATGTTATGAAACATTAGGTGATATTTCTCCTGAAAATCAACGACTTTCATACTATGAAAAATGCTCTAAGTGCAACCCCTGCTACAGTGATGTAATGATTAAAATAGGTATTCATTACCTGCAACATTCAGATGATTATTTAGAAGCACTACGTTGGTTTTTCAAGGCTTTAGAAAATAGATCCTAACATAAATTAATATACTTTTATATTTCTCGCTCTTATTATTCTAATGAGTAGTATGAATACGCTCTTAAGAATCTATCAATTAGTCTTAACTTAACTTACGAAAAAATCAACGATCAGCTAAGTCTCTCAGTCAAAATACTGAATAAATACTCTGAGTTCTTTAAGCCTTCTCTTGTGATTGACTTCATCCAAAATATTCGCTTTAAATATTTCTAATATTTCCCCACTATAGCATAAAATCTAGATAATATACAATTCGCAAAGCTCTTCACTAATTTTATAGCTCCAACTTAAGTACAACTGTAATTCTTTGCACTTTACAAGCTTATTCTTAATTAGTCAAACAATTCTCAGTTGTCAATAATTTCAAACATCGATAATGAAGATATAGGTTCATCAATGAATCTTCAAGAAAATTAAAACTCATACCTAATAAAAACTTAATACACGCCAATAAATCAAAATGCAATTGAAAAAGCATAGTAGTATTTTCTTGATGTGTTTAATTTATGATAACTCTAAACCAAATTTTACTTTCATTTACCAATAAGACTCAATTCTATTTAAAAGAATTCATCACTTATTCATCAAATCGTTAAAAATATAAAAGAAAAAATTCAATTATTAAAATAATATAAATAACTTAGTCAAAATTTATCAATAATCTCATCTAAAATTTATAAAAATCATTCAATTTAAATTATAATCACTTCATATTTTGCAAGCAATTAGTAGTTATATTTTTATGTAATTATAATTTAATCACTCCATTTATAACTCTCAAATAAATAAATCTCCAACCTTATTTGCATATTAAAAAAGTTAATAATTCATTAAAATTTAGCAAAAATTAAATTAAAGCTGTTACTATTAATTCATTCAAAAATATAAAATTAAGAATTAAATATTTAATTTATATAATCTCTTTAAAAAAAATTTTGCTATTTAAGTGTAAATAAATAAACTATTAAATTTTTGAAAATATTTCACATTTAATTTAAATTTTGATTTTTTGGTGTTATTAAAAATCTTTTCATGATTTTATCATAACTAATCAGTTTTTTTTATTTATAATAAATTCTCATAAGTTAAGGTCATTTATTTAAGGTATAATATTTAAATAAATTTCTTTAAAAATTTGTATTTTATAAAGTTTTATAAAGTAAGGAAATATTTTTTTTTTGAGAATTTAAAGTGTATCCAAGTAGTTAATAATTGGAGGTAAAAAAATAAGATTTTAATTAGCTATTTAAAATGGACTAATTTTCTTTAAATTTAAAATAATTAAAATTATTTATATCAAAATAATATTTTTTGAGCAAATTCTGAATAAATCTTAAATGAATGAATATTTAAATACTAAATGAATTATATATTTAATTTTACAAGTTTTTTGTATGAAGAAAAATTTTTTACTGCTTCAAAAGTAAATGAATGGATGAATGTTTTATACTTTATAGTTGCTTTTGTATCATTGCAAAATGAATGACTTTTTATTATAACTTTTGATGAAAGATCGTTTCAAGTTACAAGAAAAAAAGGAAAAATAATAATTAATTAGTGAATTAATTATTTATTGTAAAATACATTATCTAACTATTTGATTGTTTTTAGTTTGCAAACATATAAAACTATTAAAGCAAAATATTTATTTACACAATAATATTAAAGTAGATTTATTTATAGAAATGGCTCAAGCATGTGATAAATATACTTCTACAGCTCTTATGGGTAATAATTTTATTTAGCAAAATATTTTAAAAGAAAAAAAAGAGAGTTTTTACTGATAGTAGAGATTAAAATTTGAAATAAGCAATGCTGATATTAAATTAAATTTAATGTTGATATCATAAATTCTTATGCTTATTTAAAAGATTGTTTTGAAAAAAAAATATTATTTAAATGTAGGTAATTGGTATGAAGAAAGATTGGCTCCTAACTAACCCTTTAGAGAAAATCTTTAAACAAAAACAGTATGAATTAGATTCATTTTTATCTTAGAATATAAAAAATTTCACATTATGGTTTAGATATTGAATTTAATCTTTATGTAAAGGTAAGAGAAGAAGAAGCTGCAATTTCATTTGCTTCTGATACTAACAAGTTGATTCCTCTTTCTAGAGTTAATAGAAACTTACCTTGGGATACAAAGGGAGTTATTGCAGACGATGGATTTGTAAAAAAAATAAATTTTAATAATAATTTAAAATATAAATAGAAAAATATAGTGCATATAAATATATATTAATAGATCTTATTAATAAATCATAAAATTTAGTTTTATTTCAAAATTAATAACCAATAATTTGCACTATATTGTCTTTCTGTCATTTTTATTATATTCTATTTTTATTACAGAAAGAATTCAGATCTGTCAACAGAACTTCATATGACCCAATCAATCTTAATAACTACTATAACCTTGGAGATTGTAGATAATTATACAAACATTACACAGCTGAAAAGAAATACCCTGAAAATAATCCTACTCAAATTTAAACTCTTAAAGCTAATTAGTATTCTTTGTTGAATCAAACTAATTCGCAACATATTCATAAAGAAAGACAAGTACCAAATAATGTTTCAGATTTTGGTTCAACTTTTAAAAAATTCCCTGAAACTCATGAAAAATTGTAAGTAACCTTTTTATGAAAGCTTAAAAAAATATTTAAATTAATTTTTATTTTCAAAGCTTTGGCATGACCACTTACTAGTAATCTTTTTCCAGACCTTTAAAAGAAACTGCTCACTAGATTATTGCTTAATCTGAGAAAAAGATTAATCATTTTGCTGGTACTAATGAAAGACCAGTTCATCAACAGAGCACTAAAATGACTTCAGTTTTAACAGCAGAAAAATACAAAAATGGTAAATTTTTAATATCTTTTGATTGTTTTATAAAATATTTAAATAAAAATAATTAAAGAATAAGAACCAAAAGATAATACATCAATTTAAAGATCTTGGTTGCCTTACAAAGATAAAGCATTACAAGTAGCTGAAAATAACCTTATAAAAAATCAAACATTAAATCAAACAAAAGGATTTACACCATTTAATCCATTGATTACTTATAAAAATAATATGAGTTAAGTTTAGTAGCATGACATAGCTACCAGCTTACCAATAGGATGTAATTTGCTTTACACATTAATTCATTAAATTAAACTGATAAATTTTAACAAAATATAAAAGCTGGAGAACACTCTGATTAAAAAAGAACTAATTAACCAGGAGAATTTAGACATGTAAGAACCGATGTTACTCTAATTAGAAATAAACCAGTTACTAAAAGATGAAAAAGATAAAAAATACATTTAAATTTTATATAATTACTTGTATTAAATATTATTTTTAGGTTGTATTTTACTATCAAGCTCTTAATTTTACAGGAATTATTTCTTCTTTCATAACTTTTTCTAGAGCCAAACATGTTGTTTACATGTATTTTTGTGTTTATTTATCATTTGTTTATAAATATTCTATTAAATATGTTGTTTGCATAACTACTATTTTTTTTGAGAACATAATTTTATTTTAATACTTTTTTGAATGACTTTAACTATTATGCTGACCAATAATTAGTCATAAATTCATATCTCACTTCAAGTTAATTTATAGTTTAAGGTTGCATCCAATACATTCAACTATAACAAAATCTTCATCCTAATAATTTATTTTAAAAAAATGAATTTAAACATATTTCAGAAAATAATAATTACTTTATTTCTTGAGTCTATTTAAATTGTATTAATTTCTCCACATTATTCACATTCATAATCAATTAAATTGCTTTATTTTTCTAAGTTTATCTGATCAAAGCACTAACCTCTATTAGCTTTTTAATGCTATTCTATTTATTTGAATATTATTAATATATTTAAAACAAATACTTAATAATAAATACATTCATATTATTTGTTATATTCGCTTCTTAAGTTATCATCACTTAAAACTTTATACGCTTCAATCAATTTACTTGCTATTTTTTAGCTATTCTCGCTAATTTATAATAATTAAATGCTAACTAAATAATAGCAACAACTTTAAGTTACTCTGAAGATTTATCTGGATGCTCTTATCTTATCTTTTTCTAAAAGCTTTTTTTAATTTCCTCAAACGTAGCATCAATGCTAACTTCTAAAATTTCATAATAATTACTAACAGTAGCCATCTATTTTAATGTATAAATTAAATTAAATTATAGATATTATCAATTTTTTTTTATCAAAGTGATGTTAATAACAAACAAATAAATTTACTTGGCTATATTTAAATAGTTGTTAATACTTTTTTATCAAATTTCAATCTTTTATAATATTTTGCAATTTAATATTTGATTTAATAATGAATATTAACTAATTGATTAATTTAAACACAACTCAAATATCTAAACAATAAAATGTAAAAAAATTAAAAAAAAAGTAATTCATCATTTGTTATTTATAAGAATAGGTATTGAATTATACTTTTTAAATTCTGGATTTATTTTTTGATATTAATATGGTGAATGATATTTAGTATATTTAGATAAAATAATTTTAACTTGTATTTTTATGTACAAATAAATAAACTACTATTTTATATTTATTCAATGATTCATGAATTTTTTAATACTCTCTTTGCTGATACTTTCTGAAAGAGTGGGGAGCTTATAAGAATAAACTGTATTTAACATCTGAGGGTATTTTCTCATAGAAGGAATATCAGAAGGATTGAAATTGAGACTAGTGATGCTTTATTTATGAGAAAATACATTCTTATCTAATATTTATGAAGAAGAATTTGATGTTTTATTATCTCTACTAATTTATGTTAGGAAAATGTTGCCATTTTATTTATTTGTTTGGTACATACTACTGTATTTCATATTGCATGTAAAAATCTTTTCTATGAGCTTGTTATCATTATCATAATCTTACATCATCATAGTTTCTTGTTTAGTTAGCTAGTGCTGCTTGATTGCATCTTAGATTGAAGCTGCATGCATAGAGTCTGTTTTAAGAGATTTTTTATTTGATTAATATGCATAATTTTATTTGTTTGATAATAGACCCTTATAGTATTCATTTGTATTTTCATTCTAATAGCTTTAAGTAAATTATGTATTTTGTCTATAATTCTAATTTTTTGTAAATAAATTTAATGCATTAGGATCAGATTAACGTTTAAAAGAAAGTTTTGTATTATTGACAAATATATCTTTTTCTCTTGGAATTATTTTTAATTTTATTTGCAAATCCCTAATTTTTCTTGCATCCAACTTGTCATAAATAAGCTTTTGCTTTTCAGCTATATTTGATTTGTCTAGCTAAGAGTTGTTTAATTAAGTTAGCTTGGAGTTATCATTCAAGTAATAATCGGATTAAGATTTTTCTAAATCAGCTTCTTCTTCTTTACTCACCTCACTCTAAGTGTCATTATAGCACTAAGAAGTCTATTTATCCAGTTTTTAAAGTATCTAAATTTAATAAATTAAAAATTTTTCAAAGTTTTTTTCTTAATTCTAAGCTTATTTTATGAATTAATTAATTAAAATGTTTTTTCCTTAAATTATTATAATTTAGCTATTAAAAAGAAGTGATTATTTTTTATTAATAAATAAATATTTAATTTATAATAAAATTTATTTACTCCTGGCTCAAATTAAGAATTTTATCTGCTTATACTGTGCTCACTTTATCTGATAAATTAGTCATAAAAATTTATATATTTAAACAATGATTAATATAGATTTACTGAGAATTTACTCTCGAACGAGAGAAGACATCGTGCTGCAGTTTAAATGTACTGTTTCTGGCTTTTTAATTTTACTTGAATAAAGAATTGTTGAACCTATGAGATATTCTTGATGAGTTGATGTTACTTTCCTCTATTTAATAAACACCTTCATCTATAAGTGTTTTTTCAAGAAATTTATAATCTTTTAAACAGTTTTATATGTCAATCCTTACATTTTAAGGGATGTATTAATTCATTTCAATTAAATTTTCACAAATTTCTTGGAGTTTAGTGAAAAGTTTTTGTAAAAAACCCATTTTTTCAATATCAAGATTCGTAAGGCTTTATACATTTGTTAATAGAAGTTAAGTTATTTTAATATCAGGTGGAACAAGGCTTTAAATGTCTTTTAAGTTTCCATTTTAAGTTACTTTTTTTACTTCAGAATAATGTCTGAAAAAGGTGAATAATTTATTTTTATTTTTAATTAATTTTTCTTTTCCTTCTTCAAGCTAATTTAGTACAAAGTGGATGCTTGGATATATTTATTCGAATTAATCATTTAGCTACTTCTTAGCATATACTTGTATTTTGGCTATAAAAAACTCTTTGATATCTTCGCTCGTTATGCTTTCAGAGTAAAATTTGCAATGCATATCTAAAATCTTTGAAAATAAAGCATTTTTTATCAAATCAATTTAAATTTATTGTTCTAACCCATCAAGGAGGGAGTATAAATACTTTTCGAGGTTTCTCAATATTTTGAAAATTATTTTCAATCTTTTATGCTTCGATTTCTCTAATTCTCCCCAAAACTCTTTCAGCCAAATTGAAATAGTGTTACCAATATTTTCTAAAATATCATTGTAAATATTCTACTACTAAGAAAGGGAGTATTTTGTTTCTTTTGGGTTTGTAAATATTTTTTTGCATGCGTTTCCCAATCTTAAAACATTAGATGTATCATTAACCCTCTTTTAGGTATTACTTAAACAACAAATTATGCTTGTTTGTGAATTCCCTATAAGACTTTCTCTTAAATACTCAGTAAAAATATGCTTCCTAAATGGAATAATGGCATTCTTTTTTTTATTGCTCATTTTAGAGAGCTGTCTCAAGCAGTTCATGAGATTTGATACCATGCATTCATTTTTTGAGTTATCTTGAATTTATTGAAAAGACAGTTTAATTGTAAATATTTTTGTATAAAATAAATCATGTTACTAAAAATCTCTTGATAAGCTCCATCACTTATTTTAATTATTTTAAAATTGGAATAAACTGTGTCTTGGCTGACCAAAATGTTCTCGCTTTTTTCGCATTTAAAATTGATAACTATGTTTCCTTACTTTTTTATTTCTTCACTGTTTTCAATATTATCAAGTCCTATTCTTTTCGTTTGCAAATTAAATTAATTTTAATGTAAAAAAATTTACAAATTTTTGAAATTTACTTTAAAATCTTTAGAGATGTTCTTAAGCTTGTGACAATGACTTCGCTAATTCCCAAAGGAAAAACCTCACCATTTTCTTTCTCATAGAGTTTATGAGGAAATTAAGAGTTAACTAAAAGATCATAAAAATAAGCATCATGATTATAGTACATACTCATTTTTAAAGTTGTGTTTTCTCTATCTGGACTTTGATAAAGGATTTCAAATATTTCTTCTAAAGATAAAATAAAAAGTCCAGGATCTCTCATACCTCCAACCAATCTATTATTAAAAAATTTAAATTCATTTTTAAGAATTTATTTAAATGATGTTTTATCTGTAATTATCTAAGACATGAAAGGAAGTAGATTTTCCTTTTTGTCTAAATCACCTTCTATAAAGTAAATTAAAGAAATCAATAATTTTATTTTTTTATTTGAAGCTTTTGATTTTAAAAATGGTATTTTTAAAATAATAATCTAAAAATAAAATAGAAACCATTATAATTTTTTTAATTTAATAAGAGAAAAGTGAATTATTGATCTTGATGATGAAGGTATTTGATAAAATTGACACTCTAAAATATCTCAGTTAGAATTAAATTGAGTTTTATTTGATTAAAAAGTTATTGTTATTTTACGTTTGTGTTTTTCCTGATCCCTCTCCTCCAATAACTAAGATAGATTGATTTACTCCAGCACAAAATTTTTATACAATTTGGCTAATCGCTTTTTTGTGAAACATTTGATTATTTACTTCCTCTCCTTAAACTAAATCAAAGGAATAACTCTTTTCTTTCTGAACAATTTTCTTTTTTTTTGGCTATTGAAAGTAATTTTATAATACCAATCAGTAAGTGAATATTTTTTACATCAATATTGATATTGTTGAAGGTAATTGTTGTAGGATTTACAACCATTACAGACGGTCTTTCTTAAGAATGCAAATTTTGCTTTTCTTCATATGAAAATTACTTTATATTTACAAAAACTTTATGAGGTTAATTTCCTCCCAAATAGGCTTTAGGAGGATTTAATATGAAAATCTCTTCTTTTCCTTTAAGCTTATTTTCTAAATCAAAACATTAAATTAATATAATTAACATATTAATAAATATTGTTTAAAAATTAACAAAAATGTTACCTATTATGTGATCATTGCTATTATTATGAACGCTATTTTTAGATTAGCTTAGCTTTATCATGCAAATAACTAACTACCTAACTTAGGTTAACTTTCAATGTAGAAGGACAGTTAAATCTAGGGTAGACTTTCGCTTAATAAACACTTTTAATTTGGTCGTTTGCTTAATTGAAAATTAATTAAGTTCTATTATTTGTATAACTCAATGTATTAATTATTAATTAGGCATTCATTCAGTAAAATCACCTTATATTTTTACATATTATATATTGAATACCCAAAATACATTCTTTATCAGCTAATAGTTGAAACTCATATGTAAAGTACAAAAATTCCTTCAAATGTTTACAAATAAATTGTTAATGTCACTTTTGATCTAATATTATTCCTTCATTATGATCCTTAACCTATCTCTACCTTTAAAAAATTTCAAGATGTTCTAATTTCATTTGCTATCACAAAATAACTAACTAAATAAATAAAATAATTAATCTTATATAAAGCATAAGTACGTATTTTATTAAAATTAATTTTTGGAAATTAAAATTGTTATTTTTTATTAAAATAATCAAGATTTAAGTGATAATTCCAAATTAAATTAATAATTACTAATATTTTTGACATTATATTCTATTGTAAGAGAAATAATATTTATTTTCAAAACTTATATAAAAAGTAAATGAAATTTTATTTTACTTATAATATTAAGTTCTTATCCAATAATAAATACATTGGATTATAAAATGAACCTTAATGTATTTTTAATTTAAACATTTTTTAAAATGTCCTAATTTCATTTGTAAAACTATTTAATATATCAAATAGTTGATATTTATTTATTGTAATGTTATGTTTTTATGTAGTTGCTTTATAAAAATTACTTAGTGATAAAAGTTAATTTTTGGAATTCCAATATATTATTTTTTGTTAAAGTATTCAAGAGTTAAGTAATGAAAATGATAATTAAGTTCAAGTTTAAATCCTATTTATATGGCAAGAGAATTTGTATTTTCAAATTAATGTAATAAACAAATAGAATTCATATTAATGATAATGGAACATTCTCATTTGAGTAATAAATAGATTTAATTTTGTTGGATTATAAAAAATTCTGATGATTTAATTTCATCAAATAAGTAAATTGATTTGTAAAAAAAATAGTAATAAAGCATTCTGCTAATATCCACAAGAATATTGAAGGAATACAAATAAATTTAATAATTAAACACATTTATAAAAATGATCCTGAGAAGCGAAATAAAAAAAGACAATTTAAATTGTGATAGTTTTTTTACTAATGCTGATTAGAAAAGTTAACCTAGTGTAAATAGAAAAATCAACAAAATAAATAGTAAATATGTATTTTATCATAATAAAAGACTGATATTCATGAAGAAAAACATGATTCAACTTAGTTGACAATTGAAAAGGTATAGAAAAAGAAGAAAATTTTTAAAAACAAAATGAAAAAAGTAAAATTTGAAACTCAAAGAATTATTGATTCTATAGATACATAAGATAACATTTTTTTAACTCATGGTTTAAGCATTTCATCAAAAGGCATAATCAGATTTTGCTATAGTTTGAATCATTTTAGCTTTGGTTATTCTAATTATTAGGCATGCAGATCTAATTACTTAAAAAACAATGATATTATTGAATTTTAAATATTTAATGAAAATAAATTTAAATAATATTCATTTAATGACGCTATAAAATTCATGTCTCGAAATAGCTGCAAGGATTTTATTCAGAATAGTAATACATTGAAATCATTTTTAGACTATTAAAAGTAAACTTTTGATATAAACTTTAGTGAAAAATAGTTTATAAATCAGATAGAAGATAAGAATAAATATATTTAGTTATGTATGGAATTTATTGAGAAATAAGCCAAAGTTAGTGATAATAAAATATTCTAATATGCAATAGGAAGTCTTAATTATGAAAAAAAAGATTTTGATATATTTAACATCGGTTATTCCAAGTCATATTTAGACTTGTTAGGAATTGATAATGATAATTTTATTAGGACGCTCCTGAGGCACTAGTAGATAGATTTACATCAGGATGATGAAGAAATTATGAAGTAATCTCTCTCAGGACTAAAAACTAATGTATATGAATAATTTGATAATGATTTAGATTTCTATATAACTACTTATGATGGATTTCCTCTTAAAGTGTAAGGAAAGAAGAGCAATATAATAATAAACAGTGGTTCTAAAAACTAACCAAAATAGAAAAAGGAGTTTTTATTGTTATTTACTGAATTTGATGTTGATCTAAAATAGCTTCAAAGACTAATAGAATATAGATAAAAATTGTTAAATAATAGAAAAGATCTTTCCTATAATGATTTCATTAATAAAGAACTCTCATATATGTTTGAAGATGTAGAGTACTCAGTTCATTCCTAATCATTTATTGAAAAATTTTACTAACCTAATTTAGAAAATCTAAATTACTTGAATCAGTAATACCTAAAAAGATAAATTTAAATGCATGTTAAATAGTGTGGTTATAAATTGTTAAATCCTAGATAGCAATAGATTCTCTGAATAAGCAAAAATATAAATCTATACAGCTTTTTAGTACTTTACTTAGCTCAATTTACTTAATTAACTTAATTTATAAAAAATATTTTTTACTCTTCCTTAATAGTTCTCATTAACTTTATTCTTACTGAAATAAGTAAAGGTTGGTTTTCTAAATTATCATAAAATAGAGATTTACTGGTTAAAAAATAATTAGTTGTTTTATTTATCAAATTAAATAAAAAAATTAGTTTACTTAATATAAAGTCTTAACTTATTAATCTATTATTACAAGGAATAAAATTACATTTTTTAATCATTCATTCAATGATGGTATTAATATCAAAACAAATAAATTAAAACTATAATTAATTAAATTTACTTTGTGTGTTATTTTAATTAAATTCTTTTATAAAAATTTAAAAATAATTAAAAAACAACTTCACACTTAAGAAACTGCTCATAAATAAATAACAATAGTAACAATTAATATGAAATGGAAAAAATAAAATTATGATAATTAAAATTTATAAACCAAACATTAATTTTTATTTTTATTCTGCAAATCAATAATTTAAACTAAACAAAAGTTTTAAAGTTTACATTTCAATTATTTAAATATTTTTATTGAAATAATTTAAGATATTTATTTGAAAATAATTTTAGAAGGTTATTATCAAATCTTTCATTTTTCTGTGTTCAGAAGGTTGGTTTCAAAATCTTTAGTCTAAGCTTTATAAAGTAGAAAAAGATTAAACACCCTAACTCCCTATTTTATTCAGCAATTTAATTATTATAAATTTTCATTTATACATGCTTACATAAATATACATACTTACCAAAATGTTTATAGAGATTTAAAGCTTAATAAATTGGGAACCTAAACTTATTAATTTTATTTATTTATTTAACTAAAATTTAAACAAAATTTATAAATCACCTCATTTAAAAATATGATTATTTAATTAGATCATTAATAATAGCTATATCACTTTTATATAATACAGTATTATTAATTAAGATATATTAATAATTTAGCTTTGAGAATAGAAATAATTTATGTAAGGATTTTTTCTTCTTTTTAAGTATTTAATATATTAATTAAATAGATAACCATTTCATTAAATATTACTTAGATTGTAGAAAACTCAAAAGACAACTAAAAAAAGCTGTGATTTGATTTTTTTAATTAAGCAGTTAATAAGGAATCAATCGATAAGCTGCTCTATTTTTAACTTCTTTTTTTAAATGATGAAAATAAAAGTTATAAGACAAAGATAGTAAAAATATTTATGAGATTAACTAAATATAATAAATTTGAAAAAGTATTTTATTTATTTTTGATTTAAAAATATTTATATAAATTATACTCCATTTCATAGAAAAAAACTTTAAAAAATAAATTTTATAATAAAGTCAGTAAATTAATTGCAAATAATAATGTATACATGAATGTATTTTATATATAAATTTTAAACGCTTAATCGCTATTAATAGTAATATTAATAATAATAAATTTATTAGAGATGAGAAACTACTGATGTAATAAAACTTATTATATGCAAGAGTCCCTACAAATTTAATGAATCTTGTATGTCTTCTTCTTCTTTTTACAATTGAAGAGAAAAAACAATAATTTATTTCCTTATCAAGTGGTTGATGTATTTATTTCTAAATAATAATTTTAAATTTAATTTATATTTTTCTATTTAATTTAAATAACACATTATACTCTTTCCATGAAACAAGTGAATTATTCTATTATATGAATTATTTTAAAAGATTAATCTAATAATTTAAATCAAGAATAATAATTATTCTATAAACAAATTTAAAGTATGAACAAATAGGTTATTATTACTGATAACTTATATTACACTTCTAATTATCAAAAATGCTTATAGAAAAATCAGATTATTAAAATTATAGCCAATAAAATAAATTATAAAAAAAATAAACCAGCCTTATATTTATTATTCAGGTGTAGTTAGGAACACTTATTTATTTATTTATTTATTGGTGCTTTACAAAGTTAAAAAATAACTAATGCAATAACACAATTAGATTGAATATAATAATTAACAAACAAACAAAAAGTTTTAAATCAATCTAAAATAAAATTCTAATCAATTCAATGCTTTTATCTAAATTAGACTTCTTTTCTCAACCCTTTCTCTTTAATCTTGACAACAACTAACTTAAAAAAGGCACTATTCAAGGAGCTATAGTTTCTTTTGGAATTTAGTTAACAGTTTTAGTCTATTTCATATATTTGACTATGCTATATTTATAGAATAGAATCGATCCTATTTTTAGATCATAAAGTTTTATCACTAATGATTTAATTGAAATACCTCTTCACGAAGATGTAATTGTCTTTAGATTTTAGGCAGATCTTACATAAAATCTTGATAGCTTTGAAAAATAAAAGAATTTGACTTATATAGTGCCTGTGGCATTAGCGGGATACTAAAATGGGTCAAATTATGAAACAACATACCTTAATGTAACCAAATGTTCCAGTCCTGCTCTATCAAACTATTACTGCTTAGACTATTCAAACTTTCCATATAAAAATTTAATGATAAACACTAATGAATAAATATTTTCATATATATCTTTGATGTTTTACTCCTGCTTAGTTACAGATGATCTTAAAGTAACAGTGCCTGATAACTGCGCTAACCAAACAGATATTGACAATTTTGTTAATGGGTAATTTACCTAACTTCACTTAGGCCTATATACATAACAGTATAATACCACTAGCAAATCGAATAAAATAAATTATAAGACTTATTAGATTTTTCCATAATCAAACCAATATCTGATAAATACTCAAAATATCTAAAATTAAGTAACGAAAGTGAGAGACGGTTTTATTATTTAATCTGAAGTAGAGTATTCAGCACCAATTTAGTATGTAATTGAGAATCAAACTTTTCCTAACTAAGGTAATCCTTATATCTAAGTTGACATTTAAATTGATGAAGTAGTTTAGCTTACCTCAATTTAATATAGTACTTTCCCATAGATTCTAGCATTAGTGAATAGTGCTTTTGGTTTGCTTATGCTTTTAGGAATTTTTTGTAGAAAGTTTGCAAACAAGTCTATATTGCAAGATTTCTTTTGTGTTTTCTTGTAGAATATGCATCAAAGTCTTTACGAAGAAGTTTTGAAGTAAAATAAACTATTTGAATAAAAGGCCATTTGCACCTAAATTGAAACTAAAGCTGACAAGTTACTTATCGGCTAAGAAATCAATGATAAAGAAACAGCTAGGAATATTAATATACCTCAATTCTTAACAAAATCTAGAGAATTTATTGAACAAAGCTAGCAGACTTAATTTAACACAAAATAGTCGAATTGCGAAGATGAAATTTTAGAAAATGAAGAAGAAAAAAAATCACCAAATAATAATGATTAGCTCTAAGACTAAAGCAATTCGTAATAATAAGAAAATGGAAAAAATAAGAGAGCTTCAATTGAAAATAATTTATTCATTGAGGGCAATAACTTAGCTAATAAAGTATCTATTATTACTTAATCTAATGAAATGAAAAATTCAAATGACTCCTTTTAAAATATCAATAAAGCATATTCGACAAATTAATTAAGTATATTTTCGAACAGATAATCCTAAACCTAAGAATAAAAAGTTTTAAATGAAACAACAAAAATAGCTTAATCTAACGGGGACATATTAAAAATAAATTTATAACTTATAGATAACTTTATATTACCATAAGAGAGCAAAGTAGGATTTAATGAACAAAAAGCCTAAAATGAATAAGATCTAAAAAAAAAAAAAAATTTCAAAGCTTTACTTGAATAGCATGGAATAAATTCAACGCCGAAGAGAAACTCTAACACTATAGAATATTACATTTAAAAATTTAAAACTATTTAAGATTTGAACATCTTTAAAAAATTCACTCAAATAAATTTTGGCTACAGGTAAATTAATATAAAAAAATAATATATTTTTAGATGGATTTTATTTACATTAAAAATAATAAATAGATTTACATTATAGAAACTAAATTGTTTCAAGAAACAAACTCCAGAATAAGATCAAAAGAATCTAAGCATCTAACAAAAAAAATTTATAGAACAACAAGTGTTAAAAAGTATGAATATATTAGAGTTGTTAAAAGATGTTATCTTTATAAAGAAATCAATAATGATGTTAATGACCAAAGAATAATTAGCAGCTATGAAGCTTGTTGGCTACTCTGAGAATTATATATAAGATCATTACCTAAAAAAAGAAGAGAGTAAATAATGTAATACTTATTTAATTAAATAGGATTTTTTATAAAATTATTTTTTAATTTTAGTAAGAAAGGAAACATATTTTGAGAAGCAATTAGATATTTTTGATTCAACTGATTTGTCTTGCTAATATATCAAAAAATTTATTCAAAAATGTAACAACAGTAAAGCTTTGAATTAAGTGGATAAAAGAATCTTGTCTTCAATAAATAAGAATTAAACTAATTTATACTGATTAAAATATTTAATTGTTTGTTATAATATTGTTATTTTATTATCATTCTATATGTGTATTCTATCTTGATTATTAATTATAATTATTGGATTTTCATCAAATGTTTTTTTAAAAATATATCTTTACTTCCATCTAAATTATAATTGATCTATCAAATATTTAAAAAAAAATAGATACATTTTAACTAAGTTGAGATCGTTAGTCTTAAAAAGACATATTTAAAACGAATTGAAACAATAGCAAGCTAATTTTAATATAGAAATTCTCATAAAAAGCAAATAAATGTAGGAATTATAAGTTTTAATAGTTGAAAATTAACTTAAAAAGTTAATAGTTGAAGAAAATTATTCTAAAATATTAAAAATTAATTATAAAATTGAATTTGAAGAAACAAAATTGACATTATTACTTAATAGAAAGTTTTTTTAACACATTTCTTCTTAAATTTTATTTAAATTTAACATAAAAAATTATATATAATAAAATCGAAAAATTGAGCTAAGGATTAAGATAAATTTCTAAATTTGTCTATTATTTCTAACAAACACTTTACAATTCATGCAACTTATAGTAAGAAAAATGATATATTTTATATTATTTAATAGATTCAATTTTCTTATTATAAATATAAACTCATTTTTATCTCAAAATTTATATTTTAATTATGTGCGTGTGTTAACACTTATCACTATAAATTGTATTATCTTCATAGTATAGCAAAATGCCATTCAAAAATTTAGTGAATTGAGATCACTATTTTTTTGAATGGCTGATGCGTTTGAATATGATTTATATAAAAATAAATAATTTTATAATAGAATTTAATTAATAATATTAATAATTTTAATTTATATCAATCTTTATGATTTTTCTATTCAATTTTTAAATTTAGCCTTTTTTAAAATTTTTTCTTCAAAATTCTTAGAAAATAAAAAAATTTTTATTTTTTTTTCAAATTTTAGCTAAAATTAAAAGTTTATTTTAAATATCTTAAAAAGTTTTACTCATTGTGGAATTCTAAAAAAAGAAAAATTTTCACAAGAATAGTAGAAATATAAAAAATTAAAAATAAAATAGATTTTTTTTAAGTGCTCGTAATACAATAATTGCTTTTGAAAGAAAGAAAAATAAGTCTATAGCTAATCAAATTTTTTGCAGTTTGGCTATTCAAGTATAAGCTAGGTGAATAATAATAATATAGACATATCCCGAAGAATATTATTATTACATAGGTAATGGCATGATAATTTCAATCAATATTAATTATCAACCAATTTTTATTATAGTGATATTCATTTAGATTTAATCTAATTTTAACATAAAATAAAGCTAAAAAGGATATAAAAAATTAGAAAATTTGTTAATGTATATACTCATAGTGTAATATGTTATTTAAAAACAACAACTTTGATATATTGAATAAACTTTCTTTAAAATTTAGAATCAGTAATAAAAAAAGTAAATAACAAATTTTTGCTTGAAATGTTTTTAGCTAAATTAGATCTATTTTCTTAACCTTTTTTATTCAATTTAAATAATAATTAACTCAAAAAAGGAACAATTTAAGGAGTAATTCTGTCTTTAGCCATCCAGTCCACTGTATTAGCTTATTTTATATACTTGACTATGTAATTTTTTGAAAATAAAATTGACCCTATATTTAGATCTTAAGTTTTTGTGACTAATGACTAAATAGAAATACCTTTAAGAGATGATTTGGTAGCCTTTAAATTTATTTACGATATTCAGAAAACAATAAATTAGTTAGAAAGTTAAACTAATCAAACATATATTGTACCAATGGCGACGATTGGATATTAGAATAATACAAATTACGATACAGTCAATCTTAATATCATAAAGTGCTCTAATCCAGATCTATTAGATTATTATTGTGTAGATTTTTCAACCTTATCTTAAAAGAATTTGATAGTGAATACTAACTAAAGATTATTTTCAGTCATATCAATATTTTTTTATTCTTGCAGAGTAACAGATAACATTAAAACACTTGTGCCAGACAATTGTGCTTAACAGAGCGATATTGATAATATGATTAACGGACAATACACTTTACTTCATTTAAGATTGTTTACTTAGCAATATAACACAACTAGTAAGTAAAACTAAATAAATTTTAAGAACTATATGATATTTCCTTAGTCAAGTCAATATATACTAAATACATAAAATATTTAAAATCAAATAACGAAGGTAAGAGATGGTTTCATTATTTAATCTGAATCAGAGTATTCTGCACCAATTTAATATATTTTTGAAAATTAATCTTTTCCTAATGATGATAATCCTTATATTCAAATTAATCTCCAAATTGATGAAGTTATTTAATACACTTCTATTCAATTTAGTACTTTCCCCCAAATATTGGCTTTGGTTAATAGCGCATTTAGTCTACTCATGCTGCTAGGATTTTTTTGTAGAAGGTTTGCTAATAAATCAATTTTATAAGATTTCTTTTGCATTTTTTTGTAAAATATGCATTAGAATCTTTATGAAGAAGTTTTAAAGCAAAATAAGTTATTTGAGTAAAAGACAAATTCTACTTAAATCGAAACTAAATTAAATAAATTACATATTGGACAAGAAATTAGTGAAAAAGAAGTTGCTAATATATTTAACATTCCTCAGTTCATAACTAAATCTAGAGATTATGTAGAGTAAAGTTAGTAGACTTAATTAAATAACACCTAACTAAACTAATAAGATGAAATTTTACAAATAGAAGAAGAAGAAGAAAAAAAATCACCAAAAGTAGCTGATTAGTTTTATGATTTAGATGAATAACAATAGTAAGAAAATAAAGAACAAAGAAATAATAATTAGAATTAATTAAAAAAAGAATAAATTATAGATAAAATATCAAATAATATTTTATTTACAACTGAAACAAATGAAATAATAAAAAACTCTAACGACTCTGGCTAAAATATCTTTAAGACATCTCCGAGGATTTAATTTAGTCAAAATAGAAATGAATCTTACTAAAATTGTAGAGACAGACCATTAAGCGAAATAAGCAAAATTCCTTAATCAGCTAGCATTTTCAAGAATGAAATATAAAGATAAAGTTCTATTTTTTAAAAAGATAACACATTATGTTTTACAGAACGCTAAATGTAATAGCCTACATTAATTGAGTAAGATGAGTAAAAGTTAACTAACTGTTAGGTGACCACAATTTAAGCAAGTAATACAAATTAAACTTCAAAGAAAAACTCTACTATTATAGAGTATTACATTTAGAAACTTAAAACAATTTAAGATATAAACATATTCAAAAGGTTTACTGAAATCAATTTTGGATACAGGTAAAATATTCATTTTGTTTTCTAATAATTATTTTTTTAACATTTATTTTAATAGATTTACGCTTTAAAAAATCAACTGCTTTAAGAAAAAGACTAATTAGGAAGATTAATAAAAATTCAGTAACGAATCAAAAATATTTATTGAAAAATAAGTGTTAAAAAGCATGAATATCTTAGAGTTGTTAAAAGACGTTATTTTTATAAAGAAATCAATTATGTTATTAATGAGTAGAGATCAATTAGCAGCTATGAAGTTAGTAGGCTACTCAGAAAATTATATTTAAGACCATTATCTTAAAAAAGAAGCTGGGAAATAAAGTAACTTTGAATAAATAAATAAATTTTTTTTAAATATTTTTTAATTTTAGAAAGAGAGACTACTTATTTAGAGTAGTAGCTAGATATTTACGACTCTACAGATTTATCAAGTGAGTATATTAAGAAATTTATATAAAAATGCAATAATAGTAAAATTTTAGATAAATTAGATAAAAGAATTCTATCGTCAATAAACAAGAATAAATAGAAATTGTTTTGAAATTTATAATAAATTATTTTCAATTCTTATTTTATCACGTTGTTATCTTTTTAAAAATCTTCATTATTATTATTATTATTATTTGTTTCATGTTTAAATTCAATCAGTTGATTTTTCTTAAATTAATATAAAAAATCTAAACAAAAATCTTAATCTTGCATAGTGGTTCAAATTTTTTTATCTGGCTTAACAAAGGATTTATAAATATTCTAGCATTTTATAAAGATTATATTGATTAATTAACAAAAATAACAAAAAAATGATAAATATACACGACACGATAATATAAAAAATACAGAAATCTATAAGATGATTTTGGAAAAAATTGGAAATGTTAAATTAATAAAAAAATACAGAAATCTATAAGATGATTTTGGAAAAAATTGGAAATGTTAAATTAATATTTATTAAAATTAAAATATTTCTTTATTGCTTTTATATTTTTTTAAAATAAATTTTTTTATCGAAACACTTTGGCTTTAAAAAATAGCAAAAAGAATAATAAATTTATAATTTTAATAGAAAATTTAAGAAAAAATTTGTTTAATATAAAGAATATTATATGTTTTCATAATAATAAAATACTTTTTAAATTAAATTTTACCTAATAAGTTGATATAAATACTATTGAAAATTAACTTTATGATAGAAAGATACATTTATTTTTTATTGCAAATATTAAAATCAATAAAATGAGTTAACTAATTAATATATTTATGATTTAAATTGATTTAAAATAAATATAATTAAAAAATAGCCACAAATGTTTATTAAAGTATCAATCTAATTAATCTCAAAATTATTAAACTAATCCTTAAATTTTTGTTTTATAATTTTAATCCAGTACATCCATCATACATTGTACATTATGAATGAATGAAAGTCATTTTTAAAATTATAACATAAATTAATTAATTATGGTTAAAATCCATTCTAACTTTATAATTAATAAATTAATTTAGAAAAAATAAGAATTAACAAACAAAAGTAAATAAAACAAACGAACAAACGAAAGAACGAACGCACTAGAATGATTTGCTCAAAATTAGACTTATTTTCTTAACCTTTTCTTTTCAAAATAAATAATAACTAACTTAAGAAAGGAACTATATAAGGAGTTATTACTTCTTTAGGGATTTTCGGAATAATGATTGCTTATTTTGTATACTTGACAATGCAATATTTCGGTAATAAATTTGATCCCATATTTAGATCCCAAAGTTTTGTTACTAATGATTTAATTGAAATACCTTTTCATGAGGATTTGGTAGCATTTTAATTAATTCAAAGTCCTGGAAAAACAATAGAGTAGTACTAAAAAGAAATGAATTTAACATATGTAGTTCCATTGGCAACTATTGGATACTAAAACAAAACCTAATATGATAATTTTTATGTTAAAGTTATCGAATGCTCAAATCCTCAACTATAAGGATACCATTGCTTAGATTTTTCAAACTAAACAATTAAGAATTTAGTAGTAAATACAAATTAACATATTTTTTCTGTTATATCAATATATATTTACTCTTGTTAAGTCATAGATAACATCAAAACGTTTATGCCAAACAACTGCGCTAATTAAACTGATATTGATGAGTTTATTGATGGTTCATATACATAACTTCATCTAAAGCTATTTACTTAACAATATAACACTACAAGCAAATAAGTATAAGTTAATTTTAAGAATTACATGATGTTTCCCTAATCATCTTAATACATTATAAATTCACAAAATATTTAAAATTAAATAACAAAAGTTAGAGATGGTTTTGTTATTTAATAAGAAGAAAAATATACTGCACCTATCTAGTATGTCTTTGAAAATTAATCTTTTCCAAACTATGAGAATCCTTACATTTAAGTCAACCTTTAAATCGATGAAGTCATATAGTACACGTCTATATAGTTTAGCACTTTTCCAGCAATTTTAGCACTAGTTAATAGCGCTTTCAGTCTTCTATTACTGTTAGGATTTTTTTGTAGAAGTTTTGCTAATAAGTCGATTTTGCAAGATTTTTTTTGCGTTTTTTTGTAAAATATGCATCAAAATCTCTATGAAGAAGTCTTGAAACAAAATAAATTATTTGAATAAAAGGCAACCACGACTTAAATTGAAACTAAAGCAAACAAATTAATTATTGGTTAAGAAATAGCTGAGAGAGAAGTAGCTAATAATATCAATATACATTAATTTACAGCTAAATCTATAGTTCAAATCGAATAAAATGTACAAACATAAATAAATACAACAATGAATAACATTTAAGAAGAAATTTCAAAGTCAGAAGATGATAAAAAAACAAACGTTGAAAATTAATCAATCTAAATAAAAAAATATTCAAAATAATTAAATAATTAAAAAACAGATAATAAAAATTAGAGAACTAACACAGATGTTTTTTAATACAATAATACTATACTGACAAGTGCTTCAAACGATATTAAAAATTAAAATGACTCTTATCAAGAAGATATTCTTAAAGCGTCTCCAAGGATATAACTAAGTCCTCTTAAAACCGACCAGTCTGAGATTTAAACATAAAGAGGTTTGATATGTCTAAGTAAAATTCCCTACTCTGCAAGTATAGTTTAAAAAAGTGAAAGACAAACTAATACTTCTCTATGTTAAAAAGATGCCACAATGTGTCTTACTCAAAACTAATTTCAACAATCTAATCAGATAATCTAACAAAATTAACAAAAAATCTAAGATAATTAAAAGCCTAAGCTTGATAAGAAAGACATACTATCAACCCCAAAGAGACGTATTAATACAATAGAGTATTATATCTAAAAGTTTAGGACAATACAAGATTTAAATATTTTCCAAAAGTTTACTCAAATAAATTTTGGCTACAGGTGAAAATTAATCTTTTTATCAATAATTATTTTAATAAATATATTAATAAAATGATTTAAAATATACTTTAAAAAATAGATTTACACTCTAAAAGCTAAATTGCTTCAGAAAGAAAGACGATGAAGATTAGGACCAAAAGAGTTTAAGCGTCTAATAAAAAACGTTTATAGAATAGTAAGTGCTAAAAAGTATGAATGTATTAGAATTATTAAAAGATGTGATATTTATAAAGAAAGCAATTATGATACTCCTCACTAAAGACTAATTAGCAGCAATAAAGCTTGTTGGCTATACTGAAAATTACATACAAGATACCTATCTATAAAAAAATGCCGGAAAACACTGTAATAATCAATACATTTAATTTTATTTTACTCAGCTCAATCCAATTATTTTATTAATATTTTAGAAAGATAGAATACTTATTTTGAAAAACAGCTAGATATTTTTGATTCCACAGAGTTATCATGCCAATACATTAAAAAATTTATCTAAAAATGCAACAGTAGTAAAACTTTAGATAAAGTCGACGAAAGGATTTTGTCTTCAATTAATAAGAATACATATAATTTATGTTGATAAATAAATAAATAGATAAATTATGAAAAATACGAGTAATTAAAAATTTTTAAAATGGCGATATTCAACTAACATAAATAACATTTATTATTACATTTATAGGTCAAAAGGACAAGATTCCCTAGTTTAAAACTCGAAAATACTCATAAAAATTCAACTCTTTTGAAGGAACATTTATAACTTAAAAATTAAATATATTTTAATATTTATTGATAAAATTAGTAAATATAAAAATTTTTAATATTTTAGACATTATTTTATTCAAAACCTTTTACTGATTTAGAATTACTTAAAATTAATGGCAGATTATAATTTTTAAATTATTAACCTTAAATTTAATGCAATAATATAATAATAAAAAGCCTTTTTTAAAATTTATGATTTATGATACTTAACATCATCAATATAATATTGTAAAGTCCAAGCAAAATCAAAAAAAATTATAAATAATTTAAGTGATAAATAATATAATATCCATACTTTAATTCATACCTTATAAAAAATAAAACTCTAATATTTATTCTGAAAAAGCGCATAATAATTTTTTATCTTTAAAAAGAAAGAAGTTTAATTGTATTTTTTGTTTTACTTCAAAATGATAACACTTTATCTAACTATTTTTAATTTTGTACAATTTAAAAAAGTAAGCTATTTATTTTATTTTAAATACTTTATGATTTATTGCGTTTTAGTGTTATTATTAAAGATTTAATAAAGTTAAAACTATGATTTTGGATATTATCATGTAATTTAAAAATATAAGTTTTCTTTGAAAATATAAACAGATTTGCTTTTATGATTAATCTAGTAAATATTTTCTTATTTATATTTATTAAGTCAATAAAATAGCAGGTAAAAATAAAACAAATTATTTTGATAAAATTTAATACTTTATCATTTTTAAAATAGGAAATAATACCTCAAAAAAAAATTTAAACTTTAAAAAATAAAATATTAATTACAAAACAGTAATGAGATAATTATTTAATGAAATCAATTTAAACAAAAAGAATCAGAATTTAATAGGTAAATTAAATAGAGTATTTTTATCTTTTTAGATAATAAAATAAACCATTTTTTTTTTTAGAGTATTTCATAAAAAATGATAATTTTTTCATTATGAATATGATTTTATCTTGAAATATTAATTTAACAAACAGTCATTTTTTCTAAATTAATTAAGAAATTTTTGTAACAATTTAAAAGCCTGTTTCATTATATAATTATATTTAACTTTCTCACTGGCTTTTTACGTGAATTTATAAATTGTAAATTAACAGCTAGTAATTATAAAATTACATTGAAAAAAATAAATAAAATCTAAAATTAGAACTTATTAATATTTTTCTAAAAATTTAAATTTAAGCATACAAAAAACTAATTAAAGTAGCTAAATATGAAAAAAATACTTCTCAATATTACGTTAGCACTCTTTCTTGATAAATATCTGTAATTAAAATACAAAAAAAGTAAGTTTTCCTAAATTATTTTTTTATTCTAATTCACTTTTCTTAAAATATAGCGTCAGTGAATTAGTGAAAAATCTGTATTTTCAAGCAAGTTGCTATTTCCGCTAGCATTAATTATTAAATTAAAAGCTTAATTATTTTAGTAATTTATTATACTTAAAAAATAAGGTAGGTACATTAATTAGATAGATTATAATTTCATAAAATTTATGTAAAAATTTTAATTAAAAATGGTTGGAAAATCTGCGCTAGGAGCATTCAAAATGGTAAATCGTATTATACCAATATTTTTACAATGCATGAACTGTATTTTTTATATCTCATTTCCAGATATCTAATCATATTTTAAGAAAGTTAATTTTTTTTACTTAATATTTAATCAAAAATAAAACCAGCGAAATTGGTAATTAAAATAGCAAAATGCATAGTTTACATAGTAAATAATACAATTAATTAAAATATACACTAATTCTAAGGGATTTTTTTTATTGTTCTTATTATTTTAAAGTAATTTATTTGTCTAGCGTAAATGCAAATAAACTTTTGAAGTCTTTTTATTATATTTTTCAGGCAGTGATTTTTAAAATTACTTGTACCTAATTTCTTATAATCAAATATACTTACTGTGAAATAGCAAGTATTATTTTTTTGTTAAATATTTATTAGTAAGCGAATCAAAAAAAACATAAGATTCTTAAGTCAGGATAGATTTTATCAATTAGAAAAAAATTAATCAAATATAAACGAATTTAAATTCAAATGCTTGAAAGGTAAATTATCATTTTTGAATAAAAAAATGATACCAGTAAGCCAATAAATTAATAAATTAAATAATTAAATAAATAAAAAATTATTAATTCTAATTTATTTGTAACTAGTACCTTAATCTTTACTGGTAAAAAGGGTTCAGAACAATAATATTTAGATAATTCATTAATCATAAAAACTTTAGAATAAACACAAAATATAATAAAAAGTTATCTTACCTTAAAATGCTTTTCTCTAAACTCGACTTATTTTCGCAACCTTTCCTTTTCAATATAAATAATAGCCAACTCAAAAAAGGAACATTCTAAGGGTTTATTTTTTCTTTATTGATTTTGGGAATAGTATTTTTTTACTTTGTTTACCTAACAATGCAATACTTCGGCAATAAGATAGACCCTATATTTAGATCATAAAGTTTCGTTACTAATGATTTAATAGAAATACCTTTACATGAAGACTTAGTAGCCTTTTAATTTATTGAAAGTCCTAAATAGACTCTTGAATAATTCTAAAAGAAAATGAATCTAACATATATTGTACCTATTGCTACTTTTGGATTCGAATCTATATATGGTTACAATACGACTTACCTTAACTTCACTGAATGTTCTAATCCTGAACTATAGGGATATCATTGCTTAGATTTTTCTAGCCTATCAAACAAAAGCTTAATTTAAAGTAGCAGAGACAAAGCTTTCTCAGTAATAACAATCCTCTTTTATTCCTGCTCAGTTACAGATAACATCAAAACATTTGTTCCAGATAATTGTGCAAATTAAACTGATGTTGATGACTTTGTTAATGGAGCTTATACTTTACTCCACTTAAGATTATTTACTTAGCAATACAACACAACTAGTAAATAAAATTAAGTCAATTTTAAGAATTATATGATGTTTCCTTAATCAGACTAATACTTCTTGAATACTCAAAAAACCCAAAATTAAATTACTAAGGTTAGAGATGGTTTTGTTATTTAATCAGAGACTGAGTACACTGCACCAATTTAATATGTCTAAGAGAACCAATCTTTCCCTAATGATTAAAATCCATATATTCAAGTCAATATTTAAATCGATGAGGTTATTCAATACACATCAATTCAGTTTAGTACTTTCCCTCAAATCCTAGCATTAGTTAATAGTACTTTTAGTCTTTTGATTCTTTTTGGATTCTTTTGTAGAAAATTTGCTAATAAGTCAATTTTATAGGACTTCTTCTGTGTCTTCTTGTAGAATATGCATTAAAATCTTTATGAAGAAGTTTTGAAACAAAACAAACTTTTTGAATAAAAATCTTTGTCAACAGAAATTGAAACTAAATTAACTATTGGTTAAGAAACTGCAGAAAAGGATGCTGTTAATAGTATAAATATTCCATAATTTATAACTAAATCTAGAGAAGATATTGAATAAAGTTAATAAATATAATTTAATACTGATTTATAAAATTACCAAGATGAAATAATATAACCAAACGAAGAATAAAAGTCAACAATAGAAGATCAATCTCCTAACCAAAACAAAGATTCCCTTTAATAGAAAACTGAATAGCTTCCAAGTAATGAAAATAATAAAGAAGATAATTAATTCAATAATATTTTATTAACAAGTGGTTCTAATGAAAATAAAAATTCTAATGATTCTTACTTAAATATTTTTAAAAAATCACCTAAAAGTTAATTGAATTTATTTAAGAGTAATTTCTCTTAGGCAAAAGCTTAAAGGCCTTTGATCAAATTACCTTCTTAATCTTGTAATAATTTCAAAAAACTAGAAAGAAAATCAAGTAGTTTTATACTTTAAAAAGATATTGCTTTATGCTTCTCACAAAATATTTAATAACCAACAAATAACTAATAAGACTAATAATCTAAGCCATTAGTAAGTTAAGTACCTAGTATATTAGAAAAATAAATTAATTAAACTGCATAAAAAAGATCAAGCATCATAGAATACTACATCTAAAAATTTAAAACAATTTAAGACTTAAACATCTTTAAGAAGTTTACTCAAATAAATTTTGGTTACAAGTAAATTTTAATTTTAAAAAAAAACTTATTAAATAATAAATTATTTTATAATTTTTAGGTTTTCAATTTAAAAGAGACTAAATATCTTCAAGAAGGATGATGAAGAGTAAGAGAAAAAAAATTTAAGCATGCAATAAAAAACATTTATTGAATAGCAAGTATTAAAAAGTATGAATATCTTAGAGTTACTAAAAGATATAATTTTTATAAAGAAATCAATTATGATCTTATTAACTAAAGACCAATTAGCAGCTATGAAACTAGTCGGTTATTCTGAGAATTACATATAAGATCATTATGTCAAATAAGAAATTGGAAAACAAGGTAATAAATATTCAATATTAATCAATTTAATTTATATTCATAATTTTTTTATTTATTAAAGAAAGAAAAAGTACTTACTTTGAGTAGCAACTAGACATTCTTGATTCTACAGATTTATCATGCAAATATATTAAAAAATTTATACAAAAATGCAGCAACAATAAAACTTTGGATAAAATAGATTAGAGGATCTTATCATCAATTAACAAAAATCAAGCAAATTAAGCAAATTGAACCAAAATATAAAAACAAACTTACTAATACACTTATATTAACTAAAATAAGTATAAAATAATATATATTTTTTTAAATTTATTTATTTCCCTGTTCCTTTTATTAACTTTTGAATCATATTACTAAATTTTAAAACATTATAAATCAAAATAATATCATAGTGTTTTCAATAATTAAAAAACTTTCGACAAAAAAGATACTTTAAAAAAATTAAAAAAATCTATTGATTTATTTAAAAAATATTTAATTTTTATTTAATATTTAAAAAAAAATACAAATAATTAAAAAAATTAATTTATGTTTAATCATTTAAATAATCAATTATACATATATTATATGTTCTTATTATATCTTATACAATTTAAAATAATTGTTGTTCATAAAAATCTGCATATTTAATAAAATTCATGTAACTATCTTAAAAGCATTTTCAAAATATAAAAAAGTTATTTTTTTTCCAGCATTTATTTTATTAAAAATTATTAAATATAAATAGAACTAAGGACATTTTAAGTAAATAAATTGAGAAGTAGCTTGTCAAAGCTAATTAGTCTTAAAAATATTAAGCCTAATAAATTCTATTTAATTACTATAAAATACATGAAGTTGTGTCACTAATTTTTAATGTTTAATACTTTTATTAAAAATTAAATTCTGATTTGATACGATTTTAATTGTAACTTGAGTATCAAAAAAAGTATAATTAATCACTTTTAATTATATTATTAAAGCGATAAAAATTTATATTCTTTAAATAGTAAGCAGATACTACTAATATGTTTAAATTTATAATATCAATATTTTAAACATTTAAACAATTTATAAGTATATTATTAGCTATTCTTTCTTTTGAGGAATAGATTTTATTTAAGTAATTAAGTAAAAATAATGTGATGCAAATTTGAAAATTATTTGTAATTAGAAGATTAGGTGATCCTATTTTCTTATTTTTTAATATGAAGAAAACTAATTCAAAATATTTTATCTTTGATAAATATAATATTGAATAATAAATTTATTTGAGTTTCATTATAATTAATTTAATTTTTTAATGATTTTTAGCATTTTATTACTAAATAATCCTAGTTTTTTAAATTACTTTTATAAATAATCATAAAAATAAATTTATTCTATTAACTTTTGATTTAGAAATGAAGGAAGGAAGTAAACAAAAAATAAAAATTTTTTATTAAATAAACCATCTTAAAATTAATTAGTTTTAAGAAAGTTTTTGTTAATAATATAAAAAAAGTACTATTAATTGATATTGAATGCATAATCATTTCTGAAATATAAAATTTGTTAATATATTTAAAATTAAATTTGATTTTTTGTTAAGTAATTTTTAGTTATTTATTACTTTTATAATAATAGTATGTCATAATATTAGAATATTAGAGCATTAATACAACCTAAAAATTAAAAAATGAATTTTTTACTATTCCTTTTTATGTTTGAGAGGATTTTAGCTTGCTTCTTATTTGAATATTTTTCAAATGCTAATTTATATTAATAAAAGAAAATTTGCTAGCATTTGCACCAAATTTTATTTGAAAATATTTGAATCTTACTTAGTTGTTTTTTATTTAAGATATCAACCTTGTTTGAAGTTTCTTAGATTGTAATCTAAATGTGGAAGAAATTTTAATTGTTATATCCATCCATAAGAGATATATGCTATAATAAAATATTGTAATCAAAATGTGAAGATATTTAGATGAGATTTTAGATTTTTTTTATTTAATATACCTACCTTGATTGAAATTTTTTAAATTGTAATCAAAATGTGAAGATTTTGGGAAGAATTTTTAATTGGTATGCTTATCAAAGATATATCTTATCCCAATTAATTGTAATCAAAATTTGAATTTTATTTATGTGGTATTTTAACAAAGATATTTTTCTAATTTGGAATCTTACAGATTGTAATCAAAATGTGAGGATATTTTAAATGCTTATTGCAATTTATTTAAATCAAGATTTCAAAATGAAAAAGAAAATTTAAAGAAATTAAAAAAGAGGAACCTGAGACCTGATGCTTGTGGGGAAAATTTAAATAATATTATTAACAACTTTGAATAACTAAGTAAAGATTCACTTAAATATTTCTATTTTAGGCAATATATTATTTAATTACTATTTCATCATGTTAGGTTACAAATTTATTTTTATTTGAAACGTGTTTCCTTTGTTTTAAATTTTGCTCTAATTAATTCAAACAAATAATAATATTATAAAAATCCAAATTACTAAATAATATTTTGGCAAATAAATTAATTAATAAATTAGAATAGATTCAACACATACATAACTCAAGTTAAATAAGTTTCAATTCGTTTTTGATCATAGCAATGGTAATCAACAAGAGAAAAGTCATTCAAGTTGTCTTCAGCTTGTGCTTGATGATAGGTACTACTCTAGCTCACTTTACTGAGCTTCCTATCAAAATACCTGGCTTAAAAATACCTTCCAATCCTAGCGTTAGAGTTTTAGATATTGAAACTTTTGAAGATTGGGCTTGGGCTAGTTTTTACGTAGGAGTTTTTTACATTTTCAAGTTCTTGTTAGTTGGAGGATTGCTAGAAATCACAAACCCTATTCCTAAGACACTCTACCGCACAAAGATGATGAAAAAATAGATTTACATGGGACTTTGGGCACTCTTTTTCGTTATCACTACAACAACTTTATTTTTCTGGAAAGTAGAGAAATATATGCCATACTATGGCTACTATGAAACTCATAGCTTTGGAATCAAAGAGTTCCTTCTTAATATCATAGTTTACATGTTTTGCTTTGACACATGGTTTTGGTTTACACATATCCTCTTCCATCATCCATTTTTATGGAAGCATGTACATGTTTTCCATCACTAATTTGTAGAACCAACTGCCTTTGGTCAAGATGCAGTTCATCCTATAGAAGCAATCATTTAAGGACCTTTTGGACATTTCATGTGTACACTCTTCTATCCAATGCATCCAGTTGCTCATAGGTAAACTAAATAATAGCTAAACTTTTAAAAAAATATTTAAATTATCTTTTAAAACCTCATTGAACAAATTTAGTTTGAGTATTCATTTTTTTATTAATTTTTTTATAAAAAGTGTTTTTGGACTTTTAACTTCGTTTTTCGCCATTTTTGCTCATGATGGAAGATGGGACCCTAACTTCCATATTGCTCACCATCACTACAATGACGTAAACTTTGGCTTATATTGGGGATTTTGGGATAAAATTTTTGGCACCAGATATAATCCTACCAAAAATGGAGTTTACAAACCAACTTGGGAAAGAAATGATCAAGGTTTATCTCTCCTTAAAAACATTGAAGAAAAGGAGAGATCTAAATGAATATTAAAATTAATAAAAAAAATTGTTTTTATATGTTTTAATTTTATATTTTTAAAATCACGATAATTTTAAGAAGTAGAATTTTGATTAAATATTTATGCATTTTGAAAAACAAACAAACAAATAAATAAATAATTTACTTATTTATTAATTTACAAACTAATTTTTAATGATAATAAATTATTATTATTTCCTATTAATATTCTTTTGTCAAAGTTTTTTTTTATTTAAATTTATTTTCATTTTAAGTATGAACAATTAGTTAATTTCATTTATTTATTTAGTTAATATTTACATATTTATGTTATAATTGGTTAATTTAATCAACATTATACTTGAATTTAATTTATTACAAATTTGATAAGATTTATGTACATTTTGACTGTTTTTATGTATAAATTAAATAATTATATATCCCAAAGATAAGATGACCAAATATTTTTAAAATAACAAATTAATTTAAAAATTTTCAAGAAAGATAATTAATTATTAAATACTTATTAATTTTATAAAAATAATTTAAATAATATTTTAGAGGTTTAAATATTTCTACTAAGAATATAAATAAATAATACTTTTATTAAATTTATCAAGAATATTATTTAATTTTGATTAATCTTTTTATTTTCTTAATTTTAAACTTTAAATTTTATTTCGCTTACATGGTTACATTTCTGTTACTTTAAAATTAAACAAAAAAAAAATTAAATAAATAAAATCAATCAAATAAATTATGTGAATTGTTTACTATGTTGATAAGACTAAAGTTTAAAGATTATCACACTTTTATAAACCAGTTGCAATATTTAATATTCCTGCATCTTCAATATAGCACTTACTTTGTTTTATTATTTTATAATAATAATATATTCATCTAAAATTTAAAATAATGCTATTTAATATATTTTACTATAAGAAAAGCCCTAAATTTGTGAGATTTTTTAATTTTACAAGGAAGGAACCTAAATGTGATGCCCCTTTGTCAGTAATACTATTTACTCTAAAATTTTAATTAAAGTATTTTTTTAAAGTTAAAAACAATATTTTATTTTGAAAATTAAGAAAGAAAATTTATTTTTAATTAGAATTTAATTTTTTAAAGCTATATTTTGTTAAGGAAAATTTTAAATTATTATTTTTCAAAATTTTTTACCCTAATTCTAGATTCAATTCATTTAGAAAACTAAAGTTTACTATTTGAGCACATATTTAGCTTAAGATTTCATCATCTATATTAGTATCACTATTAAATATTATTTACAAAAGTCAAATTAAAAAAAGGAAAATTAAATAAAAGAAACATAAATTAATCTTTAAGATAACAACAAATAATAATTTTAAACTAAATGAAAATTGAAAATAAAATAAAAATACCAACCTTATTTTTAATTTTAAATTAATTTTTAATTAAATTTATTTAGTTTTTTTACCAATAATTAAAATAAAATATATAAATTCTAATTTTACATTAAATAAAGACTTAAGGAAGATAATTTTGAACAACTTAGCAAGACTTAACTAAAATCAGAAACCTTATTCTTGCTTTTAAATGTTAAATAATTAAATTGTATTGAATTTAAGAACAATAATTACAAATGACTGATTTTTAAGCTTCTAATCTTAGTGATTTAAGAAAAAGCTGTACTTAAATTGCTTAAACCTTCATCATTGATTGGATTTAAACTAATTGTTAAAAAAATGTAAAGTTAAATATATTTTAGATAATATTTAAAATATCATAGTATTATTTTTTTATTAAAATATTAAGTTCTTACTCAAGAATAAGAGAAAACTTTTAAAGATTAACATATTTTGCTAATGCAGACTTTAATCCAAACTCACTCAGTCCACAAATATTATTATTTCTTTTATATATTTAAAATAATATTAAATAGACAAAGAAAGAAGAAGTTAAAAGGTCTAAAGCTATTTTACCTTAAGTTTAATTCTAAACCTACTATATTAGGGCAGTTACCCAAGAGCTCTAAACCAGATACTGAATCATCATTAAGGTCACAGCCCCTTAGTTAATAGCAAATTATTTATTTGATATTAATAATTACTTGAAATTTAGAAATTTTCTTAACAAAATTTTTTTTTTATCCAATTAAAATTTTTAATTAACTCCTTCATTAATTAATAAATATCCAGCTACTAAATTCTTATTGACAATAATGTAAAATAATAAAAAGTATAAAAACTAAAATTAATTAAGTATATCCAATTGAAAATCAAAATTGTTTGTGATTATTATATTCTATGAAGTATCTAGATGTGTTTGTTAAAAAATAGAATTTTAACTAAATTACATGAATTTTAAATATAAATTTTGTAGGTTGTCGCATTTCGATAAAGAAGAGCAAATATCATATACAAACTCCTTATTCAATGAAAATAACCTAAAAATTTTTTTTTTTTTAGTTTGTTATAAAGTTAATGAAGAAAATTAGAATTTAGAAAATTTATTACGATAATGAAAACTTCAAATCCTTTAGATTATTGCATTTTTCTAATCCTGAAATTAAACCATGCTGGTTGAAGGCTAAATTTGTTGAACCTCTTACAATTTAAATAAATTATAATTAAAAAGTATTTAATTTAATAAACTTAAATTATAAAATAAATTTTGATATTTATACTGATTGATAAAAAATAATTAATTAATTATTTATTTATTTATTTTACGAGATTTAAAGTTCTAAATTTTAGAGATTTGAGCATAGACCTAAAGCACAAGTTAAAGTATAAAAACTTTTCTCTGTTATCAATTAACTTCTTTTTATTTAATACAATTAAATTAAATAATGATGTTTAAGAGAAATAAAATATCTTAAACTTTTAATTATTTATTTTTCCAATATTAAATAAAGGATAATTAATTAATTATTTATTTATTGTAAGTAAATAGTTTTTAATTCTTAAAATCAAATGGCTTAAATTTAATAAATTACGAAAAAACAAGCACAAAAGTTTAAAGGTTTGCAAATTTAGATATCGCCAAAGATAGTTTTGATATTTCTTCATCACTCAAATTATTCCCATAACTTTTAAATGAAAAAATACTATTTTCAAAATCTTTTATGAAACATAAAAGACAATAAAATTTAAAGATAATAAAAAAAATTATTTATTATTATCTCCTTATCTCATATAATGAAATAAATAAATAAAAGAACCAAATACGAAAATTAGAGATCCAAATACTAAAGATCATTAAATTACTCTATAGCTCCACATATTAGAATAAGATTGTTATAACTATTATTTTAGTTCCTTTAGGTTTTTTTTTAAAGAAAATATTTATCAATATCAAAAGCTATTTTTGTAAAGGTATTTAAAAAATAATTACTTATTATATATTCCAATCAACAATGATAAAGCTGAAAGTTAAGAACAGTTTTTTAAAGCATAACTTAAATTGTTTAAATCCTCTTCTCTTTTGATTCATAAAGAAATTAATTAAATTAAAATAATAATATTGTTTAAATTAAATAAAAGCTTCAAATAAATAAAAAAAACTATATTTCATTCAAATTTTAATATATTTGTATAAGGTAGATTTAATATAAAAATCAAATCTTAGTTCGAGTTAGAGATAAAATTATTTAATATTTATTTTAAAAATAGAGATATTCTACTTACACCAAATTAATTTAGAGAGTTTTATAGAGAGATAGATTTTAGTTTAGCAACTTTTGACAAGAATAAAATATTATTTTAAATATTTTTTTATGAAAAAAAAAATTACATCTTATAAATCAATATAATTTTAATTCTATTTCATAATTTTTTTATTAAAAGCAGATTAACAAAATAATCAAAATTAATTAAAATCAATTAATTATTAATTAACTATTTCTCTAGCTGATAATAAATTTAGCTTTACTTTTAATTAACCTAGAAAATTATTAATTTTTACTTTATCAATTAAATAAATTAACTATGAATGAAATGAAGATTTATTTTTCTTGATGATTAAAATTTATTTTAATCTATTTAAATTATTTTATTACAAAATTTAAAATTACTGATAAAAATAAATTTAAATATATTAATTAATTAGTTTTAATAATTTAAAAATTAAATTTATAAAAAAATAAATAAATATTTTTTTATTTAAATTTAATTTTTTTATAAATTTTTGGGATAATTTGTCAAAAATTTTTTTCAAAAAGTATAAAATCACGTTTTTTAACATTTTAGTTGTAAAGTATTTTTCTTTACTAACACTTTTTCAAGGTCTCAGATTCTTTCCAGTAACCAAATATTTTTAAAATATAAAATTACTATAAAAAATTTCAAGATGATAATTAATTATTAAATACTTATTAATTTTATTAAAATAATTTAAATAATATTTTAGAAGGTTTAAATATTTCTACTAAGCATATAAATAAATAAATATAAATAAATAATACTTTTATTAAATTTATCAAGAATATTATTTAATTTTGATTAATCTTTTTATTTTCTTAATTTTAAACTTTAAATTTTATTTCGCTTACATGGTTACATTTCTGTTACTTTAAAATTAAACAACAAAAAAATTAAATTAATCAAATAAATTATGTAAATTGTTTACTATGTTGATAGGACTAAAGTTTAAAGATTATCACACATTTATAAACCACTTGCAATATTTAATATTCCTGTATCTTCAATAGAGCACTTGCTTTGTTTTATTAATTTTAAATAATAATAAAATATTCATCTCAAATTTAAATTAATATAATTTAACATAAATATAAATATATTTTACTATAAAAAAAGCTCTAAATTTGTAAGATTCTTTATTTTTGCAAGAGAGGAACCTAAATTTGATGCCCCTTCGTCAGTAATACTATTTTCTCTAAAATTTTATTAAAAGTATTTTTTAATGTTAAAAACAATATTTTATTTTGAAAATTAAGAAAGAAGATTTATTTTTGATTAGAATTTAATTTTAGGATAAAACTATATTTTGGTAAGGAAAATTTTAAATTGTCATTTTTCAACATTTTTTACCCTAAGTTTAGACTCAATTCATTTAGAAAACTCAAGTTTACTATTTGAGCACATATTTAGCTTAAGATTTCATCATCTATATTAGTATCACTATTAAATATTATTTACAAGAGTCAAATTAAAACAAGGAAAATTAAATAAAACAAATTAAAATTAATTTTTAAGATAAAAAATAATAATTTTAAACTCAATTAAATTAGAAAATTAAATAAAAAACAAACATTATTTTTAACAAATTTTACTTTTAAAAATTAATTTTTAATTGAATGGATTTATTTTTTTATCAATAATTAAAATAAAAAATATACATTCTAATTTTACCATAAATTTACACTTAAGGAAGACAATTTTGAACAGCTTAGCAATACTTAACTAAAATCAGAAACACTATTCATACTTTTAATAGTTAAATAATTAAATTGTATTGAATATAAGAATAATTATTACAAAAGGTCGATTTTTAATCTTCTAATTTCGGTTAATTAAGAAAAAGCAGTACTTAAATTGCTAAAACCTTCTTTGTAGATTGAATTTTAACTAATAGTAAAAAAAATAAAGTTAAATTTTTAAAAAATAAATATTTAAAATATTAGAGTGTAATTTTATTATTATATAAGTTGTTACTCAAGAAGAAGAGAAAGCTTTTAAAGATTAACACATTTTGCTAATGCAGACTTTAATCCAAACTCACTCAGCCCACTAATCTTATTACCACTTTTATATATTTAAAATAATTTCAAATAAAAAAAAAAGAAGAAGTTAAAAAAAGTCTAAAGCTCTTTTTACATTAAGTTTAAATCTAAACCTATTATCTTAGGGCAGTTAGCCAAGAGCTCTAAACCAGATACTGAATCATCGTTAAGCGAACTGTAACTTAGTTAATAATAAATTATTTATTAGGTATTAATAATTACTTTAATTTTAGTAATTTTCTCAACAATTTTTTTTTATTATCCTATTTAAAATTGAAAAAAACTCTTTCATTAATTTATTGCTACTAATTCTTATTGATAATAATGTAAAATAATAAAAAAGCATAAAAATTAAGACTCTTTATATTAAATTCAAATCAGAATTGTTTGTCATTATTACTATCTATGAAGTATCATATAAAGGTGTGTTATATAAGATAGAATTTTAACTAAATTACCTAAGTCCTAAATATAAATTTTGAAGGTTGACGATTTTTGATAAAGAAGAACAAATATTATATATATGCTCCTTGTTCAATGAAAAAGACCTAAAAATTTATATTTTTTAATTTTATATAAAGAGATATTGAATGAAAGAAAAAGAAAATTAGAATTTAGAAAATTTATTACGATAATTCTAACTTCAAATCCTTGAGATTATTGCATTTTTCTAATCCTGAAATTAAACCATGGTTAGAGGCTAAATCTTTTGAAACCCTAACAAGTTAAATGAATGAATTATAATTAAAAAATATTTTATTTATTAAAATTAAACAAAAAAATAAATTTTGATATTTATGTTGATAATTCATAATGATAAGTTCTTTATTTTACGAGATTTAAAGTTCTAAATTTTAGAGATTTGAGCATAGACCTAAAGCACAACTTAAAGTATCAAAACTTTTCTTTGTTATCAATTTACTTCTTTTTATTTAATACAATTAAATTATATAATGACTATTTCAGAGAAATAAAATATCTTAAATATTATTTTAAAAATTAAATAAACTTTTAATTACTATTTTTCTAACATCAAAGTAAAAAGTTTTTAATTCTTAAAAATAAATGACTTAAATTTAATAATTTACCCAAAAATAAGCACAAAAGTTTAAAGGTTTGCAAATTTAGATATGGCTGTAGATATTATAGATATCTCTTCATCACTCAAATAATCATCATTACTTTTAAATGAAAAATACTATTTTCAAAATCTTTAATGTAAAATTAAAAGAAAATAAAATATTAAAAATAATAAAAAATTTGTTTAATCTTCTTATCTCTATATAATAAAATATAATAAAATAAATAAATAATCGAATACTAAAATTAGAGATTCAAATATGAAAGATTGTTAAATAATACTATAGCTCCACATAAAAGAATAATATTGCTGTTACTAATCTTTTATTTCCTTTAAGTTTGTTTAAAAAAAAAATTTTTATAAATATCAATGCAAAAGTATTAAAAAAATATTTACATATTGTTTGATTTTATCCACAGGGTTAAAGCTGAAAGTTAAGAACAGTTTTTTAAAACGTAACTTAAATTAATTAAATCCTCTTCTCTGTTGATTAATAAAATATTTTTAATATAGAATTAAAGTTAAAGTGATTATATTGTTTAACTTAAAAATAAATGTTTCAAATTGATAAAAGAACAATATTTCAATCAATTTTAATATATTTGAAAAAAGTAGATTCAATAAAAAATAAAATCTTAGTTAAAGTTAAAATTATTTAATATTTATTATAAAAATAGAGATATTCAATTTACGCTAACTTAATTTAGAGGGTTTTTTCGAGAGACAGATTTTATCTTTGCAACTTTTGACAATAATAAAAAATATACTTTAAATATTTTTTTATGAAAAAAAAAATTACGTCTTAAAAGTCAATGTATTTTGAATTCTATTATATCATTTTTTTATTTATGGCAGTTTAAGAAAATAATCAAAAATAATCAAAATTAATTATTAATTAATCATTAAACTAGCTTATCATAAATTTAGTTTTATTTAACAATTAAATTAGAAAATTATTAATTTTTGATCATACTTTATTAATTAAATAACTTAAGTATGAATTGGAATGAAAATAATGGTTTGTTTCTCTTGATAATTAAAAATTTTTTAATTTGAAACAATTTAAATTATTTTTGTAAAATTTAAAATTAATGATAAAAATAAATTTAAATATATTAATTTTAGTATTTTAAATTAAGCTTATTTTACAAGAAAAAGCATAAATTTATTTAAATTAAAATTTAATTACAAAAAGGTTAAATTTAATTCAATTTAGCTTATATAGTGATAAAAATTAATTAATACAAGCTAATTTTTTGATTATGATAAAATAATTTTTTATTTAATAAATTGGAACTAACTACTAGAGTATAAAATATGAAGCATACAATAGTTAATATTCATCAAGATAATCTGGAAATCTGGAATAAATATGTAAATATATAAAATTAATTTTGAAATTTAAATTCAATATGTTAATAGAAAATTATCTAAATTCTTCTTTAAAGTCTATATAAAAATATTTTATAATGTTATTTATTATAGCAAATAATTTAATTAATATTAAAAATAATTGGAATTTGTTAAATGTAAGGTATCTTTGATTACAAAACTAAATATAAGGTAAAAGTTTTTAATTTGATGCTTATCCAAAAAAGGAGTATTTTGAGTTTTTTATTAAACATAACTCATTTACTTAAATTAATAGATTATTTTGGAGCTGGGATGGTACACTTCATTTCATATTTTTAATCAGCATACTAAAAATTAATAAATAATAAAAATTTATCAAAATATAAACTGCTTGGTTTAGAAAGAAGTATTTATTATATTTGAAAATACTGATTTAAAAGTTTTTATATATTCATTGAAAATATTAATTGTTTTATTACCAAGTTTACTCTCATTTTAAATAAAGTAAAAATTGCTATTAATTTGAGTTCCATTTTTTTTAAAATTTAAAATTTGCTTTAAATTTATTAAAATATTTTGATAAAATGATAAAAGTCAAAAAAATTTTATTCTATTTTGAAGTAATAAAGAACAAATAAATAAATAAATATCATTGAATCAAGCATTTTGTATTATTTTCAGTGAATTATTTTAAACAAAATGAAAACTTAAATTAAATAATAATAAAAAACAATATAATTAATAAAGATAGAAATGATATATTTAGGATACTAATATATTTAAAATGTTAGCTAATATTTGAAAGAAAAAAATTCATAAATAATTATAAGTTAGCTGCCTTCATTAATTATGATTTCTAAATGAAATGTATTTAATTCGATTACTACTAAAAATAAAGAAAAAAAGTTTTAATTATTTATAGTTTTTATTGAAGTGAAGCAGTAAATTAATAAATTTATAATAATTGGTATAGAGAGAAAGTTGAATAAATAAATAATGCTAATCATTTAGATTAATTATTAAACTATTAACAAGGAAAGTACATTAATTAAAAAAACAAACTCTCATATTTTATTCAAAAAGTGAACTATTTTTAGCATAATTAGGTATGAGAGCACAATCAATGAATATCTAATTTACTAATGAATCTAGACAGTTTTAAACGCAAAGCAAGCAGCAAAGATATATTTAGGAAGACAAAAGCTAATAGAATATAATCAAAAAATACCCGAATTATGCCTATGCTTTAACTACCGAAAATTCATATGTTTAATCAACTGCAAATAATCGATTTGGCTAAGGACTGATAGCACTTAAAAACAAAAGTGCTAATAACAAAAGACCTTTTTAGCCTGCTCAAAAGATGATAAGCAGTAATGGGTTTATCCATCAAGATATGCCGCAGCTTAGCGGGTCATTTTCACCAATGATCTTTGATACAAATCAAAGGATATTATAGAAACAACAAAAATATCTGGAATCAATGCAAGCAAATAGCAACATAATAATTAATAAAGGAAAAATATAACAAAATAATAGAACTATTATGCCAGCAGGTACTTTTTATAGTAGATAGAACTAAGTTCCTTCTCCACTATAAAAGAAGTTGAGTATTTACAATGAAAATTCTCTTTAGAGCGATAACCAAACTCAAGGAAATGAAATGAAGAGCTAGAATTCAAATAATATCAATGAGTACACTCAAGGAAAGAATATAGAAAATAATAACAATTATTAAAAGTTGAGAGATGTCATCCAGTATGATAAACTGGAAAAATTAGGAACTAGTGTGATAGATGCAAGTTTAAGAAAGCAGCAACAAGATAAAAAAAAGCAGTTAGAGTAGTTTCCAATGAGCAGCAATACCAACAAAGGAAAAGATGGTTCTTAGAATAATTAAATATCGATATTCACTCAAAGCAGGATTAACACAAGTAATTAAATTGAGAATATTTACCCAGAAGAAGAAGAGTGGGACATGATTTAGCTAAGATAAATTGGATAGACAACAAACCAGCAAGAACAGTAGAACCAAGCTGATTAGAAAAATGAGCAAAATTTATTAAGATAGTCTTCTCTTGATTTAGCTGAAAGTAATAGGAAATAAGGTATTACTTTTATTAGCAAAATATTAAATTTGATCATCTTAATTTTTATTAAATATTATTAAAGGATATAATTCAATGGTAAAAAGCAACATTATACAATCAAATCAAAATAATTAGAGATTTTAGCTAAATTCGCCTTCACCAGTCTAATAAAAGGCTTTTCTTTCTCCATAAAGAAACGATGATAAATTAGCAAAGTCGATTCAGCATAATTAGTAATTAACTTAAAGTTAAAAGAGTGCTATGGTAAAGCGCTCGTACTCAGCAGTAAAAAATTCTACATAAATTAAAAAAGATGATATCGTGAACAACAATAGTAAGAAAATAAATCCAAATGATTTAATGATATTGAAAATAAAGGAGCAATGCACTTATAAAAAGTATATAGATCCAATCAGAATTAAGAAGGAAAAGGCTAAACTCAAGTAATAAAGCGAAGTAAAAAACAGAAAAATTAACTTTACAAGCACTATCACAGCAGGGTACCATTTAAAATCAACTTAAGAGGCCTAACCTAAAATGAAATCTCTTAAGGATAGCATGGTCCCTGATGACTAGCTTAGCAATAATCTTGATATACCTGCAGCAAGATAGTATGAAGAAGAAGATGATGACGATGATGATTCAATGATTATGAGCAATAATGATATCTCTTTAGATTTAGACGATGACGAAGACGAAAGTAAGTAAATTTCCTCTCCTCTTGGAGGACTTGCTAGCACATAAGATTCTATCTAAAATAATAACTCATAAAAATCAAAAGTTAGCTTATTAAAATCTGTTTATTAAGGTCGTCCAGCAACTATTTTCTTTCCATACCACAAATCTTGTTAGCAGCCTTAGCCCAGAGACACTTCTCGTGCGATATAAATTTCAGATTTTGAGACAAAAAAATTCAATCTCAAATACAAAGTAAAAAAAAATTATTTAAAATTATAAAAAAATATTTTTGCTTTTTATCAAAGCAGTAAAAATGTAACCAGCAAAAATAAATCTAGTTCATTCTAAATTTCTACCAAAAATTAAATACATTTTTAAAATTATTTAAATGTATTTTATCATGCATGAAAAATAATAAGTCTTTATTTAAATAAATAGATTAATGGAGAGAATCCATACAAATGTGTTGTTAAAGCATTTGAAGAGGCTGGGTTTGAAATGACAGAGGAAAATGATTGGAATTGTGTGTGGTCATTGCCAAAAAAAGACAGAGTGAAATTTATGAACTAGTTTTAGAAATAAAACCACTTTCCTGGTTGCTGGAATTTAGGAAGAAAAGATTTTATGTGGAGATGCCTGAATAGAGTTAAGAGAAAATGCCCTAAGGAAATGGATTTTGTGCCTAACACATATTTATTATGTAACTCAGGAGATTGGGATAGATTTTTAGCTAGGAGAGATGAAGCAAGTAAAAATACTTTGTGGATTTTAAAACCAGCTGATTAAGCATGTGGAAGAGGAGTTAAAGTAATCAGCAAAACGACTAAAGTTAAAAGGAAATCTAACAGAATTATATGTGATTACATAGCTAACCCTCATCTCATTAATGGATTGAAATACGATTTACGTTTATATGTTCTAGTAACTAGTTATGATCCTCTTAGGATTTATCTATACGAAGAAGGATTGACCCGTTTTGCTACAGAAAAATATAACACAAACACCAAAGAAATAAGTAAGAGGTTTGTCCATCTAACAAACTATAGTGTTAATAAGCATGCTAAGAAGTTTGTCAAGAATACAAATCCAGAAGCAGATGGAGAGGGATCCAAGTGGTCTTTGACAGCTTTAAAAGCAAAATATAAACAAATGGGAATAAACGTTGACGAATTATTTGGAAGAATTAAGGATATAATAATAAAAACATGTATTTCTGCAGAACCATAAATGCTAGATATAGTAGCTAAATCTCAAGAACACAGAACTAATTGCTTTGAACTTTATGGGTTTGACATATTAATTGATTCTTCTCTCAAACCTTGGATTTTAGAGGTAAATGTCTGCCCTTCTTTAAGCTCTTCAAGTCCTTTAGATCGTAAGATTAAGCACTCATTGTTGGTTGATGTGTTAAATATTATTGGCATTACACCATATGATAAAAAGTAATTCACAGAAGATAAAAAGAATAATCTTTTTACTCGAGCATTTAACTCAATATCTTCTACAATGCTTGACTGTAATGACTCCGAGAAGGTCTCAAACGGCAAGAAGAATTTTAGTAAAAATATAAATGATATTTAAGATCTTACCTATGAAAATTGCCTAGAAAAGCTTTCTCCTGAGAATTGGGAAGTATTATTTGAAACAGATGAAGAATTATACCGCAGAGGGCATTTTGAGAGAATTTATCCCCTACCTTCTAAAGAAAAGCTTGATTATTATTCTCAATTTTTTGACTTCTAAAGATTTAATAATGTGATGGTGCAAAAATGGATTACTTCAAAATAAAATTTTCTAGAAAAAATACTTAAAAAAAAATATTAAACCGTTGTTTGAGTGTTGGTTGAAAAATGACATTTCAAGAATTTGAAAAAACAAAATAAAAAATAAATTGTCATCAATAAAATTGAAAACTAAAAATAATTTTCCATTTCTATTTATACAAGTAAAATAAATGTGTAATATCAAGTAAAAAATTTACTGAAAATCCTTTTTAAAAGAGAGTAAAACAGATTAAAAAATGATAGTGATAAAAAAAATAAATTGACTTATGTTAAAAATTTAGACATTAGCCTATTAAAACTGATTTTAAAGAATTTTAGATAAAAACACTATTTTATAAATTAAATAAACAAATAAAAATAATACTAAAAGAGTTATATTAAATTTATTACAATAAAATATATTTTTTTCTATAAAATTTGTAAATTAATTGACATTGATTTAAAATCTTTTATCTTAAAATAAGCACTAAATATTTATTTTCCTTTCTAGGTTTTAATTGTAAAAGTTATAATTGAAAAAATTAATATAAATCAGTAAAGATCATCACCTGAATAAATTAGCATCATTATTTCTTAACCCCTATAAAAAATGAAAATTTATTCAGATGCTAGCTAAATGAGTAAAATGACGATTACTACAAAAAAATTTTTATTAAAGTATTTAATGAGGAATTTTAGGACTTTAAATCATAAATTATTTCTTTATTCTTCTTATTTATTAATTTAATGATTATTTTATTTTTTAAAGTCAAAGTGAGATATAAAAAAACATAAGTTTATTTTAAAGACAGACTTAAATAATTTTGTTGTTTTATTTAATTATGATATCTTTGCTAGAATTACAAATAATTTATGAAAGTATTCAATTTCTTAGTGTAGAAATGCAACCATTTCACTTTAATAAGTATTTTAAAAAATAAATTAAACAAAATTTAAATTAGTTTTAATAAAATTATTATTATTTTACATAGAGAATACTTACTTATTTAGCAAGAATGGAATTAAAATTTGAATATTTAAACAAATAATAATAAAAATATCAAAACAAAATATATATAAAAAATAGATTAGATAATACTAATAGGATAGCAGAAAAGACACATCCTAGATTTAATTTTACTATTTAATTATATACTATAAAATTACTTGCACAACTTTGAAAATGTTCAATTTAGCAAGTAAAATCTAAATGAGGATCTGCTAAATACTAACAATTTTAGTCCATACATTAATGTAGGGAATAAATACTAACTTCACAGTTTGCTAGATCTTCTTAATAATTTGAGCAAAGTGAAACATCTTGCTAATAACAAGCAATCGAAGTATTTTCTTAGGTATAATAATTAAGTCGGCCTGATCCTAGATTAGCTGCATCTGAATTATAATTAGCACCATTTACATCATTATATTATTAAAATGTATCGTTATAACATTAGAGGTAAGTGGAAAAATCCTAAACTAAATATGAAGTGCAATTAGAATACACATATTCTTCCAAAATCTATTCAGCATTGATATTCGTGTTATATGCGTTTAATTTTTACTAATTAGTACCCGAATTCGAAGCAGTAAAATATTCATCATTATGACATTATTCTGTTATCCTGCTATTGACTAAACAATTAAAAAAAAAATCAAACAGCTTTTATAAAAAACTTTTATCTTCGGTTCCTGCTCCACAACCATAAGAGTTTTTTAAAGCGCATAACGTTACATTATAAAAAGTATCATTTGTATAACATTAATTATAGCAATTATTCATTTCCCCCATTAAAGTATCACAATGCCAACTTTTAAAATATGTGGTACATGCGCTACTTGTTTAATCATAACATTGTTAGGTTTTCTAAGCTATATAATCTGTATTGTTTTGAGGTGGTGCTTAAGTATAGACTACTTTTAAAAAAAGAAATACTAAAAGTCTTGCTAAAAATATATTTATCATTGCCAAAATACCTTTGCAAATATTTATCTTTAAATTACTTATTAAATTTTTTTTTGTAAGTGAAACTACTAATTTAAATATTACTTAAAAATAATAAATAACTCTTAATACTTTTTTATAAAAACAAAACGAAAAAATTGTTTATTTTTGAAAAATATAATATCAAAAAAATTTATAAGTCTATTTTATTAAAAAACAAACAATCAATAATTGATTTATTTAATTAATTTCAACATCTTTTCAAATTAACTTTAAAAATAAATTCTTACTAAATTAAGTTGAATAATTTATCAAATAATTTACAATATTTAATTTAAACTTATTTTCAAACACACCTAAACATTTAAGAAAAGTATTTGAATAATATATTGAATGATAAAAAGTTAGTAATAACAAGGTTGCTAAAAGTCTATGATTATCGTTTTGAAAATTTGAAATTACGAAATTTTGTATTTAAAACTAAACAAAATAAAGAATTCGATGCATTTAATTTATAATATTAATTTATACATTTACAAAAATAAGAAATAATGAATGAATGATTAATAGACATATAAATGATATTTACTTAATTGATTCTTTTTATATTTTTGTGAGCATTCTGTTTATCAGACAGAATACTTGTTAACTTATAAATTTCATAAATAACTAACGAAAATAATTACATAATTTTTATCTGATTGATCAAACCTTCAAAATGTGTTCATCTAAATTGATGAAGTCATCCTCTATCAAGGCTTCGATTGAGTTAAAGTCTATTTCTGTACGGTTTTCGTTATTTGAAATTAAATATTGACAGAGAGATAAAGCATGGCTCTTTAGTTCATTTTCATCATCTACTTTACATTAAGTCATAATTAATTTACGTTGTTTCTTTTGATATGTAATTTATTCTGATTATTCTGATTCATCTATTGGTTGATTTACATACTTAACTCCTAAATCCTACTCATTAAGACAAGTAGAAACGAAAGGCTAGAAGTAGAAAGGAGATATTTTCGCATATTATCTTAGCTATGCTTCATTCATTTAGCCTCTTAATCTGATTTGGTTTTCACGCTCTTATTAGGACAAAGGTTATAATTTAAGACCGAAATAATCAAAAATAAACATCCATTGATGCAAGAAGAACTCATCTAGTTGAGCAACTGAGAGAATTTCAATTAATTTCAAACCAGCAAGCATCAAGTTAGGATTACGGGGAGGTTGACCAGGAAGTGGTTTTGAATATATTTGAATCAACAATGTAAGCAAAATGGGCCAGATTTGTCTGAAGAGTTCATTTAAGTTGCTTTGAGATAGACGAAGAATCAATATACGAATGCAGAAAAGAATTAATATAAGCAAAGAAGATTAAGAGCTATCAGTTGTTTTAATGACTTCTGCGATACTGTCTAAAAGTTTACGTAAACGATTGGCATATTTGTCCTTGGCACCTGAAAAGATGATAAAGCAAGTTCTTTTGAAAGCCTTTATTTTCTTTTTGTTTTCATTCTATTCACGAGCAAAGAAACCAGCAGAAAGACTTACTTTTTCAAGATATTCATTGAAAAGGTCATTAGATTTATCTTGAGTAAGAACATAATCTATAATTTTTCCCCAGTAACGCAAAGTACCCTTATTGCAAGAGAAGAAGTTATCTTTGTTAAACATTTCTAAGATACTTTTTCTGAAATCTTTAATCAAGAGAGAAGGAGCTTTCTCGATCAAGCTACAAATGAGCTCTGAAGTACTTTCAAGGAAGTAAGAATTTGTGCTTCCTTTGTTTTCAATAACAGCATATAAGGGATCAACAAACTCCTTAACACGAACGACAACTCTGTCCTATCTTTCTGGAGAGTAAGTATTTTAGAGTAACTCAAGAGACAATGTTTTGAGGGTTTCCAAACAAATTAATCTGTATTTATCATAAACAGCATTTTCGTCAACAGTATCAATGCGATCAAAGATGAATTGATCCAATTAATTCATCTACAATTCCTTCATCTAGTTAGCAATACTTTTAGGGGCATGCTCTAAAATGTGTATTTGACTGTAAAATGATAAACTAATTTCGTAAAAAGTAGGAGAGTAAGGAGATATTATTCTATATTATTGTAAGCTCTGTACAATCATTTCCTTCATGTGTTAATCAACTGCATTATTCAAAGACTATTAAGTTTAAGCAGAAGGTTCGTTAAATTTGACTTAGTAAACGTTAGCAATCCAGCCAGACAAGTAAGAAAGCTTTTCATTTATCAAATCGTGCAATTCCTTCTTGAACTTACTATCTGATAAAATTTCCTTTGGAGAGTACTTTTCACTCAACATGTACAAAAGATCAAGCATCCACATCACAGTGTTAGGATTTTTAGAGGGTTAGAATATCTATTATCATTATTTAAAATAATAAGTTAAATTATGATTTTTAATATTTATAAAAATTACTTTTAAGATTTTAAGGATAATGTTCCAGAATAGTAGAAGGTTTTCTTTTTTAAGAATATTGCTGTCAATGTAAGTATATGAAAGATATATGTAAAGGAAGTAAAGGAGCTTAGACTCGTGTTGAGCAATTTCATAGTTTAAGAAGTAAACATTTTTCTTTTCTTTAGTGTTCTTTTGTTGGTAGAATTTTTGAATGATTTCACTGATAAAGCTTTGATAGAATGATTCTAAGAAAAGTTCATTGGGAATATTTAAAATAGTTATCATTTCTATCATTTTCTTTAAGAATTCGTTTTAGTTGAAATCCTTGTGGGCATTTGGTGGGTCAGTCATGCAGCTACGGTTCCATAAAAGTAAAAAGGAATTCATCATATCGTTAGGGAATTCATATACCAAAGGTTTGATAATAGAAATAATTAAAATTTTAACTCTCTGTTTATCATTCTCAGCATTTTTGATCATGTCCATCAATAAATTATTAAATGAGTTGAATTTCTTTTGTTCATAAGGTCTGATACCATAACTTGTGAATTCAGTAATAAATTCTGGAGTTGTTTGCCAACTGTTAATAAACAATTCAACGACTTACTTGATATCATATAGCAAACTCTTACAAGTATCAGGATATTTCTCAAAGAATGCCTAATTTTCGAAAAAATTAAAAAATTAATTTCTATCCTTTAAATAAAGTTTATTTATTTTTCTAATATTTATTTCAGATTGATTGATTTTTTAAAGCATTTATTAAAAAAATATGTTTTAATTTATATTTTTTGTATTTGATGAAATAAAAGGAATTAAAAGAAAATCTAAAAATTGAAAGATTTCTCATGATAGTTGATTGCTTATTTTTCATTTACTTCTTATTAATTTGTAATTTTTTATGATAATTGTAGAAATTGTAGTTATATTTTTAATTGCCTTATTAATTATAAATCGGCCTCCAAGTAGCTTCTCCTTGATAATCTTTTTCTTTTTTGATGTTATATAAAAGAAGATGCTTCCTGAAAACCAAAAAATAAAAAAAATTTGTAAATTTTTAAAAATTATTTATTTACTTTGCCATCTTTGTCTTTGTCATTAGCATTTCCACTTCCAGCTAAACCAAGTGTGAGTACAGTTTTCATGAGGTTAGCAAATCCACCGCTTTGATCTTTTTTACTAGATTCAATTTCTTCAAGAGTTCTAATTTTAAGGAAGAATTAGAGAATAGTTCTGACACCTTCTAAAACTGTGTGTATCTCATAAATATTAGAGTCTTCCTTAACTACCTCCTAAGTTTGGATGAGAATAACGGTTTTATTTTGTTTAATCAATGAAGGCTGTTTAATAATTTAAGTTTTGCTTATAGTGACCATAGATTCATCGTTATCTTGAGCAGGAGTAGTAGCCAAGTGCTTGATCAAAGAAAAGTAGGTAAACATAATTGACTTTATAATACTGGTTAGTTGGTTAGAGGCTAAATATGTACTCAAGAGTGGAATACAAGCGCTGATAAATGAAATAAATTAAGATCTAACGTAAGGGATAGAAGTCATTAAACCTTTCAAAATGTTAGGAATAAATAATTTATTTGAAAGAGTTTAAACAAGTTTAAATTTGATTTCTTCAGTATTATTCTTCTTTATGTACGAAGAATGGAAGAATATTATTCTAAAAACATTCAGTAATTGTACTTGCATGACGTAGTCTCTGTTTGTAATGCAGTGACCTAAAATAGTCAAAAGAGGCTCCATGAGATACTCACAAAGAGCCAAACATAATGGAGCATCTTCAAGATGAGTAATTAATAATTCCATATATTCACATGCAGAAGCATTAACAGCAGCATTTTCAACTTAGAATTTCAATGACAAACTTTCCAAAGCTTATCCTTAAATATAACGAAGGCAAACAATTATCAACAAATCTAAGTAAGTCATCTTTAAGTCAGTAACCTTTTTATCGTTTACAGCTGTAGATTGTGAACTAGTCATATCTAAAGAATTCAAATTAGGATTAATTGTACTGAAATAGCTCATAGTAGCTCCAAGCTTTCTAAGTAAAACGGCTTGATTTTTATCAGTAAAGTGGGACTTCATATCCTAAAGAAGTGGGCTCAACTGATAAGAAGAAATGTACTTTAAGAAAACGTCACTAGCAATAATTAGAATGCTCTTTAATTTTCTGAAAGTTTCATTAGCACGAGTGGTCTCGTAAATTTTAGTATAAAAAACTTAGTAGCTATCAGTAACATACCAGCTGCTATTAGCTTACAGAAGCACCTCAAACAAAGGATCAATAATTCTGTAAAATTGAGGGACACTCTCCATCAACCAATTCTTAGAAGCATGTCTAATTAAAGGATTATCATGATCTAAAAAGTCTAACATAATAAAAAGACCAACCTTGATTAAAAAAAATAAAATTAAATATTGTCTAAGTTAAAATGATAAAATGAGTTTTTTGGCTCAATAAAAAAATAAAATGAATTGCTTAGAAAATAAATGAATCCTTAAATAATTTTTTTTAAATTTTATATATAAAAAACATTGTAATTTTATTTAAAATGGAAATAATAGTTGGAAAAAATATTTTTTAAATATTCAGTAAATAAATAATTTTCAAAATAATTTTAATTTTAAGTCAATGAATAAAAGAATTATTTTTATGTTTTACTTTATTTAACTCAGAAAGGAGTAATTTTGATTTGTGGTGGGCTGTTAATCTCCAGAAAACAGCAAATCTTCTAATTGAAGCTTCTTTTTCAGTAATAGAGACAGCTTGGAAACTATTGACTACAACTTCTTTAAAGTATTGTGGGAAATATCTATTTAGTTATAAAAAATGAATATTTATTTATTTATGTCAGTGAAAAAAGGAGAAAGTTATGAATATAAATATCTTGAGTATTTTACTTGGAGAAATAGATAATTAAATCGATGATTCTATCGTAGAAATGCTAGAAATCTAGTAAACTCCAGAGCTTTTCTAGAGTCAATTTAGTGTAATCATTACCAGCTACAAGTTCGTTTTTCTTAGAGTATTTTAGCTTGGCTTCATCAATAATTAGGACTTTCAATTACTCATAGATGGGATCAATTTTTTCGGAAATCATAATTTCAATCATGGACTCAATGGCAATAAGAGAAAGATTAGGATTAGTAATTTTAATGGATTGAGAGATGCATTTAAACCATTAAGGAAGCTGAGTCATTTTCTTTTTGTCGAACAAGAACTTTTAGAGCTTAACTAAGCTCTGAGAAGCTAATTTGTAGATATTATTTGACTTGAAATTTTCTAACTCGTTACTGAGTTTACCATAGAAATTAAAGTATTTTTCAGAGCATTCATCAAGATATTATGCTATTTCTTTTTATTCATTTGTAATTTCTAATTATTTCTTTTCTTTTTTCTCGATTGCTTTAATTTTTGCTTCAGCACTTTCTAATTTAAGCATAAGCTTGTAAATAACCTTCAAAGTTGGTTCAAGTGAATGGAATTCTTGGATATTTTTTTCATCAAGATAGCTTAAAGAGATAAATAATCTTGACAAAGTTTCCTTAATACAATCTCTTTATTACATAGGATCAAAGGAATCTTCAGAAGCAAGAAGATTTTCATAGGTAAACTCAATAAGATTAATAATTTCCAAGCATTAATCATCTTTCTTCTCTCTTAAAAGTTAAACTGCTTCTTCTGAGATACTCTTCAATAAAGAATTAAGCTGTCCTTAGATATTTTCCATAAATCTAATACCACTCTTTAAGACATCAGCTGAAAATTGCATATTCTATGTGTGAGTGTAAACATATTTGACAAATGAGATAGCTAATTTGCTAAGAGTAATTTCTACTAAATTTTCATGTTCCATGTAGAACTATTGCATAATTTTAATTGGCTATAAAGCAGCTACCTTATCTTAAGGCTCTACACTGAAAATTCTCTTGAAAGCATCAATCAACAAATCAACTACAAATTCTCTGCTTTTAGTTATTGTGTACTTGTTGTCCATATCTGGTTTTCCAAAAAGCCAAACATTGACTCTTCTTGTAACTGAAACATCTTTTCTAATTAACAAATAAAGCACACCTTCAACTAAAATTAGTTAATCATCTCTAGAGAGTATTCTATGATTTATCCTTAAGTGGTGATACATTAAATCAAGAATATTTCTTCTTACAATTTAATTTTCGTCTTCAAAACAAGATAAAATTGTGTTAATAATTAAAGAGCTTTTGTTAGGGAAATTATTGTTGTCATCATTTTCATTTATGCTTTCCTCAATGTATTTCAAATTGTCACGCACAAAGAAAGTATTAGTGAAATCTTATTTTTTAGCTATCTTAGGAGCGATTTCATGTTAAAATGCTATTTCCAAAGCGCTCTTACCACCCTTTTTTTATTCTGATGTAGATTCTAAAATATTTAGTTTTTGATCAGTAAGTGATTTAGCTGCACTAACAGGGGCAGTGCTTGTAGATGTAGCTGCCTATTGCTATTGCTATTATTGTTACTACTGCTATTATTATTATTATTATTATTATAATTATTGCTATTATTATTATAATTATTGCTATTATTATAATGAAGCAACTAAGCTCTTTTGGATTTCTTCATCAGCTTATTGCCTGTTAAGTTACTTTTATTACTAATCATCTTCTACTTCTTATTCTTCTACTGGTTATTATGGCTACTATTCTTCTTGATGCTATTCTTGCTAATCCTAGTTTTCTTCATTTCCTTCTAACATACTTTAAAAGTGCTTTTCTGCTTCAGCTTAAGCTTATTAAATCAAGTCTTATGCGATTTTTTCTTCATCTTGAATTTCTACCTAATTATTTTATTAATCATGATCTACTTGATCTGCTTACTCTGCTTGTTGCTCTTAAAATTTAGGCGATTAGTTTTGCTTGACAGGAGTCTATTCCACAGTTTATGTCTATTCTTTTTTCTGCTGTTTTAAATTGAATAAAAATCATAAATAAATACATCGAATATCTTACAAAAATAATATCTTTGCTGACTAAAATTCCAAATTAAATAGATCAATCATTTTTGATTAAAAATAACTGAAAATAATATGATTTCATTTAATTATCAAAACTATGATTTAAGATTTTTGTTTTATTATATTGCTTTATCAGCATTTTGATCAAAAATGCTTAAAATAAATTGTTTTCTTTTTTATAAAATACCAAATCCAAAAAAATTTTATTTACTTGCTCTTTAAACTTAGTCTCATCAAATTCTTCATAATTATCCTCTGAAAAATTTGAAGAATTATCGCTTGCATCTTAATTTTCTTCTTCATCTTCTTCATATTTAACTTTGGGAAGGAGCTTGGTCAAAAACTTAATTGCGTGTTCTCTTCCTCTTTGAGTTCTCTTGATACCCATCCAGACACTACCTAAAAAGTATCTTTAAAAAAGAAAATTATAAAAATCTACATAGGATACAGATATTCTTAAAATGATTTATAAGGCGACTTTTAAATGTTTTTTTAAATTATTTTTGAATGCATTTAATTTATTTTTATAAAAATAAAAGAGCCACATTATAAGAACAAATAGCTTTAGTTTTAAAACGTGCTTATATTTTTTTGCTTTTAAGTGATAAAAAAGTAGAAAATTTTTTACCTTCTACCACAGGAAGTCATGATGGCTTCTAAAGTTTTGGTAACATCTTTAATTAAAATTTCGCTCTACTCTTCTAAACCAGGAAGTATAGATAGCACAAGACCAGGAAGACATGGTATCAAATCTCTTCCTACAGGTATGTAATAATTACGAATAATTTCTAAGAATTGATGTTTATTCTTTTAATGAGCATTCTAAAAGAAGGGGAAGAGACCAACACTGTAAATACCAATGTCTTCACAGAACATCTTCTTGTATTCTTCTACATTGCCTTGGGAAGCTATTTTTATATTTTCGAAGATAAGCTCATAAATTTTAAGTGTCTGCAAATTAATAGCTTATGGCAAGACTGGATTAAGACACTGTGCTAATCTCTTTGCCAAAGAAAGCTTTTCGCTTATATAAGGACTTGGGTTTTCCTTCATAGCTTGCTCAACCTTATAGAGCCAAGTACCAATATCTGACCATGCCTTATTTTTTTCGAATCCACTAAGAAGTGTATTGAGCTGCTTATTCAGCTGGGATGACTTTTCGATTTGTTTTGTTTTATCCATTCCTATCAATATTTAATATCAGTAGATATCTATTATTCAGCAAATATTAACAAACGATGATTTATTTAACTTCTAATCAGTAATTAGCTATTAATTATTTTCTAATATCAAGCAAACAGGATATATGTATGTTTGAGAATGAAGGAGTGAGTGAGTGAGTATGCGTATGTGTGTATTACTTGCTGTATACTACTAACTAACTTAAAAATATACTGCTTACTAGTAAATTTAATTTCAAATTTATATTTTTTTATAAAAAAATTCTTTAATTTAATAAATTCTTTATAATCTCTATCTATTTATCTTTTTATTCACTTTTTTATTTTCTTTTGTTATCTTATTTATTTATTTGCTTGCTTGCTAGCTTGTTATTTGTTTATATTTATTTACTATTTTCTTTATTAAAATAAACAAAAATTCCTATTTATTAGGTTCTTTGATAGATTTATTATTATTAATATTGTTAAATGATATATCTTGCACTTGATATTATTAATTTCATTTATCTCTCATCAAATTTTATCATTACTTTTATCGTTGACTTGATATTTTTTGCAAATTTTCTACTCGTATTTACAAAAGGTTAATATCTCATAATTTTTGTATGTATAATATACTTAATTGTTTATTTATTTATTTTGCTTTTATCTGTTTGCCTGTTGATTGTATTGTATTCTTAGTGTATTTATCTGTATAACCTTATGCAAATAAAAATTAAAAATTTCAAATTTTCTTGATATCTATTTATCTTTCAGCTTAGAATCTTTATTTACATAAATCAAAATCAAAAATTAAATTAATTGCTCGCTCTATTGCACATTTACTGATATACGCATATCTATTGATTACCTCAAATTTCTGTGCAAATTACATAAAGTAACAAAATATCTTGTTGTATCTGTTAATTTTGACTCACGTTATTTTAATTTGAAATTATCTTAAAAAATAGAATAGAGAGAAGCTAGGAAATAAAAAATATATAATTTCTATCTAAAAATAAAAGCAAATCTATCACTATCACTTATGTCTTTCTATCTGTAATTTGCTCAATTCATTTATAAATATTTATTTCATTTATGAATTCTTAATTATCGTTAATCAAAATTTATCTATATCATATACTTGTAATGTATATGAAGATATTAATTGAATCTATCTATCAATCTATTTACTTTTTTAATTTTGTAAAACCTTGATTAAATTAAATTGTAGTTCTATCATTTAATCATATCTGATATAGAGCATTTCTGATTCTCCTAAATTCAAAATTTCTATCTCCTTTTTTTTAAATTTTTTTATTATTTCAATGGAGCCAAAAAATTAATCATCAATTATACTAAAAATCATAGGCTTAAATTGAAAAAATATTAAACCAAAAATATATTTAAAAAAAAACGATTTATTATGTTAAAACCTTTTAAAAAATAAAATAATATCAGTAGAAAATAGTAAAAAATGAATTTAAGTAATAAATATTACAGAGTATTGTTTTGAAAACTAAATTAATCTATTTTAATATTTATCTTTCTATTCTATAAATATACATACAATTAATAATTAAAAAGATAAATATTATTTTCCTTTTCAATGTTATGAAGACTACTTAATATCTTACCAAACTTACTTATGAAGATATAATTTTTATATCATTTTTAAAAAATAAATTTTAATTAAAATAAATATAAAATTTTGAAAAGTATTTATTCACTTTTATTATATTAATTTAATTAATATATTTTCTTTAATAAAAATAAAAAACTTTTAATTGGAATCCAATTTTAAAAATAAAAATTCAATAATAAAATATGTTAAATAGTAGAATCTAATTATTTTTTTATCAATAAAATTTATATTAGTATGTGTTTTTATATTATTTTTCATTTGGGTTAAATAAAGTAAATTTTTAAAAGGTTTTTTCAAACTTTTTAAGTTATTCGAATATAATATAATTTAAAACTAAAACTTATTATTATTTATTATTTTTTAATTAATAAATTACTTATAAAATATCTTACTAATACTCATCAAAGCAAAGCTTAAAATGCTTAAGTCAAAAAAAAAAAAATTACCAATTTAAAATGGTTGCTTTTTAGTTGATAAAAAAGAATGAAGATATTAAATTCACATTATAAAATTTAATTAAATTTTTTTATTTATATTATAACATATTTTTCAAAAGTTTATTATAAAAAATTTAATTTATTCTTAAATTTATTAAATCGAATAAATAAAATTTCATAAATTCATCTGAGAAATAATATTAAGTGGGTGCTTGATTCCATTTTACATTTTCGTTCCATACGATAGATAGGTAGGTTTATACTAATTGATGTCATAATCTTAGGCAAAAATTAAATTAGCTGTTCCTTAGAAAACTGATAACCTTATTTATGCTCCAAAGCCTATATTTTAACGGCGTTCTTTTTAAGTTTATTTTCTCTTTTTTTATCTTTTTTACTATTACTGAATAGCTTTTAGCTTTACTAATACCTTATCAAAATTACTTTCTGGATAAAACTTCTTAAAATTATAAATTTTGTCAAAATAATCCATTGAAGTTAGTTATGTGTATTAAGGATCTTACAAAAAGCTTTTTCCATTTGTTAGCTAAAGTAAAAGGGGTAGCTAGCTATTTTAAAACAACTTTGAAAGTCTCTCAATTATTAGATTTTCATTTTAATTTTAGGAATTTCTATTTTCGCTTTTTTTTTCTTGTTTATTTTATTGTTAATCTCTTGGTAGATTTGTAAAGCTAACTTTATTAAGTATTAACTAATTAGATTTTTGATCAAAGTTATCTTTAAGAGATTTGATTGAATTCTAAATTTTACTGTTTTATTAATTAATGTTTATTTCGTAATTTTTACTTTAGCTTTGAGAATTTATTTTATCCGGCATCAAAGTCATAGAGGCGATATTCTGTAATAGATACTAATCGATAGAACTTCTTATCTCTTTTTAGCTTAAATTAGGTATTAAAGTTTTATTATTTGAATTATCCTTTTTAGCACTCTATATATTGTTGTTAGCTATTTACTTACTCTTGTTTTTTTCTTTTTTGTTGCTTTTTTAAATCTAATTATCTTAAACTAGATTTAAAGAATGATCATCTACTGATTAATTTGAGACCTACTTCTAAATCTATTTATTTAAATTACTATAATGAGGTCCCGATTTCATCTAGCTCTTTAAATATCCAGAGAGCTGAGCATTAATGTTCTACTATTAAGATTTCTATTTATCAAATTTCTTAGAGTTTTCTAAGTTAGATCCTTCTTCATCTAAGTTAGAGATTTATTATGATATTTCAGAATTTGTATCCTTCTTGTAAATCACCCTATTGGACTCTGAATTACATCTTTATTTGTTTTAATAAAATTAATTTGATTCTTAGTTATTTTGTAAATCAATAATATCAGTTGCTTCAAAAGATGTTATCCTAGCTTATGAGTTGATTGCATTAGAAATAACTTTAGGCAAATCTTGGTTCTCATATATGAAATTAGAGTGTATACTCTAAATTTAATTTTCTAAAGTTGCAGTAAGATCAGCATCATCTATATTAGAAACTATGTTTGAATTTATGTGGTTTATACTCTTCACTTGTTTGTCTACTTTCTATCCTTGTTATCCTTTCAAGAGAACTTTTTAGCTAATTTCGTTTTCTTAAAATTGCACAGTAAATTAACTTTATGAGTCGTCATCTTTTTCATCATCATCGTCACTGCTACTTTCATCATTCTGGGATTAACTAAAACCAGTGATGAAACTTTCATCTTGAAGGAAATTCAAGTAATTTTCATCATTACTCTTTTAAAGATTTTGTTTTAACAACTAAATAATATCAAAGTTTTTTTTCTTCTAAATTCTTTTTTTTCAAAAAAATCAATTAAATTAAAAAAAAAAAATATTTTCAAAAAAGAACTTACTTTGCATTACATTTAAATTTTAAATTGATTCTTTTTTTGAAAAATCTTTCTTGGAATGTTGAAAAATTTTATTTCAAAATTATAAACTGCTTGTCAAAATATCTATGAGTTCTTGGGCACTGATTAGCAATGTGATAGCTATTCTTACAGTTGTAGCATTCTGAACGAGTTATTGATGTGTCCTTTTAAAATATAATTTAGTCCTGCATCATTTTAAATCGCTCAAAATCTTCTGTGTTTTATTTTAATATTTATATAAATTCTTCTCTATTAATTTTGTAGAGAGTAGATAAATTCACACTTCTAGCAGAAGCTTGCCTTTGAAGACCAGAAAAGAAAGAAATCTCACCAAATACTTATCCATTTGTCAATGTGTTTATTACATTTATAGTATTTTTCTTTTAAATTTATTGCAAATAGATCTCAATTACTCCACTTTGTATAAAATAAATAGAAGAATCATCAGATTCATCTTCATTAATTATGACTTCATTAGGATTTACTAAAATTTCCTTCATGATAAAAATTAATTTATTTAAAGTTGATTTAGAAAAGTTTGAGCTAAATACAAGGTAGTTATTTAAAATTTTTGAGTTTATTTCTTGTGTAATTTCATCTCTAAGTTTATTTGAAAGGACTGAAAGAATCTTATCTTCTTATTATTTATCTCTATCTTTTTACTCCTACGCTAAAAATGATAAATAATGCCTCACCCTACTTTTGAGTTAAATGTTCACATCTTTCCTAATAAGATACCTTAATTTTTTAAATATAATTTTTATTAAATGTTAATTCACAGCAATTTAATCAATAACCTTTGGATAGTAGCTATATCATCATTGAGTTATTTCGAGGATTTTTCAATTTCCTATAAAATAAAACCTATGTTATTAATTGAATAAGCAAAAACACAACTAAACAATATCATAGTTATTGTTATATAAAGTGCTTCAATCCAATTTGTTGCTGAAATATCTCCATATCCAACTAATTAATTAATTAATTAAAATTAATTTAAACTATTATATTTTAAAAAATTTATGAGTTAAAACCTGTAGTCATAGTTGTAATAGACCAGTACATAGAATATATGTATTTTTGGTAATACGGGTATGAAGAAATGCTAAGCTTGTCAAGCCAATTATTTTGGTCGTAATTTTACTCTTAAATTCCTACAAAATACCATCCTATTGAAGCTTTATTTTAATGTTAATTTAATATAAATTGCAAATAGCTAATTAATTATTTATTTACCTATGTGAGCCACTGTTATAACGCTTGCTAATTAATTTATTAGCTTAGAAATATGTTTTTGATTTTCTGTTAGAGTAAAGATATAATCAAACCTCTTTTTTTTATGAGAAATTCCATTTGCTTTCATGAAAATAAGCAAATTTAAACCAAATATAGATAAATTTTGATTTATATTATTACTAATAAGAGTATTTTAATAAATGATTTTAGAACCTAGTATAAACATACTTACAAAATCTGTGATAAATATCGATGAAAAAAAATACTATTTTGCAATGAGCCTACGCTAAGTAATAATAACATCTTTGTCAAAAAAAGCAGTATTTAAATTAACTAATATATCGAGTAAAAACATGATGAAGGAATAAAAGCTAATGCTTTAAATAAATTTAGTATTTGAATCATTCTAATCAAAAAAAATGAGTATTGAATAGAAGTAAAAAAATATGTAGATGAAGGCAACCTGAACCAAATCCCAGATAACTCTAAAAGTGTCTGTTGGCATGAATATAGCTACATTTCTAGATTGCTTAAATATTTTATTTAAAAAGCGAAATATGTAAATACTTTAACCACTTTTAACTTTTTAATTATAAATATGAGATAAATCATTAATAATTAAGAATTCCTATTAAGTTAAATTATCTAATTTTCTATTCAAGTGTCTTATTTTTAGATGTTAAACAAATTATTTAACTTTTTGCCTTATTCTCATTATTTTGTTCATTGAGTTATTTAAAAGTCTACTTATTATATTACTTGCTTTTTGAAAATTCTACTTATACTTTTATTAAACTAAATTCTCTGAAAATAGATTTTAGTTTTTTGCCATCGTATTAACTCTTGAGCTTAGCTTATTCAGATCCTTTTCAAAGATCATATCATCTTAGATGACTAATTTACTGGCTTGCTTGATATTATTCTATTTTAAGTTTTTTTTAGAAGAAATAGGGCTTTTCATTTCGCTTTTTGGTATGTTATTTTGAGAATTCAAAAAAATTGAATTGTTTTATTCTGAATTGCAGCTACTTTCTTTTTCCTGCTTGTTAAGATTAGAATTTAAGTTTGAAATATCTTCTTATTTATTCTGTAACTAGTGAATATTCTACTATAATTTCAATTAGTTTTATTCTTATTGGTAATGTTTATGATCAATAGTAGACTAATACTAAAAGTTTGTCTATTTTTCGTTTAAATAGTTATTGTTGGTACTAAATTGCAGCAAAGGTTACTAATTTTGTAACAAGGAGCTATTATTGTTAAACCCTTTGTTTATTGATTTTTATAAAGTATCATTTATTTCACCTTATATGCTCTTAAATGATACATCTAAGTCTCCTTCGTGTAGCTTCTGAGGTTAGTAATGTTATGACTCAAAAAGTTATCCTTAACAACTCCTATTTACTTAGATATCTAACTCTTATTATTTGCCTTCATCTTTTGATGCTTGCTTATAAAATTATGAAGAAAATTGCGATTTGTATTTTTTTTCAGCTTCTTAAGTAGGATCCATCATTTTTATTACTTAACCTAAATTAAATAAAAGCAAAGTTATCTATTAGTTTCCTAAATGACCTTATATAAAATAACAATTAAATTATTATGTAGAGTTAACAAATTAACAAACAAATAAATCAATAATTATATTTACTTTTTAAAAGCTATTTTTGAAAAAAAATAAAATCGTTAATTGAACCTAATGTTGATTCAACCAAAGCTAAATATTCTTATAGTACAAAGTTTAATTAAATAATGTAGTTATAAGTGTAGGTATGTTAATAAAATATGATGTAAAATCAAATATTTATGTTTAATGTAAATTATTTAAAAATAATATTTTTCTTTTAATATTTAAAGAATTCAATTTAGCTTAATTTTTATAATGAATTAATAATTAATTTTATTTAAGATCTTAACTTGAAACAAATAATCAAATTTTTATAAATAAATACTAAAAAAATAATAAATTATTAATTTTAAATTAGCTTTTTTGTGTAAATTAATTTTGTTCATTAATTCTAAAAGTAAATAAGTTTATTACATTGAAAATTATTTTGCATTTTTATTAAATGAAAATATTAGTTTAATCAAAGAAACCTAAGAAGATTTAAAATAAGATAAAAATAATTTTCAGGAAGAGAAAATGTAAGGGATTAATGAAAAAATAAATTAATCCTTAGATTAACATATAGATTTCTTTAAGGAAGAGGAATTAATTAATATAATAAAAGCAAATAATTAGAAATATCAAAAGATGAATAGCATAGATATAAAATAGAAAATAAAATACAATAAATTAAATTTGACTAGGAAAGAATTATCCAACTATAAAAAGCCTAAAACAAAAATATATAGATATTGAAGATTTAGAATAAAATTCTTGGTAGATTATGATTGATGATGCTTACAATTTTATTCATTTACCGAAATAGATACCCTATTTTTTAAAATGCTACTGATTGAATGCTGAATTAAGGTAGAAAAAGATAATAAATATAGAAGAATTTTAATAATGATGGCTGTAATTTTTAAAAAATTATGTTGCAGGTTAATTAATGATCAAAGTACTTTTAATAATTCTTTTAAAATTAAATAAATAGTTGCAAGAAATTATTTACAAAAGAATTATAAAGGCATATTTAATGAGGAGGCTTTCATAAACTATAATCCTTACTCTAATAAAAAAATAGATAAAAACTATTACTGTTTAAAAATAAGTACACTAATAATTAAAAAAGTATTAAAAAATAATAGAAATGAAAATACTGTGTATTTTTATTTTCTTTTATATTTCAAAAACTATTTAAAATTTTAAATAATATTCTTGCTCGTAAAAAATTTTATAAAAATTTGTCCTTAAAAAGCTGATCTAGACCACACTTTTTCTTTTATTTGATATAAAATTGAATTTAATTTTTTAATTTATATTACAAAGACATTACTTACAAAAATTTAAAGATATTATTCATAGTTTATTATTAAAATTTAAGTTTTGTCTTAAATTTTTCAAAATGAAGAAATAAAATTTCATGAATTCGTCTGCGAAATATTATTAATTGGATGCTTGATTCCATTTTACATTTTAATTCCATATGATAGATAAGTAGGTTTATACTAATTGATATCATAATCCTAAGCAATAATTAAATTAGATCTTCCTTAGAAAACTGAAAATCTTACTTATCCAACACCTATATTTTAACGGCGTTCTTTTTAAGTTTATTTTTTCTTTTTTTGTTTTTTGTACTATTGCTGAATACTTTTTATGTTTACTATTACCTTATCAAAGTTATTTTCAGGATAAAACTTCTTAAAATTATAAATTTTGTCAAAATAATCCATTGAAGTTTGTTATGTGAATGAAGGATCTTACAAAAAACTTTTACCATTTGTTAGCTAAAGTAAAAGGGGTAGCTAGCTATTTTAAAACAACTTTGAAAGTCTCTCCATTAGATTTTCATTCTAATTTTAGGAATTTCTATTCTCGCTTTTTTTTTCTTATTTATTTTATTGTTAATCTTTTGGTAGATTTGTAAAGCTAACTTTATTATGGATTAACTAGTTAGATTTTTGATCAAAGTTGTCTTTAATAGACCTAGCTGAATTCTAAAGTTTATTGTTTCTATCCTAATTAATATTTATCTATTAATTTTTAATTTATAATTGAGAATTTATTTTATCTGGCATCAAAGTCAAAGAAGCGATATTTTGTAATATATTCTAATCTATAGAACATCTTATTTCTCTCTAACTTAAATCAGGAATCAAGGTTTTATTGTTTGAAATATCCTTTTTAGGACTTGATAGATTGTTAATATTTTACTTACTCTTGCTCTTTTCTTTTTTCTTGCATTTTTAAATTTAACTATCATAAGCTTGATTTGAAGAATGGTCATCTACCGATTAATTTGAGAGCTACTTCTAAATTTGTATATTTAAATTACTATAATGAGGACCCTATTTAATCTAGTTCTTTAAATATTCAGAGAACTAAGTATTAATATTCTACTATTACAATTTTTATTTATCTAATTTCTTAGAGTTTTCTACTTATGAACCTTCATCATCTTAGTTTGACATTAATTGTGACATTTCAGAATTAGTAGTATCCTTCTATTAACTCACCTTATTAGACTCAGAATTACATCTTTATTTGTCTTAATTAAGTTAATTTGACTCATAGTTACTTTGTAAATCAATTTAGTCAGCTACCTCAAAAGATTTTACCTTAACTTATGAGTTAATTGCATTAGAGATAACTTTAGGTAAATCTTGATTTTCATATATGAAATTAGAATGCAAACTCTGAATTTAATTTTCTATAGTATTATTAAACTCTACATCATCTATATTAGAAGCTATGTTTGAGTTTATGTTGTTTATACTCTTTACTTATTTGTCTATTTTCTATCCTAATGGACTCTTTTACCCAACTCTTTAGCTTTAGCTGATTTCATTTTCTTGAAGTTGCGTAGTTAATTAACTTTATGAATCATCGTCATCTTAATCATTCTCTTCACTACTTTCATCATTTTGTGATTAACTTAAATCAGTTAGGAAACTTTCATCGTTAAGGAAATTTAAGAAATTTTCTTCGTTGTTCTTTGAAAGATTTTACTTCAACAATTCAATAATATCAACATTTTTTTTCTTCTATATTCTTTTTTTTTAAATTAATTAAATTTAAAAAAAAGTATTTTCAATAAACTTAACTTACTTACTTTGCATTACATTCAAATTTCTGTTTACTTCTTTATTTGAAAAGTCTTTCTTGGAATGTTGAAAAATTTTATTTCAAAACTATAAACTGCTTATCAAAATATCTATGAGTCCTTGGACACTAATTAGCTAAGTGATAGCTATTCTTGCAATTGTAGCATTCTGAACGAGTTATTGATGTGTCCTTTTAAAATATAATTTAGTCTTGCATCATTTTAAATCTCTCAAAATCTTCTGTGTTTTCTTTTAATATTTCGATAAATTCTTCTCTTTTAATTTTGTATAGGGTAGATAAATTCACACTTCTAGCAGAAGCTTGCCTTTAAAGACCAGAAAAGAAAGAAATCTCTCCAAATACTTATCCACTTGTCAATGTGACTATTATATTTTTACCATTTTTCTTTTAAATTTATTATAAATAGATCTCAATTATTCCGCTTTGTATGAAATAAATTGAAGAATCATCAGATTCATCTTCATTAATTATGACTTCATTAGGATTTACTAAAATTTCCTTCATGATAAAAATTAATTTGTTTAAAGTTGATTTAGAAAAGTTAGAGCTAAATATAAGGTAGTTATTTAAAACTTTTGAGTTTATTTATTGTGTAATTTCATCTCTAAGTTTATTAGAAAGAACTGAAAGAATTTTATCTTCTTATTATTTATCTCTATCTTTTTACTCCTGCGCTAAAAATGATAAATAATGCCTCACCCTACTTTTGAGTTAAATGTTCACATCCTTCCTTATAAGATATCTAAATTATATTAATACAATTTTTATTAAATGTTTATTTTTAGTAATTAATTAATTAACTAATAAATAAATAACCTTTGGATAGTAGCTATATCATCATTGAGTTATTTCGAAGATTTTTCAATTTCCTATAAAATAAAACCTATGTTATTAATTGAATAAGCAAAAACACAACTAAACAATATCATAGTTATTGTTATATAAAGTGCTTCAATCCAATTTGTTGCTGAAATATCTCCATATCCAACTAATTTATAAAATAATTAAAATTAATTTAAATTAAGCTATTGAAATGTAAAAAAGTATTAAGTAAAACCTGTAGTCATTGTTGTAATAGACCAATATATAGAATATATATACTTTTGATAATACGGATATGATGAAATGCTAAGCTTGTCAAGCCAATTATTTTCATTGTAATTTTACTCTTAAACTCCAACAAAATACCATCCTATTGCAGCTTTATAATAATAGTAGTTTAATATAAATTATACATAGCTAATTAATTATTTATTTACCTATGTGAGCTACTGTTATTACGCTAGCCAATTAATTAATTAACTTAGAAATATGTTTTTGATTTTCAGTTAGAGTAAAGATATAATCAAATTTCTTTTTTTTATGAGAAATTCCATTTGCTTTCAAAAAAATTAGCAAATTTAAACCAAACATAGTTAAATTTTGATTTATATTATTGCTAATAAGGGTATTTTAGTAAATGACTTTAGAGCCAATAATAAACATACTTATCAAATCGGTTATAAATATCGATGAAAAAAAATACTACTTTGCAATTAGTTTACGCTTAGTGATAATAACATCTTTATCAAAAAAAGCAGTATTTAAATTAACTAATATATCTAGCATAAACATGATAAAGAAATAAAAGCTTATGCTTTAAATAAATTGAGTATTTGCATCATCCTAATCAAAAAAAATTAATACTGAATAGAAGTAAAAAAATAGGTAGATGAAAGTAACATAAGCCATATCCCAGATAACTCTAAAAGTATCTGTTGGCATAAATATAATTACATTTTGAGATTTCTTAAAAAGTTTACTTAAAAAGTTAAATATGAAACTGCTTTAACCATTTTTAACTTTTTAATTATAAATGTAAGATAAATCATTAATAAGTAAGAATTCTTTTTGAGTTAAATTATCTAATTTTCTATTCAAGTGTCGAATTTTCAGATGTTAAGCAAATTACTTAACTTTCTGTCTTATTCTCATAATTTTGTTCATTTAGTTATTTAAAAGTCTACTTATTATGTTACTTGCCTTTTGAAAATTCTACTTATACTTTTATTAGACTAAATTTTCTTAATATACATTTTAGTTTTTTGCAATCACGTTAACTCTTGAGCAAAGCTTGTTAAGGTCTTTTTCAAAGATCATATCGTCTTAAATGTCTAATTTACTAGCTTACTTTGAATTATTCGATTTTGAGTTTTTTTGAGAAGAAGTAGGACTTTTGATTTTGATTTTCTTTATTATATTTTCAGATTGCAAAATAACTGAATTGTTTTATTCTGAATTGCTGCTACTTTCATTTTCGGGTAAGTTAAGTTTAAGATTTAACTTTGAGTTATCCTATTAATTTTTCAACGACTAATGACTATTTATCTATAATCTCAATTTGTTTTATTCTTATTGGAGGTGATGATGATCAAGATTAGGGTGATACTAAAAGTTTGCCTATTTTTCATTTAAATTGCTACTGTTGGTATTAAATTGCAAAAAAGATTATTAATTTTGTACAAGGGAGTTATTATTGCCAAACCCTTTGTTTATTTATTTTTATAAAGAATCATTTGTTTCTCCTTAAATGCTCTTTAATGATATATCTAAGTCTCCTTCATGAGGCTAGAACTATTATGATTCAAAAAGTTATCCTTAACAACTCCTATTTACTTAGATATCTAACTCTTATTATTTGCTATCTTCTTTTGATGCTCGATAATAAAGCTGCGAAGAAAATAGAGATTTTTATCTTTTTGCAGCTTCTTTTGTAGGATCCATCATTTTTTTACTTAAGTTAAAGTAAATTTTTTTTGCTTCCTAATTTACCTTATAAAAATTATTGGAGTTAATAAATTAACAAAGAAAGAAATCAAGAATTATATTTTACTTATTAAAAGTTATTTTTGAAATATAAAATCATTAATTAAGTAGCCTAAAACTTGATTCTGCTAAAGCTAAATATTCTTAAAGCATTATGTTAAATAAAGAATATCATTATAATTGTTTTCTTGCTAATAAAACATGTACTTGAAATGATTTATCACATATTTATGCAATATAAATGTAAATATTATTTAAAATAATATTTTTCTTTAAAATATTAGAAATTTATGTTTGAAGATTGTAATTTTAGTTTCACTTTAATAATTTATTAAGAATTTTTAAAATATTATTTTTTAAACTTGAAACTAATAATCAATCAAATGTTTATTAATAAATAAATATTAAAATAGTAATAAATTCTTAATTTTAAATTTATTTCTTTCTTTGTAAAAATGTTAATTAATTCTAAAGTTAATAAAAAATGATAAAATTCAAAAAGCTATTAAAAATTAAATATATATTAATTGATATAAGAAAATATAATAAAACAAAGAAATAATGAAATAAAATACAGCTAATAGATATATATATTCTTTAATTATTAAATAGTGTATGAAAAACTCAAAACCAACAAAATTCCATTTAAATTTGTATTAATTTTTCATAATTCTATTTTTATGTTTTTCTAAACAAGTCTTTTCATTTTTTTAATATTCTAAATTAAATCGATACCTCCACCAATCAAATTTAAGCTATTTCCTCTTTATATAAATTAATTAATAAATATTTTTTAATTAAAAAAAGCTTTTAATATTAAATTACATGTTATTATAGTCTTTAATAATAAGTGATAAATATAATAGGTTGAGTAACTTTTAAAATGCAATTGCTAAATCCTTTTAGAAACTAATTTATGTGTATTTATTCCTTTTTATTTTTAATTTAAATAAATTAATGATAAAGAAAGTAAGATCCAAATAGGCTAAAATTATTAATAAGTAAGTATTAAAAAATAGATAAATTAGTTATATTACCTTAAATAAATTTGCAAAACTTTGAGATTTTTAACTTATGATAATGGCTGAATTAGCGTTATTAATGGTAATGATCTAATTAAATTATCACTTTTAGTTTAATGGTAATTAAAAAACTTTTATTTAATCAAACTTTAAAATTTATTTATTTATTAATAATAATTGTTAAAAATAAAAATTAAGATAAAAAGAATCTTTTTCTATTTTTGTTAAAAAATTAATTTTATATAATAACTAACCTCAGGAAAAGTTTTATTTCTTTTAGACTTGCTAATCTTCCTAAATTAAACCCTAAAAGATTTAGGCTCTAATCATCAATTAAGGTTTTACTTATAAATTAATTATAATTTAATTTAGTATATTTAAGTTAATTAAAATTAGTATTTGCTCAAATAGCTTTTAAAGTATTTTAGAAAAATCTTTGAGCACTTACTTTCTGAAAAATAATTTATTTATTTTTAATATATTTTAAACAAATTTATATTAGTCAGAATTATTTATCTAATATAAAATTAAAATCTCTAAATGTTTTCTTTTTAAAAATTTATTTTAAGACTTAATTTTTATTTCAAGGAAATCTGATTACTCTCAATTTAAATACTGATTTTGTAGACTTAGAAGTAAAATAATTTAATTATTACTTGAAATCTAAGTAAATAGATTATAAATTTTTCAAATTTGCAATTTCAAAGCTTAAAATACAAACACCATTAAAACTAATTTTATTTTCACTATATATTTAAAATTTTAAAATTAATATTTTTATTTGAATTTGAATATATTCTATGAAATATATATAAAAGGTAAGTTTTGAATTATTTAAATTAATTACTAAAAATCTAACGATAAATCAGCTAATTTTTCTAATTATTTTAGCTTAAAGTTTATAAATGCTCCATCATCAATTTTGTTATTTCTTTAAAAATAATAAAATAATAAATTTTTTAATTCACAAAATAATTATTTAACAAAATGTAAGGAATGAGTTTAATTTAAAATATTTGTCAATTCCAATTTTAATATTTATTTATATGTAATTACCCCAAGAAAAGACGTAAGACTTAAAGATTTTTAGAAGACTCTAAGCCACTACATAGACCAGAAAAACCTTCTGAAGAAATCTTATTATCCCTAATCCATTTTATTTTCAATAAAAATAACTTCAGTCAAAAATAAAGTAATACCTTAACTCAATTTTGAGATAAGATAAATTATTTAAGCTCTTTAAAGATATTCCAATGCTTTTCACAGTTTAATCATTTATTTTATTTGATCTTTAAATAAAAAATTAACATTTAAAATTTAAATTTTTTATTAAAATTTAATAAATACTTTTATAATTTGTTACTATTTTTATTTTAATAACTTTTTAATTATTTGTATGCAATTTATTATAAAATTAAACAATCTAATTGTAATTAAATTATTTACCCTAACTCAATATCTAACTTTTAAAGATTAGTACACTTTTCTAAAGAAGAAATTAAAGGATCTCCTTATTTGATCTAAATGTTCAAGTATGACTTAAATTAATTAATAACTTTGTCAGAATTGGATAACTCAAAATAGTTTTCTCTAAATTTTTAAATAAAATATAAATTGAAAATCTTAAATATATTATAAATTTTATAAATCAATTTTTAGAAGAATTAAAAATTAATTTTAAGAAACAAAATTTGTTGAAATTTATTCTAATAAATATTTTAAATTACTGAAGATATATGTTTAGGCTAGATAAATTTATACAGTTTGATAAAGCAAAACCTAAATTAGACTTTCCTTTTGAGCAAATATTATTTTGTCTTTTTTTAATTTTTGAACAATTTTATAAAAATATATTGAATTAATTTAATTTTTCAAGTAATGTAAAATATTTAATTTATTATTAATAAAAAAATTTAACTTATTAAAAGCGAAAAAAAAAAATAGATTTATGAAAAATAGAAAAAATTTAATTTTATATCATTAATGAGGGAGGATATACAGTATTTTTTTTAATTTAAAAACTTAATATTTTTTTAAAATATGTAATTTATCTTTGACGATTTAAAATTTATTTTATAAATTAAAAGAAAAATCTAAAATGAAAATATTACACTAAGTTCAGAGTTAGATTTTAAATAGATATGCATTAACCTAAGTATTAACCAAATGTATTAATCCCTTTTGTATTAATTCCAGTATCTCTATTATTAGATGATAAATAAATTAATCAATTTAATTGGCAAAAATTTAAAAATCAATTCATTTTAAGAAAATTTAACTTTTTTTTATATATTTCTTAACTTCTCTATTCTAAAAATTTCTAAAACTATTTCTATACCTTAAATAAAGTTCTAAAGATGATACTTTTTTTAAGTTTTTCAAAGCAGACCCTAATTCAGAAACTCCTTAATCACCAATTTTGTTGAAACTTTTATTACACAATAACATAAAAAAAGTTTTTATATTTTTATTTTAAAAGATATAATTTTAAATTAAGCATATATTCAAAAATATCTTTCATTCATTTAATAATAGGAATAATCATACCTTAGGCAAAGTATTAAAGTATCTAAATTATCCCAATTAGAATGATCGTTGATTAAATATTTTGCAGTTTTTGAAGTAATTTAGGTGCTACTAAGATTATATTATTTAAAATTCAAAAAATTTATTATTTTTAACCAAAAAGTCATTAATTTTAAAATTAATTTCTTACATTAAATCAAGAAGCAAGTAATTTAAGTTACCATAACTATTTATTGAGGAACATAAATTAATAATTCCAAAATCATCTATAGGATTATTGCTATAATTCCAATTTAATTATTTTTTATTAATAAAAATAAAAACTCATTTATTTATTTGTTTTATTTTTAAGTTATTTTTTAATTTTAAAAAGCTACTTATTTATAAATTACCTTAACTTTAACAGTAAGGTATGAATAATCTAACACTTTTTTAAACCTTTACTCAATTCTATAACTCCTTAGGAATGGATTAAGTTAGATCTATTATTTTTAATTTAGATTTAAATAAATTAAATAAATAATTAAAATACCTTAAATTAACTTCAAGCTTTAAGATCTGATTCAGATTAAGTAGAACATATCCAATATGGAACCCAAAGTAATCTCTAATACTATTATCACTGTTTATAGGAAAGTGAATATTGTCAATTTTATAAATATGTTAAATGAAATTTCTTTCATTTTTAAAAATTTTTATTATTTTTGAAATTAAGCTCCAGAAAATTTTACCTTACATTAATAATAAGAGATTATAATTCTTTGTAATTTAATAAAGTTTTAAAAATAAGTAATCGAAATAGGCATTCTCCGTATCTTTAAAATTTTTTTAAAAAGTAAAATTAATAAATCAAATTTTTTATTTTTATAATTTAATAGATAAAAAAAATATTAATTTGATTATTTATTTAACTATTTCTATTTAAAATTTAGAACTAAACTTGTTTCACCAAAAGATTTTGAGCTAACAAACTTTTTTTAAAAAAAAATTAAATTTACAAATAGAGTAAGAAATTTAAAAAAATTAATTACATCTTAATATCTATAAAATACATTTTTCTATAGTTACATATTTTTTGCTAAAACCAATTTTATGAGTCTAAAAGATAAAATTTGTATTAAAAACTAATTAATTATCATTAATTATATTTATTAAAATCATCAGAAATTAACTTATATCAGAAATTAGATTAATTAAAAACTTTTTTGATCTATAAAAAATCACAAATTATTTAAATATCATCTCTTTATTTTGCAAAAAAATTAATTATAAAAGTAATATCATTAGATAATTAGCTTTAAAATCTTTATTCTTAGCATTTATTGTTAATATTATATGTTAAATTTTAATTTTTAATAAATAAAATTAAATAAGTAACTACTACTAATTAAGTAATATATGTTTTAAATGAAATATATTTAGTTTAAAATAAATTTATTGTTTTTAAATCTTAGAACTCTTCACAAGTCTTAATATAATAATGTTGGCAAACTAATTTATAGCATTTTAATTTCATAGAAATAAAATTAAATTAGGAAAATCTGATGCATAGAATTAATTAGCTTTTGTTTTATTACATTTTTAAAGCTTTGAATTTTTATCAGAATTCATAATTATAAATTTATATATCAATTAGTATTATGAATAAGGCCTATTTAAATAAAATACCTAATGACATTTAATAAAATATTTAGAAATATAAAATACTAAAATGTCTTGATTGATAAATTTAAATAAAATGAATTAATTACAAAATTTTTTAATTTGAGATAAAATTGACTCAAGTCAATCATTTAAAATTTTTAGCTAAGCCCTTAAAAAGTTAATTATTCATTCATTTATTGCAGAATTTATCTTTAGTTTATTATAGATATCATTTTTTTCTTTTTAAATTTTAGAATTTTGCATAAATCTTAAATTTAATAATAAAAATGTATTATATTTTGAATTTTATAAAGATACAATTATTAAAGGAAATAAGGATAAAAAGACATAATAAGGAAATCAGGATCATAGAATTAATTAATTTTTGCTATTTTAAATAAATTTGAATTTGTATCGGAATTAATCATAATTTATATTTATTTGTTAATCAATTAATCAATGATTTTATGAATGATATTAAATATCTTCTTAAATGTATTAAATATAGATATCAAATTGATATTTAGTAATAAAAAATACTAAAATTATTGGTTGATGAATTTAAATAAAATGTACAAATTTTATATAATTTTTATAATTATTTCATTTAAGGTAAAAAAAACTACTCAATTTAAGAATTTCAACATATTTATCTAAGATCTTAAATAGTTTATGCATTAATGATTTAAGTTATTTTATTTGCTTTGATAAAAGTATTGAAATTACAATTAATTTTAACTAAAGACTCAATTTTTACTTTTAGAAAGCATATTTAAAGGGTAGTTGACACCTTTCTGCATTTTGGTTCCATAAGATAGATAAGTTGGTTTATATAGATTGATATCATAATCTAAAGGTTAGAACCTAATAATATTTGCGTTTCCTTAGAATATAGAGACTCTTATTGTATTACCAAATCCTATATTTTAGCGACGCTCTTTTGAAGCTAATTTCATCTTTTTTTATTTCTTTTATTCTTGCTACACAGCTTTTAACTTGTGAAGCACTTTATCAAAATTATTCTCAGGATAAAATTTTTTAAATTGTTGAATCTTATCAAAATAATCAATTGAATTTGACTATATAAACTAAGAGTCTTGTAATAAGCTTTTACCATTTGTTAGCTAAAGCAAAAGAGGTAACTACATATTTTAAAGTAATTTACTAACCTTTTCAAAAAGCTATTGATTTTCATTTTAATTTGGGTTATTCATTTTTTCATTAAGTTGTTATTGTAATTATTTATTCTAGTCTTAATTTATACCTTAATTTTAATTATTATTTTTTGGGGACAAATACTGATTTGATTTTTATTAGTTGTTATCCCTTATTGACCTACTTGAGTTTTAAATTTTTCCATTTTTATCATAATTAAAATTGCTTTCATTACTCTTATTCTGAGATCCAGAATTCCTTTTATCTGACGTTAGACCCATTTAAACAATATTCTGTAGCAACATTTATTCAACAGAAGACCTCAATTCTTTTTAACTTTAATTTTAAATTAAACTTTTCTTGTAAGAGTTCTTTTTAGGTGAGTTAAAATGATTAGTTTTAGATTTTCTCTAATTATTATCAATTTTATTGATAGGCAATATCGGAATATCTGTTGTTTACTGGTATTATGAGTTATCATCAACTGATTGATTTGATACCTATTTCTAAATGTGCTTATTTAAATTACTATAGTAAGGACCATATTTCATCTAACTTTTTAAATAATCTGTGAATTGAGCATTTATTGTCATTTATTTCTATTTATCAAATTTTTTCGATTTATTGGAATTTTGCCCATCATCGTAGTCATCTTAGCTTAGAAGTGATGGTTATATTTCAATTTTTGTATCCTTTTTGTAAATTGCTCTAATTGATTTCTGTTAACTGCTTTAAAAATCTTAGTTAATTGTATCGATACTACCAGATGCTTCAAATGACTTTGATATTCCTTATGAATTCAACGTATTAGATTTAGCTCTAGCAAAATCTTGATTTTCGTAGATAAAATTTGAATTCAAATTTTATATTTAGTTTTCTAGACTCGCTAATTACTCAGCATCTTCGCAATTTGTCAAATTAGAATTAAATTAGTTCATGGTTTTTACCTACTTTTCCGCTTTCTCCAATTATTATTATATTTTTTTAATGTTAATTTCATTTTCTTTATCATCAAACTGGATTGTGGTTTAACTTTATGAGTCTTCTTCTTCATCATCTTAATTATCCTCATTATCAAATTAAGATTATGAATAGTCAGTATTAAAATTTTCTTCATTAGTAAACATTTAATACATCTCATCATCTTCTTTTTGAATACTTTGCTTTAACCTTAAAACTATTCCTTAATTTTTTTTCCATAATATCCTTTAAAAAAAAAAACATTAAAAATATTTTAAGTAAATTTTAATAATTTTACTTAGCATTAAATTTAGATTTTATGGTTACTCTTTCTTTAAAAAGTCTTTCTTAAAACATAGAAAAGTTTTGTTTCAAAATAGTAAATTATTTATCAAAATATTTATGAGTTCTAGGACATTAATTAGCTAAGTGACCACTGTTTTTACAGCTATAGCATTCAGAATGAGTAATAGTTATATCTTTTTGAAATATGATTTAATCCTGCATCATTTTAAACCTCTCGAAATCTTCTGTGTTTTCTTTTAATATTTCTATAAACTCTTCTCTGTTGATTTTATAAAGAGTCGATAAATTCACACTTCTTGCTGATGATTGTCTCTAAAGACCAGAAAAAAAAGAAATTTCACCAAAAATTTACCCTTTTGTCAATGTTTTTACAACTGTTATCATATTTTATTTTTAAATTTATTACTGATAAATCTCAATTATTCCGTTTTGAATGAAATATATTGAAGAGTCATCAGACTAGCCTTCAGTTATTATTACCTCATTTGGATTTACTAAAATCTCTTACATGATAAATATTAGTTTATTTAAAGTAGACTAAGAAAAATTAGAACTAAAAATGAGGTAGTTATTTAAAATTTTAGAGTTTATTTCTTGGGTGATTTCATCTCTAAGCTTATTTGAGAGGACAGAGAGTATTTTATCTTCTTATTATTTATCCCTATCTTTTTGCTCCTACGCTAAAAAAGATAAGTAGTGTCTGACCCTACTTTTGAGTTAAATATTCACATCCTTTCTTATAAGATACCTTGATAATTTGTTATAAAAATTTTGTGTTTTCAAAAATAATTTGAGATTTATATTAAACCTTTGTATTGTAGTAATGTCATCATTTAGCTATTTTGAAGACTTTTCTATTTCTTGTAATATAAAACCTATATTATTAATAGAATATGCAAAAACACAACTAAACAAGATCATTGTAATTGTTATATAAAGTGCCTCTGCGGAATTTGAAGCTGAAATATCTCCGTATCCAACTAATAAAATAATAAAATATTTACATAAAGCAAATAAGGTAATAAAAAACTAATTAATTATCATAGTAATAATTTATCTAAAAAAAGTAACCTGTTGTCATAGTTGTAATCGACCAGTAAATAGAATATATGTATTTTTAATAGTATGTATAGGATGAAATACTAAGCTTATCAAGCCAATTATTTTGATTATTATTTGATTCTGAAATGCCAACAAAATACCATCCTATAGCAGCTTTATTAAATTAATTTATTAAACTAAATTAATTAAAGCATAATTTAATTTTTACCTATATGAGCAACTGTTATAACACTGGCTAATTAATTGACTAGCTTAAAAATATGTTTTTAATTTTCTGTTAAAGTAAAAATGTAATCAAATCGCTTTTTCTTACAGGATATTCCGTTTCCTTTTAGGAAAATAAGTAAATTTAAGCCAAATAAAAAGAGGTTCTGATTTGTATTGTTGCTAATAAAGGAGTTTGAGTAGATGACTTTAGAACCAAGTATAAACATACTTATCAAATCAGTGATAAATATTGATGATAAAATATACTACTTTGCAATTAGCTTACGCCTAGTAATGATGATGTCTTTGTCAAAAAAGGCTGTATTCAAATTGACTAATATATCAAGCAAGAAAAAAACAAATGCATAAAAGCTTATTTGTTGAATGAAATTGGTATCAAAATCATTTTAATCAAAAAAAATAATGATTGAATATAAATAAAAAAATGTATAGGTAAAAACAACTTAAACTAAATCCCAGATGACTCTTGAGGTGTCAGTCGGCATGAAAATTGCTAATTTTTAAGTTTTCTTTAAAATTTTACTAAATACTAGGAATATCTTAAAGCTTTTGTGAATCTAATCTTTTTGGCGATAAAAATGAGATAAATCATTAATATTTTAGTATTCTTTTTCGCTTAAGTCATCTAACTTTCTATTTGAATGCCTTATTTTTAGGTTATAAATAAAGGTTTTGACATTTTATCTGATTCTCATGATCCTGTTCATTGAATTGTTTAAAAGTCTACTTATTATATTGCTTGCCTTCTGAAAATTCTACTTATGTTTTTATTACACCATTGTTTCTTATTTATTAAAATATTAAATTTTCACAGCTGTATTTATTTTTGTTCCAAGCACTTTGAGATCTTTTTCATAAATCATTTCATCTTATATAGCTATTTGACTTTAGCTCTTTTAGCTGTTATTAATATCCATATTAGATAATTAATTTTAATTTTCTTTTTGGCCTTCAAAATTTTTTGAATTTGAAGAAATTCGCTAATTAAGTTCTGAAAAATTACTACTTTCTTTTTCTGATTCATTTTTGCTTGAACTTTCTCTATTATTTTCTTCATATTAAAACAACTTCTTCTTACTATTTTACTTTGAAGTTGTTTTACTTTCTTCATAATGATGCTTATGTTTATTTGACTTAGGCTAATAATCTATTTATTCATCCTAAGGGATCTAATTCATGTTGAATGATGTAAGTGCTTATTGACTCTTAATTAAAGATTAATTGTTATTAATATCCTTTAAAGATTTCTGTAAGGATTCATTTACATCTGCTTAAAAACTTTTATATGATATCTCTTTATCTCCATCATGGATTTTTTATGGTTAATTTATTTATAATTCAAACAACTGTCTTTAGCAAAGCCTATCTACATAAATGTCTTTTATTTCTAATTCTTAATATTTATTTTCATCACTGCACATTTATTAGTAGAATAGAGTTGGAACTTATTTCTTAAATCTATTTGATGTTTCTAACTTTTAATCCATTTTCTTTTTCGTTTAATTTTTAAGACTATCAATCAATCAATAAGTACTAAAAATTAATACCAAACTTAATATTAATACAATTAATTAATTAGTTTGCTTGTTTTATTTACACATTATATATTGACTAGCATATGATTAAAGTATTAGAAAATTAATAATTAGTTAATTTATAAAATGCATATAAATTATTCATTAAAACTACTACTATTCTAACCAATAAATTTATTTAATCTTGAAAATAAGATTATATTAATAGTTATTATAATTTGCATACTAAAATTATAGAGTCAAGACATAGATTTAATTACATATTGAAACATAGCACTATTTCATTCTAAATGTTTCTTGATATTTAACTATCAATGAATGTCTTATTTAAATATAAACTTATTGATTATACACAACTTATTTAAATTTTTTGAAGAAATTAGAAATAAATTTTTTAATAAATATAATGAAAGTTCATTTCCACTTTTTATTTTAGGTAATTGAGAGCTAGGATAAACAAATAATTTTATAATTTATGGTTTCACAAAATTTTTAGAGAGAGAGAGAGAGAATATATACTTTGGGAATAGGAGTTAAAAAAATAATTTTATTATGCTCCTTTTGTGCTCTAATATTTAAAATTTTACAATTTTTGATAAATTTTACTTTTTTGTTAATTTTTTGGATTTTTTAGGAAAAAAATTTTTGAGCATTTTAAAGCAAAATTAAATAAGTATTATATTTAAAAAAGCCAAAGTAAATCTTATTCTTTAAGACTCGAAGCTAAATATGATTAAGAAGATAAAATTAAAAGCAGAGTTCGATAAGCAGGTTACATCAAAAGCAAAAATCAGAGTAAATTATTTAAAATTCAATAAAAATTGAAAATTTTATTCTGCTATGAAAATTACAGCAAATTCTGTATTTCTTTAACCAAATCTCATTATTTTGAAGTAAATATTTATTTGAAAAGATAAATTAAAAAAAATTGAATTTGCTAAATTGATTTAAAATTAATTAAGAATATATTTGTTAAACTAAATTTATTTTTTAAAATTTTATTTTAGAAAAATATTATTAATAAATTAATGCTTTACTACTTTATTTATATGTTAAGAAAATTTTATTTTATTTTATCCTCTTATTTTTTATGAGAAAATAAATAAAATTTTAAATTATTTATGTTTGTTTTTTAGGTTTTTTTATTTAATTAATTAAAAACCTATTAATATCTTCAATTAAAAAATAATTTTTTAAGGTAAATAAAAAAAATTAATAATAAATATCATTTAATAATTTTTAATTAGAAAAATAACTAAATTTTTAATAAATTAAGAGCTTTAATTTCTATTTGAAATGGATATAGAAAATTAAAAATTAAAATGTAAAAAACATAATTAAAATGAAATATTGTTTGTAAAGACAGACTCATTAGCAGATGAGGAAGACATTTTTTTTTGTGATTTGTGCCTTTTTTCTTTGCAAAATTTTACTCTGAATAACTTTACAAGCATGAAATAGATAACAAATTGGAGCGAAGGTTAAGTCATTTATAATTTCCCTCCCCTTAAAGATAATTTAATTTTAAATTAAATTATGCTTTTGAAATAAGAAAGTTAACTAAATAAATAAGTACTGAAGATAAATGAGTTTTTTGAGCAATTAAAATGTGAAGTGATGTAAATGTTAAATGAAGCTTAAAAAATCATGAACAATTTAGTAAGTGAGATGTAGGAAATTGATTTTAAAATAATGGAAAAGTACAATAATTTATCGAAATTGAAAGAATTTAAAAATATCATAACATAAAATGATATTAGCCAAGATGAATTGGTTATTTAAACCAAGCAATTTTTAAAGCTTATCTAATAAAATAAGAAAAGCAATTCTAAATCTCTTGAAAGTCTGATCTAAGAGTATTAAATGTTAGAACAGCAAATTTAGTTATAAAAACCAGAACAAATTAAGATAAAGTTGCTAGACACTTTAAAAGATTTTAGTTATTTATACAAATAAGAAAAAATTCAGTAAAATTTAATGACTAAATATCAAGATTTACTTCCTCAAATACAATTTTCTAAATATCTATTTGAGCCATATTATTCTTCCAGCTTAAGTATTTCTTAAAACCAACTTAACTAATTTCTCTTTACTTCCAAATTATCAAATAAATGGGGAAGTTTTTATAGTAGTAACTTAATTATTGAGAGTGATAAAAAATATATTTTTAAGTTAAAAGCTGAGCAACTTGACCCAGAATAAGATAACTATATGGTATTTGGCTTAGTTAGGGATGAAACTAAGGATAAAGATTACTGTACAAAAGATTTTTTGAGTTGTAGTCTATGTTACTAAAACAATAAATGTTATATTAGTTAATATGTTAGAGGATTAAGCAAAATAATTAGAGGAAATTTCAAGGATTTACCAACAGAGACAGAAATAGAATTCAGAATTTGCATTAATAAAAATATATTTTAGATCACTGAATTACCCAACAAAAATCATAGAGCAGTTCTTGACGAAAAAAGCAAATAGAATCTGAAAAAATATTAAAATCTCAGATTTTTTATAGGAATGGAAAATAAAATTCAAATAACATTGTTAGAAGCCAAAGTAAAGGATAATTGAGACATTAATTATTGCTAATCCAGATATTAAATTATGATGAACAGGACAGTCCATGTAAATAAATATCTTTAAATTACTTTATATTTTAATACATTTTATTTCATAAATTATATTTGATTTTATTACATAATTATCTATGAATAAATCTATTTAATTTTTTAATTTTATTGTACTTGATTTGATTATTTATTAATAAAAATAGAATTTATTTAAAATAAATGCAGAATGAGCAATCTTATAGGTGAAATCAGCAAAAACTTTTATTTTTTAAGTTTAATACAAAATTAGTAAAGATCTATCTATAAATTTAATTTGAGTGTGTGCTTGATTTAGCTATTTTTATTTGTTCTTCATGCTTATTTTCCTAGATTGATAATTAATTAAAAATAATATATTGAGAGTTTTTAAAGCTAAAATCATAAAAATAGAAGCAAAATTTAATCTTAATATGTAATAGATAGTTAATCAATTACATTAATATTAAAAAAGTTTTTATTTTATTGGATTTTAAATAAATTTATAGCTTATTAATCTATAACCTATTGATTTTAAATAAAAGCTTTATCCTACTTATAATAATTATCTTTCCTTAATGTGCTTATATTACTATATTTTATTACTCTTTAATAACTACAAATACATTATTTTATTTGATCTACTTAAAAATAGACGTAATTTTTTGGTAATTTAAATATTGTTACAATTTTAATTATATTAAGAAATATATAAAAGTTTTAAACTTTAAAAAGATATTATAATATTTTTATATTTTTATAATTAGAAGTAATAATTCAATATATTTGTTTGTCTTGAAATAGTTTTAAAAAAATAAATTTGTTTGTTTGTTTTCAAGTAATTTAAAAAATAAATTTTTAAACATTTAATTGTTTAAAAAGTATCTGATTTAATTTCGAAGAGAATCCAGAAGAGAGTTAGTGGTATATCTTTTTTAATTAAGGGAGAAAAATAGTATCCTTATTGTTCTATATTAATTTCGATTCAAATTATTTTGATTTTTCACTTCAGAAGTTAGAAATACTCAGAATGTAATTTTAACATAAATTTATTTTGATATTAATTACATTAATTTAAATTATTAAAAACTACTTCATCCATATCTTCCTATATCCTATTTTAAAGGTCTTCAGCTTTCTTCTTTATGTTATTTGCTTTTTTTGTAGTAATATCGAGGCTTACTTTTTTATATCCATCTATTTTTAATTTTCTTAACGCTTGATTTTCTACTTCTAAAACATAAATTTGCTTATTTGTTCTTTTTAAAATCATAAATAATAAATTGATCTATCTATCTTGCAAAAAAATTGATGGAAAAACAAATAAATATCATTTTTTCTTTTAAATAAAAAAATATGAATAAAGATAATAAATTTTCTATTCCACCTTATTAAGCATCTATTAAAATTTAAGATTGCCGCTTAAAATAAATCGATCAGAAAACAAATCACTTTGTTCGATTTTTAGATTATAAATACTTTTGAAGTTTATGATTGTCACTAATAACAAAAATGATCAAAAAATAAATAATTTCTTTCTATTTTTCTATCAGAAATACTTTATTGCAATTCAAAAACATAAAATAATCTATTTGATATTCACTTATTTTAATTATCAAAGTTCTTTAAATAGATTGCGCATAACTCATATAATTCATAATTATTTAAATCAAAACAAAATTAGTAAATAATTGCTAAAAATGAAAAAATAAAAAATGATGAATGTGTTAATAGTAGGACTCATCCTATTATTTACATTAAGAGGTATTTAATTTTTACATTTTTTTATTTTATTAACTTTCATTTACAATGAAAAGCTTAATTGATTCAAGAAAACCTAAGTGAGAACAGGTTCTGGAAAAATGCTAAGAGAATGCTTTAAGCTTCAGCCTCTATAGCACCTAGTGAGGTTTCTTCATTTACTAAATCTCATTTAACCTTTAATGGAATAAGTTCACCTCAAGATGTCACTAAAATTGAACTTTTCAACTCAGTAGCAACAATTTAAATCTAAATTGAGTAAGTATACTCAGACTCAATTCTAGGTATGCTTGATAGAGGTAAATAATATATTTTTAATTTAATTCAAACACTTTAATTAATTTTATAATTAACCTTTAATTTGTTAATTAGGAAACTAAGGGTTGTTCAAAGGAAGAATTACCTACAAGAATGGAAACTATATTGAAACTAATAACAATCTTGCTATTCAAACTAAAATTAACTCTATCTATCCCAAACAAGGAAACTACTAAGGAGGAGTTTTGTTAACTATCTAAGGATAAGGATTTGGTTACTAAGATCCTGATAATCAAGTTCTTATTGGAGATGCTTAATGTGTTATTTTATCTTATTCTGAGAACTAAATTTAATGCGTTACTTTGGTTGCATGGAAATTGCTGAATTAGAAGAGAAATGTAGTTTTAAAAAGGAATAATGTTGTCTCTATAACCGAAAATAATGCAAATACTGAGTACACTTTTATCAAGGTAGAAAATGTACCAAGTATTACTAAGATGTATACTAGTAGTGGTTAGTATACAAGGAATTCAATTGTTTAAATTGAAGGAACAAATCTGCTTATTGATGGTCTTTAAACTTAATTATTCATTGGAAATAGCAGTATTTAGTATGCAAAGACAAATGCAGGCTTGTCCTTCGTTTTACCTGATATTTTTACTTCTCAAGTTTAAAATCTTGTCATATTTGTTGACTAAAATGGATCAACTTAACCCCAGCAATTTTAAGTTAGTAGTTTAATTTATTGTTTGAATCCTGACAATACTTTATATCTGTAAGATGGCTATAGCTTACAATTACTTGCTTAACTATCTGGAGTATCTGAACAATCAAAAGTCTAAATCTTTTATGACAACCAAAAGCCTAAAGCACAAGCTGATATAGTTTCTTTAGGTTATTTTTACAAATTTGACTAAGTTCCTTAAATCCCTACCTAAATCTTAAATATTACTATCGACAATTAAAATATTCTTAGCAGTCCCATCAAGCTAATCTCAAGTAATTCATACTTTTAGCTTAGTTATAATGTAATTACCCATCCCTCAGATGCAAACTATTTCCAGATACAAATAACACCAAACTAGTAAACCTAAAATTTAGTGATACAAAATTTGTTGATTCTAATTCCATCTATTAATTTTATAGATGAATTAGTGTAAGAAGGAACATATACATACAAATACAAAAAGCTTAGCTAACAATTCTAAATAATCTCATTTTACATTTGCACAAATTAAGGAAGTGCTCGTTATGTTCCTACTGATACTAGCATGCTTTTTAATTTGAACTCAATTTAGATGCTTACTAAAAATTAATAACCTTAAACTGGAGATATCATTCAATTCTTAATTCCAAGTGTTAAGAAAAACTAGTTGTATTGTATGAAAGTGACTTGTCCTAACGGATACTCCTACAAAGATTACTATTATGGATGGATTTACCAATAAGACAGTTACTTTGTTACCCCTCTCTCATAAAATGGAGATGTTTATAGCTTTAGTTTCCCAACTATTGTTTAAAGACTAAAAGGATACAAAGATACTTGTGATATTTCTATTGAAGCTATAGATACTAATTTTGCTTATTCTAAATAACTAAATGACATATCTTACTTAGAAAATAATTTCTTTACTAGCTTATTCTTATCAGAACCCAACGTAACATCCACTTCATACATGTAAGGTATAGGATAAGTCACAAAAAGCTTGTCTCTTTAGGTTTTCAAAGATGCAGTGACTCCACAGAAATAAAGAATTTATGTGTAAAGCATCTAACCTAAAATACTGTCTGCCTTTGGAAGAGAATAAGTTGTTATTACTGGTAACAATTTCTTGCAAAATAATAACACAATTTCTTCTATCTAAGTAAAAATTTTAGGAGTAAACTGTGATATTTAAAGTGTCACAAACACATAAATTAATTGCATTTCAGGAGTTAAGACTAGCTACAATTCTCTTGATACTACTTCTGTTTCTGTAGGAAATGATTAAGCTTTGATGTTAGATCATGCTATGTACTCATTTGATTTGAATGAAAAAGAATTTTCAAATTTAAATAGCTAATTCGTTGATTAGATAAATCTAAATATTCCTTTCAACTTGTAACTAATTTTAGATGTTGGATAATACTAAGGAAACAGCATTAATTTCAACTATACTAATATTGATGGAAGACTTACCTTAAACAGCTCAAGAGACTTAAACATTACATTCTAATCCATTTAAACCAAAACCAAAGGCTATTTAAGCTTTGGTACTATTGACAAAAGATTCACTTCAAACTGTAATGTAACAATTGGAAGTTTAGGATATGTGCAACTTAATGCTTATGGAAGAGATGTCGGAAACTATAATTACACACTTGTAAAAAGTATCTCCCCATAGTAAAATGTAATTGAAGTTTAAGAAAGCTTAGTTAATCTTAAGAAGGGTAATAAGATTATGATTTTAGCTACCTCTTTAGAGGAAAACAATGAAGAATTAGTTGTTGAAGAAGTTAAATATAACAAAATTAAAGTTTCAACTCCTGTTGTTAGCAATCACTAAAACACTATCTAAAATGCCAAGCTTTAAAATGGAAATAATTTCTAATATTCTATTTAAGTACCTATAATTCAAACAGACAGAAACCTTCGCATAACAGGAATCAATGGTTTATGGTTTAATGAAATATTTGATACTAGAGTTGAATCTTAAAATTATGGTGTAACATTAAATAATGCAGTAAATTCATATATATTAGTTTAGAGCAGCTATTTTGGATTCAATAATATCACCTCAAGCGCTTTGTTATATACTTCTGCTACCAGCAGCAATACTATTTCAGCAGGATAATTATTGAACAGCTTTATTATAGTTTCTAATAAATTGAACTTGATTTCTTTGACTTGTGATAAGTTTAACAATAACTTTATTTAAGGTGGTATTTAATTTGGCAATGCTAACGGTATAACTGAAAGAAAAAGTAACAATAATACTGAATTCTTAAACAATGTTCTAGTTGCTTCTCAAACTTGCATAATTATTAAATACCCTTTGCCAATCTAAATGAGTTCAAACATTTGCTTCTCATTTTAATACTTCACAAACTTCTTATACATTCATTCAATTTAATCAGATGATTTAGCATTAGCTGCTTTAGATATTAGATAAGCATTAGTTTAATATCAGTATAAAGACTTCGATTAAACTCATGAAGAAAGTATATACGCTATTTAACCTTCAAAATAAAACCATACAAGGTTTTTAGTTGTTGCAAATAGCATTTAGAGCAATTTGCAAAACTCTCCTGTCTTGTTTGTTAATGATTATCCAAAATACAATTATACCTTATCTAATCTTTATGATTTTGAAGTTTAAGGATTCAATCAGAGTAATTTGACTATATAATATTAGAATCCTAATCAATCAGCCTCTCAAAATTTCATATCAGTAATAGATATCTATAACTTTAGATCTGATATTCCAAAAAATACAGTTCTATTTAATGATACCTTGTCAGACCCAACAAAAGGACTTGTTTTAGTTGATAGAGACGGAAGCTTAACAGGAAAGGTTCAATCTATTTTATCATCAAATTTAGCTTCACCAAATTTATCTTGCTCATTAAATGATCAAAACCTAAATAGCTGTTCAACACTCATTGGTGTTATGACTGTCCAATATGTAAATGCTTATGGAAATTACATGTGTTAATAATATTAACCAAGTAATTTTGCAGTATTATTCAATGGATAACAATACACACCTAACGTAACATAAATTAATAACGCATTAGTTACTCCACTATAATAAACAGCATCCTTTAAGTTTGTAAAAAATCTTTCTGGTGAAGAATTCATACCATGCTTCTTTGCTATTGAAACAAGATACTTGTCCAATGGTGGTCTAGGGTTTATAGCTAAGTATAGTGTTGATACTTCTAAACTTTAGAAGATCTAAATTTACTTGCAAAATAGAGATTATGTCTTATAAAATGCAAGTCAAAATCAATTAGATATCTCAACATGTAAACACGGTTAGTACTACATCTAACCAGATGGAATACAATTCTGTATTAAGTATTTAGATGGATTACTTTATAGATACTGGGTTGTCCTTTAAGTTAAGTAGTGATATAATTCCTTATAAATTTATATAAATAAATAATATAATATTTTAAAAGAATGTTTGTTGTATAAGTTTTTTTTTGAATTTTAATTGAAATTAATTTTTAAAATACTTTTCTCTATACTGATGTATTTTATTATCTATCAAAATTGAGCAGGTATAAAAATACTTTTAGAAAAAATAAAAAAAATATTACTTATTAAAAATCATTTTATTTTTTAACTTTGTGCACTATTATTAAAAAGAAAATGCTCAAAATATGTTTTTAGTAATCTATAAATCCTTATTAGTTATGGTAACCCCTGCCTTAATTTTATCTAAAATTTTTACCATAAATATAAATATGTATAACTTATTATCATTAGTTTTAAAATATAATTTTAAATTTAGATCTTTTATAATATCATTTTATTGTAAAGATAAATATTGAATTTATTTACCCAAACTATTTCTTTGTAGATTTTCCTTTTAAAGAATCATGGATACGTATTAAATGGTAGTATTAATCAAATTTTAGATTGGTTACTATTTTTTCAGATAATAGGCATAACAATGAAGTAATACAGTTTATTTTATTACTTATGATGATTCACTTATTTTTTTATTGTCTTCATCATTGAATTTTCTTAAGTGTTACATAGCATATTAATAAATTTACATCTTTTTTTTTTTGCTTTATCAAAAATTTAAGTAATTATTAAATTTTTCACAACTTTTCACTTTAAATAATTTGTTTTCCTTAAATTTAAACTTATATTTATTTCTTGAAAAATATTTTTTAATTTTCTAGAAAATTAGTAAAAATAAAATCTTTTAATTTAATAAATTAGCAATGAGAATTATTATAAAAGCATCTCTTTTATTAGCAAAGCATTATTATCATAATTTACAAGAGAAAATTTAAATTTAATAGAGAAATTTGTAAATTTAATATAATCTTTATCGAGGTATTACTGTAATAACATTTTTAAAAATTTCAAACTTAAATTAATTCAATATAATTTAAAAAAAATAGTGATAGTAGATATATAAACTTCTTTAAAATCAACATAAACACTAAAATTTATAAATCAATCATTTGAAAATATTAAAAAAAATATTTTTTTGTTTGAAGTTTATTTATATTTTTTATTGAAAAATAAAAATAACTAAATGCTGGGTGTTAAATATTATAATTAATAGCAAAATAAACAAAAAATAAGAGAATCTTAAACATTTTAATGATTAAACAAAAAAATTTTATTCAACTTAAAACTATTATCAAAGTAATAGCTATTTTTAATTAATAAGGAATAAGTAAGTTATCAATCAATCATTTGTTTTTGAAATGCTGTTTAAAGGAAAGGTAATACCTTTTTACATTTTTGTTCCATATGATAGATAGGTCGGTTTGTATAAATTTATATCATAATCTTATTGAATTATTCTAATAAAGTTAGTATTGTTACCTTGAAAAATAGATATTCTTACTTTGTTTCCTAAACCTATATTTTAACGACGCTCTTTCGTAGCTTATTTTATTTTTTTTTGTTTCTTTTACTCCTATTGTGAAATTTTTATATTGTGTAGTACTTAATCAAAATTGTTTTTAGGATAAAATTTCTTAAAATTTTACATCTTATCAAAATAATCCATTGAATTTTATGTGAGGTATTAAGATTCTTACAAAAAGCTTTTACCTGTTGTCAATTGAAGTAAAAGAGGTAATTAGCTTTCTTAAAATAATTTGGAAAACCTTTCCATTAATTATAAATTTTCATATGAATTTTTAATAGTTTGATTTGTTTACTACTGCTATTGCAAGATTTTATTTTATGAAGATTCTTTTTAATTAAATTTACTTGCACTATTATTACTAAGAAGCTGGCTGGATTTTTTTTCACCATTTTCAGCTATAGATCTATTAGAGAGATTTGTATTGCTAATTTTACTTTTGTTGACTTCTAAACTTTTCAGCTACAGCTAAGAATGAGTTTTATCTGGTATTATATTCATTTAAATAAGATTCTATAATATTGTCTACTCAACAGAGCATCTAACTTCTTTTTGGCTATAGTTAGTTTATTAGTTATTTTTATTTTATTCCATTTTTACTTTAGAGGGTAATCTTTTATGTTTTGATTTTTTTTATAAATTTTCTATTTTAGCTGTTTTTTAAACCTAACTCTCTTATTATTAGCCTTAAGAGTGGTCATCTCCTGATTAATTAGTGAATTATTTTTAAATTTAATTATTAATATTGCTATAATTTATATCTTATTTCATCTAACTTTTTAAATAATCTGTTAACTGTAGATTTATGTTCTATTAAGCTTATTTTTATTTATCAAGCTTTTTAGTTGATTTCTCATCTTCCTCACTTTAATTTAGAGTAGTACACTACTATATTTCTGGTTTATTATCCTTCTTCTAAAAAATTTTGTTTGGTTCTGAATAATGTCCATGCTTTTATTGATTAAAATTTGAGAGTTCTTAAATGTTATTTGAATCAATTGTATCAGTGGCTTCAAATGATTTGATTCTAGCTTAAGAGTTGATAGTATTGGAGATATTTTTTGCTAATTCTTAATTTTCATATACAAGATTAGAAATAAAACTCTAATTCTAATTCTCTAAAATCGTAAATTGCTCAGAATCTTCATTATTGGTAGCGATTGAATTTGTATGATTCATACTTTTTACTTGCTTTTCTATTTTCTCACTATGCTAAGCTTTTTTTGCACTTATTATAGTCATTTCATTTATTTTTTCTTCAAATTTTGTAGGTATTTTAGTTTAAGAATCTTAATTACTTTCATCATCATAAGAGCTGTCATCATCGTTTTCATATTGTGATTATGTTAATTCAGTAATTATGTTTTCGTCTCTAGTAAACATTAGATAATTTTCATCATCCTCTTACAAAATATTTTATTTTAGTATCTAAACTATTTCTTAATTATGCCTAAATTAATTTCTATAAAAAATTAAAATATTTAAACTAAATAAAAAAATATTTTACTTGAAATTTTACTTTTTTTTAAAATAAATTCTTTCTTAAAATAATCTATCTTAAAATATTGAAAAATTTTATTTTAAAATAATAAACTGTTTATCAAAATATTTATGCGTCCTTGGGCACTAATTTGTAATGTGATTAGCACTTTTACAGTTATAGCATTCAGAATGAGTTATCCAAGCTTCCTTTTAAAATATAATTTAGTCTTACATCATTTTAAACCTTTCAAAATCTTCAGGGTTTTATTTTAATAAGGTTATAAATTCATCTCTGTTAATTTTATATAGAGTAGATAAATTAACACTTCTAGCTGAGGCATGTCTTTAAAGACCAGAAAAGAATGAAATTTCTCCAAAAATCTATCCACTTGTTAAAGTTTTTATAACAGCTATACTATTCTGCTTTTATATTTACTGTTAATATATCTCAATAATACCATTCTGAATGAAGTAAATTGAAGAATCGTCACTTTAATTTTCACTAATAATAATTTCATTTGGATTTACTAAAATTTCTTTCATGATAAATATTAATTTATTTAAAGTTGATTTAGAAAAATTAGAGCTAAATATAAAATAGTTATTTAAAATTTTTGAGTTTATTTCTTATGTAATTTCATCTCTGAGCTTATTAGATAGAACAGAAAGAATTTTATCTTCTTATTATTTGTCTCTGTCTTTTTATTCTTAAGCTAAAAACGATAAGTAGTGTCTCACTCTACTTTTAAGCTGTATATTAACATCTTTTCTTTTTAGATATCTATTTATTTTATACAAATATAAAAATTTAGTTTTTTAAATAAAAATAATTAATTATTTACCTTTGAATAGTAGTTAAGTCATCATTAAGTTATTTTGAAGACCTTTCTATTTCTTAAAGAATGAAACCAATGTTATTTATAGAATATGCAAAAACACAACTGAACAAGATCATAGCAATTGTTATATAAAGAGCTTCCACTGGATTTTATGCTGAAATATCTCCATATCCAACTATTAAAATTATTTAAAGTTAAATAAATATCAATTAGAACTACATTAATAAGTATTTTACATATTTTAATATATATTTTAAAAAAGCATGATAATTAATACCTGTTGTCATAGTGGTAATAGACCAGTAAAGAGAGTATATATACTTTTGATAATATGAATCTGAAGAAATACCAAGCTTATCAAGCCAATTTATTTACTAGTAGTTTTATTCTTATATACCTAAAAAATACCATCCGATCGCAGCTTAAAAAATTGAAATAATTAAGTAAAAGTAAAAACTACATAATAATAATTTACCTATATGAGCAACTGTTATCACGATTGCTAATTAATTAATAAGCTTAGAAATGTGTTTTTGGTTTTCAGTTAAAGTAAATATATAATCAAATCTCTTTTTTTTATGAGAAACTCCATTTACTTTCAAGAATATTAGCAAATTTAATCCAAAGATAATTAAATTTTGGTTCAAATTATGAGTTGCTAATGAATATGAATAAAACATTTTTGAACCAAGTATAAGCATACTCACTAAATCTGTGATAAATATCGATGAAAAAAAATATTATTTAGCAATTAATTTGCGCTAAGTAACAATAACATCTTTATCAAAAAAGGCTGTATTTAAATTTATGAATATATCTATTAAAAAAATGATAAATGCATAAAAACTGCTTTGCTAAATTATGTCAGTTTAAAAGTCATTTTAATCAAAAAATATTAGTATTGAATAGAAGTAAAAAAATATATAGGTAAAACCAACTTCAACCAAATCCCAAATAACTCTCAAATTGTCTGTTGGCATAAATATAGCAAATTGCTAAGAATATTTTAATATGATATTAAGTAGAGTTAATAATCTAAAATTTGAATGATTTTTATTTTTCTTTTAGCTATAGTAATGAGATAAATCGTTTATAATTTAATATTCTATTTCACTTAAATCGTTTAATCTTCTGTTTGAATGCCTAATTTTCAAGTTTTAAACAAAATTGTAAACATTCTATCTTATTCTCATAACCCTATTCATAGAATTATTTAATAGTCTGTTTATTATATTTTTACCATCCTAAAAGTTCTACTTATATTTTTAGTCAACCATATTTTCTTTATTAAGTAAATATTAACTTTTTAATGCAGTGTTCACCTTTGTCCCAAGCTTTTTAAGATTCTTTTCATAAATAATTTCATCTTAAATCAAAATATGGCTGCATTATAATAAATCATGTTATCCTAAGTCTTTTTTTGAGGATTATTCTTTGAATTCGCTCAATGGATTAATCATTTTTGAATCTAAAGAAACTTATTAACTCTATTCAAAATTTTAGCTACCCTCTTTTCCTTAACTATAAAATTTAGGTTTTTATTTTGCATCCTCTTAAAAAGGAAGGTATTCATTTTATAAATCTTGCAATGATTTCATCTTATTATTATTATTTCTTTGTTGCAATTAACTGTATTTAGACTACTATAAGCATTTTGCTTATTCTTCATTTAAATAATTATTTTCAAAACTACGTTAAGAATTTGCTTAAACATTCTTATATAAAGCCGAGCTATTATTCATTTCTTTAAGTGATTTTTAAAAAGATTCATTCATATCTCCAAAAATCGTTTAATACGATATTTATATATCTCCTTCATGCTACTTGTGCGGTTTATTCTCTTACTCAAATCTTTATCTTTAATAAGACAAATTAAGATGTTAATCTTATATTTCTTTTGATAGATTATTTTCATCAATAGATACCTATTAGCTAAGGATAGAAGAAAATTATACTCTTTTTTTATTTAATATCTCCATCTTTAGATATAAAGTTGCTTTTTAATTTAGCTTTAATTGATTAAATTACAATTTTTTACAACTTTGTATATGGATAAAAAATTAGTTAATTAATTTACCACTTTTTTTAATAAAAGCTTTTTAACAAAATAAGTCTGTTAACTTTTTATTAAAATGAATAAAAATTTACATGTTTAAACAAATAAAATCACCAACATAAATGCTAAGTAATTAATTAAATTTTATCACTACTACTTTCTTAAATGAATGATTTTAAAAGCCAATAATTAGCTATTATTATTATTATTACCATTATATCTATTAAAAAGATTAAAAAATTCTTATAAATATTAAAAATATTATATTCACTAATAAAATTATTAATGTACTAAATATTTAGTCTTTAGTTTATTTTGTTTATATTATGCAGTTTATATATAAAAAATATCTAAAATTGTAAAGTGTATTAAAATTAAAAAGAAAAATTTCTAATAATTAATTAGTAAAATTTTAATTATTCATAAATTAAGATATCTTTTAATCAAAAATTCTTCTTTCTTTAAACATTTTAAAAAAAGTTAAATTTAAATTCATGATATCCTAAAATATAAAATCCTTTTTAAGTACTCTAAGTTTTCATTTATTCAACCATCCAACTCTCTCCTAAAAAATTAATAAACTCAATTTTAGCAAATGAAAAATAATTCAAATCCTAAATTTTTTAAATCGGACTTCATAATTCTTATATGCTTAATTTAAATATAATACTAGTTTTAAAAAATCAATTTACTTTCCAACATTTTTTAGAACTACTATATAAAAAAAATACTTTATCATCAAATAAATATTTTAAAAAATTAAATAATGATAAGTTTTTAATAATTTTTTGAAATAATTAATAAATTCATAATGATTATTATTTACTTAATTCAATTTATTAAGACATTTTTATTGTGCTAAACTTATGTAAACACGTTTCAGATAATTAAAATAATTTATACTAATAAAATAAATAAAATCTATTAAAAAATAATAAATAAAATATTTTTTATTAAATAATATTAAAAAATAAACATTAAGAAATGGATTCAAAATTAAATAATTCAGATTAAATAATATTGGTGGAGTAATCAAGAAGATTAATATGAAAAAATAAAAAAGAATGTAAATTAAGTAATATGGGTGGATTTATACTAAAAAATAAATATAAATTCAAATATTCTAAGCTTCAATAATATAAATCTGTAAGAATCATTGCTTAGTTGTTAAACAATTAAGAAGCGATCTTCGTTTAAAATACTATTATTTTATAAACTTCAGATTTTCTTAGATTAACTTAGGAAAAAATCAAATTTGGTCCATATTCAAATTCTATTTTGGCGTTTAGTATTGTATCAGATGAATTTAAATTAAGAATTATTTTATTTTTAGTTTCATTTAGTTCATGCGAATATTAGTTGCAATACTTTAGATGAAGAGAAGTAGATTATATTTAATTATGCTGCTGTAAATATCTACTTAATATCTCAAAGTATTATTCATAAAATCTATTAAAACTCAAAATTGTCAACGAAAAATGGTAAAGATTCTTTAGACTTAATAGAGTTTACCCTAAATTTTCGCAAAACTATCCTACTAAACCGCTTTCACCAATTTATAAAGTTAACGATTCCAATAACTTCATCTACTGTAAAGCTAATGATAAACCAATTAAAATTGATTCTCCACTTTCAGCAGTTCCTAATGTAAGATTAAGCTTTTTCAGATTAGGAAGAAGGAAGATATTTTAGTTTAGATGTGTAAAATTACCTACGTCTATATTGAATTCACTCATATGATTAAAGCTATAAAAAATCCCTCCAATTTATTCATATTGACTTTGTTAAACGCCTACTAATGAGAGACTGATTTTCTCAACATTACTATATCCATCTTTACAAACTCTATCAAGTGCTTGATTGAATGCGTTTGTAAGCTTAAAATCTTTGGATGCCAGTTTAACATCCCAAGATTTTTTATCTGCAGATTCCTTTACCCACATCTGCTTGAGCATTTAAATTAGCTATTGAGGAAGTTAAGCAGTTTGTTAAGTTGACATTTATTATTTTTTTTATTTAAGATAAAGAGATATCTATCAAATTTTTATATAATCTTTCAAATATAAGCTTTTTTAATATTTCTTAAAGTTTTTTTGTAATTACATTTACATTAATTTTTATGTACTAAATATTGTTGAACATCAGAAATTTTATGAGTAGACTCTTTAAAAGATTTTGATATTAACCATAAATAAATCTGATCATTTATAATTGAATCTTTAAAGTTATAGAAGGATTAATAGAAAATATATAATCAAAAGAATTTATTATAAATCTTAGATTTGTAAATTATAAATTCTATTAATTAATTTAAAAAGGAAAATTAAAATTATGGATATAAATTTTGATTTTAAATTTAATAGTTAGATTTTAAGCTAATTACACATAAAAATATAAGCTTAAATTTTTAATTAAAAAAAATAATTTAATTACTTTTGTAAAAGAATTATTAATTTGTATTAAAATAATTTACATTCAAATTTCAAGGTTTTAATTTTTTTTAATAAATTTTTTTAAATCAAGTGATAATTTTAGTTGAAATAAAATGTATGTATGTATGTATGTATGTATGTATGTATGTATATGATTAAAATTATTGAAAATGGAAAAAATGGAAAAATATAAGGTATATGATTAACTCAATAGATAAAACATAAAATTTCTAAATTGTTTTTTTGAGAAGTCAATTATAGTTTTTATAAATAATATTTATAGGGAAGTTAACTCCTTTTTACATTTTAGTTCCATAAGAAAGATAAGTTGGTTTGTATTAATTTATATCATAATCTTATTTAATTAGTCTAATAAAGTTAGTATTGTTTCCTTAAAAAATAGATATTTTTACTTCATTTCCTAAACAAATATTTTAGCGGCGTTCTTTTGTCGCTAATTTTTTTTTTTTTTGTTTCTTTTATTCTTATTGCAAAGTTTTTATATTGTTCAGTACTTAATCGAAATTATTTTTTGGATAAAATTTCTTAAAATTTTACATCCTATCAAAATAGTCCATTGAATTTTATTAAATGAATTAAGAATCTTATAAAAAGCTTTTACCTGTTGTCATTTGAAGTAAAAGAGGTAATTAGCTTTCATAAATTAATTTAGAAAACCTTTCTATCAACTATTAATTTTCATTTGTATTAGTATTAACTTAATTCATTTATTATTATTACTTTTATTATATATTTTATGATGAATCTCTTTAATGGAGTTTTGAACTTTTATTACTGATTTACTAAATAGACTTTTTTTCTATATTTTCAAATGAATGACCATTAAGTGAATTAATACACCCTACTTTATCTTAACTAACTTCATAGATCTTCTGTTGTAGCAAAGATGATCTTTTATCTTGCATTAAAGTCATTGAAATAATATTTTATAGCAACATTTACTCAACTGAGCACCTAAATTCTTTTTGGCTTTAGTTTGTTTATTAATTGTTTTTAATAGATTCCTTTTTAACTTTAGTTAGCCTATTATGTTTTGATTTTCTTTAAATGTATTCTTTTTTATTTGTTTTTTAAACTTAATTATCTTAATATTAGCTTTAAGAATGATCATCAACTGATTAGTTTGTGAATTATTTTTAAATTTAATTATTTAAATTGCTATAGCAAGGTCCTTATCTCATTTGACTTTTTAAATAATCTGTTAACTGCACATTTATGTTTGCCTGAGCTTGCTTCTATTTATCAAACTTTTTAGAATTATTTTAAGTTGATCTATCGTCTTCATCATCTTAATTTACTAAACACTATTATTGTATTTCGGTCGCAGTATCCCTTTTATAAAAAACCTTATTTTAAGATTTTTATGATATCATATTAATATTTTCTTGAACATTACATGTATCAATAAAATCAGTAGCTTCAAAAGATCTCACTTTAGCTTATGAATTGAAAGAATTTGAGAATGTTTTTGTAAATTCTTAATTTTCATATACTAAATTAGTATGAAAACTTTAAATTTAATTTTCTAAATTTGCTATTTACTCAATTTCTTCAGTATTAATTATACCTGAATTTACATTATTTATGCTTTTTACTTATTTTTCTATTTTATCATATTGCTAAGGTTTTTTTTGAATACTTTAAGTTATTTCGTTTGTTTTTTCATCAAATATTTAAGGAATTTAAATTTAGGACAATTCTTCATTCTTGCAATCGTTATCATATTCTTCATCATCTTCATCATTTTCATATTGCGATGATGTACACTCAGTTAATATGTTTTCGTCTTGAGTAAACATTAAATATTTTTCATCATTTTCTTAAAGTAAGTTATATTTTAATTTCTAAATAACTTCTTAATTTTTCCTATATTAATTTCTTTTAAAAAAATTTAAAAAAATACAAATTGAGTAATATTTAATTATTTACTTGAATTTTATCTTGTTTTTAAAATAAATTCTTTATTAAAATACTCTTTCTTGAAAGATTGAAAATTTTTATTTGAGAATAATAAACTGCTTATCAAAATATTTGTGAGTCCTAGGGCAATCCTTTACTAAATGACTAGTGTTCTTACAATTATAGCATTCTGAATGAGTAATAGATACTTCCTTTTAAAATATTATTTAATCTTACATCATTTTAAATCTTTCAAAATCTTCAGGGTTTTCTCTTAATATTTCAATAAACTCTTCTCTGTTAATTTTATAGAGAGTCGATAAATTGACACTTCTAGCTGATGCCTACCTTTAAAGACCAGAAAAGAAAGAAATCTCACCAAAAACTTGGCCTTCTTTTAAAGTTTTTATAACATTCACACTATTTGACTTTTATATTTTTTGTTAGAAGATCTCAATAATACCATTCTGAATAAAAAATATTGAAGAATCATCACACTTGTCTTCACAAATAATAATTTCATTTGGATTTACCAAAATTTCTTTCATGATATATACCAACTTATTTATAGTTGATTGAGAGAAATTAGAACTAAATATAAAGTAGCTATTTAAAATTTTTGAGTTTATTTCTTATGTAATTTCATCTCTAAGTTTATTAGAAAGTGATGAGAGTATTTTATCTTCTTACTATTTATCTCTGTCTTTTTATTCTTATGCCAAAAACGATAAATAATGCCTCACTCTACTTTTAAGTTGTATGTTTACTTCTTTTCTTTTTAGATATCTACATAATAATGTTTCATAAATCTTAATCAACATCAATATACTTTTAATAATTAAATAAATACCTTTAGATAGTAGTTAAGTCGTCATTAAGTTATTTTGAAGACCTTTCGATTTCTTAAAGGATAAAACCTATGTTATTTATAGAATAGGCAAATACGCAACTAAACAAAATCATAGCAATAGTTATGTAAAGCGCTTCTATCGGATTTTATGCTGAAATATCTCCATATCCAACTAATAAAATAAAATATTAATTAGATTTGCATTTATATTTGAAAATTTTTTTTAACTCATACAAAATAAATTTTGAATTGAAATATAGTTAATTTTCATTATTATTTAATAAAGATTAAAAAAATTAAAAAGGTTTCGGAAATGAGTTTCGAACCTGGCAAATAAAAAAATAATTTAAAAATGTTTAATCAAACATTTAGTTTTTTGGTAAAGAAATATTTCTATTTTAATTAAACATTTAATCTTAAATTTAATTTTTTTTTGTTGATATCACTTTTTATTAAAATACCTGATAGAAAAAAATAAATAATTTATTATAATAAAAAAGAATGTATAGAAAAAACATTTTTAATAAGTTTTTATAAATATTTATGTTATTTAACCATTTGCTAATTAACATAGTTAACTAAAGTTTATCAAAATCAAAATTATTAAGTTCAAATAAAAAAAATTCCTCAATAAAAAAAAAAATTAAAAAAGGATAAATAAATTATGTTTTTACGAAATAAAATTAGTCATCGAAAATAATTCAATATTTATAAAAAGGAGATCTTCTAAATTTAAGCATTTATTTTTATAAAAATAAAATAACAAAATTTGTGAAATTAAAATAATGCAGAAAATCTTTAACTTTTAATAAATATATAACAATTACCATGTTAAGAGTACTTATGCTAAGAGTTTAACAATATTTTTTAATTGAATTATTATTATAATAATGAAGTAAATAAATATATTAAATACCTGTAGTCATAGTTGTGATAGACCAATAAAGAGAGTAAATATACTTTTGATAATATGGATATGAAGAAATACCAATTTTATCTAGCCAATTTATGTAATCAACATTATTTTATTCTTAGGTTCCTAAAAAATACCATCCAATTGAAGCTTAATTAATTTAAATATTTAATTTAATTATAATTTAATTAAATAATTTACCTATATGGGCAACTGTTATCACACTCGCTAATTAATTTATAAGTTTACCAACATGCTTTTGATTTTCTGTTAAAGTAAAAATATAATCAAATCTTTTCTTTTTATGAGAAATTCCGTTTGCTTTCAAGAAAATGAGCAAATTAAGTACAAAGATAAATAAATTATGATTGATGTTATTGCTGATTAAGGAATTTGAATAAATAATTTTTGATGCAAGTACTAGCATACTTATTAAATCTGTGATAAATATTGAGGATAAAAAATATTACTTAGCAATTAATTTGCGCTAGGTAATAATTGCATCCTTATCAAAATATGCTGTATTTAAACTAATTAATATATCAAACAAAAAAATAATAAAGGCATAAAAACTAATTTTTTGAGTAAAGCCAGTTTATATACTTTCTTCATCAAAAAATATTATTATTGAATAGAAGTAAAAAAATATGTAGGTAAAAGCAACTTGAACCACATCCCAAGTAACTCTAAAAGTATCTGTTGGCATAAATATAGCAATTTATTTAGAATATTTTAAAATTCTTAGTAAAAAGACGAAAACTTTTAAGATTTGTCCATTTTTTATTTTTTTCTAACTATAAAAATATGATAAATCGTTTACAATTTAGTATTCTTTTTCGCTTAGATCGCACAATCTTCTATTAGAATGCCTTATTTTTAGTATTTCAACAAAATTTTAGACATTTTATCTTATTCTCATAATCTTATTCATTGAATTATTTAAAAGTCTACTTATTATATTTCTTCCATTTTCGAAATTCTACTTATATTTTTGCTCAAAATTAAACTCTTTTTAGTTTTAATATTAACTTTTCAACATAGTATTTACCTTCGTGCCAAGCTTTTTTAGGTTTTTTTCATAGATGATTTCATCTTAAATTAGTGTTTAACTGCGTTTATATGGGTAATTAGATTTTTATTCTGTATTAGTGGATGATTTTTTAAATTCGCTCAATGGAGCAATTATTTTAGAATCTAAAGAAACTTATTGAGTTTGTTCAAAAATATCGCTGCATTCTTTTTCTTAACTCTAAAGTTTATGCTATTAATTAGCAATATCTTAGTTAAAAGAACTTTCATTTTTTTAATCTTCAAATGGTTATACTTTTCTACACTCTTACTCAAACAGGCTATATTTTGATTGTGGCTAACAGTTCACATGTTCGTCTTTTAGTTAGGTGCTTTATGTTAAGGGTTAAAAGGTCTTATTTAATACTAAGTTATTATTATTAACTTCTTTAAATGATTAGTTCATTTCATCTAGAATGGTTTAATATGATATTTAAATATCTCCATTATGTGCCTAATGAGGTTTATTTTAATCTATTCCAAATCTTTATCTTAAACAAGAAATATAAAATGGTATATCTGTAGTTTCTTTTAGTGATTTATTCTAATCAACAGGCATTTATTAGAAAAACTTGCTAGAAAATTTCATGTTTTATTTACTTGATTCTTCTAACTTTTGGTTCATATTATTATATTTTTTATTATCAAACTTTTATTATTTATTAATTTTTAAAACTAAAAACATAGAAATTTATTATATTTTTGATGTCTAATTTTCATATAAAAATTCAAAGATGCTAACTTAGTAATAATATATTAACTCTAAATTAAATTTAAGTATAATTTATCAGAAAAATTTTTTAATTCTATTTAAAAACAATAATTAAATTTAACTTATGACTTTAAAAAAGAAAAATAATCACAAATAATCATTATTAAGACTTTTATTCTTTTTTATACATTTTATTATATTTACCTGATAATTAAGAATAGTTAATAACTAAAACCAAATATTTCAAAAAAAAAAAGCATAAAAAATATTTTAAATGTTTTAAAAAATATTCTTTTTATATTGCTAAATATTAAAATATTGTAAAAATTTAAATATTATTTTAATCTATTTTTTTAATTAAATCGTTTGTTATAATTAAAAATATCGAGTTAAATATAAAAATATTTATTACCTTTTTAAATATTTGAATCTTAATATATGCGATTTACCAAACTTAATAAAATTCGAAAATCAGTCATAATTATTTTATTGGAATGAATGATTGTTGCTCTTTATTGTTTTTTTAAATTTAGAATATATTTAAACAGATAAAAATAATAAATGCTTTAATTAAAAGCAATATAAATCAATTAAGATGATAAAAATGTAGTAATAAACATTTTCCAAAATAAATAATAATTTTAAACAAATTTAACAAAATTTTATTTTATTAATTATTATTCATATAAAATTTAATAGTTCATTTAATATTTTTTAATTTATATTTTTATTATTTTGAAATTAAATGCTTTTAAAAATATTTTTTTTAAATAAAAAATTCTTCTTTTAAAAAATATTTGTGAGTCTTTATACACTAAGCAGCTCTATTACTAATATACTTATAATGATAAAAGTGTATTTCTTTTAAATAAAAGATATGCCTTTTTTAGTATTTAAAATTATTCAAAATCCTCTTTAACCCTTCTAGAAATTTATCTTTTTAAGAAAGAGTAAATAAATTAAAGTTTTTTGCTATTAAATGTTTTTTTTTTTTTCATATGTAAAGAAAGAATTAAAAAATACTTACCTCTACAAAAAATTTTTATGAGATTTACTTATAATTTTTTAAGTGTTGAAAAGAAAAATATATTTGTACAAACTTTTTAAATATAATCCCAAATTATATATACTAACATGAAAATAGATAATAAAAATATTTTAAATTTCTACTTAAAAATTAAAATTATAAAGAAATTAATTTAATTAAGTATTTTACAAATTTCAAAAAAATAATTTTGGAAGTAATGAAGGAATCGATATTTCTAAAGAAGTAAGTCAAAAAAATATGTAATAAATAAAAATTTATAGTGTAAATAATAAATATCTCTTTAATAATAAAAAAATATTATTTATTTTACATAAATTTCTAACATTATTTCAAAATGGTGCAAATTTATATATTATATTAATATTCATTAATATTTAGCATATAAAAATATTGTTTGTGTGATCATCATACTTAAAGTAAGATATTTTTACGTAATTTATTATTAATTAATTTATACAGCAGATTTTAGCACTGTATTTACCTTTTTATAATTCTAAGTTAATTAAATAAAGAAAGAATAATCTCTTTTTGAATGAAAATGATACTTTAAAAGTTAAAAAAAATTATTATTAATCTATTTATAATTTTATCAATTGCACAAGCTTAGAAATGCCCTAAATTGCAAACATTTGAAAGTATTTCTTTTATTTTATCATTTTATAATATATTATTTATACATATTTTGTTGGTGATTCTTTCAACAAAAAAAATAGATCTTGCTTAGGATCAAAACTTTTAAGTGTTGAATTTCTTAAGAATTCCAAAAACTAATATATTGGTAATAAATACATCTCAATCACCAAGTTTTACATTTAGCGTTGTTTATTACTTTGATATGTCATCCTCTGAGGGAGAAATAATCAATTTTGTAACATGTAAATTATTCATTATAAATCTAATTATGAATTATAAATGAATAATAAAAATAGTAAATTATCCGATTAATAGTATGAAATATAATAAATAGGCTGATTAAATTATTATTCACAATAATAGTAACCTGATTTTTGTTAATACTTATACTTTTGAATCTGTTTTCTCGATTTAAATTGTGAATATTTCTAGTTTAAATATAATTGAAGGCACACACTATATAATTTTAACTATGTAAATTTATCACTTGTTGATTTTTGATTATGTTAAGTAAATTACTCTTCTAAACATGGATAATTCAAGTTATCTTTAAACATTCCCTGATGGCTCATTACTTAATTAGTTATATTCAAGTTTCTATCAATTGTCAACAGGTGATAATATAATTTTAACCACAAATCAAATGGGAGTTATAGTTTGGATCTTCGACTAATAATAAATGATCTACTAATTTAAAGGATACATTCAAGATTGTATGATTCTTTAAAAATTTATTTGTTTAAAAGTAAAATTTTTATAACATTCAATAAAGCAATAGTATAAAATCAAGGTGATGGCTACAGAGCTTTTACAAAACATCCCTCCTAGGACATTATTTTTATGTCTGGATAATCACTTGAAGTAACAGCAGTTAAAATAATAGATATTTAAAACTCAATCTATTAAACTCTTTTTAAAGTGAGTAATAAATAAGCATATTATTTATCAATTTCCTCTAAAAAATATTAAGTATAATATTTAATATTAATATTTTCGTTTAAATTTTAAAAAGATTTGACAAATACACCCTAAAATGTTTAGAGTTTAAATATCTTATTTGATTTTGTAACTCAAGATGGAATTCAATAACCAGCTTTAATACTTAATACTCCTACTGATATTTATATAGTTATTTTGGATATAAATTAAGACTACAGCTAAATGAGTATAAGAAGCTATACATAAACTAGTGCTTAAGGATAGTATTTGTGGTATAAATAAGAAGAAAGTTCAATATTATTTCTATCTTCTTTGAGCTACATCACTACGTTTAACTATAATACTTTACAAAAACGCTATTATCTGAGTATTTTTTTATTTAAAATATAAATTTAACTTGCTTTTTTTATTAAATAGAAAGCATGGGTGATTCCTACAGCTCTAGATTCGTTCGATAAGATGGATAAAATATAAATTAATTAATATTTTTGAATTAAAACAGTATTAATTTTTGTAACAAAGATGATCTTACATCAATTCAAACAGTTCAAATTTCAAGCAACATAAGATAATAATATGGGAGCTTCTATCAAATAAAAAATTCTTTTGATTGGTATTTAGCAAAAATTGGAGATAATCTAAGTCCAAGTCAAATTTTAACTTTCTCATTTAACTAAATAAGTCAAACAAGCAAAGTAAAAATAATTTTTGCTTTAAATACAATTTGATAATTATAAATTTTTATTAGGTTATTGATATAACTAATTCTTATGGAATAAATTGGTCGAATGTTAATTAAAATCTTGATCCTTTTTAATTAAATAATAAAACATATGTTGTATTGGCCTTTCCTCAAAAAGATATTTCTAAAAATTATTTGTTTTAATTGATCAATTGCTAATAAGATAATGATACATAATATCTCACATCTGATTCAAGTGATGTTTCCAAAATTTAAACAGCATTTGCAGTTGCTTCATTAGAAAATAATGATAACTTAGAGCTTATTGGAGTTGATGTTTAAGGAACTATTTATTCATGGGATTTAAATTCATAAAAATTCACTTTTAAATATTCTAAGAGTTTCAGTAAAAAAATAGCAATTTTAAAAATAATTATTTCAATCTACAACATTTATACAAAATATTTTATTTTTAAATAAATTATTGAATATAAATAAAAATAGATTAATGCAAAAACTCACAGAAAGGCGATATTTTTCATTACTAAAAATTGAAAAGATTGATTATATCCTGTGATGATAATAAAGTCTACTCTATTGATTTTGTAAATGGAGTAAATTAGTATTTGGTTTAGTTAAGCCAATAGCCTTTAGCTTTAAAAGCGTTTTCTGAGGCGTCTTTAGTTGCTGTTGGAGATTTAATCAGTGGACTAACTTATATATATAAATTTAACTCCACTTCAAACTAGTTTGATATATTTTTGACATTTAAGTCTATTGGAATAAAAGATAAACTAATTTATATAAATATGCTCTCTGATTTTACTATTTGGGTTTAGTATGCTAATGTAAACATATTTTATTCAATATAAGATTGTCTTTCTGATAAAAAATTATGCGTTTAATGTTCATAACAATATTATTTCAATATAACTAATACATAAGATTCTAAAGATTCTTTTGGTGTAGGAACTTTGACTTAACCCTTTACAACTTCTGAAAATTTTTTTACAGCTATTACAAAAGTAAATTTTTATCAGCATAATTATTATATTTTAAATATGATTTTGAAATTAAAAATGTAACAAATATTTTTATTTTCTTTTTAAATTGTTTTTTAATATATTAAAAAGTAAACATTCATTCATTATTTTAAATTGATATTTACTATTTTAAATAGGCTTAGTAGTACAAACAGTTAATATCTGGAGTTGCTGATATTGGTGTTAATATTTTAATAACTCCTGATAATAAATTTTAACTTAATAGAAATTTTTTGAATATAGATTTTAACAATATAATTTCTCTAAATTTGAATAGTACTTAAAAAGGAAATTTTGCAGTCTTACAATACTAAGATATTTTAGAATTACAAAATTATAATTTCATAGCTTTCTAAGACATTAAAATAGAGTTTAATTAATCTTAGAATACTTCTAGCTGTGGCATAAAATTTTTTAATATAAAATAAGGAGTATTTGTTAACAATATTAAGCTATAAAATACAAATGAATCTCTTTAACATATAAATTGTTAATCTATTTATGCTCAATCTACTGAATTATTTATACAAAATTATACAATCTAAAATGAAAATTTTACTAGACACTAGTCAATAATCGCTTCATTTAACACTCCTAAAGTAATTTTATTATATTTTTTTTAAGTATCACCAATAATTTATAAAACAATTTAATTAGATAACAATTAATAATTTATCTTTGATAAATTGCACGCTTGGTAACTCCTTTAGTATACTTAATTAGAATTCTCCTCTTTAGGCGTTTATAAATAACCTTAATATTACTTTAAATACATGCCCTAAGATACAAACTCAAGATATTTCAATTTCAGTTCTTTTTTCTGCAGAGTTTTTCTCTTTGGATGGTTTAAAAATGAATAACAATACTTTTTGCAAAAAATCAATATTCTCAACAGTTGCTTCTGGGCTTTAAAATTACCAAAAATTTTCCTTTTCTAACATTGAAGCTTCGAATAATTTATTCCAATAAAGGAGTACTTACATATTTTTTGATTCTCATTACGAAATGAATTTTGTTCCTTATCATGAAATTTAGTTATTAAATTTATATTTTTTCAACAACAAACTCTTTTAAAACGGAACTAATGATCTATTAGTTGCATAATATTTTGAATTAGCCAAAATAGCAACTGTAAATGCACAGAATATAACAATAAAAAATCATTTAGACATTCAATTTGGCTTAATAGAAAACTCTAATTTGGTTATTTTTGATAATTTTTTTTGCTTTAATGATAATAAATATTTTTAAGAAAATGCAAACTCAGCAATAAATGGCTGCTTACAATTAAAAGAAATTTTCAATACAACCCTAAAGAATCTAAAAATATATTAAAAATAATTCTAAGATACAACTCTCATATCTTTAGAAAATAATTCTATTAAATAAGCTTCACTTTTAATCAGCGATGGTGAGTTTACAGACTTGGTGCTATAATAAAAGAGTAAAAACACATAAGCTATTCCAATAAAACTATTCACAAATTATAATTTATAAATAATCTTATCATTTTGCAATTTTAAAAATCTATTTTTACAGAGTATCTAAATAAGTTAAACTTACTCAGCTACAGCTTTTTAAGTCTAAAATTTGTAAGGATCTTTATTAATTAAAGATTCTTTCTTTTAAAACTCTTACAGTAATTCAAAATATGGGTTTATGGACATATAAACAAATATATTTTAAATTAATAATGTCTAATTTAGTAATTCTACGTTTACAGAAGATATATCCTTACCTCTATTTAGTTCTTAAGGGGGAATGATTAATGTATAAGCTGAAAACATAACTATTTAAAACTCAAATTTTATTAAAGCTTCTGCTTAGAAAGGAGCCTTTATATATATGATTGCATCATCTTAAACTTTACAAATTTAATTTTAAAATATCTCATTCACTGAAGGTTATGCTTTTATTGATGGAGGAGCAATATTTATTGATTCACAAGGATAAAATTTATTTTTTGATTGCAAATTCTGCCGCTTTAAATAGTTGTACACATTGACTACTTCATCTTCTATAGTAGGATTACAGTATTTAAATTTTTATTATTTTTTATATCTTTATATCAATTTTGCTTCAAAAATATATTTTAAATAGGAATTATAATAAAGCTAGCATAATCAATATTTCATTCATTGATGGATTTATAAAAAGTATATAAGGTATTTAATCAAACTATTTCATCAAAGTAGCATCATCAAATGTCCAGTTTGTTAACATATCTACTATAGATAATAAAAATATTTACACAATATCAAGACCATTTTAAATTTATAAAGATACCTTAGATAAATAGTAGTCTACATTCATTCAAGCTTCAAATTCTTAAATTTAAATATAAAATTGCAGTATTTCTAATTTTGCTGTGATCTAAACTTAAACTACTCTTCTTTATTAATCTTAAAATTCTACTTTAACTATAAGCTAAAGCTCTGTAGTAAATTGCTAATTTACTTCAAATATCATGTATCAGTTAGGAAGTTAGATTACTATTAATCAAACATATTTTTTTAATATAACTTAAATAATGAGCAAGAGACATCTTTCTGATCAAATAGAATCTAAAGCTAAAGCCAGCATTAGTACTTTTTCATTAATATATGCATAGGAATCTATTCTAAATATAATAAATAACTCTAAATTTTCTCAAATTAGCTGTTTTGATTGTAATGGAGGTGCTCTTTAAATTTCAAACGGAATAATTAATATTTAAAACTCTATTTTTGATTAAATAAATGTAATTAATTAAATTTATTAATTATTAATCTAATTTATCATATCATTTATCATTATTTGAAAAGAGTTAATTTGGAGGTGCCATATTTATTTATAAACTTCAAGGCTAGAATCAGATATCTAATACATATTTTATGAATTGTTAATCATATTACGATGGAGGTTCTATGCTTTGGAAGTTTAGTATATAAGATGTAATTTATTTAATTTTTTATAAAAAACTTTATTTAGAAGCTTTCTTTTTTAAATAAAAAAAGGATTTTAATTTAAATATTAATGAATGCTTGTTTTTAAATAATACATCTTAATATGGAAGAGGAGGATCTATTACGGCAATCGCAGAGTATATCAATCCTCCAAGTATAAAAATTAATGTGAGTAACAGTCGTTTCTTAAATAATATAGCTTAAATAGGAGGAGCAATATACTCTTAAAATGTAACTTTATAGTTATATAATCCCTATTATAATGGCAATATTGCTAAGATATATGGTTAAAATTAAATTTCTTATGCTTCTAAACTTTAGTTAGCAGACTAAAAATAATTTCTCATCTACTATAATGGTACTATAAATAGTTAAAATATAGAAATTATGTATTTTAGAAGTGGTGGTTTTTTAAAAAATATCCAATTTGAGATGTTTAATGATTAAAATGAAAAAATATTTCCTGTCACAAATGAGGAAGTTTAAAATTATATAATCTAAGTTAGAATAAATCCCCATACTTAAAATATTAATAATTATTAGATATATGGAGATTTAAATGCATAATTTGATAAAATATCTCAAAGATTTACTTTTTATGAATTAAATATTGTGGGTAGCCTAGGTTCTTCTGTTATATTATAATTTTTTTCAAATTAAATTAATATTTTAGATAGCAACACTAACTAATATGTATAAAATTACACTTTTGATATCAAAGTTAACTTTAGAGAATGCATTTCAGGTGAATAAACTAAATAATATAATACCCTTACTCAGTGCGATGTTTGTAAAAGTGGTTCATATTCATTTGATGGTTAATTATGCTTAGATTGTCCATCTAATGCAATATGTTCAGGAGGAAATACAATTAACACAAAATAAGGATTTTGGAGAAGATCAGATTAAGTTTCTTTAATTTTAAAATGTGAAAATTAAGAATTAAATTGTCTTGGAGGAAGTTATGGAAACAATATCTGTTTTGAAGGCCATATAGGTGCTTTATGTGAAGAATGCGATGTAATTATTAATTTAATCTAAAAAATAATAAATTTAAATATAAAAATAGATAAATGGAGAATTTTGGGGAAAGAGCTACTCTAAGTCATCTAAATATTCTTGTGCTGATTGCAAAAAAATGAATTTTAACTTGTTTATTTTAATTATTTTAACTTGTTGGACACTATTCTCTATGTATATAGCAATAAAAGGAAACATAGAATCTATAAAATTTAGTAATGCTTAGTTTGCTTTGTAAAAAGCTTTTTAATAGCGCCATAACAATACAAGTATTGAGAAGCATTTAAAACCCACCAAAAAAAAAAAAAATTCACATTTCTTTCATGAAATAAAAAATATCCCTTTGTTTTAATTAAAGCCAAATTTCTCGAAAAATAATCAAAATAGTTTTATCAAACAGAGCATTTGTATTAAATTGTTAACTAATTATTTTTAAATTGTGAGCTCAATAGCTACATTTAATTTATCAATTCCTTCAGGTATATTTGATTATTAAAATGAGCAATTTCTAAATAATTAATTAATTACATTATATAGGTATTTTTGAATTCCCTTATTCTATTTCAAACCCTGTAAAGCAAACCTTGAGTTCTTTAGATTGCTTTTTAATTAACATACAAAGTGAAATACCATTAATATATTTTAGAATGATTTTCTCTCAAATTATCCCTATTATCTACTTTGTTATTTTCTTTATTGGGATTTGTTTATTTTATTTATACAACCTTAAAAAAAGCAGAAAATTTCCATTTTATATGCTTTATACAGTAGGAATATTTTTGATTATTTATCTATAACCTGACCTGATTACTTAAACAATTGCATTACTTTCCTGCAGAAGTATTGGTGACAGAAGCTATATATTGTCAAATGTTTCTTATGAATGCTACACTCCTTAACATTTTAAATATATCTTCTCAATAGTAGTGCCTATACTTTTAGTTTGGGCTATAATTTTTCCTTTAGTTCTTTTTGTTATGCTATGTAAAAGTAAAAATCAGCTACATAATTAATTAACCAGGTATAACCTTGGTTTTCTTTATAATGAATATAAAAATGAAGCATATTATTGGGAGTTTATTAAAATGGGTCAAAAATTAGCTATCATTCTATCATTAAACTATTATTCTTAAATGATATTGATTAAAGGACTACTTGTTTTTATAGCTATCACTATTTATGGAGTATTGACAATTTTAATTAAGCCCTATAAAGAAGAAGATATAAATCAAATAGATTTAAATTCAACAGCAATATGTTCTATAACTATATTGCTTGGAGTTTTTATTTATCAAAACCCTTTTTCCTATCTTTATTATCCATCATTAGGAATTATAGCCATAATGAACTCCCTTTTTATAATATATTTATTGAAATTAATTATAAACAATTACCTAACATAAATAAAAGAAATCATTTTAAAAAAATTAATACAGCTCTCAAATTTTATCCCATTCTTAAAATATTTTAATAAAAGTGATAAAAACATATACAAGCCTAAATTAGTAATAAAATCTAAAATATAAAGAGCTTTCAAAAGATACTTAGATATGAATAAGGATGAAAGAAAGTAATTTTTCATAAAAGTATATGAATAGATATTAAGTAAATAAAATACTATTAGACTCTTTATTTTATTCAATATTATTATTAATATTAAAAGCTACTTAACAATAAAATTTGAATGTTACTGATAATGTGTTAGAATCCTAGACCATAAATAAATCTCAACAAATTTAATTTTTTGAAATAAACTCATTTAATTCTAAAGAATCAAACATTGATTTTATATTAAATAACATAAAAACTAACAATTTTTAAACTTTAGCAGGTGATATTTATTATTATTATTATCATTTTAGTATTTAAAACTTGAATTTTAATAAAAAGGTTTGCAATCAAGAAAAAATAATGACAATAATCATTAGCTCTAAGAAGAAATTAAAAGTTTTTCTCTTTAAAATTAATGAAGAAAAGCTAATCAAAAGATCAAAAAAAATTAATTTTTTTTCTAAAAGAAAAGTATAGAAATATACTACTGTTGATAATATTTATTACAAAAATTAATAAGTGTCTATAAGCTAAACAATTTATATTATTCAATTTACATCATTTTTCATTAAAAATTAGTAATCTAACTTTAATGATAAATATATAATTATTATCTATTTATTTAGTTCTTATGTAAAAAAGTTGTTAATATACTTATTATTTCCATAAATTTTATTATATTTGTGTGGTATATTGATTAAAAGGAAAAAGATTAACATAGAAATAAAATTACATGTTATTTGATATTTGATTTTTGATAAAAATTATTTAGATATTAATTTAATTAATGTAGTAAATTAAAAATAAGGATTGTTAAAATGAATTAGAAAATGAGTTTTTCAAGAATATTGATCACTTTAATCAGCATATTTTCACTGAATTATTAATTTTTTTGCAATAAATGTCCTGCGCTATAGATGATCAACAGTATTAAACATTTTTCTAAATAAGTTATATGAAAATTAAAACAATAAAACACATTTTTACTAATGATTATCTTAGATCCAAAAAATACTGAAGGATACACTGTTTACAGTTTCCTTAGGATTCCAAAGACTAACATTTTAGTCATTAACACAAGCTAATATTATAGTCAATATAATATAATTTATTACTATGATATGTCGTCTGGATAAGGAGAAGTTATCAATATCGTAACACGTAATCATCCTCATTTAAATTTCATATATTTATTTACTTTTTTTAATGACTTAATGCTTTTTAAAATAAAATTATAGCCGATTTTTAAATATTGAACATGGAATACAATTAACTTACAGATTAATTTGTGATATCAAATAAATAAAATCTTATTTTTGCAGAATTATATACATTTAAAATGATATATTCTATTTCAATTAATTCTATCTCATCTTTAAAGATTATTAAAGATACTAACCTTATTATTTTGACTAATAACTATAATATCTTGCAAATTTTTGATTTTTAGAAATACCAAATAGTGCTAGTTATGGATAATACTCAATCTCTTCAAACATTTCCTGATAATTCTCCTCTTTATTAATATTATTCTGATATTTATAAGCTATCTTCTGGAGATTTTATAATAGTTACAGTTAATGACATGGGAGTTATTACTTGGTCAATAGATCTGCTAAATTTAACTTATAAATTTAATGGCTATATTCCAGATTGTAACTTTGTATTTTTAACAAAAGATATTTAAGCACTTAAATTATGATAGCTCAAGTATAATAAGGTGAGGATACTAAGTATTTTACTAAACATCTAACACTAGATATATTATTTATTGTTGGTTAGTATTTTCAAGTTCAGGTTGTCAAAATTTAAGATATTAAAAATGGTCAATATTTAACTGTTTATAAAGATTGTAAGTATTTAAAATATATTTACTTTTTAAAAATAAAATTCTCTAATAAAAGATATTTATCATTTTACAGAGCAAATATTTAACATTTTGTATGATGAGATCATTATTAATGGTAGTATAGAACCTATAATATTGGTTAGCACAAATCAATATTTAGCATAAGCTTAGGTGCATTTTAATGAAGATTTTACTAAAATGGAAGTTGTAAAGACTTCTTTTACATGGTTTACAATTTATTATAAATGGTATAAAATAGAAGAAAGTCCAATTTTATTTATGTCTTCATTGACTTACATAACCATATTCAACTATGAAAACTTTAATTTCCATTATTATATTTGTAAAATTATTTAATGAAATTAAATTGTATTTAAATTTAACATGTGTAGATTTTGGTGGTGATACAAAAAGCAGAAGGTTTATAAGATAAAATGGAGTAGATCCAGATTTATTTATAATTATATCTCAAAATTAGATTAGTATAAATGAGAGAGGTAACTTTGGCTAATTCTCTAAATATGGAAAACCTCCTCTCTCAGGAAATATAAGGCAATCATATTGTAGTTTCTTTTAAGTTAAAAACATTTTTGATTGGTATTTGATTAAAAGCGGTGATGACGGAAGCAATAGTCTAGTCTTTACTGTACCCATTTTCCCTCTTAGTTAATCTAATACAGTAAAAATAAATTATATTAATATTTTTATTCAAATAGTTAACTAATAATTTATTTTAAAATAGTAAATTGATATTACTACTTCATTTGGATTATATTGGATAGATATTAATTTTAATTTAGATCCTTTCTATTTATTTGATAAAATCTTAGTAGCTTTAGCTTTCAACTAATAGGGGTAGATAATTAAGGTACTGTATATGTATGGGACTTAAGCTCGCTTAACTTAACCTTCAAATATTATCAAAAATATAGTAATCAATTACAATTTTTATATAAATTTACTCATTATAAAAATCTACAATTAATAATTTTGATTGATTCTCAAAAATTAAAAATAAAATTTTCTATTTATCCAAAAATAAAATAAGAATTTATAAATTTAAATATAAATATATAAAAATTTTTTGTTTAAAATATTTATTTTAAATAATGTTTCAATAAACAAAAAAAAAAAAGATTTGATTTTTATTTTAGTTTTATTAAAATTTAGAAATAAAGATAATTAAAAAGAATATCTTTTTTTTAATTTAATTATTTCAATCTCATACTCTTTTTCTGATAAAATAAACGTATTTTATAAATTTTAAAATATATTTATCATTTTTTTTAAATTTTTGCAAAAGATTTTTGTTAAAATTCATTTATTGGAGATATTTTTCACTACCTTAGCTTAAAACGACTCATTATCGCTTGTGATTCCAATAAAGTTTACTCTCTTGATTTTGTCACAAGAGATTATCAATATCTAACTTAATTAAGCTACACAACATTAGCTTTAAGAGCATTTTCAAGTCCATAATTGATAGCAATTGGTGAATATGACTCAGGAGCAATTTAATTATGGAAATATAATCAAATCACATCAAAATTTGAATCCTTCCTGTCTTTTAAATTGGAAATTTTATAAGATGCTTTAATTTATTTTGATATGTCCAACGATTATACTTTATGGATATAGTATGCTAATGTAAATATTTTTTACTCTATTAAGGATTGTCTCACTGATTATTCTCTTTGCTAACAATGTACATAATAATACTACTTCAACACTACTAATTCATATGATAAAAATTCTGTCTATGGAGTAGGTACTTCTGAATAGCCTTTTACGAGTTCTTATAATTTTATTTCAGCTATAATTAAAGTAATTTAAATATAGTTTTATATTTTTTCAATACACGCATTTATTTTTACATAAGCTAAATAAAAATTTTTTACTTTTTTATTGTATAATATGTATAGGCATAATTTTACAAGTTAATTGTTAGTGGAGTATTTGATATGAGTGTATCTATATTTATAACTCCTGATAATTAACTAAATCTAAACCCAAGTATTATGAACTTTGGCTTTAATAGTATTATTTCTTTAGGCTTTAATAGTACTGAAAAGGGTACCTATGCAAGTATTGGATATTAAAATACTTTATAATTTGATAATTTTAACAGGATTAGCTTTTAAGATATTAAAATTAATTTTAGTTTTACTCAAGCGAATAATAATTGTGGTATTCTCTTTTAAAATGTATTATTAGGAGCATTCATAAATAATATTTAACTTTATAATATAAATCAAAATTTATTTCCTAAAAGTTGCTAGTCTATTTAAGCTATCTCAACATAATTGAATATAGGAAAGTATATCATTTAAAATGAAGATTTTTCAAATCATTTATAAGTAATTACTCAGTTTAATTCAAGTCAAGTAATTTTAAATATTTTTAAACATTAATCTAAAAATTTTTTGAATTAAAAAAAGATTTTTATCTCAAACTTTTATTTGATAAATTGCACATTAGGTCCATAATTCAGTATATTTTAACAGTAAACTGATATAAAAGCCTCTTTAACCAATATTGTATTATCATAAAACAAATGCTTTAATCAGACAAATTAAGTAAATAATTCATCATCTGCTTTGTTTTCAGCAGGTTTTTTTACTATTGATCGACTTTAAATAATAAACAACTCTTTTTGTAAGAAAACTTTATTTAATACTATTTCTACTGCTCAGTAAAATGATTTGAAATTTTCCCTTAATGACATAACATTGATAAATAATCAATTTTAGACTTCAACTACCTATATACTTTTTAATGCACTTTATTAGATGAGAGCTTTTCCATCTCACTAACTAAATGTTAGCAATTTATATTTTGAAAATAATAAAATAATTAAGTTCAGTAGTAATGACACTATTGATCGAGCTTAATACTTTGAAACTAGCAAAATAGCTTCTATTAATTCATATAATGTGACTATGAAGAACTAATTAGATGTTAAGTTTGGATTGATTCAAATATCAAATGTTGTAAATATTACTTTATTTGAGTGTTTTTGTGATGATAGTTTTTACAACAATTATTAAAATGTTGCAATAAATGGCTGCTTATCTCTTAACGAAATAGCATCTACAATAATTAATAATGCTAAATTTTATAAGAAAAGGCTAAAAGATAGCAGTTTATTATCACTTGAAAATAAATCAATTCTATTAGCAACCATAAGTATTATAAATAGTTCATTTTATGATTTGGTTCTGTTTTAAACAAATGAGAACACTTAAACTATGCCTGTATATTTAGTGAGCAATTAAAATCTATAAGTTTCAATTGATAAATGCCTTTTTTAAAATTTAAACCTGCAAAGCATACAATTTACTTAAACTTATTCAGTAACAGGATTATGGATTTTAGATTATGCAGGTTCTGTATAAATTTCAAATTCGTAATTTAAAGATTCATACAGTAATTCATAATATGGATTTGGTTATATTCAAGTCAGCTAACTTTCACTTGATACGGTTGTATTTAATAACTCTTCATTTGTAGAAGATGAATCACTATCATTGTACAATTAGTATGGTGGAATGCTTAACGTTAGAGCAGATAGAGTAAATTTGCTTAATTGCAATTTTAGTAATTCTACAGCCTAAAAAGGTTCTTTTCTCTACATGGTTTCTTCTAACGAAACATTTAACCTTTTATTCACAAATATTTCTTTCAGTTATGGATTTGCATTATTGGATGGAGGTGCTATATTCATTGATACTAATGGTTATTATATAAATTATAAATGTGAGAACTGCTAATTTAGTAATTTATACATTTAATAGCCTCAGGCTTCAATAATTGGAATTCAGTAAAACTTTATATTAAATTTAAATCATTTAAAATATTTCAAAATTAAAAACAAAAAAATCAGCTTTTAATACTTATAAAATTAATTAGTAAAAAGAAAACAAACATTTAATGCAACAAATATATAAACTATAATCACTTAATTTATTATTAAATAAATTTAAATAATTTTGAATTAATTTATACTTAAACTTAACAAAAGGTAAAACTCAAATAATTAAGAAAATGATAAAAACTTTGTAATTTTTGATGAAGGATATATTAACAATACCATAGGGATACAAGAAAATTATTTCATAACACTTTCTTATGCTTATATCTATTTTAATAATATAAATTAAAGTTATTATAATATAACTTTAAAGTCAAGAGCTTTGAGATAATTTTTAAGTTTAAAAGATTAATAGTAATCTACCTTGATAAACATAATTAATTCATAAGCATCACTTACAAAATGCAGTATTTCTAATTTAAAAATTAAAAATAAATAATCTTAGGTCCCTCTTCTTATTCAATCTTAAGATTCAATTATTAATCTAATCAATTCATAAATATAAAGATGTTAATTTGTAAGAAGTGTTATTAATTTAGTTGGAGGATAACTATTTATAGATAATACTATATTTTAAAATGTTTTTTATTTTTTTTCTGGGAGAATTTTATTTGATCTTAATGAGAAAAATCTAATTACCTAGTCTAATTCGTTAATTATAACAAATAATACATCTATTTAAATATTAAACAATTCCAAGTTTGAGTAACTAAATTGTGACTCTTGCAATGGGGCTGCTCTTTAAGTTATTAATGGTAATATTAACATTTAAGATTCAATCTTTAATCAAACCAATGTAAATTATTGTTAGATATCATAATAATTTTTCGTTTATAAAATAAAATTTAATTTTACTATTATAATAATTAAATATTAGTTAAAGTATTCAAAAAAATTTTCAATTATTTTAAAAATGAAAATATTAAATTTAAATCAACAATAATATAATATAAAGGCTTAATAAGGAGGTGCAATATTTATAACAGGATTGGTAGGGAATAATTACATAAGAAAAACTATTTTTGTTGAAGGTTAATCTTAGTATAATGGGGGTTCATTATATTTTCAATAATAGCAATAATAAAATGTAATTTAACTTTAATTCTTTTTAATATTAAAATCATTATAATTAATTAGCCATTTAGTCTAGATATTAGTGAATGCTAATATTTGAATAATACATCGATAGATGGTAAGGGAGGATCTCTATATATTTCTTCTAATAGTTTAAATCCTTTAAATATGAGTATTAGTGTTTATTTTACTGATTTTACTAATAATCTAGCATAAATTGGAGGAGCTATTTACAATTAAAATATTTCTATTTAAGTTTAAAATTCATAATTTATCTAAAATTATGCCAAAATATTTGGTTCAAATAGCATTTCTTACCCAACAAAACTTCTCTTAGTTAATATTGAATAGTTTTTGAGCAAATACAATGGAACTATTACAAATAACTAAATAATTATATAGAATTTTAGAAGTGGACATTTTTTTGAAGATATTTAATTCTAAATGATAAATGACTTCGGTGAAGTAATCATTCCAGTTAGTTATGAAGAAAAGCAATCTTATAGAGTTTAGGTCAGGATAAACCAAAAAACTAAAAATTATGAAAATTACTAAATAACAGGAGAATTAGACACTTCTTTTAATAGATAATCACAATTATACACTTTTTCAAAATTATATTTAGTTGGAACTCCTAACTCCTCAGTTATTTTATAGTTTTATTCTAATCAGATATTTAATTTAGAGGATTAAACTAATTAATATATATAAATATATTCATATGATATAATAGTGAATTTTAGAGAATGTATTTCAGGAGAATAAATAAAATAATATAACTCTCTTACTTAGTGTGATATTTGCAAAAAAGGTCAATATTCCTTGAATATTCAATAATGTTAAGACTGTCCAATAGGTGCTGAGTGTTTAGGTGGAAATAAAATAGAAATAAAGGAAGGCTTTTGGAGAAGATCTTAAGAAATTGATTTGATTTTATCTTGCGAAAATCAAAAGTCTAATTGCATTGGTGGTTTTTTCGGAAATCAAATTTGCTAGGAAGGATATATAGGAGCTTTATGTGAAGAATGTGATGTAATTAATAAACATAAAATATTAGATTTTAAGTTATTTTTTTAAATTTATTTAAGATAAATGGTGATTATTGGGGCGAAAGTTATTCTTAAAATTCTAAATATTCTTGCTAAAAATGCAGTAAAGTTAAATATAACATATGGCTTTTAGCTCTTATAACTCTATGGACATTACTTTCAATGAATATAGCAATTAAAGAGAATATAAACAATTTAAAAGTTGAAAATGCTTTGTTATAAAAAACAATAAATAAATAAAGAAATAAATTAAAATTAGCTAAATTGTTTGAAACTAAATAAAGTACGATGAAGACTTTTTCTAATACTAAAATTAGTAATCCTGTAAATATTCTTTAAAAATAAAAAAAAATTAAAATGGAAAAATAAAGAAATAAAAATTAAATTGAATCACAAGGCATTTATTTAAAAATACTTACAAATTATTTTTAGATTGTAAGTTGTATTTCTACCTTTAATCTATCAATACCTTCAGGTATTATTTTCTTTTGCAAATTAATATATTTTACATAACTTTTATCCAAATAAAGGTTTTATTGAACTGCCTTAATTTGTAGGTAACCCAGTAAAATTAACTATGAGTTCTTTAGATTGTTTATTGATAGAAATTTAAAGTGACATACCAATTATCTATTTTAGGCTAGTTTTTTCACAAATTATTCCAATAATTTACATTTTAATTATCTTTCTTGGATTACTAATTAAGCATTTATGTTAAAAAAGAAAAAATAACTTATAACAATTTCCGTATTATGCTCTTTCTACAGCTTGTCTTTTCTTGATAATTTTTATTTAACCTGACTTAGTAGCCTAGTTTATAGCTTTAATATCGTGTAGAACTATTGGAGATAGAGTTTACATTTTGTCAAATGTTTCATATGAGTGCTTTACAGAATAACATATCAAATATATGATTATTTTAGTTGTACCGTTACTTATTATTTGGGTATTAATAATTCCTTTAGTTTTAATTATGTTGCTAGTAAGCAAAAAAAGTAAGCTAGATGACTCAAATTCCAAACTGAATTTGGGTTTTCTTTATAAAGAATATAAAAACAGTGCTTATTTTTGGGAATTCATAAAAATGACTGAAAAACTTTCAATAATTCTGGTTTTAAATTTTTTCTCTTAAACGATTACAGTTAAAGGAATATTAATTTTTATAATAATTTCACTTTACGGAATTTCAACATCAATAGTAAAACCCTTTAAATAAGTAAACATCAACCAAATCGATATATAATCAACAAATGTTTGCTCTATTACAATATTGCTTGCTATTTTTATGAATAGAAATCCATTTTCATATTTTTATTATCCTTCATTTGGAATATTGGTGTTGATTAATTTTATATTTATTATATTTTTACTGAAATTGATCATGATTAGCTACCTAGATTTTATAAAATTTTAAATTTAAACTTTAGCTTCAAAATACTCTGATAAGTTTCATTTCTTAAAAAAATTATAAAGAGATTCGTAAGGTACAAAAAAACTAAACCCTGATTTAAAACTAAAAATATAAAGAGCCTTTTAAAATTATTTGAATATGAATCAAACTTAAAAGAAATAGATTTTCATAAATATCTTTGAATAGTAGCTAAGTAAAATATTTTTTTTTCCACTAAATTGTTATTTATTAGTTTCTTTTATAGACTTTAAATGTAAGAGTCCTGAGCTAAGACTTTAATAGCAAAATACTATATAAAGCCCTAATATATTAAGTATGTAAAACTAGAGTATAGAATATGAGAGAAATTCATTATTTTTGGTAAGAGTCACTAATTTAGATTTAGCTTTTAATACAATCAAAACAAATAATTACTAGAATTTAAAAGGTAAATAAATAAAATTAATTTAAAAATTTATTTTAAACTATTAATTTCTTATTCATTCTTTAAATTATTTTTTAATAAATAGGTATTAAAGGCCTTTAACAATAAAATTGATATAAATATAAAAAAATTATTTTCTATTCATTTGAAGATTGCTAAATTAAAATATTGATATTTAAAAAGTATTAAATATTTCATTTATAATATATAAGCAGAAATATATTTTTTGTTTCATATTTTTGTATAAACACAATTATCTCTGACATTTTTAATGGTTTAAAATTCAATTTTTTAAATTAAGTACATAAAATAGGAACTAAAATTCATTTTATGATATTTAACGAGTAAGATGTATTTCAATCCTACTTTTATTTTAAAAATCAATAATTTCTATAGTAAATTAAAGTAATGGAATTTTAAAAGTAGCTAACTATGAAATAAAAAAGTTTACTAAATTAATTAAATTTAATAAAATATCATTTAGTTCAGATTTACTTTTGGAATTAAAAATTAAATTTCTTTCATTTGATTAGTAAGAAAAAATCACAGTTCAAAATAAAAAGAAAATTTAATTAATATTTGTTGAGGCTCAAATTATGGTTCTTTGCCAGTTATGAAGCAGACATTTCTTAATCTCCTTTAAAAAAATTTTAGAAAATTTAGTTTAAAAGTAACAAATGGATATTTTATAGTTCGTAGACTTTTTAAGAAGCTTCAAGCCACACATCTGATGATTTTGTATTCATTTTAAAATACTTTAGGGAAAAAAATTATTAAATTTAGTGGCATAATAAATTTTTTTGATAAAAAAATGACTTATTATTTTAATCTTTAAGAGAGAATAATGAAATGCTTAATGAGTATGATAATTAAATTTAACAAAGTTTTATAAAGATATAATAAATAATTTAATGAAAGCAAAGACGCTTTATTTTTAAGTAAAAAACTTGATAGAGAATCTTAGTGTTATAATAATTAAAAATATAAAATATCTATTAGTCTAATGAATATTTAATTTTAAAAAAATCCAATCCTTCTTTAGGTTAAAATAATTTGCTAACTCTTAGACTTTTATTTTTATTTAGGTTTTAGAATTGAAAGATTTATTAATGAATATAAAAGCAAATTTCTTTAAATTTTAATAATATTTTACTTAATTTAAGGGAGAGGGGGCAGTTAGTGAGATAGGAGAGTCTAAGTGGTCGCTTTGTGGGGTGATACTCTAAAAAGTAAAGATATTAAATTGAAACTCAAAAAAAATGAGTAAATGATATAAAATATTATTAATTAATATATATAAATAAAACTTTGAACAATTAAAATAAATTAAATTATAAATTATTATTATAAGTACCGTTAATTCGATTATCTATCTATCTATTATTATTATTATTTTTATTAGTATTTAAAATTTGAATTTTAATAAAAAGGATTATTATCAAGAAAAAAAATGCAAATAATTATTTGCTCTAAGAAGAAATTAATGAAGCGCTCATCAAAAAAGCTAAACAAATTAATAGATTGTACTAAAAAAAAGGTGGTATGTAGTATTATTATAATTTTTCAAAATATTTGAATTAGAAGTTAAGGTCTATAATTTATTGATCTTAATTAAAAAAAGATATTCTTAATAAGACAAAATTCAAAGACCCAATCTAATCTCAAAAGGAAAAATGATTCATATTCATTTAATTTACTTTACTTTACTTAATCAAACACAAAATACTAATTATTAAGTAAAAAAAAATGAATAGATTAAATCTAAAATCAAAACAAGGAAATATGAGTGTCAGATATAGCTATAGTGTATGTAGTTTATAAAGAAATCGCTCATGTATCTGAGACTATAAACATACATTTTTTGTATTTAAATTTAATAATTAGAATAGAAAATTATACTTCTATTGATAATATATATTTCAGATAAATTAATATTCATGTATAAGTTAAAAAATAGCAATCTATTTAATGCTATTCAATTTACATCATTTTTCATTGAAAATGTATTTACCTTACATTAAAAATTAAAAAAAATTATTATATTTTTTTAATTATCTGTAATGTAAAAAAGCTGTTAGTATACATATTATTTACGTCTATTTGATTGTATTACTTTCGTTGTATTAGTTTAGTATATTATTGATTAAAAGGAAAAAGAAATACATCGAAATAAGATTACTCAATATTTAGTATTTGCTTTGCTAAAAAATATTTAGGTATTAATTTAATTAATATAATGATTAAATTAAGAAATAAGGACTGCATAAAAAGAATTACAAAATGAGTTTTTCAAGAATATTTATCACTTTAATCAGCATATTTTCACTGAATAATTAATTTTTTTGCAATAAATGCCCTGCGCTACAGATGATCAACAGTATTAAACAATTTTCTAAATAAATTAGATTAAAATTAAAAAAATAAAACATACTTTTACTTATGATTATCTTAGATCCAAAAATAACTGAAGGGTATATTGTTTACAGTTTCCTTAGGATTCCAAAGACTAACATTCTAATCATTAACACAAGTTAATATTACAATCCTAATACTAATATAGTTTATTATTATGATATGTCATCAGGCTAAGGAGAAGTTATCAATATTGTAATTCGTAATAATTCTGATTTAAAATAAATATTATTTTTAACCTTTTTAATGGCTTAATGCTTTTTAAAATATAATTACAGCTGATTTCTTTATCTTGAATATGGAATACAATTAACTTACAGATTAATTTGTGATATCAAATAAATATAATCTTATTTTTGCTGAATTATATACACTTAAAACAATATATTATATTTCAATTAATTCTATCTCATCATTAAAGATCATTAAAGATACTAACCTTATTATTTTGACTAATAACTATAATATCTTGCAAATTTTTGACTTTTAGAAATACCAAATAGCGCTAGTTATGGATAATACTCAATCTCTTCAAACATTTCCTGATAATTCTCCTCTTTATTAATATTATTCTGATATTTATAAGCTATCTTCTGGAGATTTTATAATAGTTACAGTTAATGACATGGGAGTTATTACTTGGTCAATAGACTTGATAAATTTAACATACAAATTTAATGGCTATATTCCAGATTGTATTTTTTATTTTTTAACTAAATATATTTATGTATTTAAATTATGAATAGCTCAAGTATAAAAAGGTGATAACACTAAGTATTTTGCTAAACATCTAACACTAGATATATTATTTATTGTTGGTTAGTATTTTCAAGTTCAGGTTGTCAAAATTTAAGATATTAAAAATGGCCAATATTTAACTATTTATAAAGATTGTAAGTATTTAAAATATATTTATTTTTTAAAAATAAAATTCTCTAAAAAAAGATATTTATTATTTTTGGGACTCAATATTTAACATTTTGTATGATGAAATCATTATTAATGATAGTAGAGAACCTATAATATTGGTTAGCACAAATCAATATTTAGCTAAAGCTTAGGTGCATTTTAATGAGGATTTTACTAAAATGGAGGTTGTAAAGACTTCTTTTACATGGTTTACAATTTATTATAAATGGTATAAAATAGAAGAAAGTCCAATTTTATTTATGTCTTCTTAGACTTATATAACCATATACAATTATGAAAACTTTGATTCCCATTACTATATTTGTAAAATTATTTAATAAAAAAAATGTATTAAATTTAATATGTGTAGATTTTGGTGGTGATTCTATAAGCAGAAGGTTTATAAGACAAAATGGAGTAGATCCAGATTTATTTATACTTATGTATCAAAATTAGATAAGGATAAATGAGAGAGGTAACTTTGGATAATACTCTAAATATGTAAAACCTTATCTCTCAGGAAATATAAGGCAAACATATTGTAGTTTCTTTTAAGTAAAAAACATTTTTGATTGGTATTTGATTAAAAGCGGTGAGGATGGAAGCAATAGTTTAATCTTTACTGTACCCATTTTCCCGATAAGCTAATCTAACACTGTAAAAATTAATTACATTAAAATTATTGTTCAAATAATTTATTAATAATTTATTTTAAAATAAAAAGTAAATTGATATAACTTCTTCATATGGGTTATATTGGATAGATATTAATTTTAATTTAGATCCTTTCTATTTATTTGATAAAATCTTTGTAGCTTTAGCTTTCCCAAATAAAAAAAATACTGAAAATTATCTTTTTCAACTAATTAATTGCCAATCAACAACTGAAAGATACTATTTGACTTCTAATTCAAGTGATGTTAGAAATATTTAGACTGTTTATGCTCTAGCCTCCTTAGAAGATAAGAAAAATCTAGAACTAATAGGGGTAGATAGTTAAGGTACTGTATATGTATGGGACTTAAGCTCGCTTAATTTAACCTTCAAATATTATCAAAAATATGGTAATCAATTACAATTTGTATATAAATTTACTCTTGATCAAAATATACAATTTATAGTTTTGAGTGATCCCTAAAATTTAAATTAATTGTAAAATAATATTTTCTACTCTCAAAAATTAGAGTTTACAAATTTAAAATTAAATTTATACATTTTTGTTTGTTTCATTATTTATAATTAATTTATCTATTTTTTAAAAATTTTGTAAAGATTTTTGTTAAAATTCATTTATTGGAGATGTTTTTCACTACCTAAGCTTAAAACGACTCATTATTGCTTGTAGCTCAAATAAAGTTTACTCTCTTGATTTTGTCACAGGAGATTATCAATATCTAGCTTAATTAAGCTACACAACATTAGCTTTAAGAGCATTTTCAAGTCCATAATTGATAGCAATTGGTGAATATGACTCAGGAGCAATTTAATTATGGAAATTTAATCAAGCCACATCAAAATTTGATCTCTTCCTGTCTTTTAAATTGGACATTATATAAGATGCTTTGATTTACTTCGACATGTCCAATGATTATACTTTATGGATATAGTATTCGAATTTAAATATTTTTTACTCTATTAAGGATTGTCTCACTGATTCTTCTCTTTGCAAACAATGTACACAATAATATTACTTCAATACTACTAACTCATATGATAGAAATTCTGTATATGGAGTAGGTACTTTTGAATAGCCTTTTACGAGTTCTTATAATTTTATTTCTACTATAATTAAAGTAATTTAAATTTAGTTTTAAATCTTTTCTACACATACATTTATTATTAAACTATTTAAATAAAAATTTTTTACTTTTTAATACTAAATATTATAATATAATAGGCATAATTTTACAAATAAATTGTGAGTGGAGTTTTTGATATGAGTGTATCTATATTTATAACTCCTGATAATTAACTAAATCTAAACCCAAGTATTATGAACTTTGGCTTTAATAGTATTATTTCTTTAGGCTTTAATAGTACTGAAAAGGGTACATATGCAAGTATTGGATATTAAAATACTTTATAATTTGATAATTTTAACAGGATTAGCTTTTAAGATATTATAATTAATTTTAATTTTACAAAAGCAAATAATAGTTGTGGTATTCTCTTTTAAAATATATTATTAGGAGCATTCATAAATAATATTTAACTCTATAATATAAATCAAAATTTATTTCCTAAAAGTTGCTAGTCTATTTAAGCTATCTCAACATAATTGAATATAGGAAAGTATATCATTTAAAATGAAGATTTTTCAAATCATTTATAAGTAATTACTCAGTTTAATTCAAGTCAAGTAATTTTAAATATTTTTAAACATTAATCTAAAACTTTTTTGAATTAAAAAAAGATTTTTATCTCAAACTTTTATTTGATAAATTGCACATTAGGTCCATAATTCAGTATATTTTAACAGTAAACTGATATAAAAGCCTCTTTAACCAATATTGTATTATCATAAAACAAATGCTTTAATCAGACAAATTAAGTAAATAATTCTTCATCTGCATTGTTTTCAGCTGGCTTATTTAGTGTTGATGGATTTTAAATAATAAACAACTCTTTCTGTTAGAAAACTATATTTGATACTATTGCTACTGCTCAGTAAAATGATTCAACATTTTTCCTTAATAACATAACTTTGATAAATAATCAATTTTAGACTTCCACTACCTATATACTTTTTAATGCACTTTATTAGATGAGAGCCTTTCCATCTCATTAACTAAATGTAAGCAATTTATACTTTGATAATAATAAAATAATTAAGTTCAGTAGTAATGATACTATTGATCGAGCTTAATACTTTGAAACTAGCAAAATAGCTTCTATTAATTCATATAATGTGACTATAAAGAACTAATTAGATATTTAGTTTGGATTGATTCAAATATCAAATGTTGTAAATTTTACTTTATTTGAATGTTACAGTGATGATAATTTTTACAACAACTCTTAAAATATTGCTGTTAATGGTTGCTTATCTCTTAAAGAAATTGCATCTACAATTATTAATAATGCTAAATTTTATAAGAAAAGGCTAAAAGATAGCAGTTTATTATCACTTGAAAATAAATCACTTTAATTTGCAACCATAAGTATTTTAACTAGTTCATTTTCTGATTTGGTTCTGTTTTAAACAAATGAGAACACTTAAACTATGCCTGTATATTTAGTGAGCAACTAAAATTTATAAGTTTCTATTGATAAATGCCTTTTTTAAAAGATAAACTTGCAAAGCATACAATTTACTTAAACTTATTCAGTAACAGGATTATGGATTTTAGATTATGCTGGTTCTGTATAAATTTCAAATTCATAATTTAAAGATTCATACAGTAATTCATAATATGGATTTGGTTATATTCAAGTCAGCTAACTTTCACTTGATACGGTTGTATTTAATAACTCTTCATTTGTAGAAGATGACTCACTATCTTTGTACAATTAGTATGGTGGAATGCTTAATATTAGAGCAGATAGAGTAAATTTACTTAATTGCAATTTTAGTAATTCTACAGCCTAAAAAGGTTCTTTTCTTTACATGGTTTCTTCTAACGAAACATTTAACATTTTATTCACAAATATTTCTTTCAGTTATGGATTTGCATTATTGGATGGAGGTGCTTTTTTCATAGATACTAATGGCTATTATATAAATTTTAAATGTGAAAACTGCTAATTTAGTAATTTATACATTTATTAACCTTAAGCTTCAATAATTGGAATTCAGTAAAACATTATTTAAAATTAAATTGTTTAAATTATTTTATTATCAAGTATATAAACAATAGTTACTTTTAAATTTAAAAAATGTTGAAATTAATATTTATAACAAAAGGTAAAACTCATAAAATTAAGAAAGTGATAAAAACTTTGTAATTTTTGATAGAGGATATATTAATAATACCATAGGAATACAAGAAAATTATTTCTTAACACTTTCTTATGCTTATATCTAATTTATTAATATAAATTAAAGTTATTATGATGTAGCTTTGAAGTCAAGAGCTTTGAGATAATTTTTAAGTTTAAAAGATTAATAGCAATCTACCTTGATTAACATAATTAATTCATAAGCATCACTTATAAAATGTAGTATTTCTAATTTATAAATTAAAAACAAATAATCTTAGATTCCTCTTCTTATACAATCTTACGATTCAGTTATTAATCTAATTAATTCATCAATTTAGAGATGTTAATTTGTTAGAAGTGTTATTAATTTAGTTGGAGGATAATTATTTATAGATAATACTATATTTTAAAATATTTATTAATTTTATTCTAAGAGAATTTTATTTGATCTTAATGAGAACAAGCTAATTACCTAGTCTAATTCGTTAATTATAACAAATAATACATCTATTTAAATATTAAACAATTCCAAGTTTGAGTAACTAAAATGTGACTCTTGCAATGGGGCTGCTCTTTAAGTTATTAATGGCAATATTAACATTTAAGATTCAATCTTTAATCAAACCACTGTAAATTATTGTTAGATATTATTTAAAAAATATTTAATTCATCTTTTCAATTATTTTTAAAATGAAAAACTTAAATTTAAAACAAAAACAATTTTATTTAAAGGCTTAATTAGGAGGTGCAATATTTATAACAGGATTGGTAGGGAATAATTACATAAGAAAAACTATTTTTGTTGAAGGTTAATCTTAGTATAATGGGGGTTCATTATATTTTCAATAATAGCAATAATAAAATGTAATTTAACTTTAATTCTTTTTAATATTAAAATCATTATAATTAATTAGCCATTTAGTCTAGATATTAGTGAATGCTAATATTTGAATAATACATCGATAGATGGTAAGGGAGGATCTCTATATATTTCTTCTAATAGTTTAAATCCTTTAAATATGAGCATTAGTGTTTATTTTACTGATTTTATTAATAATCTAGCATAAATTGGAGGAGCTATTTACAATTAAAATATCTCTATTTAAGTTTATAATTCATAATTTATGTAAAATTATGCCAAAATATTTGGTTCAAATAGCATTTCTTACCCAACAAAACTTCTCTTAGTTAATATTGAATAATTTTTGAGCAAATACAATGGAACTATTACAAATAACTAAATAATTATATAAAATTTTAGAAGTGGACATTTTTTTGAAGATATTTAATTCTAAATGATAAATGACTTTGGTGAAGTAATCATTCCAGTTAGTTATGAAGAAAAACAATCTTATAGAGTTTAGGTTAGGATAAACTAAAAAACTAAAAATTCTGAAAATTACTAAATAACAGGAGAATTAGACACTTCTTTTAATAGATAATCACAATTATACACTTTTTCAAAATTATATTTAGTTGGAACTCCTAACTCCTCAGTTATTATTTAGTTTTATTCCAATCAAATATATAATCTAGAAGATTAAACTAATTAATATATATAAACATATTCATATGATATAATAGTGAATTTTAGAGAATGTATTTCAGGAGAATAAATAAAACAATATAACTCTCTTACTTAGTGTGATATTTGCAAAAAAGGTCAATATTCCTTGAATATTCAATAATGTTAAGACTGTCCAATAGGTGCTGAGTGTTTAGGTGGAAATAAAATAGAAATAAAGGAAGGCTTTTGGAGAAGATCTTAGGAAATAGACTTGATTTTATCATGCGAAAATCAAAAATCTAATTGTATTGGTGGCTCTTATGGAAATCAAATTTGCTAGGAAGGACATATAGGAGCTTTATGTGAAGAATGTGATGTAATTAATAAACATAAAATATTAGATTTTAAGTTATTTTTTTTAATTTATTTAAGATAAATGGTGATTATTGGGGAGAAAGTTATTCTTAAAATTCTAAATATTCTTGCTAAAAATGCAGTAGAGTTAAAAATAACATATGGATTTTAACTCTTATAACTATTTGGACATAGCTTTCTATGGCTATAGCAATTAAAGAGAATATAAAAAATTTAGAAGTTGAAAATGCTTAGATATAAAAAGCAATAAACAAATAAAGAAACAAATTAAAATCAGCTAAAATGTTTGAAACTAAATTAAGTATGATGAAGACTTTTTCTAATACTAAAATTAGTAATCCTGTAAATATTGTTTAAAAATAAAAAAAAATTAAAATGGAAACATAAAGAAATAAAAATTAAATTGAATCACAAAGCATTTATTTAAAAATACTGACAAATTATTTTTAGATTGTTAGTTGTGTTTCTACCTTCAATCTAACAATACCTTCAGGTATTATTTTCTTTTAAAAGTAAATATATTTTACATAACTTTTATCTAAATAAAGGTATTATTCAACTGCCCTAATCTGTAGGCAATCCTATAAAATTAACTATGAATTCTTTAGATTGTTTATTGATAGAAATTTAAAGTGATATACCGATTATCTATTTTAGGCTAGTTTTTTCACAAATTATTCCAATAATTTACATTTTAATTATCTTTCTTGGATTACTAATTAAGCATTTATGTTAAAAAAGAAAAAATAACTTATAACAATTTCCATATTATGCTCTTTCTACAGCTTGTCTCTTCTTGATAATTTTTATTTAGCCCGACTTAGTAACCTAGTTTATAGCTTTAATATCGTGTAGAACTATAGGAGATAGAGTTTACATTTTGTCAAATGTTTCATATGAGTGCTTTACAGAATAACATATCAAATATATGATTATTTTAGTTGTACCGTTACTTATTTTTTGGGTATTAATAATTCCTTTAGTTTTATTTACGTTGCTAGTACGCAAAAAAAGTAAGCTAGATGACTCAAATTCCAAACTGAACTTGGGTTTTCTTTACAAAGAATATAAAAACAGTGCTTATTTTTGGGAATTCATAAAAATGGCTGAAAAACTTTCAATAATTCTGGTTTTAAATTTTTATTCTTAAACAATTACGGTTAAAGGAATATTAATTTTTATAATAATTTCACTTTACGGAATTTTAACGTCAATAGTAGAACCCTTTAAATAAGTAAACATCAACCAAATTGATATATAATCAACAAATGTTTGCTCTATTACAATATTGCTTGCTATTTTTATGAATAGAAATCCTTTTTCATATTTTTATTATCCTTCTTTTGGAATATTGGTTTTGATTAATTTTATATTTATTATATTTTTACTGAAATTGATCATGACCACCTACCTAGATTTTATGAAATCTTAAATTTAAAATTTAGCTTCATAATACTCTGATAAGTTTAATTTCTTAAAAAAATTCTAAAGAGATTCTTAAGTTACAAAAAAACTTAACCCTAATTTAAAACTAAAAGTGTAAAGAGCCTTTTAAAATTATTTGAATATGAATCAAACTTAAAGGAAATAGATTTTCATAAATATCTTTGAAAAGTAGCTAAGTAAAATTTTTTTTTTTTCCACTTAATTGTTTTTTATTTGTTTCTTTTAAAGATTTTAAAAGTAAGAGTACTGAGCTTAGACTTTAATACCCAAATACTATATAAAGTTCTATAATATTAAGTATGAAAAGCCAGGATATTTAACAAGAGAGAAATTCATTATTTTTGGTAAGAGACACTAATTTAGATTTAGCTTTTAATACAATCAAAACAAATAATTACTAGAATTTATAAGGTAAATATAATATAAAATTAATTTAAAAATTTATTTTAAAATATAAATTTCTTATTCATTCTTTAAATTATTTTTATTATTTTAAAGGTATTAAAGGTCTTTAATAATAAACACAATAAAATTGATATTAATATAAATTTATTATTTTCTCTTAATTTGAAGATTACTATTGATATTTAAAAGTATTAAGTATATAATATATATAAGCAGAAATATATTTTTTATTTCATATTATTGTTTAAACAGAATTATAGCTGACATTTTTTATGGTTTAAAATGCAATTTTTAAACAATCAATCCTACTCTTATTTTAAAATCAATAATTTTAACAGTAAATAAAATTAATGGATTTTTAAAAGTCACTAACTTTAAAATAAAAAAGTTGACTAAATTACTTAACTAAATAGAGGAAAATTTCAAAATATCATGTGGTACAAATTTATTTTTGGACCTCAAAAAATTAAATTTCTTTCATTCAATTTCAAAGAAAAAAATTACAGTTTATATTTAAATACTGGTAATTTCTGGCATAATCTTCTTAATATAAAATTGAATTAAAGCTTATCTTAATAGAAAACTTATATAGAAATTTGCAGAAGTGATTTTGATAGAGAAAAGCATTAAAAGATCTTTTATAAGTTAAAAAAGGAAATAAATAAGTCTAATTTTAATATTTGAAAAAATTTAAATAAATAAAAAAGCATAAATAAAGTAATAATTATTATTGTTTAATTAGATATTTTCTATGTAAACCAATTATTTTCTTACTTCAAAATATAAAATTATTGATATTAATCAGAAATAATCAAGTAGACTATAACCTTAAAAATAAAATTAACAAATAATATGTAATCTAGTTCCCAATTATTCCAAAAAATTGTTGTATACTTCCTTTGAAAATTCTTAAGGAAAAGCATTTACACCTCTTTAAGAATATTTGTTGAGGCTCAATTCATCATTCTTAAAATTCATTCTAAAAACATTCTTTATCAGTTTTAAAACATATATTTCTTAATATCCTTTTAAAAATGCTTAGAAAAGGTCGTTTAAATCTAGCGAAAGGCTATATACTCCTCTTAACCAGTAGTCATTATAAGGAGCTTAAAGCTACACATCTGATAGTTTTTTAATGATTTTAAAATATTTAGTATCAGGTTTCAACTCTAATTATTCTCTATACTTTTCCAGCTATAATAAATATATTATCTGAAAACTGATCTTTTTAAATTTATTGTTGAGTGAGCTCTTTTTGATAAGTGAGCTAGATTGGAGGAAATTTAGTCCTCCAGTATTAAAATCAAAAGAAACTCGTATTCCAAAGGTATTTTTTGAATACCTTAAATTAATTGCTATTTTTCCGCATTTTTAGAAACCTGAAGCAATTATACAAAAAAAAAAATAGAAATTTTACTTGGTTTATTTAAACATGTCTTATATTTAAAACCAGCTTTGTAAACCTAAAAAGACAATATTCTTAAAAAGTAAAGAAGTTTATGAAAATTATATTTAACAAATGCACATCAGATTAAAGAGTATTGATATTAATTTTAATATAATTTATACTTAATATGTAAAATAATGTCTTTTTACTTACCAATTTATGAAAACGTATAATTTTTAAATTACAAATAATAAATTATTCTAATTTTTCAATTCGTTCTATTTTAAATAATATATTATTTTATTTATAACCTGTTTAACGGTAAGTTGGATTAGCTAAGCCATGTTTGAAACTTATTTACTAAAAATATTATCAAAAAGCTGGACAATTACACTATAATATATTTCCATTAGGACTGTTATAAAAATTAGGTATACAGTCTGTACAAATTATTTAGAATCTACTATCATTTGGAGGAATCTAATTAAGATCAATAAACTAAGGAAATCCACTAACAGATGCTATACTGCATCCTTTATTTACCCAATTACCATAGTTTTCATTTAAAATAGTTCTGAAATTACCTAAGCTATCTCTTTCGTATCTAACATCTTTTGGAATACCTAAAAGCTATAAGTCAGCAAATTCGCCAGAGCTACAATTAATTTTTGAAAGATAAAAAGGCTATTAAGGAGGACATATAGAAGCTTCATTCATTTAAAAGGGATTTGAAACAACATAATTAAGAGGTGCTGGAATATGTAAATCTACCATGACATGAATTAAAATGTTTGTATTTCCGTTTCCTTAAATTGCGTATGCGGTCTTAGGACTATTATTTTGTATACTTCTCTACTAAAGGATTGATTACTAATTATTAATATAATTTTATTTCATTGATTCAATTCTATTCATAATTGCTTGTTATAAGTTTTGCTTTACTTAGACATCTGCAACTAGACTATCCCAAGATACAAACTTATTTATTTTTAATAAAGCAGGATTTTGGCTAATTGTATTTTCCCAATTAGATTAATTTTCTGGATTTCCTCCAAATCTATGATCAACAGCAATTTTTCTTCTTGCAGCAAAATATCCATCTGCTGGATTCCCATTTAATTCATTATTAAGAGCTTATTCAACTTATTAAGGAGATAATCCTCCATTAAATGAGGGAGAAGCATTAACACAACTTTTGAATGCGCTTACTTTTTCAATCATACCTCCAATGTAGGTATCAACAGAAATATGAGTTCCCCATGATTCTAAGAAATCGTTATATACTTCAGGTGAATATTCTTAAGGTAAAGCATTTACAGCTCTTTAGGCATATTTATTTAGGCTCAGATTATCACTCTTAAAAGTCAATCTCAGAACATTCTTAGCCATTTGTGAAACAGACATTTCTTAATCTCCTTAAAAGAATTTTTCAAATATCTAATTTAAATCTTATGAGTGACTATATTATCCTCCCAACCAGTAGCCATTTTAAGCAGCTTAAATCCAAACATTTGATAATTCTTATTCGTTTTAAAATATTTTGATGTCTGGTTACAACTCTATTTATTCTATTTGTATCTCATCAGCTACAATAAATTGGTTATCTGAAAGTGGATCTTTCCAAATTTATTCTTGAGTGGGCTCTTTTTGATAGGTGAGTTAGATTGCAGGAAGTTTTAGTTCCCCAGTAGTAATATCAAAAGAAACTCCAACTCCAGAAGGCATATTTTGAATACCTTAAACTGCTTATTCAGTTTCAGAATTTTAAGACATCTATTACCTTTTCATGCGGATTTCTTTATATACATTTAACTATTCTTATTATCCTTGCAATCCAACACAGTAATCTCCATAAAATCCTGGATAAGGGCATAGATCTTACTTTGCTTCCTCATTTATACTAGAGGTTATCAATTAGAATAGCTATCTTTAGTTTAAAACAGACTCATTAACCAAATTTAGATCTTAAATCTATGAATTAAAGCTTTCAGAGTGATTTCGATTTTTTAAAAAGGCTTACTATGGATGGCTCAACGTTAATATAAATTATATTAAGAGAAAAGCAAGTATCTTTTGTTGAAGCATTTATTTTTATGTATGTTTATTTTTAATTAAAATAAATTATTAATACAAATACAATCTTTGATCTTTATATTTTTTATGATGATGAAAAACTAACAACTTTCATTAATTTTAAAGCAAAAAATTACATTAAATTTGAAATAAAATAAAACTAAATATCAAAAACAATAATTAGTTTTTGATTTTTTATTTAAATCATATGTAAATAAATTTTCAAAAATACAAAATTTGTATGGTAATTAATCATTTCTTAATTAAATGTAATGCTTAAAGAATACAAAAGGTTAAGCTTCTCTAAGAGAGGAAATAAATATAAATATTCTTTTATTATCTAGTTTAATAGCTGAAAATAGACTAAAATTATTACAATTAATTTAATTAGTTTAACCAGATTAATTAGTTACCTGATATTTATTTTGATGAGTACACTTATTATCCTTAACTTTATTACAGTATGGTATTAATAAAATTACTTATTTTATTGACTTTAGTTTAATTTAAATGTATTTATTCTTCATTTCAAGGGTAGATTACAGATTAGAACTTGATATAAATTATAAAATTTACTCTTCTTTACAAATTTATATGTGTGATAATAAAGATTTAGATACTGTAAAAATGCTTTACCATCTAAATCTACTTAAGCTGATATAGATAGCATTATAAATAGTGTCAATTCAAATTTTGTCTAAATTTGAAGGACATAAATAAAAAAGTTCTTTAGAAAACTAAAACAAATTATAGATAGATCTAAAGTTATGTATTTTCATCTTAGTTAATTATCGATATTCTTCACCATAATATATAGATTAATTAACTTGTTTAAAATTTCAAAAGACAGTAACCTTTATATGATTATTTTTTAGGAAAACATTTTGATGAATGAATTATTACAATAATTCTAAATTTTATATCCAATAATTACAGGTATTTTAGCTTTGGCTAATAATATAACTTTATTTTCAAGAATGGTTGGAAGGGTGATTCTGCTCAAAATAATTAATATAATAATACTTATTTTAATATAAATTAGGAAAAAAAATTATTAAATTTATGGGCACAATAAATTTATTTGATAAAAAAATGACTTATTATTTTAATCTTTTAAACAGAAAAGGAATTTATAAATAATTTTAAAAATGAAAGGTTTCAATAAATAAAATTATTCGAACTTTTGAAACCAAGTTTAAAGATTTAGTGGAAAAGCCATAATAGGTTTTTATGGGTATTTTTGATTATTAAAATAAAGAAGCAAGAAATATTAATAAGGCAAGTTTAGATTTTCCAAAAGCAAGATTAAAAATTCAAAAAAGGTTTTATATTGATAAAAATTTTAATAAAAAATAAATTATTTAAAAGAATGTCACTTTATTATTTTAGTAAACAACTTAAAATAGAATCTTAATAAATATTTAATTCTTCTAAATTAAAAATGAACTAAGATTATCTATTTAAGTTGAAAAAGGTAAAAATATTAAATAAGGAAGCGTTGAAAGACACTAATTTCTTAAAAAACTGAACATATTACAGAATAAAAATGATAATAATCCTAAAATATCAATCAGTTTAATGAAAATTGAATCTTCTTTTAATAATAAATAATTGGCTATATCCAAACTCTCAGATAATTATTTTTATTTAGGTTTTAGAATTGAAAGATTTAGTAATGAATATAAAAGTATGTTTCTTTAAATTTTAATAATCTTTTACTGAATTTAAGAGAGAGGGTTCGTCGGTTAGTGAGATAGGAGGTATAAGGGGTTGTTTTGTTAGATGATATTTTAAAATTTCAAGTAAGGACCTTAATATATATTGGAGACTTAAAATATAAAACTTTTTAGTATTTTAGATTATAAAATATATTCTTTGAGATTGTGTGGATACACTCTTAATAAATTAAAAATAGCCATAAAATAATTTAGACATTTTTGTGATATTAGAAATGAATATTATATTAATTATGAACATTTTTTTGTTCTAAATCTTAATTATTTTCTTAATATTTAATTTTAAAATGCTTACGAAAATTAAACAAAATAAAGAAAAAATTTTTCAAATTTTGAGTGTAAAAAAATTCTTTTTATTGACTGAATCTGTAGTATTTTAACAAATTCTTTACCTTTACAATATTATCTTAAAAATCTGATACTTTTTTTACTTTATCAATTGCTTTATCCACTACATCTTTTGTTAAATTTGAAATATTTTTTAAAATTTCTTCAAATAAATTGTTATTGTTGCTTGTTGCCGTTTATACTACTTAATTACTTTAAAAAATATCTGCATTTTCATTTTAATATCTCAATGAAATTGGTTTTTAGTAACGAGGTTAATCATTTTTACTTTAATATGAATAAAGCATAAGAGGAATCATATATTACCAACTTTTTAATTTTAAATTAATTTCCAACTTTTTCTTTAATTTAATAAATACTAAAACAATCACAATTATACACTTTTTAAAAATTATATTTAGTTGGAACTCCAAATTGCTCAGTTATTATTTAGTTTTATTCTAATCAAATATATAATCTCGACTATTAAACTAATTAATATCATATCGCTATTTTACATAGTGTGATATTTGTAAAAAATGTTAATTCCTTCAATATTCAATAATAGTTAGACTATCCAGTAGGTGTTAAGTGTTTAGGTGGAAATAAAATAGAAATAAAGGAAGGTTTTTGGAGGAGATCTTAAGAAGTTGATTTGATTTTATCATGTGAAAAAAAAATTCTAATTGCACTGGTGTTTCTTATGGAAATCTAATTTGCTAAGAAGGTTATTTAGGAGATTTATGTGAAAAATTTAATGTAATTAATAAGCATATAATAGTAGATTTTAAGTTATTTTATTTTGTTTATTTAAGATAAATGGTTATTATTGGAGAAAAAGTTATTCTTAAAATTCTAAAATTCTTGTTAAAAATGTAGTAAAGTTAAATATAATATATGGATTTTAGCTCTTATAACTGAGGCTTTTTCTAATGCTAAAATTATTAATCTTGTAAATATTATTTCATAAATTTCTTTGAAAAGTAGATATGTAAAATATTTTTTTTCCATTTAATTGCTATTTATTTGTTTCTTTTATAGATTTTAAAATTAACAGTTCTGAGTTAACACTTCTATTCCCAAATATTATATAAAGCTCTATTAAATTAATCATGAAAAGCCAGAATATAAAACAAGATAGAAATTCATTATTTTTGGTAAGAGAAACTAGTTTAGATTTAACTTTTAATACAATCAAACAAATAATTACTAGAATTTATAAGGTAAATATAATATATAATTAATTTAAAAATTAATTTTAAAATATAAATTTCTTATTCATTCTTTAAATTATTTTTTTATTTTAAAGGTATTAAAGATATTTAATAATATAAACAATAAAATTGATATAAATATGAATTTATTATTTTCTCTTGATTTGAAGATTACTATTGATATTTTAAAAGTATTAAGTATATCATATATATAAGCAGAAATATATTTTTTATTTCATATTATTGTTTAAACAGAATTATCGCTGAGATTTTTGTAGTTTAAAATAAATTTTTTTAATTTAGTAAGAGCTAAAATTTATTTTAAGATATTTCATGAGTAAGATGTATTTCAATCCTACTCTTATTTTAAAATCAATAATTACTACAGTAAATAAAATTAATGAAAAATTAAAAGTCACTAACTTTAAAATAAAAAAGTCGACTAAATTACTTAACTAAATAGAGGAGAATTTCAATATATATGTGGTACAAATTTATTTTTGGATTCAAAAAATTAAATTTCTTTCATTTGATTTCAAAGAAATAAATTACAGTTTATATTTAAATTCTGGTCATTTCTGGAATAATTTTATTAATATTAAATTGAATTAAAGCTTATCATAATATAATACTAATTTAATGCAAAAAACATTTATAGAAATTTGTGGAAGTGCTTTTGATATAGAGAAACATTAAAAGATTTTTTATAATTTAAAAAAGACATAAATAAGCCAACATAGAATAATTGTTTTGAGAATTTGATATTTGAAAATATGTAATTAAAGGATAATTTTATTTAAAGCATAAATTAATAATAATTATTGTTTAATTATATTATTTATTTTCTATGTAAATCAATTATTTATTTTCTTACTTCAAGATATAAAATTATAGATATTAATCAGAAATAATCAAGTAGACTATAACCTTAATAATAAAATTAAGAAATAATATGTAATCTAGTTCACCATTAATCTAAAAAATTGTTGTATACTACTGCTGGAAATTCTTATGGTAAATCATTTATAATTCTTTAAGCATATTTGTAGAGCAACAAATTATCATTCTTAAAAGTCATTCTAACAACATTCTTTACCAGTTTTGAAACAGATATTTCTTAATATCCTTTAAAAAAGCTTTAGAAGAGGTCGTTTAAATCTAACGAATGGCTATCTATTTACACCTCCTTACAATTAATCATAATAAAGAGCTTCAAGCAACAGACCTGATAGTTTTTTATTCATTTTTAAATATTTTTGTATCTGGTTTCAATTCTATTTATTCTATATACTTTTGTGCTGCTAGCAATAATAAATTATTTATCTGAAAACTAACATTTTTATATTTATTTTTGAGTGGGCTTTTTTTGATAAGTGAGCTAGATTGCAGGAAAATTAGTCATCCAGTAGTAAAATCAAAAGAAACACCAATTCCAAAATTTTTTTAATACATTAAATTAATTACTATGTTCCCGCTAGAAATCGTAATTAGACAAAAAAAGAGAGAAATTTTGTGTGATTTATATAAATATGTTGTATATATTTTTTATTCCACTTTGTAAGCTTAAAAACCAAATATTCTTAAAAGATAAATTAATAAATGAACATGTGATTAAAGAGTATTGATATAATTTTTAATATAATTTATACCTAATATGTTTTTTAATATCTTTTTACTCACTAATTTATGAAATTATATAATTTTTAACTTACAAAAAATAAATTATTCTAATTTTTTAATTCATTTATTTGATATTAGATAATATATTTTATTTAATTTTTTACCTGCTTAAATAGTAAGTTTGATTAGCTAAGTTCTGTTTGAAACTTATTTATTATAAATATTATCAAAAAGCTGGACAACTACACTATAATTAATTTCCATTAGGACCATCATAAAAAGTTGGTATGCAGTCTGTACAAATCATTTAGAATCTACTATCATTTGGAGGAATCTAATTAAGATCAACAAACTCAGGAAATCCACTAACAGATGCTATACTGCATCCTTTATTTACCCAATTACCATAGGTTTCTTTTAAAATAGTTCTAAAGTTACCTAAGCTATCTCTTTCGTATCTAACATCTTATGGAAGACCTAAAATTTTTAAGTCAGCAAATTAGCCAGAGCTACAATTAATCATTGAAAATATTAATTGCAATTAAGGAGGGCATATAGAAGCTTCTTTCATTTAAAAGGGATTTGAAACAACATACTTAAGAGGTGCTGGCAAATGTATTTTGTCCGTTATATGAAGAAAAACGTCTGTATTTCCGTTTCCTTAAATTGCATATGCAGTCTTTGGACTATTTTTTTCTATAGTTCTCTGCTAAAGGATTGATTACTAATTGTTAATGTATCTTTATTTCATTGACTCAATTCTATTCATAATTGCTTGTTATAGGTTTTGCTTTACTTGGGCATCTGCAACTAGACTATCCCAAGATACAAACTTATTTATTTTTAATAAAGCAGGATTTTAACTAATTGTATTTTCCCAATTAGATTAATTTTCTGGATTTCCTCCAAATCTATGATCAACAGCAATTTTTCTTCTTGCAGCAAAATATCCATCTGCTTGATTCCCATTTAATTCATTGTTAAGAGCTTATTCCACTTATTAAGGAGATAATCCTCCATTAAATGAGGGAGAAGCATTAACACAACTTTTGAATGCGCTTACTTTTTCAATCATACCTCCAATGTAGGTATCAACAGAAATATGAGTTCCCCATGATTCTAAGAAATCGTTATATACTTCAGGTGAATATTCTTAAGGTAAAGCATTTACAGCTCTTTAGGCATATTTGTTTAGGCTCAGATTATCATTCTTAAAAGTCAATCTCAGAACATTCTTAGTCATTTGTGAAACAGACATTTCTTAATCTCCTTTAAAGAATTTTTCAAATATCTAATTTAAATCTTATGAGTGACTATATTGTCCTCCCAACCAGTAACCATTTTAAGCAGCTTAAATCCAAACATTTGATAATTCTTATTCGTTTTAAAATATTTTGATGTCTGGTTACAACTCTATTTATTCTATTTGTATCTCATCAGCTACAATAAATTGGTTATCTGAAAGTGGATCTTTCCAAATTTATTCTTGAGTGGGCTCTTTTTGATAGGTGAGTTAGATTGCAGGAAGTTTTAGTTCCCCAGTAGTAATATCAAAAGAAACTCCAACTCCAGAAGGCATATTTTGAATACCTTAAACTGCTTATTCAGTTTCAGAATTTTAAGACATCTATTACCTTTTCATGCGGATTTCCTTATATACATTTAATTATTCTTATTATCCTTGCAGTCCAACACAGTAATCTCCATAAAATCCTGGATAAGGGCATAGATCTTACTTTGCTTCCTCATTTATACTAGAGGTAATCAATTAGAATAGCTATCTTTAGTTTAAAACAGACTCATTAACCAAATTTAGATCTTAAATCTATGAAAAGCTTTCAGAGTGATTTCGATTTTTTAAAAAGGCTTACTATGGATGGCTCAACGTTAATATAAATTATATTAAGAGAAAAGCAAGTATCTTTTGTTGAAGCATTTATTTTTATGTATGTTTGTTTTGAATTAAATTATTAATACAAATAAAATTTTTGATCTTAATAATTATTATGGTGATGAAAAACAAACAACTTTCATTAATTTTAATGATAAAATTACATTAAAATTGAAATAAAATAAGACTAGATATCAAAATTAACATTTTGTTTTTGTTTAATTATTTAAATCATATGCAGATATATTTTCAAAAATACAAAATTTGTATGGTAATTAATCATTTCTTAATTAAATGTAATCCTTAAAGAATAAAAAAGGTTAAGCTTTTCTAAGAGATGAATTAAATATAAATATTCTTTTATTATAAAGTTTAATAGCTGTAAATAGACTAAATATATTACAATTAATTTAATTAGTTTAACCAGATTAATTAGTTACCTGATATTTTTTTTGATTAGTACACTTATAATCCTTAACTTTATTACAGTGATGGCATTAATAACATTACTTACTTTATTGACTTTGGCTCAATTTAAATGTACTTATCCTTCACTGCAAGGATTGGGTTAGTTTAATTTATCAAAAAAAGCAATAATTAGAACTAGATAAAAGTAGTAAAATTTACTCTTCTTTACAAACTTATTGAAATGGTTATAAAGATTTAGATACTGTAAAAATGGTTTACCATCTAAATTTACATATACTGATATAGATAGCATTATAAATGGTGTCTATTCAAAATTTTATCTAAAGATGAAGACATAATAATATAATAAAGTTCAGAAGAAAACTTAAATAAATTATACAAAGATCTAAAATTATGTATTTCCATCTTAGTTAATTATCAATTATCTAAAAATATACATATAGGAGGCTTACGTAATCTGAGGATTGAATTTTGTAAAAATAAATACATTCTTCACCTTAATATATAGATTAATTAGCTTGTTTAAAGTATTAATAGACAACAATCTTTATATGATTATTTTTAGGAAAACATTTTGATGAATGAATTATTACAATAATTCTAAATTTAATATCCAAAAATTACAGGAATTTTAGCTTTGGCTAATACTATAACTTTATTTTCATAGTTAGAAGGGAGATCCTGCTCAAAATAATTAATATAAGAATACTTATTTTAATAAACATTAATAAAAAAGTTATTAAATTTATGGGCGCAATAAACTTATTTGATAAAAAATGACTTATAATTTTAATCTTTAATAGAGAAAGGAATTGGTTAGTATTTTTAAAAGTAAGATGTTTCAACAAATAAAACTATTCTTAATTTTGAAACTAAGTTTAAAGATTAAAACCATAAAAGGTTTATATGAGTATTTTTGATTATCAAAATATTATTATTAAAATGAAGAAGCAATAAATATTAATAAGGCAAGTTTAATTTTTCTAAAAGCAAGATATAAAAATACAACAAGGTTTTATAATGATAAAAATTTTAATAAAAAAGAATTTATTTAAACAAAAGGCACTTTATTTTTTAAGTAAATAACATAAAATAAAATCTTAATAAATATTTAATTCTTATAAAATTAAGAATACACTAAGATTATCTATTTAAATTGAAAATGGATAAAAATATTAAATAAGCAAATGTTAAAAGACACTAATTTCTTAAAAGTTGAACATATTACAGAATAAAAATCTTAATAATTCTAAAATTTCTATCAATTAAATGAAAATTAATCTTCTATAAAAAATCTATTCTTTTAATAAAAAATAATTAGCTATATCCAAATTCTCATTCAATTATTTTTATTTAGATTTTAGAATCGAAAGATTTAGTAATGAATATAAAAGTAGATTTCTTTATATTTGAATGAAATATGAACTTAAACATTCTTTTTGTTTCTATTTTTTCAATTCGAATACTTGCAAAATTAAAATACTCTAAAAGGTAGAACTATCTGATAAATTCTGAAAAAATGCCATTTATTTAGTCATTTATATCTTAAAATTTTTAAACCAATAACGGCTATATAAGGTATGATAAACAATTTATTTATAAATATAACTGAATCTTTCTAAAGTTAATTTTTTAAATAAAAGTTAATTCAATTAATTTACTGACTCAAAACCAATATACAATCAAATTGCTTTATTATAATAAAAAGTTAATAGCTAATTAAAGATTTTAGTTTTTTTATTTTAATTAAAAAAAATTCATTATCATTTTTTTTTGTTAAAGCTAAAAAGGGTGCTAAAAATTATATTATTAGTAATCTTAAAATAAATTTTTCACCCAATCAAAAGAGTAAATTTGCATATCCTTCACCATTTTCCACCCAATATTCTTGAGGTAAACTTATCTATATTTTTGTTTAATTATTGTCAGTTTTAGAAAAAATCATCAAAATAAATTTTGAAACCCTTTTTCAATACTTCTTGTTTGCTTGATAGGCATTTTCTGTATTTAGAATTTCTTTGGCAGTCGTTTCTTTGTTTACTTTTCTACTGTCTTAGACAATTTTTTTTATTTCTAGTTCAAACCAAGTAGTATCTGTATTGAGTAAATTATCAAATTTATGATAATCATCTACAATACTAGGAAGTTGAGACACTAAATAATTGATTGATTTCTTATTCTATTATTAGATGTTAGTGATCTCACAACATTCATTTATGACTGTTCCTAATTCTGCACAAATTAAGCTTTTAGTCTCATAATTCTTCTGGTTCAACATCTCTTGATACTCTCTTGCTCTGGATTTTCAAATCTACTTCAAGATTCTTTGCCTTTAATCTAAGTGATACTAACCTTAATTTTGAAACTGAATTTATTTTTATAAATTTTTAATTAATTCAAATGAGTTAATTCTCTTTACTGCGATAGGTCAATACTTTAAAAATAAAAATAAAATTTATTGGGAAACAATATTTAAATATGCTACCAACTTTTAGATTCCCCATAGTATTTTAAGTAAAAATAAAACTAAATAGAATATTTGCTTAAGAATATCAAACACATTTAAAAATAAGTGATACTATATTTAGTAATCTTGTAAATATTCTTTAAAAATTAAAAAAAATAAAAATTGAAACTTAAATAAATAAAAATCAAATTGAATCACAAGTCATTTATTTAAAAATACTTACAGACTATTTTTAGATTGTAAGTTGAGTTTCTACCTTCAATCTAACAATCCCATAAGGCATTATTTTTTTTTACAAATAAAAATATTTTACATAAATTTTATTCAAATAAAGGTGTTATTCAACTGCCCTAATCAGTAGGCAATCCTTTAAAATTAATTATATATTCTTTAGATTATCTATTAATAGAAATTTAAAGTGACATGCCAATTATCTGTTTTAGTAACAAATTATTCCAATAATTTGTGTTTTAAAAATATTTCTAGGATTACTAATTAAGCATTTAAGGTAAAAAAGAAAGAATAATTTATAAAAATTTCCATATTATGCTCTTTCTACAGCTTGTCTTTTCTTGATAATTTTTATTTAACCTGACTTAATAGCCTAGTTTATAGCTTTGAAGTCATCTAGAACTATTGGAGATAGAATATATATTTTATCAAATGTTTCTTATGAGTGTTATACTTAATAATATATCAGATACATGATTACTTTAGTTTTACCTTTACTTATTACGTGGGTGATAATAATTCCTTTAGTTTTATTTATGCTACTTGTACGAAAAAAAGTAAGTTAGATCACTCAAATTCGAAACTAAACTTGGGTTTTCTTAACAAAGAGTATAAAAACAGTGCTTATTGTTAGGAATTCATAAAAATGGTTGGAAAACTTTCAATAATTCTGGTTTTAAATTTTTATTCTTAAACAATTATAGTTAAAAGAATATTAATTTTTATGATAATTTCATTTTACTGAATTTTAACATCAAAAGTAAAACCCTTTAAATAAGTAAATATCAACTAAATTGATAAATAATCAACAAATATTTGCTCTATAACAATATTGCTTGCTATTTTTATGAATAGAAATCTTTTTTCATATTTATATTATTCTTTTTTTTGAATATTAGTGTTGATTAATTCTATATTTATTATATTTTTACTCAAATTGATCATGACGAACTACTTAGATTTTATAAAATCTTAAATTTAAAATTTAGCTTCATAATATTCTGACAAGTTTCATTTATTAAAAATAAAAAGGTTCTAAAACAATTAGTAAGGGACAAAAAAAATAAATCCTGATTTAAAACAAAAAGTTTAAAGAGCCTTTTAAAATTATTTGAATATGAACCAAACTTAAAGGAAATAGATTTTCTTAAATTTCTTTGAAAAGTAGATATGTAAAATATTTTTTTCCATTTAATTGTTATTTATTTGTTTCTTTTATAGATTTTAAAAGTAAGAGTTCTGAGTTAAAACTTCAATACCCAAATACTATATAAAGCTCTATTAAATTAAGCATGAAAAGCCAGAATATTAAACAAGAGAGAAATTCATTATTTTTTGTAAGAGAAACTAATTTAGATTTAACTTTTAATACAATCAAACAAATAATTACTAGAATTTATAAGGTAAATATAATATATAATTAATTTATAAATTTATTTTAAAATAAAAAAAAACTTATTTATTCTTTAAATTATTTTTTTATTTTAAAGGTATTAAAGGCCTTTAATAATAAAAACAATAAAATTGATATAAATATAAATTTATTATTTTCTCTTGATTTGAAGATTACTATTGATATTTGTAAGTATTAAGTATATGATATATAATATATATAAGCAGAAATATATTTTCATTTCATATTATTATTAAAAAATTATCGCTAACATTTTTGTAGTTTAAAATAAAATTTTTAAAATTTAGTAAGAGCTAAAATTTATTTTAGGATATTTATGATTAAAATGTATTTCAATCCTACTCTTATTTTAAAATCAATAATTTCTAAAGTAAATAAAATTAATGGAATTTTAAAAGTCAATAACTTTAAAATAAAAAAGTTAACTAAATAGAGGAAAATTTCAAAATATCATGTGGTACAAATTTATTTTTGTACTCACAAAATAAAATTTCTTAAGAAATAAATTACAGTTTATATTTAAATTCTGGTCATTTTTGGCATAATCTTATTAATATAAAATTGAATTAAAGCTTATCATTATAGAAAACTAATTTAATACAAAAAACTTTTAAAGAAATTTGTGGAAGTGCTTTTGATATAGAGAAGCATTAAAAGATCTTTTATAATTTAAAAAAGGCATAAATAAGCCGATATAGAAAAATTGTTTTGAGAATTTGATATTTGAAAATATGTAAATATAGGATATATTATTTAAAGTATAAATAAATTAATATTATTGTTTAATTGTATTATTTATTTTCTATGTAAATTAATTATTTATTTTCTTACTTCAAGATATAAAATTTATAGATATTAATCAGAAATAATCAAGTAGACAATAACCTTAAAAATAAAATTAAGAAATAATATGTAATCTAGTTCACAATAATTCTAAAAAATTGTTGTAAACTACTGCTGAAAATTCTTATGGTAAAGCATTTACAACTATTTAAGCATTTTTGTAGATGTTCAAATTATCATTCTTAAAAGTTATTCTAAAAACATTATTTACCTGTTTTGAAACAGATATTTCTTAATATCCTTTAAAAAAGCTTTAGAAAAGGTCGTTTAAATCTAACGAATGGCTATCTATAACTCCTCCTTACCAGTAGTCATTATAAAGAGTTCAAGCCACATTTATTCCAGCTTTTTAAGCTTAAAAACCAAATATTTTTAAAAAGATAAATTAGTTTTAAGAAAATTAAATTTAACTAATCAACATGAGATTAAAGAGTACTGATATAATTTTTAACATAATTTATACCTAATATGTTTTTTAATATCTTTTTACTCACTAATTTATGAAATTATATAATTTTTAACTTACAAAAAATAAATTATTCTAATTTTTTAATTCATTTATTTGATATTAGATAATATATTTTATTTAATTTTTTACCTGCTTAAATAGTAAGTTTGATTAGCTAAGTTCTGTTTGAAACTTATTTATTATAAATATTATCAAAAAGCTGGACAATTACACTATAATTAATTTCCATTAGGACCATTATAAAAAGTTGGTATGCAGTCTGTACAAATCATTTAGAATCTACTATCATTTGGAGGAATCTAATTAAGATCAACAAACTCAGGAAATCCACTAACAGATGCTATACTGCATCCTTTATTTACCCAATTACCATAGTTTTCTTTTAAAATAGTTCTAAAGTTACCTAAGTTATCTCTTTCGTATCTAACATCTTATGGAAGACCTAAAATTTATAAGTCAGCAAATTAGCCAGAGCTACAATTAATCATTGAAAATTTTAATTGCTATTAAGGAGGGCATATAGAAGCTTCTTTCATTTAAAAGGGATTTGAAACAACATACTTAAGAGGTGCTAGAAAATGTATATTTGCTGCTACATGAAGAAAAGCGTCTGTTTTTCCGTTTCCTTAAATTGCGTATGCAGTCTTAGGACTATTATTTTCTATACTTCTCTGCTAAAGGATTGATTACTAATTATTAATGTATCTTTATTTCATTGACTCAATTCTATTCATAATTGCTTGTTATAGGTTTTGCTTTACTTGGGTATCTGCAACTAGACTATCCCAAGATACAAACTTATTTATTTTTAATAAAGCAGGATTTTAACTAATTGTATTTTCCCAATTTGATACATTTTCTGGATTTCCTCCAAATCTATGATCAACAACAATTTTTCTTCTTGCAGCAAAATATCCATCTGCTTGATTCCCATTTAATTCATTGTTAAGAGCTTATTCCACTTATTAAGGAGATAATCCTCCATTAAATGAGGGAGAAGCATTAACACAACTTTTGAATGCATTTACTTTTTCAATCATACCTCCAATGTATGTATCAACAGAAATATGAGTTCCCCATGATTCTAAGAAATCGTTATATACTTCAGGTGAATATTCTTAAGGTAAAGCATTTACAGCTCTTTAGGCATATTTGTTTAGGTTCAGATTATCATTCTTAAAAGTCAATCTCAGAACATTCTTAGTCATTTGTGAAACAGACATTTCTTAATCTCCTTTAAAGAATTTTTCAAATATCTAATTTAAATCTTATGAGTGACTATATTGTCCTCCCAACCAGTAGCCATTTTAAGCAGCTTCAATCCACACATTTGATAATTCTTATTCATTTTAAAATATTTTGATGTCTGGTTACAACTCTATTTATTCTACTTGTGTCTCATCAGCTACTATAAATTGGTTATCTGAAAATGGATCTTTCCAAATTTATTCTTGAGTGGGATCTTTTTGATAAGTGAGTTAGATTGCAGGAAGTTTTAGTTCCCCAGTAGTAATATCAAAAGAAACACCAACTCCAGAAGGCATATTTTGAATACCTTAAACTGCTTATTCAGTTTCAGAATTTTAATACATCTATTACATTTTCATGCTAGTTTTCTCATGTAAATGTAACTATTCTTATTATTCTTTTAATCCAACACAGTAATCTCCATAAAATCCTGGATAAGGGCATAGATCTTATTTTGCTTCCTCATTTATACTAGAGGTTATCAATTAGAATAACTATCTTTAGTTTAAAACTGATTCATTAACCAAATTTAGATATTAAATCTATGAATTGAAGCTTTCAGAGTGATTTCGATTTTTTAAAAAGGCTTACTATGGATGGCTCATCGTTAATATAAATTATATTAAGAGAAATGCAAGTATCTTTTGTTGAAGCATTTATTTTTGTGTATGTTTGTTTAAATTATTAATACAAATACAATTTATGATCTTAATAATTATTATGGTGATGAAAAACAAACAACTTACATTAATTTTAAAGATAAAATAACATTAAATTTGAAATAAAATAAGACTAGACATCAAAAATAATAATTTGTTTTTGTTTAATTATTTAAATCATATGCAGATATATTTTTAAAAATACAAAATTTGTATGGTAATTAATCATTTCTTAATTAAATGTAATCCTTAAAGAATAAAAAAGGTTAAGCTTTTCTAAGAGATGAATTAAATATAAATATTCTTTTATTATAAAGTTTAATAGCCGTAAATAGACTAAAAATATTACAATTAGTTTAATTAGTTTAACCAGATTAATTAGTTACCTGATATTTATTTTAATGAGTACATTTATTACCCTTAACTTTATTACAGCGATAGTATTAATAACATTACTTACTTTATTGACTTGTCTTAATTTAAATGTACTTATTATTCACTGAAAGGATTGAGTTAGATTAATTTATCAAAAAAAGTAACTATAAATTAGAACTAGATATAATTAATAAAATTTACTCTTTTTTACAAGCTTATATGTATGGTTATAAAGATTTAGATACTGTAAAAATGCTTTACATAAACTGATATAGATAGCATTATAAATAGTGTCAATTCAAAATTTTATCTAAAGATGAAGACATGATAAGATAACAAGGTTCAGAAGAAAACTTAAATAAATTATACAAAGATCTAAAGTTATGTATTATCATCTTAGTTAATTATTAATTATCTAAAGATACACATATAGGAGGCTTAAGTAAGCTGAGAATTTATTTTTTGTAAAATAAATACATACTTCACCTTAATTTATAGATTAATTAGCTTGTTTAAAAGTTTCAATAGACAACAATCTTTATATGATTATTTTTAGGAAAACATTTTGATGAATGAATTATTACAATAATTTTATTTAATATCCAAAAATTACAGGAATTTTAGCTTTGGCTAATACTATAACTTTATTTTCATAGTTAGAAGGGAGATTCTGCTCAAAATAATTAATATAAGAATACTTATTTTAATATACATTAATAAAAAAGTTATTAAATTTATGGGACAATAAACTTATTTGATAAAAAATGACTTATTAGTTTAATCTTTAAAAGAGAAAAGGAATTGGTTAATAATTTTAAAAATGAGAGGTTTCAACAATTAAAACTATTCTTACTTTTGAAACTAAGTTTAAAGATTAAAACTATAATAGGTTTATATGAGTATTTTTGATTATCAAAATATTATTATTAAAATGAAGAAGCAAAAAATATTAATAAGGCAATTTTAATTTTTCTAAAAGCAAGATATAAAAATACAACAAGGTTTTATAATGATAAAAATTTTAATAAAAAAGAATTTATTTAAATGAAAGGCACTTTATTTTTTAAGTAAATAACTTAAAATAAAATCTTAATAAATATTTAATTCTAATAAAAAATTAAGAATACACTAAGATTATCTATTTAAATTGAAAATAGATAAAAATATTAATAAAATGTTGAAAGACACTAATTTCTTAAAAGTTGAACATGTTACAGAATAAAAATCATAATAATCCTAAAATATCTATCAGCTTAATAAAAATTAATCATCTAGAAAAAATCTATTTTTTTAATAAAAAATAATTAGCTATATCCAAACTCTCAAAAAATTATTTTTATTTAGATTTTAGAATTGAAAGATTTAATAATAAAGATTTTTAAAAACTAGTATCCAATAAAAATATTAAGGACACAGTGTCTAATAAAGATGACTTGTCCGTATATTCCATATCTAATATTTTATTTTAAAAGTTCAATTACTTAATTATAATGTAATATATTTGGAATTTTTATTAAATATATTATATATGAATAAATGGATTAAATAATACAAAATAAAAAAGTATTAGAAATTTAACAAATGAGATGCAAGAAAATAATACTCCTTTGTAAAATGGTAAAAAAATTAAAAATAATTTTATGAATTGATTAAATTATTAAATAAATAACAGAAAATTAAAATGATGAATTTAAAACTATTTTTTTTAAATTTATTAATAAATTATCAAAATAGGATGATAAATCTTATAAATATATTTTTTCAAACTATTTATCAAATAAAAATATATAAAATAACTAGAAAAAAACTGTAATACAAATTTAGAATAAATTATGTTCACTCCTTTTTTTATTTTTTACCTTTAACTTTTAATTTTCTATAATAACTTTAATTTATGCATATCAAGAAAATAAATGATTAAAAACAATTATTATAAATGACATTGAATTAGTGGTAAAAAAATAATCAATAGATTCTTAAAATTGAAAGTAATTATAATAAAACATAAATTATAAATTCAATTAACAAAATAATTAAAATCAATAATTAATAAGTAAAAACTAACTTCGTTATCAACTATGTTTATGCTCAAATTTGATATGTTCTCTTCTGAGTTTTTCTTTACCCTTGGTAATTAATAGTATATGAAGAATACACCATAAGGAGTCATACTTACTCTATTTGTAGTTTTTGCATCGCTTTATTACTTTATTTACTTACTTAATTTGTATGTAAATAATTAAATTAATCCAAAATTTAGATCCTAAACCTTCATAGTTAATGAAAAGTAACAAATTGAATTTTCTAATGATCTTGTTGGATTTGCGTTTTAGTATAACTCTACAATGACTATCGATGAGTTTTAATCAATTTAAAATTAAACATATCTAGTGTATATTCCTTAATTTTTTTATAATGATGGTATTAAAAATATTACTTATGATATTAATCTTGATATAATTCCATGCACTGATTCTTCACTTAAAGGATTAAATTGTATTGATTTTTCTAAAATAAATAATTTCACTTTAGAACTAGATGTAAGTAATTAGGTCTTTTCCTCTTTATAAATTAATGTCTATGGCTGTTTAGATTTGGATACTGTAAAAACTACTATTCCTTCTAATTGTGCTTCATAAGATGAAATAAATAGCGTTATTAATGGTATATATGCTTAATTTTATCTTAAGATGAAGACATAACAATATAACACAACTTCGGAGTCACTTTAAACTAATTATAGAAATATCTATAGTTATGCATTTTCATCTTAGTTTATAGTTAATACTTTGAAGACTTAGAGATAGGAGACTTAAGTAAGCTAAGGGTTAGTTTTTTAAGAAAAATAAATTTACACCTCACCTTATTAGTATAATTAACTAATTTAAAGTTTTGATAGATAGCAATCTTTATAAACAGGGCTAGGACCTTTTATTTAAGAAAATATTATGATGGATGAACTTTTGCAATAATTCTAAATTTAATATCCTACAATCACTGATGTTTTAGCTTTAGCCAACAGTATCGCTTTTATTATAATGTTTTCAAGAACAATTGGAAGATTCTGCTCAAAAAGATTAATATAAGAAGACATTTTTATGATTATTTTCAGAAATTTATTTTAGGATAAAAATTATCAAATTTTAAAGCACAATAAATTTTTTGATTAAAAATATGACATATTATTGTAATCATTGCCTGACAAAAAAGAATTGACTGATGATGTTACAGGATAAGAAATTTCAACAAATAAAATTATTCCAACTTTTGAAACTAAGTTTAAAGATTATGTAGAAAAACAATAGATTTTAGTGACAAATTAAGATTAAGAAAATATTATTACTTAAGAAGAAGATATTAGAGAATAATAAAGTGAAGAAATATCAAATTTAAATAGATCTACTTATGGTATTCAAAAATTAAAATTAAGTAGATAAATAAACATTTAAAATGAAACAAACTCTAATAAAAATAATTTTTTTTAAAACGAAAATATTACTCCTCATAAATAAACAACTTAAAAAAGCATATCTGTCCTTTCGAATAAATATTCTTATTAATCTTAGCAAACATTAACTAATTTTAAGCCTCCTAAAATCCAAAATACACTAAATTAAAATAATTAAAGTGAAAAATCATCAAAAGAAAAAATTTCTTAAAATAAAGAAATTTTGTAAGATGTAATTTCCTCAAAGTTGAATGTACTACACAGTAAAAAAATGAGGCAATCCATTCATAATTTAATATTTTAATTCAAGTAATTAGTTTTCGCTTTTATTTTTACTTAATTTTACTTATTTAATAGGATCTTTAAGTCTAAAGCCTTCCTTTTGTATAAAGGCATTGATCATAAATAAATCATGCATATTGATAAAGAGGCTAAAAGGAGCTAAAATATTTATAAGATTTATGAAGATATAATCTTCTTGAAAAAAGCTATTTCTATGCTTCTAAGCTAGGAATAGTTAGCTGCAATTAAGCTTGTAAGTCTCACAGATAATTATTTTAATATAGATTTAAAAGATTAAAATTTAATTAATCATTATAAAAGTAATTTTTTATTTATTTTAATCTATTATTATTTAATGAATTTAAAATAAAAAAGAAATAGAAAATAAGTTAAACTATTTTGAAAAGTAATTCGCCATATTTTAGTCTGAATAGCTACAAGCATAACATATTAAATAATTTTTTATGAATTATTAAAATCTCAGAATACATAATGAAATAGATCAAAGAATAATCTCTAGTATAATAAAAAATGTATGAAAATTCACTAAAAAATGTTAAAATTAAGTAAGAAATTTTGACCTTAAATGGAAAAATAAAATAAAATATCCTCCCCACAATTAAAAAAAAAGTGAAGATGAAAATTATTAAAAATGCAACGAGAAATTAATAAAAAAATAAATCTAATAAAGGAGAAGGAGAAAAAAATACCACTATTTAAGAAAATCCCACTATATTTATTAAGAAAAAAATTATTTAAATAAATGCAACTATAAGAAACTAATAAAACTTTTTCTTTATTAAAGTGAAATTAAAACAGATAAGAAACTTATAATCTCTTTCTACAAAAAGGAAAAACTTTTAATAAAGGACTTCATACTTTTAATTTTATAATTATATTAAAATGCTTTCAAAATAAGCAACTAATAAAAGGTAAATTAATTTCACTAACTAACTAACTTAATGGAAAAAAAAATATTTTAAAAATGTTTAAAGAGGATAAAACTAAAGTATAATTGAGAATTTAATATTATTATAATCATTATGATGATAAATTAATTTTAAAACTTCAGAGTGAGAAGAAAAAATATCTAATTATATGCAACACGAAAATACTTAAAAATTAAATCCTTATAAAAATCAAATTTAAGAAGCCTAGTTAGAGCATTCTGCTTAAATTAGAATAATTACAATATATGCGAAATTCAATAAATTATATAATTTAATTTGTATTGATATGATATGAATTAAATCAAATTAAATTTTTATTATGAATAAATTTAAAAATTTTTTAATTTTATTGTTTATTTAGAGTAGAGTAGAGTAAGTAAGATCACGCTCTTAATATCTATTATATCTAAATTAAATAAACTATTTATTATTTTAATCTATTGCATATAAACTTATGGACTATAATATTAATCTATTTAATTTTGAATGTAAGCAACAAATATAATAAAAAGAAATAAAAAATAATTTGGTCTTCAGAAAAAATTAATTATGAATAATAAATTTAATATTTAATTATTAGTATTAATCAGAAATAACAAAGATTATATTATAACATAAAATATAAATCTAAGATAAAATATCCAATTTAAATAAATAATTAGACTTAGATTTTTTTATAAATTTGGTTTCTATAAATATTTGGTAAATATTTTTTATTCCAACTGAGGAACCTTTAAACAACATTTTATTAAAATGAGAAATTAAATTTAACATAAGAATATATTTTTTAATATAATTTATACTTAATATGTTTTATCATGTCTTACTCACTAATATGAAAATATTTAATTTTTAACTTTCAAAAAATATTTTATTCTAATTTTTTAATTCTCTCAATAAAATTTGATATTATTGATTTTATTTGAATTTTTGTTTTATTTAAATGATAAGTTGTATTAGTTATGTCAAGTTTGAAAACTTATTTTTCAAATATGTCATCAAAAAGCAGGACAATTACACTATAATATATTTCCATTAGGACTATTATAAAAAGTTGGTATACAGTCTGTACATATCACTTAGAATCTACTATCATTTGGAGGAATCTAATTAAGATCAACAAACTAAGGAAATCCACTAACAGATGCTATACTGCATCCTTTATTTACCCAATTACCATAGTTTTCATTTAAAATAGTTCTGAAGTTACCTAAGCTATCTCTTTCGTATCTAGCATCTTTTTCAACTTCTAAAAATAATTAGAACTCAGTAAATTCACATGAGCTACATCTACTTTTTGAAATTTCATAAGGTAATCCAGGAGTGCATAAAGAAGCTTCATTCATTTAAAATGGACTTGAAATGGTATAAAAAAGAGGTATTGGCACATTTATATCTACCATCATATGAGCAAAAACGTTTGTATTTCCATTTCCTTAAATTGCGTATGCAGTCTTGGGACCATTACTTTCTATTCTTCTCTGTTCTTGGATTGATTACTAGTTGTTAATATATCTTTCTTTCATTGATTCAATTCTACTCATAATTGCTTGTTATAAGTTTTGCTTTACTTAGGCATCTGTAACTAGACTATCCCAAGATACAAACTTATTTATTTTTAATAAAGCAGGATTTTGGCTAATAGTGTTTTCCCAATTAGATTCATTTTCTGGATTTCCTCCAAATCTATGATCAACAGCAATTTTTCTTCTTGCAGCAAAATAGCCATCTGCTGGATTCCCATTTAGTTCATTATTAAGCGCTTATTCCACTTATTAAGGAGATAAGCCTCCATTAAATGAAGGAGAAGCATAAACACAACTTTTGAATGAATTTACTTTTTCAATCATACCTCCAATGTAGGTATCAACAGAAATATGAGTTCCCCATGATTCTAAAAAATCGTTATATACTTCAGGTGAATATTCTTAAGGTAAAGCATTTACAGCTCTTTAGGCATATTTATTTAGGCTCAGATTATCATTCTTAAAAGTCATTCTCAGAACATTCTTAGTCATTTGTGAAACAGACATTTCTTAATCTCCTTTAAAGAATTTTTCAAATATCTAATTTAAATCTTATGAGTGACTATATTGTCCTCCCAACCAGTAGCCATTTTAAGCAGCTTCAATCCACAAATTTGATAATTCTTATTCGTTTTAAAATATTTTGATGTCTGGTTACAATTCTATTTATTCTACTTGTGTCTCATCAGCTATAATAAATTAGTTATCTGAAAGTGGATCTTTCCAAATTTATTCTTGAGTGGGCTCTTTTTAATAAGTGAGTTAGATTGCAGGAAGTTTTAGTTCTCCAGTAGTAATATCAAAAGAAACTCCAACTCCAGAAGGCATATTTTTAATACTTTAAACTGCCTATTCAGTTTCAGAATTTTAAGACATCTATTACATTTTCATGCTAGTTTTCTCATGTAAATGAAACTATTCTTATTATTCTTGTAATCCAACACAGTAATCTCCATAAAATCCTGGATAAGGGCATAGATCTTACTTTGCTTCCTCATTTATACTAGAGGTAATCAATTAGAATAGCTATCTTTAGTTTAAAACTGACTCATTAACCAAATTTAGATCATAAATCTATGATTAGAAGCTTTCAGAATGATTTCGATTTTTTAAAAAGGCTTATTATGGATAGCTCTATGTTACTATCAATTATATTAAAAGAAAAGCAAGTACCTTTTGAGGAAACATTTTAGTATGTTTATTTTTAATTAAAGAAAATTGTTAATACAAGCGCAATTTTTTATCTAAATACTTTTTACCGTGATAAAAGACAACTTTAATTTATCTTAAAGCAAAAAATTACATTAGATTAAAGTAAGGTAAAACTAATTATGAAAGAAAAAAAATTCTTTCTGAATGAATTATTCAAATCTTATGTAGATATATTTTCAATAATACAAAAATTTGTATGGTAATTAGTTATTTCTTAATTTAATGTAATTTATACTAATTTAATTTGGATTTGTACTTGAATTATGTGAAAGATTAAGCTAAATTAATTATAAATATTCTTTTATTATCTAGCTGAAAATAGACTAAAAATAAGCAATTTATTTTATTAACTAAAACCTCATTAATTTTATTCAAATTATTTAGACTCTATCTTAAATTTATTTTGATGAGAACATAGATATTGTTTATATTTTAGTTCTTTATTTACAATTATATTACTTAAATTACAAAATAAATACACCTTTTTTAAAACAATATAAATAAAATTATAAATATAAATTAAAGTTAAATTTAAACTATTATGCTAATTATTTTTGTTAGCATTAATTGTTTTTATTTATTAAATATAAAATATCTTTCTTACTTCCTCTAAACTAATTTTTAGTTGATGTGATAATCAAGATAAAAGCACAATTCGGTCGATATAAAAATATACGATTGGTTATTACAATATTTAAATAAAAGCTATTAAAAATGTTAAAATGAACTGTAAAAATCTAGGAATAGATAAAATAATAATTTTAAGTATAACAATAAATAATGAAAAGTATCCTTGGATTTTTCAAAATAATATAGAGCTTACAAGTAATTCACTTGATGTATATATAGTTTATATATGTTATACAATTTATTTCAAAAAAAAAAAAAAATTTAATAATAAATTAAAAATGATTACTATTAAAAATATGCAAATATTTTGAAAATTCTTTATAGAGATTAGTAAACTTAGGGATAAAATTTAAATAGGTTTGTTTTTGCAATACCTTTAACAATTAAACTCTTGTTAAGCTGTGCTTTTATAAAGCAAAATTAATTAAGGGGGTATTCTATTTAATTCAAAACAAACAATTTTTCATTTTCATAAAATTAAAAAAATAAATAATTTATTTAGATAAATGGCTCCACTAAAAGAAGACCAATTAAATTTCTTTGTGGTTACTATATCTTTAAATAATGTTAAAGGTACTGAAATGCATTTGTTGCACATTAATGCTTTGGCTAATGGGATATCTGTTAGAAGAATACAGTAACTAGATTTAAAAGTAATGAAAGGACAGAAATACAAAGAAAAGTAGGATCAGGTAGGTAGTCTGAAGTGAGTAATAACTTAAATATCAAAAAATAAAGGATTTAATTATCAAAGATAATAGATACAGTATAGATTAAATGTCTATGATAACAGGTATTGAAAATACTCTGATTTAAGGTATTTTATTAATTGATCTTGAGTTAAAATCAATAATGTTGAAATGAATCCCTCACAACCTAATGCAAACTAAATGAAAGAAAGTGTAGAAAATTGTTAAAAAATAATTCAAGAGATAAAACCATCTAAAAATTTAAGAAATTGGATTAGCTAAAACGATGAAAACTTGGAATTTATCTATTAATTCTGAAATTTATATTAAGTTTTCTAACAATCCTTTTGAATTTTTAAAAAAAGAAAACATTTAAGATATTTTTGTTGATGCATGATAATGCAAAATCACATATTTAAAAAAAGATAAATCAGCGAACATATTATAAATAATAAAGTAAAGTTTTTAAATCAATATGCTTATTCAAAAAACCTAAATTTATTAGATCGACTCCTCTTTAGAAATTTTGAGACATATCGTAGGAATAAAGTGCTGAGTAATTCAGATTAATTGATAGAAAATATAGCAGATTTTTTAGAAACTCTTACTGATAAAACAACGAATAAGTAATTAGATAGATTTATAGTACATAAATAATCTCTAATAGATAAATAAGGTGATTGATTATTTTTGATAGTTTTTATGTAATTTATTTTAATAATTCAATAAAAGATTGAAAAATTAAAAAAAACTCTAAAACTGTATGTATCATCGAGAGTCTTATTATGACCTCAATTGTTTTTTCAGTGATCAATATATCCTCATCTTCTTTAAATTAAACTAATTCTTTTTATAGCTTATCTCAAAAAGTATAAATGATGATAATTGCCCTTTTTATATTCCTATGATTTTAAATAATGAGAAATTTAATCAAATTCAATTTCATTTTAATGAAAAAATTTTAGAAAAATTTTCAACTTTATTTATTATTCTATCTTTAGCAATAAGAAAGAAATTTTATTTAATCAAATGCATTCGATAGATTGTCCTATTCTCTATTTCATAATATATTAAACTATGAGACATGATATATAATAATATGATTATAAATAATCAAGTGAATTAATTTGAAGGATTATATAATAATTTGGAATATAATTTATTTTATGTCCTATTAAATTAATATAAAGGGATTTCTCTAAGTTAAGATTTTTCTAATTTAAGACAATTCTATAAAACTCGCACACTTGCTTCAAAATATACTCGAAAATCCTGTATATATTAGTAAATTAAATATGTATTAACTATATTTAATCATTTTATAATTCATTAATAAGTAAACAAAGTTAATTTATTTACTTTTCCTAATTAATTCTTATTGTATTTAAAAGTCTCTAATTCATAAATAAGACTTTTAAAAGATCTTTTTATTTTTTTAATAATTAAGAAAAAATATTAGTTTTGTTAAAGAATAATTATGTATCTTTATTTTTTAATTAGTATTAATTGCTAATTAAATTATAATTTTTTATCTAAAGAATTTATGTTAATAATCAATCTAATTTTTAAACAAAAAAAAGAAAATTTGTTAAGAAATCAAATAAAACTAAAAATCTAACAAATACTAAGTAAGCAAAAATAAATTGCTTTTATTGAAAATTAGAAAATCTTAATTTTTGCTTTCAATAATATAAAATTTAGGAGAATAATACCATAAATTTATGATAATTACACAATTCATTGCTTCACTATACTTTTTAGTTCCTTTTTTAATTAATTTATATGCAGATAATGAAATTGATTTAAAATTTAAATAATGAACATTCATAACCAATTAAAGTTTCTAATGAATTTGTTGGGTTTGTTTTTAAGTATAATAAATCTTCAATGACTATCAATGAGTTTCAAGCAAAATAAAATTTAACATACCTAGTGTATTATCCTTAATTTTATTACAGTGATGGTATTAAATAATTATTTACTTATTGATTTTGATTTTATTTGAATTTATTTATTCTTCACTGCAAGGATTAAGCTTATATACACATTAGATTGAATATATTTTGAGATTGGATTGATGTATTACAAATAATTAGTAATATCCATAAAATTATTATTTGAAAAAAGTAATCTTAATAAAATTTTGGATCAGTAATTTTATAAAATAGATATTTATTAACCTAGAAAATATATTTCCTAATCACAATTTAGTTATTGGAGAATATTTATAAAAAGTATGGGACTAATTGTATAGTTAAAATTTAATAGTAAATAAAAATATATTTATAAATTTAAGCAAGGAGGATTAAAATTAATTTTTACTTAATTAATATTAAGAAACTAAAAATTATTAATGATTTTTTATTATTAAAAATAAGTATAATCTCGCATTCTATAAATATTAACCATTTTTGATAGAAGTTTTGAATAAAAATATTATTTGTTTTTCAAAACTAATTTTATCTTTTATTAAAAGAAAATAATAAGAATAACATTTATGAATTTAAATTGTTTAACATTAATGTTTTTTATATTAGATAAGAGTAAAATAGATAAAAAATATGATGATGATATTAATAATAATTTAACAAATAAATATATATTTTTTAATCACTTGGAAGTATTAGGCAATTTAAAAAAAATAATAATAAATAAGTAAATTATTCATTTTAAAATAAATCTTGTTTAAAATTTATTTATTTTTAATATATTGTTCTCTCACTAAGATAATTGATTTAGTGGTAAATAAATAATAAATAGACTTTTAAAATTAAAGTAATTATTTTAAAAACATATAAACTGAATTAAAAAAAGTAAAATACAAAAATTGATAAATAAAAACTATCCTCTTAATCAGTAATGTTTCTACTGAATTTAGATTAATTCTCTTCTGAGTTTTTCTTTACTCTTAGTAATTAAAAATATATGAAAAATACCTTATAAGGAGCGATACTTACGTTATTTGTTGTTTTCATCTCTCTTTATTACTTTATTTACTTACTTAATTTGTATGTAAATAATTAAATTAGCCCAAAATTTAGATCTTAAACCTTCATAATCAATGAAAAATAACAAATTGAGTTTTCTAGTGATCTTGTTGGATTTGTATTTTAGTATAACTAAACTATAACTATCGATGAGTTACAAGCAAAATAAAATTTAACATACCTAGTATATATTCCATAATTTTACTATAGCGATGGTCTTAATAATATTACTTATGATTTAAATCTTGATGTAATACCATGCACTGATCCTTCACTCAAAGGATTAAATTGCATAGATTTCTCAAAAATAAACAACTTCACTTTAGAATTAGATATTAGTAATCAAATTTACTCATCTTTATAAATTAATGTTTACGGGTGTTTAGATGTGGATACTGTAAAAACTACCATTCCTTCTAACTGCGCTTCATAAGCTGAAATAGATAAAGTTATTAATGGTATATATTCTTAATTTTATCTAAAGATGAAGACACAATAATATAACACAACTTCAGAATAAATTTAAACTAATTATAGAAATATCTATAGTTATGTATTTTCATCTTAGTTTATTGTTAATACTTTGAAGACATAGAGATAGGAGACTTAAGTAAGCTAAGGGTTGATTTTTTAATAAAAATAAATCTATTCTTCTCCTTATTAATATAATTAACTAATTTAAAGCTTTGATAGAAAATAATCTTTGCAAATGGGGCTAGGACCGTATATCTAAGAAAATATCATGATGGATGAACTATTGCAATAATTTTAAATTTAATATGCTTCAATTGCAGATATTCTAGCTTTAACAAATAGCATCACTTTTATTATAATTTTTTCAAGAATGATTGGAAGATTCTGCTCAAAAAGATTAATTTAAGAAGACATTTTTATGCTTATTTTCAGAAATTTATTTTTGAATAAAACCTTTTAAATTTTAAGGCATAACAAATTTATTGAGGAAAAAAATGATTTATCATTTTAATTTTTGAATGAAAAATAAGAATTAATTGATGATTTTACAGAATAAGCATCTCCAATAAATAAAAATATTCCAGCTTTTGAAACTAAGTTTAGAGATTATGTGGAGAAACAATAGGTTTTAACGATTAATTCAGAAAAAGAAAATTTAACCTTTTTGGAAGAAGAAGAAATTAAAAAATAATAAAGCGAAGAAGCATCAAATACTCAAATAATAAAACTAAATAGGCGAAAAAACATTTAGAGTGGTTTAGATTTTAATGACAAATTATTTTTTTAAAGCCAAGACTTTTCTCCAACAAAATAAACAAGCATATGCATTTTTAATAATAAATATTCATTTTAATCTTAGTCAAAATTTAATAATTCAAATCAAAATTCTCTTAAATTATCGACTGAAAATGAAAAAAAATAAACAGAAAATATTTTTTTAAATAAAAAAATCATGGAAGATATAATTTCTTCAAAGTTGAAAGTAGTACATAGTAATAAATTAAGGCATGCTATTTACAATTTAATATTTAAATTCAAGTAAAAAATTTACATTTTTATTATTTTTTTTCAATTATTTTAAAACTTAAATTTGCTTAATTAAAAGATTCTTTAAGTCTAAAGCTTTCCTTTTGCATAAAGGCATTGATCATAAGTAACTAATATAAATAGACTAAGAAGCTAAAAGGAGCTAAAATATCTATTAACTTTATGAAGATGTAATCTTCTTGAAAAAAGCTGTTTCAATGCTTCTAAGCTAAGAATAATTAGCTGCAATCAAACTTATAAGCCTCACTGATAATTATTTTAATCTAGATTTAAAAAGAGAAAATTTAATAGAATAATATAAAAGTAAATTTTTAATAATTTTAATCATATTTTAATGAAATTAAAACAAAAAAGGTATGGAAAATAAGTTAAATTATTTCGAAAAACAATTTATAATGTTTCAGTCTGAACAACTATAATCAGAATACATTCAATAATTTTTTATGAACTATTAAAATCTCAGAATAAAAAATGAAGTTGATAAAAGAATAATTTCAAGTATTACAAATATTAAATGAATATCTCCTTTAGATTTTGAGATTTAAAAATATTATAATAATTAATATTATTCTTCTTACTTAATTCATATACCTATTTTAAATACATAAAATAAAAATATCTTTTAAAACACTAAAATTTAGTAAATTAGATTTGGATAAGATAAATTAAAATTTTAATATTTCATTAATATTCTTAAAAAATTAATTTATTTACTTTCATAATTAATATTTATTATTTAAAAAATTTTATTTTATATAAAATACATCTTAAGTTTTTGTTTTGAATAAATTCATAGTTAAAATCAGTGATTGAAAAAGATGGACAAATTTTTGTCTTTTTTGTCAAAATGATATATTATAAAAAAAGAAAAATTTTTTTTTATCAAAATATTATTTTGTTTCAAGCTCTTTAACTTTTAAGTTTATTTTGTTAGTTTCCTCTTTCACCTGTACTGGGTTATGGATCTGTGCCAAGCTTCATTTGTGACATATTGTAATCCAATATTTATCCTCATTATTTAAATTTTATTACTATTTAATTTATTAATTACTCTTACAATAGCTTGAGTAGTTTATTAAAGTACATATTCCATTTCCTAGCAGTTGGGTGGAATAGTTAAGTAATACTCTTTTGGCCACAAATAAATTCTAAAATTTTAAAAATTAAAAAAAAGTTTTTTGTATATTAATTGAAAAATAAAATAAAAATAACTCTTATTATAAAAAATGAGTCATTAATCTTGTATTTGATAAATAAAAATAAACCATTTTTAATAATAATTTTGATCAAATATATTAAATATATTTCAAAACTAATATTATCTTTTATTAATAGAAAAAAACATGAAAAAAAATTATGAATTTAAATTGCTTAATATTAATTTAAAACGGTTTAATCATATTAGAATTGATAAAAAAAAAAATAAATAAAAATTTTTTTTAATAGTTTAGAAGTATAAAGCAAACTAAAAATCAGTAATAAATAACTAAAATGTTATTTGAAAAAATAAAATTAGTTAAACATTTCTTTATTATTAACATATTTTTGGCTAACAAAGTAGTTAATTTATTGGTAAATAAATAATCAATAGACTTTATAAAAAATAATTAAAAACATATAAATTAAATTAAAAAAAGGTAAAAGACAAAAATTAATAAATAAAAACTATCATCTAAATCAGTTATGTTTCTGATGAAATTAGATTAATTCTCCTCCGAATTTTTCTCTACTCTTAGTAATTAAAGGAATATGAAGAGTACACCATAAGGAGTGATACTTACTCTATTTGTTGTTTTCATCTCACTTTACTACTTTATTTACTTACTTAATCTGTATATAAATAATTAAATTAGCCCAAAATTTAGATCTTAAACCTTCATAATCAATGAAAAATAATAAATTGAATTTTCTAATGATCTTGTTGGGTTTGTATTTTAGTATAACTCTACTATGGCAATTGATGAATTTGGATTTTACAAAAATTTCTTTTATTTTTTTTATTCCAACTACCTATTTAAGCACAAAAACAAAATATTATTAAAAAAGGAAAGGAATTTTAGAAAATTAGATGTAACAATATGAATATAATGTTAAAATAGTTAATATATTTTATTGTTAGATGTTTTTTTATGAATTAATTTATGAAAATATTTAATTTTTAACTTTCAAAAAATATTTTATTATAATTTATTAATACAATATTTAATATTGCTAATTTTATTTAAATAGTAAGTTTGATTAGCTGAGTGATGTTCGAAAACTTGTTTACCAAATATTTTATCAAAAAGCTGGACAATTACACTAAAGTTGTAATCCATTAGGACTAACATTAATATTTGGTATACACTCAGTACATATCATTTAGAATCTACTATCATTTGGAGGAATCTAATTAAGATCAGCAAATTAAGGAAATCCACTAAGAGATGCTACACTGCATCCTTTATTTACCCAATTACCATAGCTATCATTTAAAATAGTTCTGAAGTTACCTAAGCTATCTCTTTCGTATCTAACGTCTTTAGGAATTCCTAATAGGAAGAATTCAGTAAATTCGCCTGAGCTACATCTACTTTTTGAAATATCATAAGGTAATTCAGGAGGGCATAAAGATGCTTCATTCATTTAAAATGGATTTGAAATTGCATAATCAAGAGGTAGTGGTATATTTGTATCTACTAATATATGAATTAAAATATTTGTATTTCCATATCCTTAAACAGCGAATGCAATCTAGGGTCCATTACTTTCTATTCTTCTCTGTTCTTGAATTTATTACTAGTTTTTAATATATCTTTCTTTCATTGATTCAATTCTACTCATAATTGCTTGTTATAAGTTTTGCTTTACTTAGGCATCTGTAACTAGACTATCCCAAGATACAAACTTATTTATTTTTAATAAAGCAGGATTTTGGCTAATAGTGTTTTCCCAATTAGATTCATTTTCTGGATTTCCTCCAAATTTATGATCAACATCAATTTTTCTTCTCATAACAAAATAGCTATCGCCTGGTTTCCCATTTAATTCATTGTTAAGCGCTTATTCCACTTATTCACGAGATATGCCTCCATTAAATGAATGAGAATCATAGACACAACTTTTGAAAGAATTTACTTTTTCAATCATACCTCCAATGTAGGTATCAACAGAAATATGAGTTCCCCATGATTCTAAGAAATCACTATATACTTCAGGTGAATATTCTTAAGGTAAAGCATTTACAGCTCTTTACGCATATTTGTTTAAGCTCAGATTATCATTCTTAAAAGTCATCCTCAGAACATTCTTAGCCATTTGTGAAACGGACATTTCTTAATCTCCTTTAAAGAATTTTTCATATATCTAATTTAAATCTTATGAGTGACTATATTGTCCTCCCAACCAGTAGCCATTTTAAGCAGCTTCAATCCACACATTTGATAATTCTTAATCGCTTTAAAATATTTTGATGTCTGGTTACAACTCTATTTATTCTACTTGTGTCTCATCAGCTACAATAAATTGGTTATCTGAAAGTGGATCTTTCCAAATTTATTCTTGAGTGGGCTCTTTTTAATAAGTGAGTTAGATTGCAGGAAGTTTTAGTTCACCAGTAGTAATATCAAAAGAAACTCCAACTCCAGAAGGCATATTTTTAATACCTTAAACTGCTTATTCAGTATCAGAATTTTAAGACATCTATAACATTTTCATGCTAGTTTTCTCATGTAAATGAAACTATTCTTATTATGCTTGTAATCCAACACAGTAATCTCCATAAAATCCAGGATAAGGGCATAAATCTTACTTTGCTTCCTCATTTATACTTGAGGTTATCAATTAGAATAACTATCTTTAGTTTAAAACTGACTCATTAACCAAATTTAGATCATAAAAGCTTTCAAAATGACTTCGATTTTTTAAAAAGCCTTGCTATGGATGGCTCAAGGCTAGTATAAATTATATTAATAGAAAAGCAAGTACTTTTTGCTGAAGCATTTTTATGTTTATTTATTTTTAATAATAATAATAAATTATTCATACAAATACAAATTTTGGTCTAAATATTTTTTACTGTAATAAAAAGCAACTCTCATTAACTTTACAAATAAGCACATTAAATTTGAAATAAAATAAAACTAAACATCAAAGGTATGATTTTCCTTTTAATTGAATTATTTAAATCGTATGCAGATAAATTTTCAAAAATAAATAATTTTGTATGGTAATTAATCCTTTCTTAATTAAATATAATTTATCCTGAATTAGTTTTGATTTATGCTTGAGTAATAAGAAAATTTAAGCTTCTCTTAGACATGAAATAATTAGATATATTCTTTTATTATCAAGTTAAATAGCTGAAAATAGACTAAAAACAAAATTATTAATTTAATTAGTATAAACAGATTAATAAAGTACAAATAAACTCAATTAAATAATTTTAAATTTTATAATAATTATGTTGAGGCAATTAATTCCCTAAATTTCATTTTGATGAATACATTTACTATTATTAATTTTATTACAGCCTTGATGGTATTAATAACACTAATTAGTTTATTGATCTTAATTTAATTTAAATGTAATTATTCTTCATCAAGGATTAAATTATATTAATTTTTCAAAAATAAGCAATTTATTTTTAGAAATAGATATATAATAAAATTTATTTTATTCACAAACTAATGTGTATGGTTGTTTAGATTTAGATACAATAAAAAAATGCTATGCCTTTTAAATTTGAATAAACTAATTTAGATAACACTATTAATAAACTCTATTGAAAAAATAACTTAAAAACATAAAAATTAATATTTTAATTACAGGATTAGCAATAGTAATAAAGAAATTTTGAAGAAATTTTTATTAATTTGTTAAAATTTTACAAATTAAATTTAAATTATAAAAGATAAATTCTATTTTATGAATATATAAATTGAATGTAAAAGTAACTATTTATAATTTTAATTTATCACATATAAACTTATATGTTATAAAAAACAATAATAAATAGTCATCATAAGTGTTCAAAAGTACAATTAACTAATTAAGAAATTAATTCTAATATTTTATAAATTTATAGGACTAAAATTTAATTTTGATAAAATTATATTCAATTTAACGATTTTTACTTTGTGAGTCTTGAAAAAATTAAAAAACTTTAAATTGAAATATTAATAATGTGATTTTTAGCCTTAATTAATGGAAAGTTTTATTATTGAATGGAAGTAATAAATGTAATAATAATAATAATCATTTGGTATTCCGAAAAATTAATTATTAATAATGATTATAACAATAGGTCATATTTTCTATGTAAGCCAATTATTTTCTTACTTTGAAATATTAAATTATTAGTATTAATCAGAAATAACAAAGACTGTATATCCAACCCATATTAATAATTAGACTTAGATTTTATAATAAATTTGGATTTTACAAACATTTCTTTTATTTTTTTTTATTCCACCTACCTATGTAAACCTATGTAAGCACAAAAACAAATTATTCTTAAAAAAGGAAACGAATTTTAGAAAATTAGATGTAACAATATGAATATAATGTTAAAATAGTTAATATATTGTATTGTTAGATGTTTTTTTATGAATTAATTTATGAAAATATTAATTTTTAACTTTCAAAAAATATTTTATTAAAATTTTTTTATTAATACAAAATATTTAATATTGCTAATTTTATTTAAATAATAAGTTTGATTAGCTAAGTCATGTTTGAAAACTTGTTTACCAAATATTTTATCAAAAAGCTGGACAATTACACTAAAGTTGTAATCCATTAGGACTAACATTAATATTTGGGATACATTCAGTACATACCATTTAGAATCTACTTTCGTTTGGAGGGATCTAATTAAGATCAACAAATTAAGGAAATCTACTAAGAGATGCTACACTGCATCCTTTATTTACCCAATTACCATAGCTATCATTTAAAATAGTTCTGAAGTTACCTAAGCTATCTCTTTCGTATCTAACGTCTTTAGGAATTCCTAATAGTAAGAATTCAGCAAATTCACCTGAGCTACATCTACTTTTTGAAATATCAAAAGGTAATTCAGGAGGGCATAAAGAAGCTTCATTCATTTAAAATGGATTTGATATTGAATAATTAACAGGTAATGATATATTAGTATTTCCATATAATAAATTAAGTATAATATTTGTATTTCCATATCCTTAAACTGCGAATGCAATCTAGGGTCCATTACTTTCTATTCTTCTCTTCTCTTGAATTGATTACTAATAATTAATGTATCTTTATTTCATTGATTCAATTCTATTCATAATTGCTTGCTATAAATTTTGTTTTACTTAGGTATCTGTAACAAGACTATCCCAAGATACAAACTTATTTATTTTTAATAAAGCAGGATTTTGGCTAATAGTGTTTTCCCAATTAGATTCATTTTCTGGATTTCCTCCAAATTTATGATCAACATCAATTTTTCTTCTCAATACAAAATAGTTATCACCTGGTTTCCCATTTAATTCATTGTTAAGTGCTTATTCCACTTATTCACGAGATATACCTCCATTAAATGAATGAGAATCATAGACACAACTTTTGAAAGAATTTACTTTTTCAATCATACCTCCAATGTAGGTATCAACAGAAATATGAGTTCCCCATGATTCTAAGAAATCACTATATACTTCAGGTGAATATTCTTAAGGTAAAGCATTTACAGCTCTTTAGGCATATTTGTTTAGGCTCAGATTATCATTCTTAAAAGTCATCCTCAGAACATTCTTAGCCATCTGTGAAACAGACATTTCTTAATCTCCTTTAAAGAATTTTTCATATATCTAAATTAAATCTTATGAGTGACTATATTGTCCTCCCAACCAGTAGCCATTTTAAGCAGCTTCAATCCACAAATTTGATAAATCTTATTCGTTTTAAAATATTTTGATGTCTGGTTACAATTCTATTTATTCTACTTGTGTCTCATCAGCTATAATAAATTGGTTTTGTGAAAGTGGATCTTTCCAAATTTATTCTTGAGTAGGCTCATTTTGATAAGTGAGTTAGATTGCAGGAAGTTTTAGTTCACCAGTAGTAATATCAAAAGAAACTCCAACTCCAGAAGGCATATTTTTAATACCTTAAACTGCTTATTCAGTATCAGAATTTTAAGACATCAATAACATTTTCATGCTAGTTTTCTCATGTAAATGAAACTATTCTTATTATTCTTGTAATCCAACACAGTAATCTCCATAAAATCCTGGATAAGGGCATAGATCTTACTTTGCTTCCTCATTTATACTAGAGGTTATCAATTAGAATAGCTATCTTTAGTTTAAAACTGACTCATTTACCAAATTTAGATCATAAAAGCTTTCAAAATGACTTCGATTTTTTAAAAAGCCTTACTATGGATGGCCCAAGGCTATTATAAATTATATTAATAGAAAAGCAAGTACCTTTTGCTGAAGCATTTTTATGTTTATTTATTTTTAATAAAAATAAATTTTTAATGCAAATATAAATTTTGATCTAAATATTTTTTACTGTAATAAAAATCAACTCTCTTTAACTTTACAAATAAACACATTAAGTTTGAAATAAAATAAAACTAAACATCAAAGATATGATATTCTTTTTGATTGAATTATTAAATTTTTATGAATAATAAATTTTCAAAAATACCAAATTTTGTATGGTAATTAATTCTTTCTTAAATAAATATAATTTATCCTGAATTAATTTTGATTTATGCTTAAGGAATAAGAAAAGTTAAGTTTCTCTTAGAGATGAAATAATAACATATATTCTTTTATTACTAAGTTAAAGAGCTGAAAATAGACTAAAAACAAAATAATTAATTTTATTAGTATAATCAGATTAATATAGTACAAATAACAGTACTCAATTAAATAATATAAAATTTTATAATAATTATATTGAGGCAATTAATTACCTAAATTTCATTTTGATGAATACATTTACTATCTTCAATTTTATTAGAGCCTATGATGGTATTAATAACACTACTTAGCTTATTGATCTTAATTTAATTTAAATGTAATTATTCTTCATCAAGGATTAAATTATTATAATTTTTCAAAAATAATCAATTAATTTTTAGAACTAGATATATAATAAAATAGCTCTATTTACAAACTAATGTGTATGGTTGTTTAGATTAAGATACAATAAAAATGATATTAAAAAATAATAAAAAGTTTTTTGTATATTAATTGAAAAATAAAATAAAAATAACTCTTATTATATAAAATGAGTTATTAATCTTGTATTTGATAAATAAAAATAAACCATTTTTAATAATAATATTGATCAAATATATTAAATGTTTTTCAAAACTAATATTATCTTTTATTAATAGAAAAAAATATGAAAAAAAAATTATGAATTTAAATTGCTTAAAATTAATTTAACACCATTTAATCATATTAAAATTGAATAAAAATAAATTAATAAAAATTTAATAAATAAATAAATATTTTTTTTTATTTCTTAGAAGTGTAAAGCAAACTAAAAATCAGTAATAAATAACTAAAATGTTATTTGAAAAATAAAGTTAATTAAAAATTTCTTTATTTTTAACATATTATTGGCTAACAAAGTAGTTAATTTATTGGTAAATAAATAATCAATAGACTTTATAAAAAATAATTAAAAACATATAAATTTAATTAAAAAAAGGTAAAAGACAAAAATTGATAATTAAAAACTATCATCTAAATCAGTTATGTTTCTAATGAAATTAGATTAATTCTCCTCTGAGTTTTTCTTTACTCTTAGTAATTAAAGGTATATGAAGAGTACACCATAAGGAGTGATACTTACGCTATTTGTTGTTTTCATCTCACTTTACTACTTTATTTACTTACTTAATCTGTATGTAAATAATTAAATTAGCCCAAAATTTAGATCTTAAACCTTTATAATCAATGAAAAATAATAAATTGAATTTTCTAGTGATCTTGTTGGGTTTGTATTTTAGTATAACTCTACTATGGCTATTGATGAATTACAAGCAAAATCAAATTTAACATATCTAGTGTATATCCCATAATTTTACTATAGCGATGGTCTTAATAATATTACTTATGATTTAAATCTTGATGTAATACCATGCACTGATCCTTCACTCAAAGGATTAAATTGTATTGATTTCTCAAAAATAAGCAACTTCACTTTAGAATTAGATACAAGTAATCAAATTTACACTTAATTATTCATTAGTGTTTACGGCTGTTTAGATTTGGATAGCGTAAAAACTACTATTCCTTCTAACTGTGCTTCATAAGCTGAAATAGATAAAATTATTAATGGGGTCTATTCTTAATTTTATTTAAAGATGAAGACACAATAATATAACACAACTTCCAAGTAAATTTAAACTAATTATAGAAATATCTATAGTTATGTATTTTCATCTTAGTTTATTGTTAATACTTTGAAGACATAGAGATAGGAGACTTAAGTAAGCTAAGGGTTGATTTTTTAATAAAAATAAATCTATTCTTCTCCTTATTAATATAATTAACTAATTTAAAGCTTTGATAGAAAATAATCTTTGCAGATGGGGCTTGGACCATATATCTAAGAAAATATCATTATGGATGAACTATTGCAATAATTTTAAATTTAATATGCTTCAATTGCAGATATTCTAGCTTTAGCAAATAGTATCACTCTTATTATAATTTTTTCAAGAATGTTTGGAAGATTTTTTTCAAAAAGATTAATTTAAGAAGACATTTTTATGCTTATTTTCAGAAATTTATTTTTAGATAAAAGTTATTAAATTTTAAGGCATAACAAATTTATTGAGTAAAAAAATGATTTATTTTTTTAATTTTCGAATGAAAAAAAAGAATTAATTGATGATTTTACAGAATAAGCATCTCCAATAAATAAAAATATTCCAGCTTTTGAAACTAAGTTTAGAGACTATGTGGAGAAATAATAGGTTTTGATGAATAATTCAGATAAATTAAATTTAATGTTTTAGAAAGAAGAAGAAATTAAAGAATAATAAAGCTAAGAAGCATCAAATATTCAAAAAACAAGACTAAATAGATAAAAAAATATTTAGAGTGGTTTAGATTTTAATGAGAGATTTTTTTTTTCAATCGAAGACTTTTCTCCTACTAAATAATCAATTTAAAATAGTATATGTATTTTTAATAATAAATATTCATTTCAATCTTAGTAAAAATTTAATAATTCAAATCAAAATTATCTTAAAATATCCACTGAAAATGCAAAAAAATAAATAGAAAACATTTCTTTAAATAAAAAAATCATGTAAGATATAATTTCTTCAAAGTTGAAAGCAGTACATAGTAATAAATTGAGGAATGCTATTCACAATTTAATATTTAAATTCAAGTAAAAAATTTTCATTTCTATTATTTTTTTTCAATTATTTTAAAACTTAAATTTGCTTAATTAAAAGAGTCTTTAAGTCTAAAGCTTTCCTTTTGCATAAAGGTATTGATCATAAGTAACTAATGTAAATAGACAAAGAAGCTAAAAGGAGCTAAAATATCTATTAGCTTTATGAAGATATAATCTTCTTGAAAAAAGCTGTTTCAATGCTTCTAAGCCAAGAATAATTAGCTGCAATCAAACTTATAAGCCTCACTGATAATTATTTTAATCTTGATTTAAAAAAAGATAATTTAATTGATTAATATAAAAGTAAATTTTTTTAAATTTTAATCATATTTTAATGAAATTAAAACAAAAATAGGTATGGAAAATAAGTTAAATTATTTCGAAAAACAATTTATAATGTTTCAGTCTGAATAACTATAATCAGAATACATTCAATAATTTTTTATGAACTATTAAAATCTCAGAACAAAAAATGAAGTTGATAAAAGAATAATTTCAAGTATTACAAATATTAAATGAATATCTCCTTTAGATTTTCAGATTTAAAAATATTATAATAAATTGTATTATATGTCTTACTTAATTAAATAACCTATTCTAAATGCATAAAATAAAAAATATCATTTAAAACAACAATATTTAGTAAATTAGATATGGATAAAATAAATTAAAATTTTGATATTTCATTAATATTCTAAAAAAATTAATTACACAGAAAAGTAAATTTTGGAACAGAAAGACTAATAATAGAAAGTTAGTTTAAAAACTATGATAAAATAGCTAGCTAAACTGGAGTAATAATTTATATGATCAAAAAATTAACAGTTTAAATTTAAAATTACTAGCCTTTAAGAAAAATTAGAATCAAGAAAGGTAGAATAGAGATTTTACTTGAATTTGAAAGAAGGTAAATTATTTAAGTAGCTGCTAGTCCTGAATTTATCTCTTTAAGCCTTATTAAAAAATTTAGAGATACAATTAACTTTTAGGATAGAGTTTAAGGTAGAAAATATATAGATAATTCCTGCTTAATTAAGGATTTAGGTACAAATCAATTTATAATAAGTCTCCTTGCAGATATGTTTTTACTGCTCCTTATAGCTCTCCTATGAATTCTATTGAATAAGTATTCAGAGCCATAAAGGAAAAATTAAGATAAGACACACAATTGTAGAAAGAAAATGTTATAGAATAAGCCTAAAAATTATACATCAACAAATAAATATTAATATAAAAAGTTAAAAAATATTTTTGTGATTCTTATTTTTATCGTCTATATTAACATATAGCTTTATAAATATGATATTTATAAGTATTTCTTATAAAAGATTTGCATTTATTTTTAAAATATAACATTTTAGTACATAAATATATTTAAATTATAAAACATACATGAGCTATACCATTTGATCCAACCCATATTAATAATTAGACTTAGATTTTATAATAAATTTAGATTTTACAAACATTTCTTTTATTTTTTTTTATTCCACCTACCTATGTAAACCTATGTAAGCACAAAAACAAAATATTCTTAAAAAAGGAAACGAATTTTAGAAAATTAGATGTAACTATATGAATATAATGTTAATTAATATATTGTATTGTTAGATGTTTTTTTATGAATTAATTTATGAAAATATTCATTTTTAACTTTCAAAAAATATTTTATTATAATTTATTAATACAATATTTAATATTGCTAATTTTATTTAAATAAGTTTTATTAGCTAAGTCATGTTTGAAAACTTGTTTACCAAATATTTTATCAAAAAGCTGGACAATCACACTAAAGTTGTAATCCATTAGGACTAACATTAATATTTGGGATACATTCAGTACATATCATTTAGAATCTACTATCGTTTGGAGGGATCTAATTAAGATCAACAAATTAAGGAAATCCACTAAGAGATGCTACACTGCATCCTTTATTTACCCAATTACCATAGCTATCATTTAAAATAGTTCTGAAGTTACCTAAGCTATCTCTTTCGTATCTAACGTCTTTAGGAATACCAAATAGTATTAATTCAGTAAATTCACCTGAGCTACATCTACTTTTTGAAATATCAAAAGGTAATTCAGGAGGGCATAAAGAAGCTTCATTCATTTAAAATGGATTTGAGATTAAATAATTAACAGGTAATGATATATTTCCAATACCAAACATTAAATGAATTTAAATATTTGTATTTCCATATCCTTAAACTGCGAATGCAATCTAAGGTCCATTACTTTCTATTCTTCTCTGTTCTTGAATTTATTACTAATTATTAATGTATTTTTATTTCATTGATTCAATTCTATTCATAATTGCTTGCTGTAAATTTTGTTTTACTTAGGTATCTGTAACAAGACTATCCCAAGATACAAACTTATTTATTTTTAATAAAGCAGGATTTTGGCTAATAGTGTTTTCCCAATTAGATTCATTTTCTGGATTTCCTCCAAATTTATGATCAACATCAATTTTTCTTCTCAATACAAAATAGTTATCACCTGGTTTCCCATTTAATTCATTGTTAAGTGCTTATTCCACTTATTCACGAGATATACCTCCATTAAATGAATGAGAATCATAGACACAACTTTTGAAAGAATTTACTTTTTCAATCATACCTCCAATGTAGGTATCAACAGAAATATGAGTTCCCCATGATTCTAAGAAATCACTATATACTTCAGGTGAATATTCTTAAGGTAAAGCATTTACAGCTCTTTAGGCATATTTGTTTAGGCTCAGATTATCATTCTTAAAAGTCATCCTCAGAACATTCTTAGCCATCTGTGAAACAGACATTTCTTAATCTCCTTTAAAGAATTTTTCATATATCTAAATTAAATCTTATGAGTGACTATATTGTCCTCCCAACCAGTAGCCATTTTAAGCAGCTTCAATCCACACATTTGATAGTTCTTATACGTTTTAAAATATTTTGATGTCTGGTTACAACTCTATTTATTCTACTTGTGTCTCATCAGCTACAATAAATTGGTTATCTGAAAGTGGATCTTTCCAAATTTATTCTTGAGTGGGCTCTTTTTAATAAGTGAGTTAGATTGCAGGAAGTTTTAGTTCCCCAGTAGTAATATCAAAAGAAACTCCAACTCCAGAAGGCATGTTTTGAATACCTTAAACTTCTTATTCTGTATCAGAATTTTAAGACATCTATAACATTTTCATGTTAGTTTTCTTATGTAAATGAAACTATTCTTATTATGCTTGTAATCCAACACAGTAATCTCCATAAAATCCAGGATAAGGGCATAGATCTTACTTTGCTTCCTCATTTATACTAGAGGTAATCAATTAGAATAGCTATCTTTAGTTTAAAACTGACTCATTTACCAAATTTAGATCATAAAAGCTTTCAAAATGACTTCTATTTTTTAAAAAGCCTTGCTATGGATGGCTCGAGGCTAGTATAAATTATATTAATAGAAAAGCAAGTACTTTTTGCTGAAGCATTTTTATGTTTATTTATTTTTAATAAAAATAAATTATTAATGCAAATATAAATTTTGATCTAAATATTTTTTACTGTAATAAAAATCAACTTTCATTTACTTTACATTTAAACACATTAAGTTAAACATCAAAGATATGATATTCTTTTTGATTGAATTATTAAAATTTTATGAATAATAAATTTTCAAAAATAAATAATTTTGTATGGTAATTAATTCTTTCTTAATTAAATATAATTTATCCTGAATTAATTTTGATTTATGCTTGAGGAATAAGAAAAGTTAATCTTCTCTTAGAGATGAAATAATAACATATATTCTTTTATTATCAAGTTAAAAAGCTGAAAATAGTCTAAAAAGAAAATAATTAATTTTATTAGTATAATCAAATTAATTTTGTACAAATAACAGCACTCAATTAAATAATTTAAAATTTTATAATAATTATATAGAGACAATTAATTATCTAAATTTCATTTTGATGAATACATTTACTATCCTCAATTTTATTAGAGCCCATAACGGTATTAAAAACACTACTTAGCTTATTGATCTTAATTTAAATTAAATGTAATAATTCTTCATCAAGGATTAAATTATATTAATTTTTCAAAAATAAACAATTAATTTTTAGAACTAGATATATAATAAAATAACTCTATTTACAAACTAATGTGTATGGTTGTTTAGATTTAGATACAATAAAAATGATATGCCTTTTAAATTTGAATAAACTAATTTAGATAACATTATTAATAAACTCAATTGAAAAATTAACTTAAAATCATAAAAATTAATATTTTAATAACAGGATTAGCAATAATAATATAAAGAAATTTTGAAGATAGCAAAACGTTAAAGAAGATGATAATGAAAATTTATATTTGAATATATACCATAACCCCTCAATTATAGGGTAGAGTGAGATCAAGCTCTTGATATCTATTATATCTTAATTTAATTAACTATATATTAAATAATTATCTTAAGTGCTTAAAAATGCAGTCAACTAATAAAGGAGAGAATAATTCTAATATTTTTGCAAAGAGAGAGGACTAAAATATAATTTTGACTTATACTTTGTTAGTCTTGAAAAAATTATGAAGACTTTAATTTATAGTGTTAATTTATGATATTTTTTAGCTTTAAATTTGGAAAGCTTGATTTTTTGAGTAAATTTCTTATTAAAATATATTTTTTAAACAGAAAAGAACAACAACATAACAAAAAATAAAATTTATTTTAAAAATTCAAAAAACATTTTATATTAATTTTTTAATTCATCCAATATTTGATATTGTAAATTAATTTTATTTTAATGATAAGTTGGATTAGCTAAACCAAGTTTGAAAACTTATTTACCAAAAGTGTTATCAAAAAGCTGGACAACTACACTAAAATAAATCTCCGTTAGGACTATTATAAGTACTTGGGATGCAGTCAGTACATATCATTTAGAATCGACTCTCATTTGGAGGAATCTGATTAAAATCAACAAATTAAGGAAATCCACTAAGAGATGCTACACTACATCCTTTATCTACCCAATTACCATAGCTTCCATTTAAAATACTTCTGAAGTTACCTTAGCTATCTCTTTCGAATCTAACATCTTTTGGAATACCTAAAATTGATAAATCTGCAAATTCACCTGAGCTACATGTACTTTTGCATATAGAAGCTTCTTGCATTTAAAATGGACTTGAAATTTCATATTTTAGTGGTGCTGACAACTTTAAATCTAGTATTATATGAGGAAAAGTACTTACATTTCCATTTCCTTAAATTGCGTATGCAGTCTTAGGTCCATTGCTTTCTATTTTTCTCTATTCTTGAATTGATTGCTAATTTTTAATGTATATTTCTTTCATTGATTCAATTCTATTCTTAATTGCTTGTTATAAGTTTTGCTTTACTTAGACATCTGCAACCAGGTTATCCCATGATATAAACTTATTTATTTTTAATAAAGCAGGATTTTGGCTAATTGTGTTTTCCCAATTAGATTCATTTTCTGGGTTTCCTCCAAATCTATGATCAACTGCAATTTTTCTTCTAGCAGTAAAAAAGCCTTCAGCTGGGTTTCCAATTAATTCATTATTAAGTGCTTATTCCACTTATTAAGGAGATAACCCTCCATTAAATGAAGGAGAAGCATAAACACAACTTTTAAATGCGTTTACTTTTTCAATCATTCCTCCAATGTAGGTATCAACAGAAATATGAGTTCCCCATGATTCTAAGAAATCGTTATATACTTCTGCTGAATATTCTTAAGGTAAAGCATTTACAGCTCTTTACGCATATTTATTAAGGTTCAAATTATCATTCTTAAAAGTCATCCTAAGGACATTCTTAGCCATTTGTGAAACAGACATTTCTTAATCTCCTTTAAAGAATTTTTCAAATATCTAATTTAAATCTTATGAGTGACTATATTATCCTCCCAACCAGTAGCCATTTTAAATAGCTTCAACCCATACATTGGATAACTCTTATTCATTTTAAAATATTTTAATATCTGGTTACAATTCTATTTATTCTACTTTTGTTTCATCAGCTACAATAAATTAGTTATCTGAAAGTGGATCTTTCCAAATTTATTCTTGAGTGGGATCTTTTTGATAAGTGAGTTAGATTGCAGGAAGTTTTAGTTCACCAGTAGTAATATCAAAAGAAACTCCAACTCCAGAAGGCATATTTTGAATACCTTAAACTGCTTATTCGGTTTCAGAGTTTTAAGAAGCCTAATACATTTTCATGCTGGTTTTCTTATGAAAATGTAACGATTCTTATTATTCTTGTATTCCAACACAATAATCTCCATAAAATCCTGGATAAGGACATAGATCTTACTTAGCTTCCTTATTTATACTTGAGGTAATTAGTTAAAATAACTATCTTTAGTTTAAAACAGACTTACTTACCTAGTTAGGCTCGTAAATCTATGATTTGAAGCTTTCAGAATGATTCGAATTTTTTAAAAAAGCTTATTATGGATAGCTCAATGTTACTATCAATTATATTAAAAGAAAAGCAAGTACCTTTTGTGGAAGCATTTTAGTATTTTTATTTTTAATTAAAACAAATAACTAATACAAACACAATTTTTTATCTAAATCTTTTTTAAGGTGGTAAAATACAACTTTAATTGATTTTAAAAGAAAAAAATTATATTAGATTCAAATAAGATAAAACTAAATTTCAAAGAAAAGAAGTTCTTTCTAATATAGTTAATATTACAAAACTTGTATGGTAATTAATTAGTTATTTCTCAATTAAATATAATTTATCCAAATTTAATTTAGATTTGCGTTTGAATGTCGTGAAATGTTTATCTCAAATAATTATTAATATTCTTTTATTATCTAGCTGGTAATAGACTAAAAATAAAGCAATTGATTTTATTAGCTAAGACAGATTAATTTTATACAAATTACGTAAAATACAAATTAAATTTTATTTTGACGAGTACATCAATCAATCAAAGCTATTTATATTTGATATGATATATTACTTTAATTGTAAAATAAATATGCCATTTTAAGACACCGTAAATAAGATTATAAATATAAATCCATGTTTAATTTAAATTATTATACCAATTATTGTAGCTAGCTTTAATTATTTTTATTTATTTATTAAACTAAAAATAAAAAATATATTTCTTATTCCTCTAATCTAATTTTTGTTGATGTGATGATCAGGTTAAAAATATGATAAGGTCGAAATATAAATATCAGATAAATTAAATGCTATTTAAAATGTTAAACTAACTATTCAAATCTAGGAATGAATATTAAATAGATAAAATAGTTATTTCAAGTTTAACAAAAAATAAAGGAAAATTAATAATACTTTATAAAAGTAATATAATAATTTTTATTATATGATTTAATGTTTTATTAAATTAATATAATGGGTATTCTCTAAGCTAATATTTTCTCTAATTTATAACAACTCCATACAGCCCATGCTTGCTTCTATATATGCTAGAAAATAATGTATATATAATTCTCCTTCCATAAATTTAGTTGCGAATTAGAAACCTAATTTTTTCAAAAAAGATAACTTGACTAAAAATCAAATAAAACTAAATGTTTAACAAATAATTAAGCAAGAAAAATTAAATTACTTTTGATTTAAATCTAGAAAATCTTAATAATTGCTTTAATAATTAAAATGTAAGATAAGAATACCATAAATATTATGATACATATACTATTATTTGTTTTCATCATATTTTTTAAATACTTTTATACAAATAACTAAATAAATCTATTAAAAATTTAGATCATACTATGAAAAAAAATAATTTTAATTTGCTAATGAGTTTGTTGGATTTGCATTTTAGTATAATAATTGTTCAGTAATAATGACTATCTAGGAATTTTAAGCAAAATAAAATTTTACATACACCATGTATTATCCTTATAATTTTTACATTAAGCATTATTTAGCTTACTGATCTTAATTTAATTTAATTCAAAATTTTAAGTAAGGACATATATATATTGGTGACTCAAGATATGAACCTTTATAGTGTATTAGATTGAATATATTTAGAGATTACATGGATGCATTATAAATAATTATAAATAGCCATAAAATAATTAAATTTAAAAAAAAGTAATATCAATAAAAGTTAAACCATTATGTTAAAAATTTAAAAACATTTTTCTAAAGTTTAATAAACAATTTATTTATTTATGAAAATAGATTTATCTTTCTATAGTTAATTTTTAAATAAAAGCTAATTCAAGTAATTTACTTAATTAAAACCAATTTATTATCAAAATAATATACTCTTTGATAAATTAATTTTGATAGTCAATTCAAGGTGATAATTAATTAATATCTATGTTAAATTAATAAATATTCATAATAATTTGTTAATCTTAAAAATAAAAAGAGTTCTAAAAATTTTATAATTATAAAATAATATTACCTTCAATTCCCAATGTTTAAAATTTTCTACAGTTTTTAATTTCTTATTAAAGTATTTTCTAATTTAAAAAATATAAAAATATTTTAAAGGCTATCAATTATTAAATTTGTTTTATTAAAAAATACAAAAATCTTAATTTTGACAATATCGTTATTTATAAATCTAAAAAACATAAAAAAATTATAATAAAGAAACGGAATAAAAATAAAAAACAATGAATTTAAGTTATTTTAAGAAAAAGTTCTAAAAAATTTAATTGTTAAAATATATACTTACTTACTATAGCAGTAAAAAAAATATTGATATAAATGATATAAATTAATCTTAAAAAATTAATTCAATATACTATTTATCTATTTACTGTTTATAATTTATTTGATAACTAAAACTAATCTTTTTTGGGTAAAACCAATTATAATCACTGTTTTTTGTTTTAAAGAATAAAACTCTTCAAACAATTACAATTTTTATTCATGAATGAAATAAATGGTTGGTTAATTATTTATTATATTTCCTTTAAAAATTTTAATTTAGTGATCAGTAATAGCCAATAAGTTTTTAAAATTAAAACAGCAACTTTTATAGTAAATCATTCATTAATAAACTAAAAAAACCTAAATTTTGACAATATTATTATGTACAAATCTAAAAAACATAAAAAAATTTTAATAATGAAACTGAATGAAAATAAAAAACAATGAATTTAAAATTATTTTAAGAAAAACTTCTAAAAAATTTAATTGTTTTAAATAAATACTTACAGTACTAAAAAAACTATTGCTATAAATGATATAATTAATCTTAAAAAATCAATTCATATGCAATTTATCTATTTACTTTACTGGTTATAATTTATTTTATAACTAGATCTAATTTTTTTTTTGGATAAATAATCACTCTTTTATTGTTTTAAAGAATTAATTCTTCAAACAATTACGATTTGTATTCATGAATGAAATGAATGGTTAATTATTTATGATATTTCCTTTAAAAATTTAAATAAATTAAAATAATAACTTTTATAACAAATAATTCATTAATAATCTAACTAAATAGTAAAAGCTGCCTTCTATACAAAATATAGTTATGCTAAAATTAGATTTATTCCCTTCAGAGTTTTTCTTTACTCTTAGCGATTAAATATACATGAAGAAAACATTTTAAGGAATGATACTTACTCTGTTTGTAGTTTTCACATTGCTCTTCTATTTTATTTATTTACTTAGTTAATATGTAAATAATTAAATTGATCCAAAATTTAGATCCTAAACCTTCATAGTCAATCATAAATAGCAAATTGAATTCTCTAATGATCTTGTTGGATTTGCATTTTAATATAATTCTTCAATGACTATCGATGAGTATCAAGCAAAATAAAATTTAACATATCTAGTGTATTATCCATAATATTATTATGCTGACAATATTAATAATATTACTTTGCTTATTGATCTTGATGTAATTCCATGCACAGACTCTTCGCTTTCAGGATTAAATTGTATAGATTTTTCAAAAATAAGCAATTAAACTTTAGCGCTTGATATCAGTAATAAAATCTACTCCTCTTTACAAATTAATGTTTATGGTTGTTTAGATTTAGATACCGTAAAGACTACTATTCCTTCTAATTGCGCTTAATAGACTGACATAGATAATATTATTAATGGTATAGATTCATAATTGTATCTAAAAATGAAGACATAGTAATATAACACAACTTCGAAGTAGATTTAAACTAATTATAGAAATATCTATAGCTATGTGTTATCATCTTAAATGGTTATCAATACTTTGAAGACATAGACATAGGAGACTTCAGTAAGCTAAGGGTTGATTTTTTAATAAAGTTAAATCTATTCTTCGCCTTATTAATATAATTAACTTATTTAAAGTTTTGATAGGCAACTATCTTTATAAGCAGGGCTAGGACCTTATATCTAAGAAAATATTTTGATGGATGAACTATTACAATAATTCTAAATTTAATATCCTACAATCACAGAAATTCTAGCCTTAGCGAACAGTATTGCATTTATCGTAATGTTTTCAAGAATGATTGGTAGGTTTTTCTCAAAAAGACTAATTTAAGAAGACATTTTTATGCTTATTTTCAGAAATTTATTTTAGGAAAAAAATTATTAAATCTTAAAGCACAATAAACTGATTGAATAACAGATAGATTTATATATTTAATCTTCGAATGATAGAAATGTAATAGATAATGATTTAATAGAGTAAGAAATTCCAACAAATAAAAAGATTCCAGCTTTTGAAACTAAGTTTAGAGATCATGTAGAAAAATAATAGGTTTAGATGAGTTATTCAGATAAAGAAGCTATTAACTATTAAACTTTCTTTACTTAAGAAGAAGACATTAAAGAATAATAAAGCGATGAAGCAAGAAATTTAAATAGAACAAATTTAGGTATCCTAAATACAATGTCAAGAAAATTAATAAGCATTTAGAATGATTAAAGTTTTAATAAAAGAGCATATATAGAAACCAAAAATTCTCTACCTTTTAAATAAACAACTTAAAAAAGAATATCTATTTTTTAGAATAGATATTCTTCATAATCTGAATAAATATAAACTCCTACTAGTATTCAAAATGCACTTAACTTATCTTATGAATTGTAAAAAGAAAAACCTCCTTAAAATAAATAAATACTTAAAGACATAATTTCTTCAAAATTGAAAGCCTTACATAGTAATAAAATGAAGCATGCCATTCATAATTTAATATTTAAATTCAAGTAATTTATAAGTTTATTATCTTTATTACTTTTATGAATAATTTTTTTATTTACATTAACTTAATTTTTAGGGCATTTAAGTCTAAAGCGTTCCTTTTGTATAAAGGTATTGATCATAAATAAATAATGCATATTGATTAAGAAGCTAAAAGGAGCTAAAATATCTATCATCTTTATGAAGATATAATCTTCTTGAAAAAAGCTATTTCAATGCTTCTAAGCTAAGAATAATTAGCTGCAATCAAACTTGTAAGTCTGACAGATAATTATTTTAATCTAGATTTAAAAAGTGAATAGATTACTAATCAATATAAAAGTAATTTTTTTAATTTTGATCATCCATCTTTTAATGAATTTTAAACAAAAAAAGGTATGTAAAATAAGCTAAATCATTTTGAGAAATAATTTGTGCTATTTTAATCTGAAAAATTATAAGCAGACTACATCCAATCATTTTTTATAAACTATTAAACTTAAAGAATGAAAAATGAAATAGATCTAAGAATAATATCAAGTATAATAAAAAGTAAGTGAATTATCCCTAAAGATTTGAATGTATTATAATAATTTATATTAAGAATCAATCATATATCAAATTTTAGATCTTATTTTATATTTATTTTTTTCATATTTAACAAGAAAACTTTTTTTTTTTTGTTAAGAAATTTTTATATGGTAGTATATATAATGTATTTAGATGGTGTTGTTAGGGTATACCTTATTTTATACAGAAAATCTTATTTATAATATTTAAAAATATAAGCTTATATAGCCTATTTCTATAAAATATATGTAAATTAGAGCCCCCGTCAATGTAATTTTGTTATCAATTATTAAATTTGATTAAATAATTTAAAATTATTTTAGAAAAAGTTCTAAAAAATTAAATTGTTAAAATATATACTTACTTACTACAGCACTAAAAAAACTATTGCTATTAATGATATAATTAATCTTAAATATTAATTCAATATACTATTTATCTATTTACTGGTTATAATTAATATGATAACTGGAACTAATTTTTTTTTGGATAAATAATCACTCTTTTTTTGTTTTAAAGAATTAATTCTTCAAACAATATCAATTTGTATTCATGAATGAAATGAATGGTTAATTTTTATTATACTTCCTTTAAAAATTTTAATTTAGTGATCAATAAATAGTCAATAAGTTTTTAAAATTAAAACAGTGACTTTTATAATAAATTATTCATTAATAAACTATAAAAACCTAAATTTTGACAATACTATAATGTATAAATCTAAAAAACATAAAAAAATTTTAATAAAGAAACTGAATGAAAATGAAAAACAATGAATTTAAAATTATTTTAGGAAAAAATTCTAAAAAATTTAATTATTTTAAATATATTCTTAATTGCAGCACTAAAAAAAATTGCTATAAATAATATAATTAATCTTAAAAAATTAGTTCATATACTATTTATCTATTTACTGGTTATAATTTATGTGATAATTGGAACTAATTTTTTTTGGATAAATAATCACTCTTTTTTTGTTTTAAAGAATTTATTCTTCAAACAATTACAATTTGTATTCATGAATGATATGAATGGTTAATTATTTATTATACATCCTTTAAAAATTTAAATTTAGTGATAAATAAATAGCCAAATAGTTTTTAAAATTAAAATAATAACTTTTATAACAAATTATTCATTAATAATCTGACTAAAAAGTAAAAGCTGTCTTCTTTATAAATATAGTTATGCTAAAATTAGATTTATTCCCTTCAGAGTTTTTCTTTACTCTTAGCGATTAAATATACTAGAAGAAAACATTTTCAGGAATGATACTTACTCTATTTGTAGTTTTCACGTTGCTCTTCTATTTTCTTTATTTACTTAGTCAATATGTAAATAATTAAATTGATCCAAAATTTAGATCCTAAACCTTCATAGTCAATCATAAATAGCAAATTGAATTCTCTAATGATCTTGTTGGATTTGCATTTTAATATAACTCTTCAATGACTATCGATGAGTATCAAGCAAAGTAAAATTTAACATATCTAGTGTATTATCCATAATATTATTATGCTGACAATATTAATAATATTACTTTGCTTATTGATCTTGATGTAATTCCATGCACAGACTCTTCGCTCTCAGGATTAAATTGTATAGATTTTTCAAAAATAAGCAATTAAACTTTAGTGCTAGATATCGGTAATAAAATCTACTCCTCTTTACAAATTAATGTTTATGGTTGTTTAGATTTAGATACCGTAAAGACTACTATTCCTTCTAATTGCGCTTAATAGACTGACATAGATAATATTATTAATGGTATAGATGCATAATTTTATCTAAAAATGAAGACATAGTAATATAACACAACTTCGAAGTAGATTTAAACTAATTATAGAAATATCTATAGCTATGTGTTATCATCTTAAATGATTATCAATACTTTGAAGACATAGACATAGGAGACTTCAGTAAGCTAAGGGTTGATTTTTTAATAAAGTTAAATCTATTCTTCGCCTTATTAATATAGTTAACTTATTTAAAGTTTTGATAGGTAGCAATCTTTATTAGCAGGGCTAGGACCTTATATCTAAGAAAATATTTTGATGGATGAACTATTACAATAATTCTAAATTTAATATCCTACAATCACAGAAATTCTAGCCTTAGTTAACAGTATTGCATTTATCGTAATGTTTTCAAGAATGGCTGGTAGGTTTTTCTCAAAAAGACTAATTTAAGAAGACATTTTTATGCTTATTTTCCGAAATTTATTTTAGGAAAATAACTATTAAATCTTAAAGCACAATAAACTGATTGAATAACAGATAGATTTAAATATTTAATCTTCGAATGATAGAAATGAAATAGATAATGATTAAATAGAGTAAGAAATTCCAACAAATAAAAAGATTCCAGCTTTTGAAACTAAGTTTAGAGATTATGTAGAAAAATAATAGGTTTAGATGAGTTATTCAGATAAAGAAGCTATTAACTATTAAACTTTCTTTACTTAAGAAGAAGACATTAAAGAATAATAAAGCGATGAAGCAAGAAATTTAAATAGAACAAATTTAGGTATCCTAAATACAATGTCAAGAAAATTAATAAGCATTTAGAATGGTTAAAGTTTTAATAAAAGAGCATAATTAAAAACCTAAAATTCTTTACTTTTTAAATAAACAACTTAAAAAAGAATATCTATTTTTTAGAATAGATGTTCTTCATAATCTGAATAAATTTCTGTTAGAACTCCTTGTAATATTCAAAATACGCTTAACTTATCTTATGAATTGTAAAAAGAAAAACCTCCTTAAAATAAATAAATACTTAAAGACATAATTTCATCAAAATTGAAAGCCTTACACAGTAATAAAATGAAGCATGCCATTCATAATTTAATATTTAAATTCAAGTAATTTATAAGTTTATTATCTTTGTTACTTTTATGAATAATTTTTTTATTTACATTAACTTAATTTTTAGGGCATTTAAGTCTAAAGCGTTCCTTTTGTATAAAGGTATTGATCATAAATAAATAATGCATATTGATTAAGAAGCTAAAAGGAGCTAAAATATCTATCATCTTTATGAAGATATAATCTTCTTAAAAAAAGCTATTTCAATGCTTCTAAGCTAAGAATAATTAGCTGCAATCAAACTTGTAAGTCTGACAGATAATTATTTTAATCTAGATTTAAAAAGTGAATAGATTACTAATCAATATAAAAGTAATTTTTTTAATTTTGATCATCTATCTTTTAATGAATTTTAAACAAAAAAAGGTATGTAAAATAAGCTAAATCATTTTGAGAAATAATATGTGCTATTTTAATCTGAAAAATTACAAGCAGAATACATCGTTTAATTTTTTATGAACCATTAAACTTAAAGAACGAAAAATGAAATAGAACAAAGAATAATATCAAGTATAATAAAAAATAAGTGAAGTATCCCTAAAGATTTGAATGTATTATAATAATTTATATTAAGAATCAATCGTATATCAAATTTTAGATCTTTTTTTATTTTTTATTTTTTTCAGATTTAACAAGAAAACTTTTTTTTTTGTTAACAAATTTTTATATGGTCATATATTTACCATATTTAGATGGTATTATTAGTGTGTACCATATTTTATACATAACATCTTATTTATAATATTTAAAAATCCAATATTATGAATGATATAATTTAATAAAATTAATATTTTTTTATATGTTTTATTATATAAAAAATATGATTTTACAATAGATAAATTTATTAAATTATGTATAAATTCTATTTACATTAAAATTTTGATATTCATTAATATTCTAATATAATTAATTAATTTACTTTAATAAATACTTATTTTTTCTTAATTAACTAGCTAAAAACAAAATACTTTTTAAATGATAATAATTAATAAATCCCTTGTTAATTTAGTAAATTAAATAATATTTAATAATAAATAAGGTATTTGATATAAACTCATAAGTAATATAAAAGTATTTTATAAAAGCTAATAAATATGAGCTCTTTTAATAGCAAGATCTAATAAATTGACAAATATATAGAGATTGATGAAGTTTATATGAAAAATCATTCTGATATATTTAATAGATATAGAGAACTAGAAGTAAATATTGATCAGATTATAAAAATGATTTATAATAATGATAAAAATATGAATCCGATGAAATTCTTTCGAATATTAGAATCATAAAATTTACTTATTCTTCTCTTTGAAAATCTTATAGTCTTGATTAAACCCATAAATGAATAAAAGTTTAAATTGTTATTCAATAAATTTATGCTTTTATTTGATAAGTTCAAGGCTGCAATCAAAAATATTTCTAAAAATTTAGAAGATACTTTTAGAACTGACCAGATTATTCCTTATGAAAATGTCTTAGAAGTTAAATCTAATCTCATAAAAACTTATAATGAGCTAATAACTATTAAAAGTGAGATATTCTGCTCATAATAATCTAAGAATTAAAACAATTATCAACTAAATAAGAGTGATTAAAATATTTTGGAGTCTGAATATGGTGATTTATTTCAGAAAAAGCAACAAATGGAGAAAATCGTAGACTAGATTTTAAAAAAGTTTTAAGACGATAAATCAATTCATTCAAGATAATGCATGTAAATTTTAGAATAGCTAAATTTGCTAAAACCTCTTTTTTAAAATTTTGATGACTCTATTAAAGACATAAATGAAGAAAAATTAATTTAATTCTACAAAAGCTTTTAGAAAATATTCAAAAGATTTGAAACAAACACTAAGAATGCAAGTCAAATTATGGAAGATACTTTTTCAAATGGCAAAATCTCAAATGAGAAAATCTAGTAAATTAAATAGTGTGTTTTAAGTACAAAGAATGATCTATTAAGTATCTAAAAAGGAATCTTTACAATTTCTTAAAAATATTTAATATGGATAGATTACAACTTAAAAGATTTTGAAAATTAGAAATGTTTAAAAGAAATAAATTTGATTTGCGATCGAGTGATGAATGTTGTAGCATTTGATAAAGATTTAGATTTTAGATAATTTGTTAAAAATGAATAAGAACATATCTTGTATTTAATTATGAGTGGTAAAGCAGCTGGAGAACGCCCTGGTGATGGTTAAAATTTAAAATGGATTAAGTAACTTATTTAAGAAAAATAAGGATATTAGTTTGTATATGGAATTTTTATATTCGCTTCTAATAATAATGAATAACAATACTTCACTCCTCTTCTTGAGTCAGATAAAGGACTAATCTTAAGTGTAACTTAATCTTAATAAACCATCCAAAATAATATCAAAGATATAGTTTTTCCAAAAAAAAGCCTAAGAGTTATAGATATAAAATAGCTTTCTTCCTTTTTGAATGACAAAAAAGAAGAATTTCTTGATCTGGCTACAAAAGATTATTCAAATTACAATTTGGATGATTTTCATCCTGATAAACCATTCATAATCTCCTCAGTTTACAAATCTATTTCAAAAGAAATAAGAGAAAGATTTGAAAAAAAGAATTTGTATCAAAGATTAAATGAAGCTTAATAAATAATTTAAGAATGTCAAATTAGTATCCCAAAGTATATTATTGAACCTTAAGAAATATATGACGATTTAAAGCAGTGCTTCTCTGTTAATTAATATTAAAATTATGTATAAGTTGATTCCAAGAAAAGAAATTAAGAGGTAGCTATAAAAATATTAAAACTTTATACTAGAGAATCTTGTTTCTATTAATTTGTCAATAGTTTGCTTAGTATTTTGAATTAAGATCTTTTGATAGTACTTTGGGATATCGTTTTATGCCTAAGAATTTCTTTAAGCATTTTTAACGATGAAGTTGACTCTCAAATATTTAAACCATACAAATAAGAAGGCTAAGTAGATAAAGTAAGATCAAAACTCAATCTTTATAGAGGGACTGCTATCCCATAAGAAGTATTTAATTCAATATATAAAATAGGTTAAATTATTTGTATGTGTGGATTTTCTTCTTTTAGCTCAGAAATCAGCGTTGCTTATTTTTTTAGTAAAAAAGGCTAAGGAATAAAAGTTATTTTTGAATTTTTATATGAGTGTGGAACTGATTAATTTAGCCTAAGACCAAGATATTTAGATAAAATATCTGAATGTCCTGGTGAAAAAGAGTATTTGTTAAATTGTGGATCAGTATTTAGGATAATAAACATATATGAAAAAATAGATAAATAAGTAAAATACACATTTGTATAACTAAAAATATGAAGATAATTATTTATTTATTTATCCTTTATTTTAAATAATATTTAACTTCAATAAATATGATATTTATACCTTTTGACCACATTTTTTTCTAAATTCAATAAGTAATTTGTAATAAATTTATAATGAATTCAAAAAAACATATTAATAAAATTATTTTTTTGTTTTAAATAAATGAAATTTTAAAAATCAACTAATTATATTAAATATACAAGGATTTGAATATTTTTTAAATTTAATAAAATGATAGAATTATAAATTAAATAAATCAATTCAATCAAGACTTTTAAATTTTTAAACTAAAGCAAAATGATAAACTAAACAAGAAAATTAAAAATGAATTTTTTTCAATTTTTTTTTCAATAATTTCTGTATTTTAAATAAATAAAAAAATTTTAAAAACTAAATATTAATATTATTAATTTAAATAAATTTATTTCATTTTTAAGAAATATTAAAACTAAATAAAATTATTTAAATTTTTTTATTAAATGTTATCTTCAAAAAATAAAAAATGATTGAATATTTATTTTTTTAAGATTAATTTTTGTGATTTTTAAAATAAGAAAAATATTATTTTTTTGAAAATTAAAAAAAACAATTTTTTGTTTTTGCCATTTTATCTAATTCTCTAGCAAATTTCATTCTGCTTGATTTTATTAGTTTTTTTATTAGCATAATAAAAAGAAGAAAAAACCATTCAATAAAGATATTGAATGATAAAAAATATAAATTCGTTTTAAGCTAAAGAAAATAATGAAATTTTCATATCTATTAAATATTCTAATAGCTAAAACCCTATTTATTAAAGGAAGATTATTAATAATCTTTAATTAATTTCTTAAAATCTAAAACAAAGTTATTTAATTATAAATCAGATCAGTCTATATATTTATCCGCAAAGTATGAAGAATATTTCAATTCATTTAATTATTCGAAAAACAAAAATATGCTTTAAGCAAGGATAAGTTTTTTTTCATAAAAATAGAAATAAGGACTATTGATTAAATGCAGGATAGTTAGAAATAAGATTTCTTGTAAAATAAGGCTAAAATTGAAGAAGCAATAGATTCAATTTTGAAAAAGACCCATGATGAAAAATCTAAAGGATCTAGAGAATGCATGTAAATCCTAGATTAACTTTATGAAATTCAGCCTCTTTTAGAAACTGTAGACGATTCTATAAAAGATGTAAACCAAGATAAATTACAATAGCTGTATAAAACTTTTAGAAATCTATTTAAGTCATTCAAAGAGGATGTATCAGAAACTTCAAAAATGATAAACGATAACACATTTGATAAAGATAATAAGATAAACAAAGAGAAAATGAAATAAGTCATAGAACGAATTAAAAATATGAAATAAGAACTAGAAAATTTAAAAAATAAAATATTTGTCCCTTACAAAAAGTATTTAGTTTGGATAGATTAATGTGTTAAAAATGATGAAAATTAATTTTATTTAATTGAATTTAACAAAATTTGCAATGGTGCTATTGAAATTCATTCTTTCACTAATAATCAGGATTTTAGAAATTTTGTTGTAGAACACTCAGATTAAATGCTCTATATTATTATGAGCGGGAAGGCAGCTGGTGAGTCTTTCGAAGGGGATGGAAAAAACTTAAAATGGATCAAATAGCTAATTTAGTAGAAGTCTTCAAGTGAGTTTATTTATGGAATATATATATTTACTTCTTATGAAGGAGAAAAGTACTTTAAGCCTTTAATAAAATCAGAAAAAGGATTGGTCTTAAATGTTACTTGTGACCCAGGAACCATATTTGAAAATATAAGAAATTTAATTTTTCCAAAGAAATGCATAAGGGTATTACCAGTAGTCAAGCTATGTGAATTTCTTGATAAAGAGCTTATGGACTAATTTCTTTTATTAGCAAAACAGGATTACTCTAAAATATAACTTATTGACTATCATCCAGATAAACCCTATCAAATCTAATAAAAATTTAAGCTTTCTGAATTATTAATTAATAAATTTTAAAACAAAAATTTAAAACAAAGATTAGAAATCGCTTTTGAAATTATTAAAGATTAAAAGATAGGTATTGACTAAAATATCTTAGATAATAATATATATTAATCTATATTTGAGTGCTTTAAAAGTAAAGATAATAACCAAATAGCAGCAAGTATATTAAAGCTTTATACTAAAGAAACTAACTTCTACAAGTTCATAAATTCTTTGTTAAGTGTATTGAATCAAAACTTAATAATAATTTTTTGGGATCTTATTTTATGCTTTAGAGCAGCTCTAAATGTTTATGATGATTCTTAATTTTCTCAAATTTAACCCCCTAAAATTATTAGTAAAAATAAATTACATTTTTATAACATTTTAACTTACTAACAAACTAACTAACTTATTTATTTATTTATTTTTTTAAAAATATTCAGATAATTAATATGAAGAAAGAAAAGCAGCTACTCTTTATAGAGGAGTAGCTATACCAAAGGAGAGTTTTGAGTAGCTTTATAAGGTTGATTAATATATTTGCATGTGTGGATTTTCTTCCTTTAGTACTGACATTAATATAGCTTTAAATTTTTCTTTGAATGGCAAAGGATTAAGAGTTATTTTTAAAGTAGACTACTAATGTGGTAATTAACAGTATCCTTTGAGACCAAAATGCTTAATTAAACTTTCAAATTATGATGAAGAAGAATATCTAATGAATTGTGGAACTGTTTTTAAGATTAAATCCATTTATGATAAAATTGAAAACAATGATGTTATTAAATATGTAGAGCTAATTTTATGATGTTAATTATTATTTATAAATAAAACAAATGTATTTTTATTCTTAAATTCAAAATTTAAAAATTTATTTTATTTAAATTGATATGAATTATTTCCCAAATATAATTATATATTAAAATTTAATTATAAACTGAGGTTGGACATAAAATATTTTATCAAAAAAAATTTATAAAAAGTAATTCCCAAATTTGAAATAGCAAGCATGAAAAATATTTTTTATTATCAAGATTTGATAGCTTAATCAAATAAATAAAAATGGCAATTAGTAATACTAACATTAAACTAATGATCGTTGATAACAAAATTTACCAAATAGTTTTTAACAATTTTATAAATAATAAGTACTATTCAATTAAATAATTAATTTTATTTATCTACTATAGACTGTTCAAAGATTTTTAATCATTTTAGTTTATACAGGGCGGCCCAAAAAAAATTTCAATTCCTTTTATAATTTGTCATTATTATGTTCTTCTAAAACCTCAGATACATATTAAAAAATATGAGCTTTATCAATAAAGGTAATATTTCTCCTTTCAAATTCTAGATTCCTGAAGATGAACCTATCTATATCAGGAGAATAAGGATGTTAAGGAATATATTAAATTCTTTAATTTTATAAAAAAATTGATTGTTATCTAGAATTTTTGTGGATGGGCATTGTCCTGAATGATTATCAGGTTTTAATTTTTAAAATAATCTCTAAATTCTCTTAAAAATTGAATGTACCTTTCTGAGTCAATAGTCAAATACTAATCGAGAATAAAATAGAAATATTCTCCATAGTAAGTCATAGCCAAAATTAATAGGTGTTTTTTTGCTGTAATAATTCTTTTAAAAATTGTTTATTAGACAAAATTCTTATTATTTTTATCAACCGATTGTTGTTAATTTTATTTTGGTGATAATGGATCCATATAAATCCATTTTCCGTCTATTGCAAAGATATTTTCTTATATTGTATTCAGAATTATTTGAGTTTATTATATCTTATTTTAGATATTATTCTCATTAAAGTGATAAGTCACCCATTTAGTCATAATGCTCTTTTTATCTAAATCCTCATTTAACATCGTTTATATCCTTGATTGTTATATTTCTGTGATTTTGATTAAGGCTTTCAGAAATAAATGAAGGTCTTCTTCAATACATTACCTCACAATATATATGTTTTCTTATGCTCTAACTTCTAATTTACGACCCATCTTGATACTCTTTAGTCAGCTAATAGACTCTTCTCTCTCCAATTTCTAAGTTGTCTCCCAAAGCATTTTGAAGCTACTAATAAATTATTGATGGTTTTTCATTGTTTAACACCATCGTTTAAATAAAAAAATTTAAATTATCTTGCATTTTTTTTGAATAAAGCTATAAAACTAATTTCTATTTTTCTTTCTAATTAGCAAGCGAATTCTATTTCTTGTACATATATGAAATATATTATTTAAATATCAGTCTTGCTATGTATCATATTATAAATATTGAATTTAGTTATTAATCAAAAAAAGAAATACTAATTGTAAAAATAGAAATTTTTTTTGGGTCTCACAGTATTTATAATTTTAATTTGACATAAAAATTATGTTTTTATTCTACAAATTAAAATCATGCTTTAAATGAATTTCTATCTATTTTATGATATTATTTCTTTCTAGTTATAAAACATAGATTGAATGATCAAATAAATTGAAATTAAAAATTAAATTTTTACTGTTTATTTATATAGTATTTAACCTAAATTTTAAATAAATAGATTATAAATTCTTAACAAATTTAAAAAAACTTTTTTTATTATTTATTTTGAATAATTAAAATTACTTCAAAGAAACATAAAATATAAGCATAAATAAAATATTAATAAATGAAGACTCTATTTTTTCTAAGAAAAGAAATTAAGTAATAGCTATAAAAAGATTAAAACTTTATACTAGAGAGTCTTGCTTCTATTAATTTGTCAATAGTTTGCTTAGTATTATGAATCAAGATCTTTTGATTGTACTTTGGGATATCTTTTTATGCCTAAGAATTACTTTAAGCATTTTTAACGATGAGGTTGACACTCAAATATTTAAACCATACATTTATCTTTTATTTTAAATAAAATATTTAACTTCTATATTTGTGATATTTATACCTTTCGAAAACATTTTTTTTCTAAAGTCAATAAGCAATTTTTAATAACTTTATTATTAATTCAAAAAATTATATTAAAAAAGTATTTGTTTATTTTAAATAAATGAAATTTGATAATTATATTAAATATAAAAGTATTTGAATATTTTTTAAATTTAATAAAATTATTGAATTTTAAATTAAATAAATTAATTCAAGACTTTTAAATTTTTAAACAAAAGTAAAATGATAAACTAAACAAGAAAATCAAAAATGAAAATTTTTTAATTCTTTTATTAAATAATGTATGTATTTAAAATAAAAATTTTTAAAAACTAAATATTAACATTATTAATTTCTTTTTTAAAAAATATAAAAACTCAATAAATTATTTATTTCTTTTTATTAATTGCAATTTTCAAATTTATTGAATATTTATTTTTTAAAAATTAATTAATAATCCTATCTAAAGTAGATTTTTAAAATAAGAAAAAAATTATCTTTTTTAAAAATTTAAAAAAGCTATTTTTTGTTTTTGCCATTTTATCAAAGACACTAAGAATAATCATTCTGCTTGACTTTGACAGTTTTTTTATTACCATAATAAAAAGAAGAAAAAACCATTCAATAATGAAATTGAATAATAAAAAATATAAATTCGTTTTAAGCTAAAGAAAATAATGAAATTTTTATATCTACCAAATATTCTAATTGCTAAAACCCTATTTATTAAAGGAAGATTTTTAATAATCTTTAATTAATTTCTTAAAATCTAAAACAAAGTTATTTAATTATAAATCAGATCAGTCTATATATTTATCCGCAAAGTATGAAGAATATTTCAATTCATTTAATTATTCGAAAGATAAAAATATGGTTTTAGCAAGGACAAGTTTATTTTTATAAAAATAGAAATCAGGACTATTGATTAAATGCAGGATAGTTAGAAATAAGATTTCTTGTAAAATAAGGCTAAAATTGAAGAAGCAATAGATTCAATTTTGAAAAAGACCTATGATGAAAAAACTAAAGGATCTAGAGAATGCAAGTAAATCCTAGATTAACTTTATGAAATTCAGCCTCTTTTAAAAACTGTAGACGATTCTATAAAAGATGTAAACCAAGATAAATTACAATAGCTGTATAAAACTTTTAGAAATCTATTTAAGTCATTCAAAGAGGATGTATCAGAAACTTCAAAAATGATAAACGATAACACATTTGATAAAGATAATAAGATAAACAAAGAGAAAATGAAATAAGTCATAGAACGAATTAAAAATATGAAATAAGAACTAGAAAATTTAAAAAATAAAATATTTGTCCCTTACAAAAAGTATTTAGTTTGGATAGACTATAATATTGAAAATGATGAAAGTTTGTTATATTTAATTGAATTTATCAATATTTGCAATGGTGCTATTGAAATTCATATTTTCGATAATAATGAGGATTTTAGAAATTTTGTTGTAGAACACTCAGATTAAATGCTTTATATTATTATGAGCGGGTCGGCAGCTGGTGAGTCTTTCGAATGGGATGGAAAAAACTTAAAATGGATCAAATAGCTAATTTAGTAGAAGTCTTCAAGTGAGTTTATTTATGGAATATATATATTTACTTCTTATGAAGGAGAAAAGTACTTTAAGCCTTTAATAAAATCAGAAAAAGGATTGGTTTTGGATGTCACTAGTAATCCAAAAATCATATCTGAAAATCTAAGAAATTTAATTTTTCCAAAGAAATGCATAAGGGTATTACCAGTAGTCAAGCTATGTGAATTTCTTGATAAAGAGCTTATGGAGTAATTTCTTTTATTAGCAAAACAGGATTACTCTAAAATATAACTTATTGACTATCATCCAGATAAACCCTATCAAATCTAATAAAAATTTAAGCTTTCTGAATTATAAATTAACAAATTTTAAAACAAAAGTTTAAAATAAAGATTAGAAATCGCTTTTAAAATTATAGAAGATTAAAAGATTGGTATTGACTAAAATATCTTAAATAATAATATATATTAATCTCTATTTGAATGCTTTAGAAGTTAAGATAATAGTCAAATAGCAGAAAGTATATTAAAGCTTTATACTTAAGAAACTAACTTCTACAAGTTCATAAATTCTTTGTTAAGTGTATTGAATCAAGACTTAATAATAATTTTTTGGGATCTTATTTTATGCTTTAGAGCAGCTCTAAATGTTTATGATGATTCTAAATTTTCTCAAATTTAACCCCCTAAAATGATTAGTAAAAAATTACATTTTTATAACATTTTAACTGATTTATTATTTTAAAAATATTCAGATAATTAATATGAAGAAAGAAAAGCAGCTACTCTTTATAGAGGAGTAGCTATACCAAAGGAGAGTTTTGAGTAGCTTTATAAGGTTGATTAATATATCTGTATGTGTGGATTTTCTTCTTTTAGTACTGATCTTAATATAGCTTTAAAATTTTCTTAGAAAGGCTAAGGAATAAGAGTTATTTTTAAAGTAGACTATGAATGTGGTAATTAACAGTATCCTTTGAGACCAAAATGCTTAAGTGAACTGTCAGAATATGATGAAAAAGAATATCTAATGAATTGTGGAACTGTTTTTAGGATTAAATCCATTTAAGAAGAAATTGAAGATAATAATGTTATTAAATATATTAATCTAATTTTGTGATGTTAATAATTATTTAAAAAATAGAACCTATTTTTATTCTTAAATTCAAAATTTTAAAATATATTTTATTTTATATGAATTTTCCCAAAAATAATTAGATATTAAAATTTAATTTTAAAAAAGGCTGATAAGTTGGACATTAATTAATATTTCATTTATTTAAATATTTTTAAAAAAGTAATTCCCCAAATTTAAAAGAGTAAGCAATTAATTTTAAAAAAAAATATTTTACAAGTTTTTTTTGATATGAATACATCAAAATTTATAACATAGAGGTTTTCAGTTAGAAAGATGTTTAGAAAAATGAAAAATTAACTAAATCTGTTACCATTTAAATAATTTTTTTAAAATATTTACTTTATTTTTATCGATTTTAAAGTGTAGAAAGGAAAAAATCATAGATTTATTACCTTTCAAAAAATTATTTTTTATATTTTTTTTACTTCTTTTATTTTTCTTTCTAAATAGTTATAAAAATATAGTAGATTGAATGATCAATAAAATTAAAATTAATTTTTTACTTTTTTTCTCTATCAAACCTTTGTATAAATAAATAGATTATAAATTCTATAACAATTTAAAAAATAATAATAATTATTTATTTATTTTGAATTAATTAATTAATACAACATTAAAGAAACACAATAGATAAGCATTAAAAAAGTGTTAATACATGAAGACTCTATTTGTTCTACTTTACTTATTTATAAGCTTTTTATGTATTAAATAAGCTTTTTCTCAAAATTAAAACTGCTCAATAATTGGATGCTCATTATGCTATTTTGACTAAAACCAAAACAAAGAAATATGTACATAATGCAAAGAAGGGTACTCTTTAAATAATCAAGGCTGCATTTATTAAAATTGTCCACCTTACCTATTTTATTAGACATCAAATTAAATTAGTGAATCTGAGGTAGAAGATGGGGAGTGTTTATCAATATGTAACTAATTTTACAAAGGGAATCCCTATAACAATCTTTGTGAGTAAATATTTGAATGCACAACCTCAATAACCACACCAAATAGCATATATGATTTGAATTAATTGTAAAAATTTATAATCTATCAAGATAATTATTATGTTGCTGTTTACTAAAGCTACTTAATTATGTATACTTTTGAAGAAGGTACATTTGTTTAACATTATCAATTTGAAGCAGAAGATATTTTACTTTACTTTTTTAATGGAAAAATATTTATGCTGAGGAATGATAATTCTATTTAAATATGGGACCTTGTTAATAACAGTAGATTTAAAATTCCTTTGTAGTAGAACATTAAATTAGATAATAAAAGTTAACTAATATTAACAAATTTCTAATAAATACTACTTTTGAATGCAAATATACAATCTAATTAATTTGAGTTCACATTTGTTTTTTCTTTTTCTTAATTAAATTAGTAATAGTAATATTCTTTTCAAATTTAATAAGAAAACAAATTAATTTTCATTAGCGGCAATGATCTAATAATTACATACAACCAGCAATCTTTTTAAATTTTTATAATTCAAATGAATTAAATAAATTAATAATTATTTGCAAATTTATTATTTGATTCAACTTAACAATCTGCCTCATTTTTACTCTCATAAAAACTAATATTTGCTTATAAATCATAAGAATATATAAATTTAATATTCTAAGATCAGTTTATACAAATTAATGATAAAAATGAAACAGATATAGTTTTAAAAACTCTAAATGTTGAAAAAGTAAGAGTTTATCAAGTAAATTATCAGTAAAAATAATTAGATAAGATTCTATTTCTATCAAACAATTAGGTATTTGATGAATCAAGATATTTAATTTTATCTGGGGATAATAATTACTAAATAATAGATTTTGAAATATTCTAAATAGGTTAAATAGATGAACTGATTTTATTTATAGTGACTAATCAACAATAATTAATCATTTTTCAATATCAAAGAGACTTAATGACATTCACATAAGTAAATTAAATTCAAGTTTTAATACCAAATAACTAAATAAAATTATTCCCAACAAGTGAAAATTTTAATTTTACGTCTACAATTTAATCTTCAACAAATTCTCAAGTTGTTATAGTGACAAATTAGATTTAAATTTTTTATGATATCTATCCAATTTAGAGGAAAATAATAAAAAATTTTGATTTACCTTATCCTCTTTTGTATAACTCAGCTAATGTAAATTCAATAGTATAGTTTTACCCTATTCAATAAGTTGCTTAATGCTTAAGTAATGGTGATATTGTAATATTTGATATATCTAATAATTAAAACTAAATTATTATTGGGTATTTTTAAAATTAAAATGATACATGCTTTTAGCTTTAGATAATTATAGGAAATATATTGATTGCTTAAATGAATCAAAAACTTTTAATTATTAATCCATATCTTAATTTAGTGTAAAAAGTAATAACATACAATGAATAAATTATTATGATAAGTGTCAATTATGACAAGTTAGCAGTGTAAACAGTAAAGTGCTTAAATATTTTAAATGAAACCTTCTAAACAGTATTCGAAGAATGCAATTCTTTGATGAGTTTAAATAATGTATAAATTGCAATTTCTTAAAATGTTTATATTTATACTTAAAAGGAAACGAGTTTAAATCTTTATCAGATAGATTTTTTAAATAGAAATTATTCTTTAATATATCAACAATCATTTACAAATGCAATTTAATTTTTTAGATTTATAAACTTCTAAACATAAAAAGATATAGAGTCGTATTCTTATAGTGTAAATGAAATGATTGTTTTTGACACTCAAAGAAATTTTATAATTCTTAATTCTTAACTTAGAATAATTTACTCTGAAGCAAATTTATTTTTAAGCAATATTAACGATGCAAGAAGAGTAATTAATGACATTAATGTTTATTTTATTATTGGGGTACCTGTATAAGACAATTCGAGCATATATTTAGGAATGATTTAAAAAGATAAATAAAGTAATACAGTTTAAATTGATGGAAACATATTTTTTAATTCAATATTCTATGGAGATCCTGAGAAGATAATAAATGATTGTGGAGTTATTTACTACCAATTTAGATAAATTATACCTAATGATTTATTTACAACAATAAGATAAATAACATTTGATCCTATAAGAAATTTATAAGTAACTAATGGTTTATATTAAGTAATATTATAATCAATCACAAAAACTGAATAAAAAATAACAATCCCTTCTGAAAACCACCTAGATTATGTAGGAACTAATAGAAGTTCATTATCAATGACATATCTAAAAAAAAAAATTTATGAAGTAATAAATTTATAAAAGATTCTTCCATAATAAATCTAAAGCAATAGGTAAATATAGTAGTTAAAGCAAAGTGTTATACTAGGTGTCATATTTGTAAGGACGAATTATGAAGTAATTTTAATTTCTTTCTTTACAAATAAATTATTACAAATAATTACACCAACTTTAAAGTAATTTGTTTTTAAAGATATGACTATATTAGAAGATATAAATTCTGCTCTTTTTATAAGTTAAAGAGAAGTTTAATTATTACATTTTAGCACTTCTATATAAACTTACAAATACGATTAAATGACTTCTATAAAAGGAATTATATATGATTAATTCACAACATATTTTTATGTTTTCGGAAATGGAATCAACTGTCTTGATAAAAATCTTAACTAAATATATTAAATATTAAGTTAAGAAGTAAATAATACAGTAATGTAATGCTTAGATAGTAGAGATTTACTTGTATGTAATCTTTAAATAAATTTAATCTATTTCATTGATAAAAAATCTAAAAGTATTATTTAAAAACTAGTAATAACGTAAATATAAAATTATAAAATGGCCTTAGATGAAACCTACAATCGTATCTATGTCTATGATTAATCATTTGTAGTCTTTAATTTTTAAGGTTAATTCTTAAATATGTATTAACCTTAAGTTGGGTATATACTTTAGCTTTAGTTCGAAGACTAATTTTTGATACTTGTGTCTCCGATATGTAAAATTAATTTATTTATTTTTTTAAATAAAATTATTTGACTAGACAAGTTTATAATTTTTGAATATAAACCTAATAAATAAACTTTATACAATTCTAACTAAGAATACAAAAAATTTTTTTATAAATTTCATTGTAATTAAGTTAATATATGATAAATGCGCACTGTGACTAGTGGTAAATATTTAAAAGCAATACACCTACAAATTTTATTTTTGTGAATTTAAGTACTAGTATATTTATTAAATATTTTTATTTTTTATTATATTGATATTTGATTTTTTTAGAAAATGTAAAATATATTTTAAAAGTAAATTTAATAAACTATTAAATACTTTTTAATTAGCTCTCAATAAATTTATATATTAAATTTAAAAATGAGTGTTATCTAATTTTAATATATAAGCTAAATACTGGGATTCCCAGAAATATTATAATAGTATTAATAAATTTTTTAATTTTGTTAAAAAGGTATAATAATTTATGACAGAATAGATATTTTAGTGGAGACAAATATATAAACTGTTAGTGGTTTTTTAATTGATGGATATATTTATTGTAAAGAATTAAATTTGATAATATTTTACATAAATACTTCAATATTTGCTTAACTGTATGTATATGACATTAAATAGAAATTATAGATAGCTTAAATTACAGGAAATCTAAATTAAGATGGTTAAGTAGCAGGATTGACTTATGAGATCTAATCTTAGTATGTTTAGTTTATTGATACATTAGGAAACTATTATATTTTTGATATGTTTGATTCATTTAGTTTAGAAAATTTATTTAGAATAACTGAAGTAATAGATAGATAAGAAAAAGTTTAAGGATTAGATTATGATTACAGGACAAATAATGCAATAATATATACAGATTAAAGTATATACATAATTGACTATACTTAAGTTAATTAATAATTTATGCCTTCTCTCTCTGACCAAAGAAGTTTATTCACTCAAATAAATGAATCTACTTATATTTTAGTTGATAGCTAAAACTAATTATATAGATACTCCAACTAATCATTAAAATTCGAAAGATTTTTCGATAATTAAAATTTAAAAGAAGTTAGATATAATCAAGAAACTGATTCTTTGGTTATAGCTTTTGAAAACAAGATAAGTATATGTATTTAATACGAGTAAAATAGAATTAGTTATTTCAATCAAAATTGCACTGAAATTGATATGCCTTTTCAGTAATTTATTTTAGATAATATCTTTTTATCCTCCTCAAAAATAATCTATCATTATGATTTGTCTACTGTCTAATTAATAAACTAAATAGTACTTAATCCATAATTGTTTCTTATAAAATTTTTAAAAATTTAAAATTTATTACTTTTCGGAATAAGTAATGGCACTCTTATTTAGTATGACATTTCTACCTAACAATAAGCATATTATAGCATTTCTTTATCTAATAATATAAATCAATCATTTCTATTTTTATAAATAGAAAATGTTAATAGAACTATGATTGCTTACGCTGCTACAAATTTAGGAATAGTATTAATTATTGATTTATAAAAATAGATGATATTAGATTAAATAAATTTACTTTTATTAAGTAATATCGATCAAGAATAAGGTACATTATTGACAGGTTTTTCATATGATGAGTTATATAATAGATTCATATTTTTTTTCAGCGGTGATAAGAAAGCTTATATTTGGGATTATAATAAAGATTAGCTTATAGGATACTTACCTTTAATTACTACTTTCAGAAACTATATTATCATGACAAAGAATTATATAATAATATAAAATACATTTAATCTAAGCTTTTTTAAGAAATAAGATATCTATAGGTTAGTTTCAACTATTTAATTTCGCTTATAGTATGATATTTTGCAAGAATTTGAAATAATTGAGGAAAAATATTTGCTCTGCTTCTTTACTGATAAGTTTTAATTCTTTGTTTTATTTGAAGATTCATCAAATTAATAAATTATAAATTTTTAACTTGAAAATCAAAAAGAATTGCCATATCCTTAGCTTCTTGGTTATAATTTAAATTTAGATTAAGGCTATTTGAAAGTATATGGAGTATCTTAAAGAAATGTATTTGAAGATAAACACAACTTAAATATTTATCAATATAATTCTAATATTACTATCTGCTCGAGTCAAATAGAAAATTCTAATTTATTTGATAGTTAAAAGAATTTATAATCAATATAGCCATTAATGCAATCAATTTAAGGAGCTTATGGTAGAACACTAATTTAATAATAAAATTGGAGTTTTTTAATATTTTTGGATATCTAAAATAGTAATTTGAAAATGCTTTAATCATTATTTTAATAATCAAATTAAATAAATATCTAAACATTTTTAAATTTTAGTACAAATTCTAATGTCACCTTGAGTAATCAACTTTTCGAATTTTTTAATCAAGATTAATATTACTTATCAAACTTTAACTTTTTGTTTGACTAAGCTGGATCTCAAAATTATACTTTTGCCTTAAATTCTTCATTTACTGAAATTAGAATGTTGGAAATTAGTTTAGTTAATTAATTAATATAAGAATAGTAAATCATACTTAATAACTAGAATTTAGTTGTTATTCAGAATTTAACAATTTCAGGAATTACTTTTAATTCATTAAAAAACAATGCTTCATCAGATTAATCTCTTATTATTTTTGATTCTATTAAAACAATATCATTAATAAATTTAAATATTTTTGAAAATAAAGGAAACACAGCAAATGAAAATTTTATTATATTTAATGATATTAAAACTCTTATAATTAGTTAATTAAAAATAAATGATAATGATAATATTTTTTCTTTGATTAAATTTTAAAATGTAGAGACTTTGATTATTGAAAATTTATAAGTTCAAAGTAATATCATTAACAAAAATGGTTTTAATTTTTAAAATAGTAATGACTATAATAAATTTATAATATAAGAGAATAATTTGTGTTACAATACTATTCTTTGCTTTGTTGGATGCTAAAACATAACTATTAAAAACTCAAAATTAACAAATAATGAAGATTATAATTTAATATAAACATATTCATTTTATTACTAATAAAGCAATCTGATTTAGCTTCTTTTAAATGAAATAAATTTAAATAACTTAAATGTTACATAAAATAGTGCTAATCCTTTTTCTTTTTTGATAAGTTTAGATAATACTTTGGTAAATATTAATTAGCTGAATTGTATTAAAAATAATAACAATATGATAATTTAAAAATCAAAATCATTATTAATTAAAAATAGTTAATTTATAGAAAATTCATCATTAAATGGAGGTGCTATGTATTTAGATTAAATTTAGAATTCAATTTTGATCTAAAATTCACTATTTTAATATAACAAAGCAATACAGAGTGGTGGTGCTTTTTATATTTATGTAACTAAATAAATTACTTTTGAGATAGATCATAAAAGTTTAATTTCTAAAAACAATGCACTTATAGGAGGTGGATTACGTTATATTTATCCAGATACTCCTTCTCCTTAAGAATATATCCCTTAAGGCTTTCCTTACAGTTATATTATTATCAAAAATACAGCTGAAATATATGGAGATAATGTAGCATCATACTTAAAAAATATATAAATTAGTTAGATTATTATCTAAAATGATATTAATGTTGGAAATAAAGTATCAGAAAATGAAAATTCTAGTTCAATTAAATAATATGAAATAAATGATTTTTAAAGCGGAGGACAATTATTATTGAGAGTAATTTTGCTTGATCAAGAAGGAAGAAAACTAACTTTTTCTAAAGAAAATTTGATAGATTAATAATATCCTCCTGATATTTAGTAAGAATTAGAGAATATTTAAATTTAAATAACAAATTAGTAAAAAACAAAAGAAATAATAATTTTAGGTAACAATTTAGTTAATTATTATGATTATAACTCAACCTCAAACACATTTGATATTTAAATATAAATTTAATCTAAACCTAAAACTTAAGATTTACTTTAAGTTTAAGCCAACACAGCTATAGCAAATGGATTAATTCCTCCAATTAAAATAAATATAAATTACAGAAATTGTAAAATAGGAGAAATTATTTAAAATATCAACTCAAATATAATTATATGCTAATACTGCTCAAATGGAACCTACTCTATTATAGATCCAAATGTATTAAATTATACTTATTTATCTGTGGATAACTATTGCAAATCTTGTCCCTAAGGTTCTGCAACCTGCTAAGGTGAAAATATTATTCTGTAAAACGGTTACTGGAGGATTAATAAACTATCTGATGTAATTTTATAATGCAGTTTAGCCAGTGAATATTGTTAAGGAGGTTACAATGAAGGTTGTACAGATGGGCATATTGGACCATTATGCTAAGAATGTGATATTTTAGGAGTGGAATAAAAAAATAATGTGAGATATACAGAGGGTGTATTAAAAGGAACATGCAATACTTGTCCAAGTTCTATAAGTTTGGTTTTTTATGAAGTATTTATGATATTAGTACTAACTGCTTATTTTTTTTTTAATTTCTACATATTTAAGAAAAGCTTCATTTATTAACAAACTTGCTATTACTTAAGAATATTACATATTCTTCCAATCAATAAAAGCTCATTTAGGAGTATATAAGGTTCTTTTATAAAAATATATGTCAATTATTGCTAACTATCTTCAATCATAATTAACGATACTAGATCAATACCTAATTTAAATATAGTTTAAGATTTTATTGGATCTTTTTGCAACAAAGTTATGATCTAATATATCTGTCTGATTGATGAATAATTTCTGAAAAAGTATAGTAAAATTGGAATATAAATTTTTATCTATACTCTGATTCCTTTTTTACTTGGAGGTTTTCAACTTATTTGCTTGTTTATTTTCTCTAAAGTTTTCAAATATAATGTAAAGAAATATGACTATTTGTCATTTTTAAATATCTTACTGATGTACTTTTAAACCTAATAAACTTTTTTTTTTGCTTAATCTCTTTCTTGCGTAGAGATAGGTTAATAAAACTATTCTAGTTTAGACTTAACTCAACAATGCTCATCTTAAATAGTTTTAGAAGTCATAAAACCAATATCAATAGCTTTTATTATAATTTGGAATTTATTCCCTTTATATATTATCTATAAACTGTTTTAAAATTCACAAATACTGAATTTTTGTTCAATAAAATATTCTTTAGGTTATTACTATAATGAACTTAGACCATCGTATTATTACTGGGAGTTTGTCAGGATATACATCAAAATAGCTATTGTTTTAATTTTTGTTTTGCTGTAATAGAAATATAAACATCTCTCATACAATTTAATTAATGTCATCATACTTTTATATATAAAAAAAATCAGTGTAATAAAACCTTTCTTATTTAAAGATATTAACAAATGTGAAATATACTCTCTATTAATGCTAATATCTAAAATAATAATACAAATGCTAATTGAGTTGAATATATTTCAAGTAAGCATTGACTTTATAATGGTTGCAATGAATTACTTTTTACTATCATACTTTATTTTGATTATAATTGTGAAAGATTAATAGAGCACTTTAAGAAAATTAATATTATTTACTATAAACAAATTACTTACATAAAAATATAAAGATAAATTATAATTATCAAAAAATAATTAGCTAAAAACATTTATGAGGTGGAAGCTGTTAAGAAACTCAATTAAGAAAAAAAAGAATGAATAAATTATTATTAATATTCCGTAGCTTGATAGGACAAGATTAACTGAAAATATATCATTAAAAAAGTCAAAAAGTAATTTTTTTTATTTAGTTTCATAAATTTAAATAATTAAATATTTATATTAAAAATAGTTTTATCTCAAAATGAAAGGAAGTCTTTATTTGAAAATGAAGATTACTTGAATTTTTCCTCCGATTTGTAGGAGTCCTAATCAAAAGCCTAGGATATTAAGCTATCTAGGTTTTCTAGTGGGGTTTATTTCAAAAAATAGCTTTAGCTTTCAAATTAATTTTCCTAAATAGATTGATAATTTTTTAACTTAACATTCTTGAAATAACTTTATTTTTTTTATTAATATTTTTAGTTAAAAATAAAGTTTTTTATTAATATTTATGTGCTAAAAAATTGCAAATCTATATTTTTAAACATTTGATTTATAAAGAGCAATAAAAAAAAAGAATTCAAATAGTTAAAAGCTATTGACATAGAATTTATAATATATAAAAAATAAAAATTAGTTAATATTGCTTTTTTTAATAAATTTATTTATTTATTTTGAAGATAACTATTTTAATTAAAAAACCATCTAATAAAAATTTTTAAACAATTATTCTATTACTATCAATAAATTTTATAAATATAAAAAATAAAAATTAGTTAATATTGCTTTTTTTAATTAATTTATTTATTTATTGATTTAATTTTGATGATAATTATTTTAATTAAAAAACCACCTTAATTTAATAAATTTAAAGCAAAGTAGAACCAAACCTTATAATACAATCTTTTCTATTCTAAATATGAAAATAACATAATTAGATTTGTTTTCTTCGCAATTTTAGTTTAATGTAGGAAAGTAATATTAGAAAAGCGGTACATTCTAAGGGTTGATATTGTCATTTTCATCTGTAATCTTAGTTCTTTCTTATTTTATCTACTTACTTAGTCTGTATCTAAACAACTAAATTGATCCAAAATTTAGATTTCAAAGCTTTGTAGTTGATGAAAAAATTGAAGTACCTCTGAGTTAAGATCTAGTAGGGTTTGTGTTTAACTACAATGCCTCAATGAGTATAGACAAATATCAAGAAGAAAAAAATAAAACATACTTAGTTTATTACGCCTATTTTTATTATCAAAATGGTACTTTTTCATAAAAATTTGACCTTGATGTTATAAAATGTACTGATCCTAAGCTTCAAGGGTATAATTGTGTAGATTTCTCCAAAATAAGTAACTATACGCTTGTTTTAGATAACAGTGCTAATGTAATTTCATAATTATTTATTAACCTATATAGCTGTTTGGACATAGATCAAGTCAAAAAAACTGTCCCTTAAAATTGTGCTTCGCAGTAAGATATAGATGATATAATAAATGGAAGTTAATCCTTATTTTATCTAAAAATGAAAGTATAATAATATAATACAACTTCAAAATAAATTTAGACAAATTATAGAAATATTTATAATTTTTTACTTTCCAATTAATTTACAATTACTACTTTAAAAACTTAAAAATAAGAAACATAAGTAAATGAAGGATTAATATTTTAGACTAAATAAAATTTCTAATCTCCCATTTAGTACGACCCAGTTAATTTAAGCTATGATAGATAGTTCTCATTGCAATAAGGATTAGGACCGTATAACTAAGTTTCTATCTACTTGGATGAAATTGTATAGCAATTCTAAATTTAGTATCCATCAATAACTGAAATATTTGCTCTTGTTAATAGTGTTGCTTCTATTGTCTTAGCTTCTAAATTTTTAGGACGGTATTATTCCTAAAGATAAATCTAACAAAACTTCTTCATGCTTTTTTTAAGAAGATTATTTTAAGAAAAAAACCAATAAATATTTGAACATAATCAATAGGATACTCTGTAAAACAAATAAAAGCTTTAAAATTAAAATGTTAATGAGGAAGCGACTGATGATTTTTTAGAACAGCAAAATAAAATTGATTTGAAAATCCCTAACTTTGAAACAAAGTTTAGAGATTATGTAGAAAAAAGTCAAGTCAATAATTTTTAATAAGATAATTTAATAAATGAGTTAAAATTCAAAAACTAAGAAGATACTATTTAAGAGTAAAAAGGGGATGATACAATTTAAATTAGTCAATCATCACATTTTTCAAAAAGCCCCTAAAATTAATACGAATTTAAAAACTATCAAAATGATTCTAAAATTAGCATTTTTGATAAATAAATTCATAATTAAATTCAAACAAGTAAATTTTTTGATTTTTAGAGATAAGTTTTTCTTGATTAAAGAAGTTAAAGTTTGAGAAAATAAACAAATTTCAATATAAATGAGCTTGATAGTATAAACTTTACAAGTAGTGTAGAAAAAAAAGATAAAATGAATAACTTTGTTTCTGAAATAGAAGCTAAAAAGAAACTTTCTTATTTTTAAAATTAAGGAAGTATAAAAATTAACATTTCTTAAAAATTAAAAGCAATTTATAGTAATTAAGTGAAGCAAACTATTCAAAATTTTATTTTTAAGCCAAGGTAAGTATAATTTTATTTTGGATAAACAAAATCAAATAATTTTTTAAAAATAGATTATTGAATACAAAATAGTACCTTAATTCTAAGGGTATATATGTGAATTCCTTAGCAAAAATTGGAAAAGAAGTTAAAAAGAGTTTAGATATTTATGAATTTTACAAAGACATCATTTTCTTAAAAAAAGCTATTACAATACTTCTCAGCAAAGATTAATTGGCAGCAATTTAGCTTGTTAATCTGACAGATAATTTTTTGAATTTAGACTTAAATAGTAAAGATTTTAAAACTGAATACAAAAGTAAATATTAAATTAAACAATTTATTTACTATTTTTAATATTTATTATTAGATTCAAAAAGAAAACTAAATTACTTTGAAAAGTAATTTATAATTTTGCAATCAGATTAATTACAAGCTGAATATATTGAAAAATTTTTCAAAAGAAGATAGAAACTAGAATAAATAAATGAAGTAGATTAAAGAATCATTTCTTCCATCTTTAATAAATAGTGATTAAAAAACCTAATTTATTAATTAAAAATTAAATATTTTTATTTATTGCTTTTTTTTATATATTCAATACACATTATTTGAAATTTAGTAGTTTTCAATAGACATTTACTTTCTTTAATTTATTTATTATAATTCAATATGTATAAATTCTTTTTCCATTTATTTAATTGAATTTAATAAACCTTATTCATTTTATAAAGCAAATATTTTTAAATGATATATCATTTATTAAGCATCTTTGTATGAAGGGATGAACAATTATTCGTTTTTATCTTCTTCTTTTGAAAATTTAGATCAATATTATTTTATTTTTGCTCAAAATTTATAAATATTTTGATGATATACTAACTATTTTTCATTTAATTCATTAAAATATATCAAAAAATAAATTTTATAATAATACATAATCTTTATTATTTTTTAGAATTGCAAAGTGCTATATAATGCTATTAAAAATAAAATCTTTGAAATATTATTTACTTAATCCATTAACTGATAAAGATTTAACTGGTAATAAACACATAACTTTATAGAATTATGCTAACTCATAATATAAAGTCATTTACATTTCTTTAATTTATGATTTTTTTTTTTTTTTTTGATTTTAGATTTATTTTTAAGTTTTAATAAAAAACTACTGGCTTCATTTCATTTTTAAGAAAAATGAGTAATTTTGAGTAGTTTAATTTTTGTATTTTTGTAAAGTAGTATACCACAGTTTATCTCATCAAAATAAACAATTTATTAATTTTGTTTATATTTACAAACTAAATAAATAATAACTTGAAAATTTTCAAAAAATAAGTTAAAAATCGATCTAAAGTAGAACAAAAGCAAGCATCACAAATTTTTCATTAATTGTTATGAAACTAACTTCATTTGATTTATTTTCTTCAGAGTTTTATTTTAACATAGGAGCATAAAAATAGAAAAATGGAACATTTTAAGGCTTGACTTTATCTTTACTATCTGTTATCATTATTATTTCATACTTTTCATATTTACTTAGCTTATATGTAAGTAATTAAATCGATCCAAAATTTAGATCCCAAAGTTTCATTATGAGTGATAGAATTGATGTATCTCTAAGCTAAGACCTTTTAGGATTCATGTTTAATATTAACTCATCTACAAATATAGATTAATACCAATAAGAGTCAAATAAAACATATTTAGTTTATTATGCTTAGCTATACTATTAAAATGGTAATTTCTCTCAATACATTAATCTTGATGTAATTAAATGCACTGATCCTTAACTATAAGGATACAACTGTGTAGATTTTTCTAAAATAAGCAACTATTCTCTTGTCTTAGATAACTCAGTAGCACTATTTTCTCAAATACTTATCAATGTATATGGTTGCTTAGATGTAGATAGTTTTAAAACAACAATCCCAAATAATTGTGCATCACAAAAAGAAATTGATGATATTATTAATGGAAACACATCTGGGCTTTTACTAAAAATGAAAGTGTAGTAATATAACACAACTTCTAAATAAATTTAGACTAATTACAGAAATATATTCAGCTTTTTATAGTCAAGTTAATTTATTATTACTACTTTAAAAACATAAAAACAAGAGACCTAAGTAAATGAAGGCTTGTTATTTTAGTCAAAGTAGACTTATAATTCTCCCATTTAATATGAATAAATGAGCTAAAACTTTGACAGGTAGTTCTCACTGGAGCAAGGTCTTGGACCATACAACTAAGTTTCTATTTATCTAGATGAAATAGTACAACAGTTTTAAATTTAATATCCAACTTTCACTGAAATTTTAGCTCTTGTTAATAGTGTTGCTTTAGTTATTTTGGCTTCAAAATTTATAGGTAGATACTATTCATAAAAATAAATTGAACAGGATTTTTTTATGCTTCTCTTAAGAATTATTATTTTAAGATAAAAATTTATAGATTTTGAAGCAAAATTTTTTAATTGACTAAAATAATGAAATTTAACTTTCAAGTTAGTAAACAAATGAAGTTTTTTTAGATGAAATTTCTGAAAAATAGAATAAGTTAGATTTAAATATTCCTTGTTTTAATTCTAAATTTAGAGACTATGTAGAAAAAAACTAGATCACTCATAAGAAACATGAAATATTCCTATAAAAAGGAGATGATATATCTGTAATTAGTGAATCAACTCTAAGCTGTAAAAATACTAATTAGCATAGATCTAAAACTTTTTAAAACGAATCAAAAATTAGCATAATAGATAAGCTTTAGCAAAATGATAATTCAGTAAAAAAATATTTGGAAATAAAACGACCAATTTTCCTGAAAACAAAAAATCAGATCCCTTTTAAACTATAAAAATAAAGTTAAAATCATCTTGAAAAAACTGATTAAGTTGAAATCTCAGAAAAAAACGTCAAAAAAAATAGTCTATTTGTAGAAACATAAATAAAAAATAATCTTACCTAAAGCTAAAATTAAGGAAGTTTAAGAGAAGCCATTTCATAAAAATTACAAGCAATTTACAGTAATTCTATGAAAAATATCACTTAGAAATTAATTTTTAAATCAAGGTATCTAAAATTATTAATAAAATAAAAAATATTAATCTCTTTTTATACAAAGATTGTTCAAAACCAAAGATTCCGATGCATATAAAAGTATAGATACAAATACTTTAGCATAGATTAGTAAAGAAGTCAAAAAAAGTTTGGATATTTATGAATTTTATAAGGATATTATTTTTTTGAAGAAAGCTGTTTCAATGTTGCTTAATAAAGATTAGTTGGCAGCTATTCAGCTAGTAAATCTAACTGATAAATTTTTAAATTTTAATTTAAACAATGAAACATTAAAGACTGATTACTAGAGTAATTGTTTGTTTTACATAATTTCAATTTTATATTAATTACAAATATAAATAAATGTAGGTGCAAAAAGTTAACTAAACTATTTTGAAAAGTAGTTTCTTATATTATAATCAGAGTAGTTACAAGCACAATACATTGAGAAATTTTTCAAAAAAGTCCATGAGTAGAAGTAGCTGATCGAGGTTGATAAAAGAATAATTTAGTCAATTCTAAATAAATAGAGAATATATTCAAAATATTATGTATTATTTTATTATTAGTAATTATTATACAAAAAACATATAAATTCTTAGAATTAAATGATATATTAAAAATAAATATTAAAATCCAAGTCATTTAAATCATTAAAACACTATCTGGTTTTTTTAAATAATTTTAAATATTTATTCAAGATTAAAGTGTAAAAAATTATAAACTCTAAAATTTTAATTTTTCTAAGTGATTAGTTTTTTATTATTTTAGGTTGAAATTTATAAAAGTAAAAATAATCCAAAATTAATGATTGAATATAAAAAAAAATACTACTTAATATAGTATTTAAAAACTCTTAATTAATATTGATAATATCATATTTAATATTTTTAGCTTTACTTGAATCAATCAATCTTTAAAATAGATGTATGTAGTAAGATTAGATATTTGCATTTTACCACTTCGAATTATTTTCTTTAAAATTTTGTATCTATTTTAGCTACTAAAAGAGTACAATGAATTTATTTGTCAATGTAGTAAAGATTAGCTAATAAAAGATATGATATAAAAAAGCAATAAAATGATACATCATTATTATCATAAAAACTAAATATTTTTTGATTTTATTTTTGGTATTTTTTTAATGAAAGAATTAAATATTACTTAATTAGTATTTTTGATGAATAAACAATTGGAAGGAAGAGTCAATATATTTTGCACGTCAAAAACAATTGTGGAATAATTAATTATAATCAGTACGTCATTGAAAATTAAAAACAAAAAACTTATTAAGCTTTTATTAATTGCTTATTATATTTTGTTTTTAAAATATATTAATTTTGAAGCATAACTAATATTCTCGTTTAATATATATTACTTGAAAAAAAGTAGAAAATATCAAGGTTCTATTTAGTTGTTTTAATATATAACATAATTTTAGTTATTTATTCTATTTTTACCTATAAATAAATGTTTTTAAATGATACGTATTTAAATTTAGTTTTATTTTGAGAATTATAACAGTATTAATTATCCTGCTAGATTGCGTATTATAATTTAATTAAATGATGAGTTAAATATTCATGGTTTTAAAGATATTTAAAGATAGTATGATCTTATGAAATAAGGAAACAAGTGTTAAATTTTTAAGTTTTAACAATAAAATTCTAGAATATTTATAGAGTTTTAAAACAGATAACAGGAATAAAGAGAAAGAAAATAACTATTTAATTTCTATTTTTAGTATTTACAAATAAAATTTTAAAAATAAAAAAATTTTAAAGAATTTAATAAATTATTAATAAAATGTTTGTTTTTTAACTTACTCTATTAGTTTTATTATGATAAAATTCAATTATTTTTTAGAATTGTATTTAGTTTTTCAAGAAACCATGTAGAAGCTTTTATAAAATATAAATACTAAAAATTGTTTTGTATGATTTATCAACTGATAGTTAGAGAATGGGTTTGTTATAAAAAAAAAATAATTAAATTTAAGACTTCTACCAGAATTTAAAAAATAAAAATCAAATAAATTTTAATTCATTTAGAAAAATAAATTGTGTAATTTAAAAAATTTTAGGTGACAAAAAGATTTTAAAAATATCAAAAATAATGACTTAATAATTTAGAATTATTAGAAAGTATGTATTTTAATTAATACTAAAGTAATTATACTAACACTTATTGAATAGACTGAAATTTATATTTATTTCACAAAATCTATCTTTGTTTTTCAAAGGAACTGCTTGCTATTTTCAATACCGTTTTTTATTTTACAATATTTTTTGTTGAATTTTTTATTTTGATTTTGTTTAAGAAAAAATTTAGTTTCATGAATTAACTAACATTTTTGGCTAGTTATTAATATTTATCCAACTTTTGATGATTTAGGAGAGAAAGGTATATATAAAGAAGGTTTTTTTGCAAGAATGCAAAAGTTAATAATAAGGAAATACTGGATATATAAAAAGAGTTATACAAATAGCAATTTAACAATGTTTAAAATTAGTATTAGTTTATTTATATCACTAAAAACAAAATGATTTATTTATTATTTATTTCGTCATTAGCGCAGTTTTTATAAGAAAGAAGATTTTTCATGTTAACTACTCAATGTATTTGTTATTAATTTTTAATTAGCAGTTCAATGCTTGAATTAGTTTTCAGTAGAGTCTTTGGAGGAGGCTAAGGTTTGAGATTCGGGTTGAACAAGGGCTTGGCAAGCATCAACGTAGTTAGCACCAGACCATCTATTTAATACAAATTAATTTTAATAAATGAATGAGTAAATAAAATTAGCAATTTATTATAGAGGTGTATAAATAAAATATTCTTTTTATTTTTTAATAGATCGAATGAATGCTTTTGTTTGTTCTATTGCTTTTTTTGATATATTAAACATTGATAAATTGCTATTAAAAGATCATATGATTGTCTATCTCTATTATTTGAATATTTTATTTATACCTACTTATCAGAGCCATTTTTTTTTATTTTATATAGATAAAAATGTTTTTATAATTACTTTTGGTGGGTGAGTTGGTCGACTTTGTGCTTTTCTTCCTTTCTTTGGACAGTTTCGACGTAGGCGAGCATACCACGGGCAGCAAGATCCTTAGAGAGCTTTTCAGACTTGAGAGCATTCAAGTGGAAACCAGCTAAAGTAATGAATTACCAGGTGTATCCGAGTCTACCAAGGTCAGCACAGAAAGATTGGATTTGAGCATTGGACATGTTGAAAGCAGACCAGTTGAAAGAGGGGGAAAGGTTGTAAGCCAATAATTTGGTGGGATGGTTATTCTTTACCAAGGTAGAGAACTTAGTAGCAACTTCCAAAGAGGGAGTAGGAGTTTCCATCCAAACCATATCAGCATATCTTAAATATTACTTAGCACGAGCAGCACATAATTCAACACAACCGTCAATGGAGTAGAAACCTTCAGATGAACGGAGAGCTTCCCAGTCGAATTGGAAGTCAAAACCGAGAGTTCTAGCGTATTCGTGGGCTTGAGTGAGGGAAAGATCGTAACACTTAGAGAGCCAGAGCTTGGTGACTTCTTGGACCTTAGCACCAGTGAACTTAGCCTTGATAGCTTCAAGACCTGCATTAGGGAAAGTTCTTTCCTTACCATCAGGGCAAAGACCAAGGATGAAGGGGTGGTCAACGGGGTCACAGTTGGAGTCAATAAGTCTAGCAGATAAAGCATCAGTTCTGGCGAGGATAATTAAATCAGTTCCCATAATATCAGCTTGGAGTCTGCAAGCAATTAATCTGTTGACGTGTTCGCGAGTGGAGACAACGACCTTACCACTCATGTGACCACATTTCTTGGTACCAGGTCTTTAATCTTCAAGATGGATACCAGCAGCACCAGCTTCAATGAATAACTTAATTAACTTCATGGTTGAAGTAATACCACCGAAACCAGCATCAGCATCAGCAATCATAGGAGCAAGGTAGTCAACTCTGGGAGTCTTAGCTCTTTATTCAGGGGTCAAATGAGCTCTTTGTTCATTTTGGATTCTGTCTTGTAAAAGTTAAGCCTTGAAGAGTTGGTCAACTTTGTTGGGGACAGTGTTGGCAGGGTAATCAGCAAAATCTGGACCAGGTTCATTAGTAGTGGAGGCAGTGGCAGAGCATTACCATCCAGAGACGTAGACAGTTCTCAAGTACTTGGATAAGTTGATAACTTGAACGGGGTCTAAGGCACCGAAAGTGTGGTGGAATCCCTTGTTGGCTTGGGCTTCCTTCAAGAGTTTCCACATCTTCTTGGATTAGTAGTTGGAGGGGTAGTCCATGGGGATGGTGGGTCTTAAACGGGCAACATCTTAAGCTTAGTAGGGTCTTTCAACATTTTCCCAACGAGAGTTAGTCCACCATTTTTGGATTTCAGCAGTGATTTCTTAGAGTCTCTTTCCTTCAACGTCCATTTTAGTTTGTTTGATTTGCTATGAGTTATTAATTTGTTTACTTATTCTTTTTAAAAAGATTGAAAATCTTCTTTCTTTCTTGCTTTTTAATTTTTTTAAATTATTTGTTTTTTAATTAAATATTACGTTTATAGGATGGGCGCTCCCAAAAACATATAAATCAACGTATCTTTCCTTCATTCTACTTAATAAATAAAATACGCAATTATTTAAAATTAATACAAAAAGCTTTGCTCTTAGATTTTTGATGACTTTAAATTCATGATTTACCAAATTTGTAACATCAATACTTAACCAACTCATCATATGAGATACTAATTGTTGAAGAATGCACCTTTTCACATCTGTTAGAAGTGGCTAGGACGAATATCTCATGTTAAGAAGGAGTAGGATAAAGGAGCTTAATATTCATTCATTAATTAGACACTGCTTTCTTTCTACTTGATTAAATTAGTAAAATACAAGAAAGGCATTTAATTCAGTAAATATAATTGTGTATGATATACATAATTGATAAAACAAGGTAGTTATCTTCCAATAAAATTATAAAATCAAATTTGCAATGACTGATTGTCATCATCATCAAAAATCACTAGAAAACGCTTTTCAGGCTTTGAAGTTTTCACTTTAGTTTGATTAATTAATAATATCTATTATTATACTGCGTCACAAAAAATTTATCAAGCCAACGCTTATTACGCAAGATAGGCAATTAAAATTAAATGAACCTAAAAAGGGATTCAAAACCTAACAAACGAATCAATATTCTGCTTTTTTATTTGAGTGCTAACCAAAATTATCAGCAATCAATTGAGCAATCTAATTTAATTTGAAATTGATCAAGCAACCAAAGCCCTATATTAAGTAAATATCTTACGTCTTTCAATCATCTTTCCATTGATTGCGTCTTTATATTTAATCTTATTTACGTAAGTAACTAATTACTATTAAACAAAGGCTCTAAGTAAATGTGGGTACCCCTCTTCTTCTCTTAGCTTTCTTACTTCATTTGGCATATCTATGCTGCTACAACTTATTTTATCTGTCATTAAAATTAGCAACTAGCTATGCTATCTAAGAAGTATATAAATGTATGCAGATGATTTATGAAATCTGAGAGTGTATTTTGTTTCCCTTTAACCATTTAGGACTTCAATTACATCTTTTGAATTGAGAATAATTCTATTAGGAAATGCATGAAATTTCAAATGCTATTTCAGATATAAAAAATCAGATGATATATTGTCCTCAACTTGCCTGTCATTTGATATATGTTTTATTACTAAAATATTTCTTAAATATCATCAAAGCATCAATTGAAGTCAAAGCTAATTTATGATTCATTTTAAAATAACTGCAATAATATAAATAAAAAACACTCTGCAAATTATTTGATAGTCAACTAAGATAGAAATTTAATAGTTAACAATAATAATATAAAGTGCTAATAAACAATATCTTTTTTAAATTTTTTATAAAAGGTTAGAAATATCTAATTTATTTTTGTTTCCTTAAATTTGATAAAACACATTTTGCTCTAAATACATCTAAATGAATAAATATATTAAGCATAGCTGCTATCCATGTATAATTTCCAAATAGCGATGAAAGAGTTTTAAAATAACAAATTATGAAAGAAACAGGCATGTACTTTTTAAAAATTATTCATATTTTTATAAAAATCATAAAGCAAAAAGAACTACTAAATATTTTCAAAGAAGATTATGTCTGCAATAAAATTATTTCTTAATGTGTAACTTAATAAATATTTGAAATTAGATAATAGTCTAACAGCAACAGTTTAAACAACTAAATTCATACTGCAATCACTATAAATACATTTTATATTTAAAATTTAAGTTAAATTTCTAATTAAAAAATAAAAATATCAATTTTAGAGAAGATGATCAAGTACACTTTATTATTCCATGTTTATAAAATATCTTAAGATGTTTAAAAATGTTAAATTTTATATATTTTCTTCTATTCCTTAGCAATAAATACAAAATTATGCAAAATAACTGCTTGGATCATTTAAAGACCTAGAACACCTAAATTGATGACAAAATACAGTTGTGTTTCATCTATTATTTTCAATAAAATTTGTATTTTCGAAATATTTTAAAGATTATTTGAGAAAATACCATTTTATAAATACGAAATCTGTAATTCTACTAAATTTACAAAATAATTACACAAGTCAAAAATATAAAATAAGAAAATTTATTCGGTCTTTTCAACTCCATTTGCTTTTATAGCTTGCATTTTAGTTTGTAAAAACTCATTCTAATAAAATAATAGTGTTTCCCTTTGACTACTTGATAGCAACAGCTAGATATTTAGAGTTTACAAATGATTGTGTAAATTATATATTAAGCATTATTAACAAAGTATAAATTGTTAAAACAATCAAAAATAAAATGAGGGATTATAAGTAAGATCTTGAATCTTTTAACCAAAACAATACTTGAGTAAACATCCTTACTATATTAAATATAAATAAGTATGCAGACAAGCTAGCAAAAAAATGGAATATGAATATTTATGAGGATCAACTTTCATTTTTAAATCTATTTTTAATACTATTGATCAAATTTAAAAGTAATTTACAAGAGGAATTATAAAAAGAAATACGCACCAAAATCACGAATTTTGGATAATTATCATCTATTTTAATACCAAAAATAGAATCAGATACATGATAATCTTTCGCTTATTTGATTTGATTAAGAGTGAAAAACGATTTAATATTTTCATTCAGCTTTTATCAAAATCTACTTTAATGTAATTTTTCATCTTGGCAAAAGCTTTCTTACATTCTTGAGATTTTTTTTACTCGAAAAAAATATGCAACATTTTCTTTATCCTAAACTATTTTTTGAAACCCAACATTGTTAAAATGGTGGAAATTTTCACTTTCATGTTCGTTTTAAAACACTGAATTGATTTTAAAAAAGTCTAACAATATCAAGTAAAATTTAAAATATGACACAATTATATCATATCTTAAAATCTATTACGACAAAAGCTAGTTAGTCATAGGTGTCGTCATCTCAATTAATACCCAAACTAATAATTGAATATAAAATATAATTTATAAGCTTAACATCCTTTTAACAAATTTGAATGCACTCAAAAATCCTTAAAATAAATTAAATAGTCTTAGAATATCACAATATCCCCAATCAAATAAAACGTTAACTATTTTTTTCAACATTTTTTGATATTAAAAGAAATAACGCATATCTAAACCAAAGGATATTATTACAAAGCAAAAAATAAAATATAAATTGTTGATTGATCTGAACCTCTAAGCTTGATTTTTGGATCTGTGAGAACATCATTTTTGATGAAACCCCTAAAATATCTTCAAATAATTAACTATCAAATTTAGTACGCAGCATGATACTTGATTAATCGATTTTAGTATGCAATATGACTAAATTAAAATCATTGAGAGTTATCTGTACACTTAATTTAAATTATTACTATTAGGAAAAATCAAACTATTTTTAGATTTCAAATTAATTTACCTTCAACTCACACCTAAATCTTTTGAATTCTAACATATATTTTTTTTATTTTGTTTCCTGTTTTTCGTCAATATTTTAGTTTCGCCATTTAATTTAGCCATTTTTGTATTCCATCAAATTTAGATTCTTTTATTTATCTTCATTTAATTTTGAATACCAACTCAAATAATCATCATCATCGTATCACTACTTTATCTTATTTTTTTAATTCTTAAATTTACTTTACTCTTATATCACTTGTATAGTTTAATTTATCAAAATTGCGTCAAATATTAAAAACATTTATCAAAAATAACCTTTTTTATCTATATAATTTTAAATGACATGTATTATAAGAAATATTTTTAAAATATCTTAAAAAGCTACTTTTTTTAGTTCATAAAAATTATTCATGAGCAATATCATATACTTCAAATCAGATGAGTTTTCAAGAAAATAACATTTTTTTAGCTTTAAAGTACTTACTAATTTTGTTAAATGTAGCTATTTTTATTATTCCATCACTATTATATCTAATACATTAATATTTACGCATTAAACAAAGAAACAAGCTACTGTTTTTATAGAAAAGGGAGGCTCTAAGCAAAAAAGAAAACCATACCAATAGCTACAAAATATTTTAACCTAATCAAATATTAAAATATGTAAATTTTTTATAAAATATTTTATAAAAGTAAATCTGTTAATCATAAATACCAAAGCTATTTCAATATCTAACGAATACTCAAATTGTATAATATCAATATAATAAATTAAATTAGCTAAGAACATTATGAGTAAAACTAAATGCACATTTTAAAAAAATAGCTTTAAAAATTGTAGCTTTCTTCAATATAAAAAATAAATAATATAATTTTTATCAGAGTCAAAATGTTAAATTTTATCACAAAAGAGTTTAAAATGAATTCATTTGTGCAAAGATTTTTATTTAAGAAGTTAAACAAAAATTTCATAAATTATTTAAAATTGACATTTTAAGAATAAATTTGTTAAAAATGGTGAAAATGTATTCTTCAATTTTTTTTAAGGAATAAATAAAAGTAGTATTTTTTATTAAATCTTTTAAGATATTTTTTGATTAAAAACTAAAAGAAAGCCAAAAAGATAAAGATTTTTTAAGAATAAAATCATAAATTTTTGACTCAGAATGAAATAATTTTGATTTTTGCAATAAATATTATCATATTTTAATCAAATAATTAATAAAAATACATAGAATTAATTAATTTGGTTATTATTTGTTATAATTTATAAAAGATTAAACAGAATTTATTGCTTGATAAAGAGTGTTTATTTCATCCTCTAAATGTTTTTTCAAAGTCTTGATTAGTTAAAGGACAAATTGTTAATGATTAACCGTTGCTAACACATTTTTAGTCTGCAACAACAGCATTTGGATAAACACATACTGTTTTATCACCTATTGATTTATGACAAATAGCACATTTCTTTTCTTCTGATATTCTTACATATGCCTTTTTTGCATTGGTTAAATTATACTTTACATTTTACAAATCCATTTCACTTAAATTTTTAGCACAGCTTACTTATCTTCTATTGTGAAGAGAAGAAGAAATAGTTTAAGTTAAGAAACTGTATAATCCATCATTTGCTGTGAAACTTTCACCAGAACTTTGGCTGGTAAATTCTTAAAGCACCCAGTCATCAGGAATCCTCTTTAATACTTCTAGAGTATCTAATTATGGGTGAGTGCTATACTTTTTCAAAAATATATTAATTCTGTTCAGCCATGTCTAATGGAAATTAGTAAATTCTTCTCTCTTAGTGATATCAACCTTATCTTTGTTTAATAGCAAATCTTTAGCTGATAAATAGATATCCATATAAATATGGAACATAGTTGTTAAAGTCATATCATTATTTTATAAGCAATAGTTTTCAGCTTCTGAGTGGCTATTCAAATCAACAATCAACTTCCTCAAAGCTTCTATATGTTTCTTGCTCTATTCAATAAAAATATATATTTTAATTCAAAAAATATTTTTATTACAGAAAATAGTTTTTTTAATTTGTTTTTTCTTTCTTTTTTTGATTCAACACATATTTATTACTTAAGAAATTAAATTTAAGAAAAAATTAAAGCTGAAAAATTATTTATTTATTTATCTTTATTAATTAAAAAATGAATTACCTTTCCACAAAAGTAAATTTCTTCTTAAATCAACCAACTGTTTTGTACTTTTTCAAGAAGGAAAGAAGGTTCATAGTTTGAATTAGGGTCAGTGTAAAAAGCTTTAAATTTTTCGTATATTTTTTTTCCACTTTCTGTTAACCTTGCAGCTTCGAATTTTGTATCTTTAGGAATTATATTAAACAAATTGTTAATATAAATTATAGCCAATTTGTTGTGGAAACGACTTTCTGCAACTTTTTTTTAAGTGATAATAATTTCCAAATAAATTTCTGCTAGTTTATCTGCTAGACTATATTCATTAGGTTAATATATTCCGTCGCTGATTAAATTAAGCATTTATTCTGGAGGCATCACACTTTCCTTAACATCTTTAAAGAATTATCTAGCAAAATCATAATTTTTTTTAATAACCCAAGGTAAGTATTCTATAATTCTCTTGCTATTTTTATATATTCAAATATTATAGTAAATAAATAATTTTTTTAGTTTTTTTTTACCTGTCTTCTTATTCAAGAAGAATTCTTATTGTTTCTTTACATGGAGTTTCATATTTTGATTACATTTAAGAACCTATAATTTTCCATCTTTCTAAAGCATCTTTGATTCTATCAAACTTTTCATAGAAAAAGGCTATAATTTAAGGGTCTTTCTAATCTATTTAATCAGCTAATAAAGCCTTATGAATTTCATCATAATAATACTTGCAGTTAATAGGTTCTTTTCCTCTAAATAGATCACAAAGCTTTTTGGAATACTCTTTTCTCTTTAAACAAACTTTAATCAAAGCAAAATCTATCAATTTTTATAACTCTGAAAGCTCTAAGTCCTTTTCTTGTCTAACCAAAGTATACTATGAAATATTATAAGTCATTTTCTGGTTTGCAAATTATTTGTATTGAGGCTTACTATATTTTATTCTCATTCTTTCTAATATATTGACCAGCATTTCATAAGCTTCTCTCTCCATAAATTCCTTCACTTATTGATCCTTAATGTAAATAAAAATATAGTTTACAATCTTTGAAACAAAAACTCTTTTATTAATTAATTAATATAATTTTTTTTCAGAGTTTTCAGAAGCTAATTAAAAACTTTATGATTTAATTCATAGTTATTTTTTTAATTCAAAAGTGAATGAATAAAGTATTACTTATTATCTTCCTATGATAACTTATATGTTTTTAAGGTTGTCAAAAGTAATTTTGCCCAACATATCAGTTGGAATCAAATCTCTAAACAAAGCTAAAAGCTCTCTAATATCAAAATCTCTGATATAGGTCATAGAATCTCTATTTTCAAATCTAGCTGAGGCTTCTCTAAACTTTCCAACTTACAAAAGATTCCAAGCAGCATCAATATTGAAAGCTTCCTCTTTATCTTTGTAAGAAGGATTGTCCTTTGTTACTGACTGGGAGAAAATAGCCATCGCTTCTTCAATTTTACAAGATTTAAAGCATTCATTAATTCTAGTCTCAAAAGGAATTTCTTCTAACATAACTAACTTTTGTTGAGTGGCATAAATAATATTTCCCTAAGAAGCTATGATTCTTTTAGCAGGTCCTAATTAAATTTCTGTTTCTTACATTTTTTTGGAATCTTGCATATTAAATATTTAAAAGCAATTCTCATACAATATAATCAAGTATGGCTTCTATACTTAGATCTACACAATAGGCCTTACCAAAGGTTCAAATGTTGCTCTAGGTTTTAAATTGCAATCTCTCTATTAATATTAATAAAAAAGTCCATTTTGTATTTCAATATATTTGTCTTTAATAATTTCTATAAATTAACAAATTTTAAAATAAAACAGTTGATTGGCAAGCAGATTATTTCAATTAATAAGCTAATTCATGTTTAATTTGGGTAAGGAGATATTTTTTGTGATAGGAATGTGCTTAATAAACGATTTCATTTTTTTCTATTAATTTTTAATAATAATTTTCTTTGTACTTTAGATTTCATGAATGCTAAAAAAACAAATTTTTCATTGAATCAAAATAATTAATAAACATAATTCATCTATTTTAATAATATGCTATTTTATTCTGAAATGCTTTTTTCTTTTCTAAAATCCTGATATATAAAAAATATTATATTATCTATTAAATTTTAAATATTTATTTAGAATTATCAAATTGTTTTATATTTTATGTTTCTGCCTTTATTTTTATAATTTTTGAATTATTTAACAAAGATTTTTTTTTTGCTTTTTGAATATTTTTAGATATATAAGCTTTAACACTTTAATAATACTAAGTTTTTTTTACTCCAATCAATAAGCCTGTGTTATTGTTAGTGACTAAGATCAAAAGTTCATCATTATCTGTGACTTTTATTTAGGGTGAAAAAGCAATATTCATCGAGGGTAGTGAATCAGGGGCAGTTTTTTTGTTTAAGTCAATACGAAAATATTCTTTTTTAGTACCTAAATTTATTTAAATTAAAATATATTGAATGTAAATATAAAATATTAATTTGGCTACCATAGTAAATCATATTGGCTAGAAAAGCTACTGTTAATGGAGTGTCTGATAAAGATAAAATTGGTTACTTTTCTGAAACGAATTCTCCTGTGTTAATATTAAACTCTAATATGATTAATTTGTTGTTTTTCAATTAAACCAGAACCTCATTTTTGTGAGTGCTTGCTTCATTTAAATATAAATTCACTATACTTCCAACATTAATCTACTACTTAGTTTGCAAAGAATCTCCATCAACGTGAAATAATTATGAATTCGCAATTACTAGCAGATCTTTACCAAATGGAAGTGCTTTTATCAAATCAATTTTTTGATTGCAAAGTTATTTAGAAATAGTTGGATTTTCTGATAAGAATTCTGTAGATTTTCTGTAAATTGTGTATTTGTAAAGCTTTCCATTCTAATCACCTAAATAAAGATTGTTATTGCTTTCATCCATAGCATTGATTTTAAAGTTTGTGATTTTAATTTCTTTCTTAAACTTATAAACATCCTCTATCCCCTTATTTAACATCTATGCCATTTTCCCTAACTAATTTACTAATTTATGATAATAATTATTGTTTTTAGAGCTATTAAAAAATAAATCTTTGTTTATATTTATTTATTCAATTAAAGATTGCTTGCTGATAATTTTTACACAAATTAATTAAATTATTGATTAGTTAATCAATCTATTTATTTATTTTCTTTCAATATCTCAGCAAAGAAACAAACAAAACTAAAGAAATTATCTAAAATCTATCAGGCAAATTATATATTTTTTGATTGAAAAGCAAAATAGAATCTTGAGAATGTTAAAAACTGATATTAACATAATTGAATACCTTCAATCCCTACTAAAATAAGTATTTGTTTGTTTACTATTTCAAATTAAAAAGTATTTCTCAATTATTATATTAATTTCTATATGAATAAAAAATCAAGTATTTTCTGATTTCTATTTTAACTTTAAAGCTTTATAGTATATTTTATTTATCAGATATAATATTTTATCATATAATATTTTATTCAAAAATATTTAGTTGATTACTGCTTAAAATCATATCATATAGATTGTACTACAGATATAAATTTATTTAATAATATTTAGAATATTAAATTGTTTTGCTTAAAGGCCTTAGATATAATATAATTCTATCTTTATTCATTCATTTAATATTTGAATAAAAGAAATATTTTATATATTATACTATTAAAATCTGTATAACTGTACGTACACCTTAATAAACTGAGTATTCGTTAAAAAATGACAAAAGGTTTTATCCCAAATTGAAATTTTTTATTGTAAATCCATCAATAAATTATCTATATACTTGACCCATGTATATTTTGGGTAAATTTTTTGATCCTTTAAGTGCCAAACTTAGAAAGATAACATTAAATAATAATTTCGTTTTAAATATATTTTCACTGAAATATTATAAAGTATTAACTATTTATTTTAAATATTAAATTTTTTAACTTTATTTATTAGTCTATCTATCTATATTTTAAATATCATTTTATTATTTAAAATAATTACTATTAAAATTAGGTTTTTAAATTATATATTTTTACATTCATTTTTTTATTTTTATAGTTTGGCATAAACTGATTTCATTATAAATATAAATTTTACCTTTATTATTTGATTAAATTCAAAATTTATTAGTAAAAACAGTATTTTAAGATACAATTTGCTTTTCTTTACTAAGAAAGATTGATTTAAATTAAATAATACTTGAAAATTTAATTTAATGGATTCTAATTAAGGGAAGTTAGATAGAGCTTTTTCGAATAAACCGAAGCTTTTTAGGGTTAATTAAGGGCAAAATTATAACCCTTATTAAACCAATCACATAATGGGTTATCCTCCTCAAAATTAGATGTATTATTAGTAGCCTTAAATGCCTTATCCTCCTTAAATGCCCATGTTTGATCCATATTAATAAACATAATTTGAATATACTAACGAAATGGGATTTCAACCTCAAATAAATATTCCATTAAACTAAATTCAAGAAGAAAAAGAATAAGTATTCATTAACCAAGAAAATAGAAACAACTAAACTCAAAATTCAGGTTTGAGCCAATAAATGTAATAAACAATTAAATAGAGCTTTAATTATAAAAATATGCCTGCCCCTCCTCCACCTCCTCCAGAAATGATAAAAGCGTTAACCTAATTAATTGAAGCTAGTGAAAATTAATAAGCTTCTCTTTAGCAATAGACTTAACTGATGCCTATACCATAATTTCCTACTTTAGTTCCCTAGAGTATGGTCAAATCAAGCAACAAAATACAATTAACAAGACATATCTATAAAAATTAAAACACTCCTGATGAACCTTTAAATCCAAAATTTATAAAACCTAGTAAATGAATCAAATATTAAAATTTAAGCTTATAAAAATAAAAGTATTTCAATTATCTTTAATATATTAAATTTAATGCTATAATAAAGACTTTAATATTTAGCTTTTCTTCAAATATAATATATTTTTGTTTTTAATGGGATTTAATATTCCATTTATTTTATTTTTTAAAAATTTTTGATAAAACTTTAAAATTATTTTACAATCATCAAAATATTTTATTTAATTACATAATTTGTTTTCTTTCAAATATTAATCAATTCTTTGATGATCTCTTCAGATTTTTCTTGATTTCATAAATTTAGAACATTTTAAAAGTTTTCAAATAGCAGATTTATGAATATCCTACTAATTAATAATCCAATATTTTTAAATTATCATTATTATTTAAAAAAATATTGATAAGATATAAAATAACTTTCTAAAAAAGCTTCATTTTCAAAAAAGTGAGAAATTTGAATGTTCTACTTTAGTTTTTTGAAAAAATATGTTCATCTTCTGCAGCAACACACTTAATATCAGCTCAATTAATTTAGCACAATCATATTTAACTATTTAAACAAAAATGATATTTGCTGCTATTTTCAATTAATTTGGAGGTATAGTTTATGCCAGATAAAAACTTTTATATGATAAAATTGCCAATTTAATCAATCTATAGCAACCATAAATTATTTTTTATATGTTTAAGCTATTGGGGTGATCATAAATCTTCTTATATTAAATAAAAAATAAATATTGTTATATGAGAACATATAAATATCTATTTGATACTTATTGCATTCTCAACTAATTTTCTTTTAATATTTTTGAACTACAAGCAGAAAATATTTCTTTCTGCATTTAAGCATGGCAGGGACATCGTGAGGGAAAAATTATATTAACTAATGAATATTTATCACATATTAAATAAAAAGCAAAATTAAAGATATCTATATAGAAATAAGTAAAATATTTAAAGAAATTATTCACTTTATTATAAGTTTAATTAATGTATATTTAAATTTTTTATTTTAACAAAATATACGTAAAAAGCAGTAAAGTTAAATGTTCGATTAAACAAATTTTAAATCAAATTGCAATAAATATTTCTCGAATACATGTTTATGAAGAAAAAAAAGATTATTAATTAATTATTTGCAAGTAAGTAATGCTTGATTGTTATTAATAAAACAAGATTTATTTTCATAAATATTTTGATGAAAGGTTATATTTAATTTTAACATTTTTGTAATTTATTAATAAGTAATTGATTTAAATCTAAAGGGTAATTTAAGATTTAAATATAATAATTATTGATTAGTTTATAATAATTTTTTAAGATAAGACAAATTTATTTATTGATTTATATATATACTCAATATTAATCTTTATTTCTGATGTTTTAATTAGAAATAAATTAATTAAACATTTGCAAAGCTAGAGCAGGTTGATCTACTGTAACCATGTGCCCTGATTGATTTACTGTAAGGAATGAAAACTTACCAGCACTTTTAAATTAACCTCCAACTTTTCCATCTACAAGATAGTCTTAGAATTCTGCGTTTTAAAAATCTTTTTACATACTCCAATTCATGTTTTCAGCCCATTAAAGCCCTCCGCTGTAAATATTAAATAAAAAGATTAAAAAATATTTAGAAAATAAATTTTTTTTACATATAGTTGCATATAAAATCTAAGTCACCATAGTAAACTAGTACCTTAATTCCACTTTCTAAAACAAAAGCAACATCTTAAGCATAGCTTAAGTCATAGTCATATTCAAGAGCATCATATACTGGATCAGATTCTATTTACCAGTTTCTTCCTGAGACTCCTAAAGCAGCCTAAACATCTGCTCTATTAAAATAATCAGATAAGCCATTGAAAGCACTTTCGCAATCAGGTCCAGTACATTTGACGTTGTAAACATCAAACTTAGGATTCTCTTCGTTACCTACTATATCATACATACCTCTCATGCAAATAGGCTTAAAAATTTTATAAGGTGCTTTTTTAGCAATTAATTTAGAACAATTAGATAAGGTAGGCTTTGCAACTAAATTGTATTCATAAGAACTAATCAAGTTATTTTTGAAAGCAAATTCACCATAAGAAGGGTACTAAATTTAAGGATCTACCTATTAATAAAAAATATTATTAAAAAAACCTTTTAAAATTTAATTGTATCATAATAAAAACTAAAAAATACTCTTTAATTTTACTACTGTAGTATCTCAATACTAATGTTTATTTTAATATTTACAATTTTATTAATTTTTTTATAATTTATTAAATTATTATCAAACTTAAAAAAATTTTTAATCATACCAAATTATAGGTAATAAAGTAAACTTTATTGTATTAAATATTAAATTTTGCTAATTTAGGTAAATTTTAGCTTAAATAATTAAAGTGTAAATTTGATAAACCATTAAAATAAAAAAAATATTTACCCAACCATTACCAATAGCAAGACCTTATAAGTTAATTTTTGGGTCTTTCTTCTTAATTAAACTTGCACCTATAGCAGGAACAAAATGGCCTGCATATGATACACCAGTAAGGTAAAGTGGTCTTCCAATATACTAGGGATTTTATTCAAAAAAGCCTAAAAGGAATTAGTAAAAATCTTCTTCAACTTCACTCTCGCTTTTAGTTAATTCACCATTTCCAGCATTTGAAAAACCAGTTCCAACAGGCTAGTCCACAAAGACCATATTAGCTTAATTATTCCAAGCATATATGTTTGTTTCTAAAGTTTAATCTTACTAATTCAATCTGTAAGGACCATTACCAGCAAGAACTGAGATCATAGATGAGGCACCAGGACCTCCAGCTAACCAGAAAGCTATAGGATCCTCAGAGGGATTACTTCTTGATTCAAAATGCCAGTAAAAGATATCACTTGATTTTTTGATAGTAATGAGACCAGTGGTATAGGTTTCATTTAAAAATAAAGGATTTTATGTACCTAAAACACAACTTAAAGCGAGTAAAATCAGTATTGTTTATTTCATTTTAAGTAATTATTAAATCAAATCTTTAATATATTATTTCCTAATGAATTAATTTATGCCCTTTCGTATTTTAATATTATTTATTAATAAATTAAGTATTTAATGTATGTACATTTTCTTTTACTAAATCTATAAAAGATTTATTACTAATAAAGGATTTTTTTCTCAAATTTAATAATTATCTTCGAAAAGAAATCTGTTAAATCTTTTTTATCATCAAAAGCTAGATCAAAGCAGTAAAGTTATAAATATTAATAAAGATCTTATCAAATCTTATGAAATAGAAAAATTAATTTATCTAATTAATGAAAGAATATTAAATACAAATTTGACTTATCTAATAAGAAAATAGCCAAACCAATTAGCATCTTTCAATTATATTCATTATTTAATATTAATATCAAATTGGAAATGTAATTTGAATTAAATATTTCTATTTTTATAAACCAAAATATATTCTTTTTTACAAAAGCCAGTTTAATAAAAAATTTTTGTTAAATGAAAATGCAATTATTTTTAATCATTATGGTCTGTGTTTTTGCATTTATTTTATATTTTTTTTATTTTGTTTTTAAAAATATTTACATTTTTCTCCTTTTCGTTTAAGGGAAATTGTATGAAAAATATTAAAGAATTACATATATTTATCTAAATTAACTAAAATAGTATAAATAAATTTTATATCCTGTGTTTTAGATTTAAAAAATAATGTACTATTCATTTAAAACCTTTTAAAAAGTAAGTTCATTCTTGAAATTGAAATTTTAGTATGAATAAAATTCAAAAATTGAATTTTATTTTATCTTACTATATTTTTTAATTATTTAAAAATTTCTTTAATTTTGTATTTATATTTCTGTTTTAAAAAAAGTTCTACTATAAATTTTATAATAATTTTAATAAAAATTAATTATTCTTTGTATATGAATCTGATTTTTATGAATTAACATCAAATTAAAAGTTAATTAGATAACAATTAAAGAAATTAATTTTTTTAAATTATATTAATAGATTTTGTATGTTTAAGTAGCTAACACATTTATTTTAAATAAGAATTAAATTAATTCTTCTCAGTTTAACTTTTTTTAATTTTTGGCTAAATAACAATTAATAATGTAGTATAGATAAAAGTTTTCTAAATAATTTTATTTTTTGTTTCAAGAAAGAGTCAATCTTAGGATTTTTAATTATGTGAAAATATATTTTTTCAATTTTACTCAATATAAAATATATTTGAAAATTTTTTATCTTGACTCGAGTTTAATGGATTAGATTGTCTAGAAATTTATGAATATAAATACTTGTAATAAAAAATGGCATATAATCTTATGAACCTTAATTTAAGAAATTAATTATTTAATTTTAGCTTATCAAATATTTTTTTCCTTCCAAAAAATGAAATTTGGTTTATAGGCAGGTCACGAGACTAGCTAAAACTCTTGTAAATTCCCTATAATTTCTAAAATAATAAGAGTTCCTGAAACCACTACATCATTAAAATTTGATTATTAGTATACTTATATAAAAATAAACAAACATATTATATGATGTATATGCAATAAGTAATACTTTTATTACTATTAATCGAATACATCTTTTTTATAACTTCCACACCAAAAATTTATTCATAAAATTTACCATTTAAAAAATATTTGAAAACATTTAATATTTTTAGAATTTTTTTTATTTTTAATTGACCAATCAATGAAATTCCAAAATATTTAAATTTAAAAATATAACGATTAAATAATTTTAATAATTTAATACAATTAAAAAATTATAATAAATTAATCAAATTTAATAATTCTATCTCAAAAACTATTCCATTTCACCCAAATATTATAATAGATAATTACATAATTAAAGAAGTAAATATAGGATATGGTCAAACATAATTTGATTAAAATAAAAAACCAAAATAAAATAAAATAAAATAATTTTGAAATAAATGTAAATATGTATTAATATTTAAATAATTTAACATTTTTCTTTAAATTTGCTTGAAAATTTTTTAGCATATTATTTATTATCCATAATTTATAGTATGTATAAAATAAGATATTTGTTTATTTTGTAAGTAATTATAATAAAATTACAATAATTCTAAAAAATTACACAATCTCTTTAAATTTTTAAAGATATGAGATAATTAAAATATAAAAAGAATGATTCTTATCTAAAAAACATGAATGATTAATCTAGATAATAAATCAAAAATTAATTCATTTACTATGTTAATTTTTATGATTCCAAGTAATGCAGTCCACAATATAAAAATATGAGATAATTAAACCCAAAAAAGAAAAGGATACTTATATATTAATAATTCTGATGAAATATAATATAATTATATACAAAAATATAAAAATTATTCAATTAGTTAAATAATTATATAACAAAATACCGGATAATAATAATCCATAAGTTAATTTTTAAAATCTGAAGGTTTTTAATTTATTTTTTTATTATTTTTTTAGTAGATATTAAATCTAAAGTCTTCAAAATCTGTGAGTATGAAAGTAAATTTACTAGTTTATTGTATATTGATCATATTTTCAACCAATAATACATGTTTGGGTTAGTAAGATCAAAGTTAAAACTCAAATTAACCTGCTAATCCTCCACAAAATGCAGGGTAATCGCAAAACTTAGGATAACCGTCAAAATAAAATCCACCACCAAACCCCTGTGATCTTAGTATTTGTAATAACTGTGATAATCTTAATAATATATGCATTGAGTGCTATGGTGGATACAGCTTACAAAGTAACGGTACTTGTGAAAGTTCAAAAAACTTTGAAAATAGAGGGGATACATACTCAAAAGTGATTGGGATTTTAAATATAATATTTATAGTTTCAGTCCACTTTGGGTGGTACTTCTTTTCTAGAAAAAATGTAGAAAATTTTATTGATGATATCTAGAATACAATAAAATATGACTAATAGATTACAAATCAATAGATAGGTTTTGTTTAGCAGAATGGTAATTAACAAATTCATTTAAGAAATGGTGCATCCAATGACTTTGAAACATAAAGTTAAAACAGCAAATTCAACTAGCACTTAAATGCAAAAAATAAACACCAAAATAACAATCAATCTCCTATTTAAGTTCCCGCATATGATATGGATAAATAAAATGGTCCATCACCAGATTTAACAAATTTATATATTTAAAACTAGAATTCAAACTAACAGGACAACAACATTTTTGTCCCATAATTTTAATAACAACCATTTGTCCCATAGTAAATTAAGCAAGTTAAGTAAAAATAGGTTGTTGAAAGCTATGGAGGAAACTAAGAATATTTAAATGGATATTACCTAACTCAGGCAGGAGATTATTCATTTAGGGAATTTAAAATGTATCATAGAATTAAACACGTTATGATTAATTTCATAATTTTGCAAAGACTTTTTACAAGCTTATTTAGTAGAATTAATGTTAGAGGAGATGATAACGATGGATTCTAAGGTAAAGAGTTTATGTTTCTTGGTTTAATAATTGTTGTTGCGTTATATTGGGCTTTCACTTTAATTCCACCAGTCATAATTAAAATTTTTTCTTGTTGCTGCTGTTTGAATAAAGAACCTAATGGAAGGTGTAGTTCTATTTTTATTGGTTTCTTGTTTTACTTTTTTTCTTTGATATTGACAGCCTTAACTACTAGTATTATTTTTAAAATGACAGGATTTGAATCCTAAGTATTTGTACTACTTTGTTTTACTGCACAAATTATCATTGCTTTCTTTGATAAAAAATCAATAGAAGTGATGAAAAAATATAGAGGAAGCTGGTTTGAAACCTTAGTTAAATTTAGAAAAATTGATTTCTACTCTACAAGCAAGCATTTTTCTGGTGGAAATTGAAAACAATAAAAAATTAAACAATATAGCATAATTACGTATAAATTGTATATATTTAACTATTAATTAATTTTTATGTTTTAAAAAGAAATCTCAATTTTCCAGAGGTTTGAAATTAAAAGTTTTTTAAATTAAATCTTCTTATTACATAAAAAATTTATCATTAATATAAATAGGTTCTCCTCTAATTTTTGTATTAATTGTTATAAAGTTAAATATATTAAAATAACATTATTGATAGATTTTTATCTCTCTTTTATTAAATAAATTCAACTTTTCTATATAAGTAATTAAATTTAAGAAAAATTTAAACAATTTGATAAAAATTTTGATTACTTAGATAGTTAATACAGATTTGATATTTTAAAATTAATTTTGCAAATAATGGTATACTAATCAATTGTATAAATTAATTGAATTTTTCAGAAATCTATCACTAAAAAAGCATAAAGGCTAATTAATTATATAAAATTTAAATAGAATTTAAGCCATTTTAGAATTAAGAATCTCAATATACATTTTGTATTGGACTAAAATAGCTCAATTTACAATAACATAATACAATTCTCTCCAACAAGCGCAATCTTACTTTTTTTCAAATACTGAAGTTGAAGGAGACTTAATATGAGAGTCAAGTAAGGTGTACACATCTTTGATTAAACAATTTCTAATAGTGTGTAGATGAGAAAATTAGAAGTGATATTCTGTTTGTAAAATAAGTAATTTGCTTTACTTCACTTCCCAAAAAGAGAGAATATTATTATTGCATAAGATCAAAGATTAGAGAAAATATATTTAAATTAAAGATATTATTTTTTCATGAAAATAAAAGGAATATAAGAAATCAATTTAATTTAGTTTTTACAGTATCCATAAATTATATAAATTTGAATGAAATATTTATTATATTTGTAAATGTTTTGTAGAAGTATAAAAATTGCTTTATTATTTTTATATCAATCTTTCAAATACATACTAATATAAATATAAATAAGTTGAAATAGAAAAACTATTTATTTATGGTGAATAAAATTTTTTTTCTTTCTCAAAATATATTTAAAAAATTAATAAAAAATTTACCAAAAATAGAATTTTTTTACAAATAAAAAATTGTAAATTTATATATGTTTGTTAAAATTCTGTTAATTAAAAATATGAATGAATATGCTTTCTGTAAATAATTTATATTAAAAAATAAATTTATAAATTTTTTAACATTATTTTTTTTAATTGTATTAAGCAAAAAATAGTGAATTGAAAAACAATTTAAACTAGATATTTTATAATTAATAATTATAATTATTGAAATTATTATAAAATAGTAATAATAGCTTATTATTTATTTGTTTAAAATGTATTATAAGATAAAAATACCTTATTAAATGTTATTTGTTTTAAAGAAAAATTAGAGTGTAAATGTTATTTTCATATTACTTAGCAATAGAAACCTATGATTAATAATAGACACTCTTAACTAATTTTTAATTAATTAAGACATTAACTAATTAGCCCAGTTTATCTAATAACTAATTAGAATATATAAAACACTTTTATTTTTTATTAATAAAACAATCATTAATCAAATAAATAATGGGAAAATATTTGATTAAATTTTTTAAGATATAAAATAATTAATCAATACAGAAAAAATTTTAGTAAGTTATTCATTAAAAAATAATTAAATACTTAAAAAAAATTCCTAAAATATAAAAATTCATGCTACCACAAATATATTAAAAGAAGTGCTCTTATCATGCGAATAATTATCATATTACTTAGCAATAGAAACCTATGATTATAATTGACACTTTTAACTAATTTTTAATTAATTAAGACCTTAATTAATTAGCCCAGTTAATCTAATAACTAATTAGAATATTAAAAATTGAGATAAAAACACTTTTATTTTTTATTAATAAAATAATCATTAATCAAATAAATAATGGGAAAATATTTGATTAAATATTAGTCAATACAGTATAAATTTGAGTAAATTTATCATTAAAAAATAATTAAATACTTAAAAGAAATTCCTAAAATATAATAAACTCTAGCTACCACAAATGTATTAAAAGATGTGCTCTTATCATGCGAATAATTATCATATTACTAAGCAATATAAACCTATGATTATAATAGACACTTTTAACTAATTTATAATTAATTAAGACCTTAACTAATTAACCCAGTTTATCTAATAACTAATTAGAATATTAAAAAGTGAGATAAAAACACTTTTATTTTTTATAAATAAAATAATCATTAGACAAATAAATAATGGGAAAATATTTGATTAAATTTTTTGAGATATAAAATAAATAGTCTAAACAGTTTAATTTTTGTAAATTATTCATTAAAAATAATTAAATACTTAAAAGAAATTCCTAAAATATAAAAACTCATGCTACCACAAATATATTAAAAGAAGTGCTCTTATCATGCGAATAATTATCATATTGCTAATCAATAGAAACCTATGATTATAATTTACACTTTTAACTAATTTTTAATTAATTAAGACCATAAATAATTAACCCAGTTTATCTAATAACTAATTAGAATATTAAAAAGTGAGATAAAAATACTTTTATTTTTTATTAATAAAATAATCATTAGTCAAATAAATAATGGGAAAATATTTGATTAAATTTTTTGAGATATAAAATAAATAGTCTAAACAGTTTAATTTTTGTAAATTATTCATTAAAAATAATTAAATACTTAAAAGAAATTCCTAAAATATAAAAACTCATGCTACCACAAATATATTAAAAGAAGTGCTCTTATCATGCGAATAATTATTTAACATATTTGCAAATAGGTTAAAAAAAGCAAAATTAAATTGGAGCTTGCTATGAATGTATCACATCTAATGATTTGTCAGGTGAAAATTTGATACTAATAAAAGATATTTTAAATATATCCCAAGATAACCCTATTTCAAAGAAATATCCTTTTTTATAGGATAAAAAACTTGTAAGTAATATATTAAGTGAGTACATTTCATAGGAATATAAAGACCCGTTAAAAGAGACACTAACTTTTTTGGGATAATTAAAGGATAAGGTTATAAATTCAATTGTAAATATCGAAAAATCTATTCAATAAAATCCCTAATAATATTTTGTTAACAAAGAAGACCTTCTCAATTCCTATTAAGAAATCTCTTAAAAGGGTAAATTTTTAGATTTCTTTAAAGATTATATACTTGAATCTGGCGATTAAGGGTAATAATTATCATAATTTTTGTTTGAGTTAAATAAAAATTAACAAGAAAATACTCAAATCTTATAATCTAAATTAGAAAATTTCCAAAAAACTCAAGTGTTTATAAAGTAATAATAATCATTTTAGCTAAGATTTTAAGATATCACATTGAGTATTATCGACATCATTGGAAAAATATTATCTTTTGATAATAAGAAAGATTGTTTTTACTAGTAAGTAGAGAATAATTTGTAAACCATTAACAACCAACTTGAAACATTCAAATAACTTTTTTTACCTTCCAATTAAATTATAGTTGATAACTAAAAAAAGGAAACAATTCATTAATTCATAAACTAAAATAAAAAAGATATCTCTTATGAATTGCTAAAGTTAACTAAAATTATTTATAATTAAGAAATAAAACTAAATGAAAGCCAAAAAGAACATGTGGTATATTATGAATAAAAAATAAAATAAATTTAAGAAAATCTTACAAAATTTGAAAGGAATCTTTACTAGATAACCAGTTGGTACATATTTTAAATATCGAATAAATTTCACATTTCAAACAACTTAATTTATAATTATAACAAACATCAATAATTTACTCGTATTACTCCAAATTCCTTCTAAATAACACATCTTGCTCAAAATAATGATATACTAATCAGATGTATAAACTAATATAATTTTTCAGAAATATCTCACTAACACAGTATAAAGGCTAATTAATTATATAAAATTTAATTAGAATTTAAGCCATTTTAGAATTAAGAATCTCAATATACATTCTGTATTGGACTAAAATAGTACAATTTACAACAAAAATAATACAATTCTCTCCAATAAGCGCAATCTTACTTTTTTTCTAATACTGCAGTTCAAGGTAGACTTAACACAAGAGTCAAGTAAGGTGTACACATCTTTAATTAAAATATCTCTGATAGTGTATAGATGAGAAAATTAGAAGTCATATTCTGCTTGTAAAACAAGTCATTTACTTTACTTGACTTCCCAAGAAGAGAGAATATTATTATTGCAGAAGACCAAAGATTAGAAAAAATAGATTTAAATTAAAAATATTACTTTTTCATGGCAATTAAAGGAATATAAGAAATCAATATAATGTAGTTTTTACAGTGTCCATAAAATTAATAAATTTGAATGAAACATTAATTAATTAGAGTATTGTATATTTGTAAATGTTTTCATAGAAGTATTAAATTGCTTTAGTTATTCTTAAATCAATCTTTCATATACAAATTAGAAATAGAATAATATGAAATAGAAACCAATTTATTATGAATAAAAAATTAAAAACATTTCAATGTTAAAAAATATTTTACAAATAAATTTTAGAATTTGGCTTTGAATATAAATATCAAGTCAATTATTATCCTTTATAATTTTTTTTTTAACTTTTATTCCAAATAAATAAGAAAGATTTTTTTTAAATTTAAGTATTTTTGGCGGATTTATGAAAAAACTATAAATATTTAAAACAAATAAGTCAAAATTAATTTTTATCAATTTAATTTTTTCAACAAATAGTAAAGATATCTGTAAAAAATTAAAATTGTATTCTGTTTATGAAAATGCCTCTCTTTGATTTATTTATTTTATCTAAACCTAAAAGATCTCATAATAATTTTTTATTTTGCAGTCTATCAAAAAGTCTATTTAAAATTATATCTCATCAAAGAAAATGTTTATCTAATTTACTGTTATTAAAAAATAAAATTTATATAAGATATTAATTGATTTGTGAGTTATTATCAAATTATTTTTATAAACAACTTTTTCCTTATGAAATTATTTTTAGAATTTTATATTTAAAAGTTACTTTTGATTTATTAAAATATATACTTAATTAGAAGACACTATTTGATCTAACTAACCAAAATCTTAGTTCCTTGATTTATGGAAAAGCTGAATTATTGTTGGTGAAGAGGCGGCTGTTTTGATACTTCTTGTGAAAAATTGTATTGAGAAGCTTTATAGCTTATTTTTTGTTTGAAACATTATTATCTCTGGTTATTAATGAAATAAATTAAAAGAACATATCAGATTATTATGCTTTTAACTCATATACACATGGTTTTTAATTCAGGAGGAGGAAGGGTGCAATTTATATAATTAAACTAAGATAAATTTCTGAAAATAAATTAACCAATAAGTGGCCACAAGATGACTGAACCCAAGGGTTCAAATACATACATATATGTACTTGTTCAAACATAATATTATTCTTTAATTAACAGAAAATGTTTAAGCAAGCAATTTTTATTCAAGTAAGTTTACTTCAAAATAAATAGCTTTGTTCATTTTTTTTCTTCAAAGTTATTGTTTTTAATCCAAATATTTAGATAGATGATACACAAAAAAATATTTGATAAGCTAACCTTTTTTTTATTAATTAATTAAAAAATTTGTTTTCTTTCTCCTTTTTTTAATAAAAATAAACTGATAAATTATGTTGTTGTTTTTTTTTAAATCTGATAAATTTTGTTATTTAATTAAATGACAAAATTTATCGGAAAATTTTTATTTAATAAAATAAATTCTGATTTAATAAAATAAATTCTGACAAAATTTTTTGGATAAATTCTGATTAATAAAAAAAATGGCTTATTAAATACAGATAAAAACCTAGATAAAAATTATAAACAATTAAAAAAAATAAAAAATAACAAAAAAAAATGAGTGAAAAAGTATAATAAAACAAATAATTTGAAAAAAAATGCGAAATTCATGAAGGCTAAGATATTATCTATATACAAACGGGTGACTAGAAATAAAAATAAATAGGAGTATGCGTAGAGTGTATAACAGCTAATGGACTATAAGGATAGAATTTGATGACATTAAATTCAATTCTTAATGATATGAAAAATGAAAACTCAATATCTTAAAGTTACCCTCATTTTAAAGGTAATGATATTCTTAAGAAATATTCAGCATCTTACAATTCATTAGGATACTTGGATCCATCAAAATAAATCGAAGAATATAATGAAATATTTGCTAATTCTTTATAATTTATCAAAAATGCTTTGAAGTAAAAGCAAGATACGCATTTTGTTGACAAAATTGGTCTTATTAATTCATATAACAAAGTTGCTTAAAAAGGTGAATTTCTAACTAACTTTAATGATTATATGAGTGATACAAATGACAAAGGTTAAAAATTCAAAGTATTTTTAAATGAATTAAATCAGAAATCAGAAAGTAATGTGTAATTTTTGACAGAAAAATTAAGATAATTTGAAAAGACTCAAACACTTTTATCAAAATTATAACCAATTAAAGAACAGCTTCAAAAAATCAGTCATAATATTGTAGATTTTATTAAAAAAATAATAACATTTGATGAGAATAATGATTCATTTTACAAGTAGATTGAAAATAATTTGATAGGAATAAATTAATAATTTGAGTATAATAATTCATTATTTTAACCTCAGAATTCAGTCATGAATTATCAAGCTTCAATAAAAATATCATTTTAACAATTCATGTATTAAGACTGTTAATTATAACAGTTTGAATCAATATAATTATTCCAAAAGATGCTAAGTTTAAAAAATTAACTAGATTTTAACCTAAAATAAAATTCAAACTAAAATAAAATCTCTCAAATCTAAACTTTAATTGAATAATTTAATATAGAAAATACGAGAGCTGTTGACAATTATTTTTTGGACTTATCAAAAAACATTTATATTTCAAATAATCTTGATATTGATTATAATTAACTGGGTAAATTTGTTTAATTTAGATATAATACAGCATTAATTAATAAAATTCATCCTAATAATAATTATATTATAAAGTATTAAAATCAAAATAACTTTATAGAAATATTTAACACTTTAAAAATCGATAATTAGTAACACTATCGAGTTTAGTTAGAGATCAAACCCTTTTTACAATCTGAAAATTAATATACTTTTGAAGTTGCAATTTAAAATTTTCCTAATAATTATCAAAGAAATTAGAGGTTTGTTTTATCAAGCAAACATTATTTAAACGCTTAAAGCATATAACTTGATTAAGGCATTACAATATAAAATTAAGGAATACCTTGCCGCCAATAAATGCGAAAATTAGAAATTCAATTCTGCCTTAAAAATAAACAATTCACTCTAAGTGATCTTCCAAACAGATAATATGTCATAGATAATAAACTAGAAAGCATTGATTTAACCAAAGAGTTTTATTTCTTTATAAATACCCAACAAGTTGATGAAATAAATATCATAGAATTTAAATAATTAAAACAAATTCGTTGATGTAGTTAAAATAGTAGATGATGAATATTTTATATTGGTTTTTTGTTTTTTTATGAAAACTTTTTTAATTATTTTAATTTTAAAGGTAAATATTCTTTTATTTAAATTTTATTAAATTTAATAATAATATTTCATTTTACAAATAAGTTCTTTGAATATCTAATATTTATTAATCTTTTTTCATTAAATTTATATTTTTTAAAATAATCTTTCTTTCTAACTTGTTTATTTTACAGTTAAAATTAACAATAATAGTTAAGACTTCTCAATAATATTGCCAATCCAGGTATTGAAATTCCGCTGACTGGATACACAAAGTCAGCTGAATTTCAATAAGTTTTTATTTAAAAATTGAATACTAAGTAGCCTTCTTGTTTTTTATTTTTATTTTTTTTTGTCAGAATTTATCAGATATACCTGAGATTTTATTTTTAAAAAAAATGCCTTTTAATTTTTTAAGAAAAATTAATTTTTTATTATTTTCTAAAAAAGATATTCCTCGCCCATTCCCCTCGCCATAATAAATAGGTTTTACGGTATAATAACAGTAAATTTAGAAAAATATTGTAATTAAATTAATTGATTTTTTTATTTTATTTTGTTTAGAGCATTTAAGTTTTATCAAAATAGAATTTGTTTTAGTAATAAAATATTGTATATTTGTTTATATTTGTTTTAAATTCTGTTAATTAAACATATAGATGAATATTTTTCCTATAATTCATCTTTAAAAGTAAATTTATAAATGTTTTAATATAATTTTTTTTTAATTGAATTAAGCAAATAATAGTGCATTGAAGAACTGACAAAACATGATATTTTATAATTATTGAAATATTATCAAATAGTAATATTAAATATTATTTAATATAATTTATTTTAAAGAAAAATCAGAGTAAAATCTTTTTTCATATTTTTTAACAATAGAAACCTATGATTATAATAGACAATTTTAATTAATTTTCTCTTTGCCCTATTTATTTATTTAATAATTAATTAATTAGAAGAAAATATTTAATTGAGATAAAAGACTTTTATTTTTTATTAATAAAAAAGTCATTAATCAAATAAATCATGAGAAAATATTTGATTTAATTCTGTGAGGTATAAAAGGAAGAGTGAATAAAGTATAAATTATTAATTAAAAAATAATTAAATACTTAAAAGAAAATCTTAAAATGTAAAACCTCATACAACCTTAAATGTATTAAAAGAAGTGCTCTTATCATAATGATAAAGATATTGAATATTTGCAAATAGGCTCACAAAAGCAGCGTTAAATTGGAGCTTGCTAAAAATGTATCGTATCTAATGATTTGTCAGGTGAAAATTTGATACTGATTAGCGATATTTTAAATATGTAATCTATAGATAACCCTATTTCAAAGAAGTATCCTATTTTAAAAGATAAAAAGCTTCTCAGTAATTTATATAATGAGTACATTTCATAGTAATATAATAATCCATTATAACAAGCAAAAACATTTTTGGAAGAATTAAAGAATAAGGTTATAAATTCTATTCAAAGTATTGAAAAATATATTCAATAAAATTCCTAATAACATTTTTTTGACAAGATCGACCTTCTAAAATCCTATAATCAAATTTCTTAAAAGGGTAAATTTTTATCTCTCTTTAAAGATTATATGTCTGACTCTACGAATTAAGGTTTAGAGTTATCATAATTTTTGTTAGAGTTATATCAAAAGAAACAAGAAAATACTCAATTCTTATAATCTAAATTAGAAAGCTTCCAAAAAACTCAAGGGTTTATAAAGTAATAATAATCATTTTAGCTAAGATTTTAAGATATCACATCGAGTATTATTGACATCATTGGAAAAATATTAACTTTTGATAATAAGAAAGATTGTTTTTATTAGCAAGTAGAAAATAATCTGTAAACCATTAACAACCAACTTGAAACATTCAAATAACTTTTTTTACCTTCCAACTAAATTAAAGGTGAAGATGATTTAAAAAAGGAAACAATTCATTAATTCATACACTAAAATAAAAAAGATATCTCTTATGAATTGCTAAAGTTAACCAAAACTATTTATATTTAAGAAATAAAACTAAATGAAAGCCAAAAAGAACATGTGAATGAATAAAAAATAAAATAAATTTAAGAAAATATTCAAGTATTTAACAAAAATCTTTATCATATAGTAAATTAATACAGTTTTGATATATCGAATAAATTTCACATTTCAAACAACTTAGTTTTTGATTATAATAAGGTATACTAATTTACCCCTCTTACTCCAAATTCCTTCTAAATAATAAATGTTGCTCCAAATAATACTATACTAATCAAATGTATAAACTAATAGAATTATTCAGAAATCTATCACTATAAAAGCATAAAGGCTAATTAATTATATAAAATTTAATTAGAATTTAAGCCATTTTAGAATCAAGAATCTCAATATACATTTTGTATTGGACTAAAATAACTCAATACATAACAACAATAACACAATTCTCTCCAACAAGCATAATCTTACTTTTTTTCAAATACTGCAGTTGAAGGTAGACTTAACACAAGAGTCAAGTAAGGTGTACACATCTTTGATTAAAAGATCTCTGATAGTGCATAGATGAGAAAATTAGAAGTCATATTCTGCTTGAAATATAAGTAATTTACTTTACTTGACTTACCAAAAAGAGAGAATATTATTATTGCAGAAGACCAAAGATTAGAAAAAATAGATTTAAATTAAAGGTATTACTTTTTCATGAAAATGCAAGGAATATAAGAAATCAATATGATATAATTTTAACAGTGTCCATAAATTAAATAAATTTGAGTGAAATATTAACTAATTAGAATATTGTTTTTTGTAAATATTTTCGTAGAAGTATAAAAATTGTTTTAATTATTCCTATATCAATATTTCAAATATAAATATAAATATGAATAAACTGAAATAGAAACAATATTTATTTATTCAGTTTAAAATATTTTTTCTCAAAATATATTAAAAAAATTTTAAAAAAAATCTAACATTTAAAAGTATATTTTGGAATATAATCTAATATAAAAAATATATATAAGTTCGAAAATTTATTTTTGAAAAAAAATATGAAGTTAGTTTTTTTCTTTAAAAGTATTTTTTTTAATTCAGAGTTTTCAATAATATTAAAAATTTAGATTAAAAACTAATTTAATTTTAAATATAAGGTATATATAAATAATAAAAACTTTAAATTTTGAAAAATTAGATGATTATAATGAAAATATCAAATTAAAAAAGTATTTAATTTTAATTAAAAACAAAAGTCATTTAGAATAAACACTTTTAATTACATAAATATTTTAACTTCTCTATCATACTCGAATATATTTTTAGATCTTATTAATAAATGATATATATTTTTATATATATTTCTGCATAGAAAAAATAGTCTCAAATCATAGTTTTAGTTTAAGCTTAACTAATCTGACTACTTTTAAGGTTTTGTATTATAATTTTTTCATGCAATTTTTTCCAATAATATTGTTGCTTTTAAAACAGAAAAAGTTTTTAATTAAAAAATAATTTTAGAAGTTGGTATTTCAAATAATTTGAAACAAGTAAAATAATCTTACTTTAAAGAGAGCGATAAAGTTTTTAGTTTGAAACACTTTTATAAGTGTGAACACAGTTACAAAGCTCCTTCTTCTTAAATTTTATTATTGCTTTAAATTTGAAAGAAATTAATTAGATAATATAAAGTAAAGATTTATTTAAAAATACATTTTAAATTAAATTTATAAATTTTAAATAAAAATAAATTTCACCTTAAATAGATTTTTAAATTTTTCATATTCTGACATTTATCTAATCCTATGCATAAATCAGAAATTGCTTAATCTTAAATAAAATTGTATCTTTTTGAATAAAAATATATTTAAAAGAAAATTAAGTTAATAATTAAAATAAAATCAATAAATTTTATTTAAATTTATTGCAATAAAACAAATAATTTTAATTCTTTTTTTATATAATTTTTTATTTATTAAATCAATTAAAATATTTAAATAGAAAAAAACCTGAGATCTAGTAAAAAACTTGAAAGATATTGACACTTTGAAAATCCTTATGCTAAATCTGTTATCCCTTTATGAGTAATATTATTAACTCTTTAAATAATAGATTTATGTTATTATATAATTTAAGCTAAAAAACGAAATAAGTTCAAAAAAATTGAAATAACTAGTTAGATAGTTATCCTATGAAAATATTACATAAAATTTAGTAAAATAATATTAAGAATGTATTGTGAAGAAACAAAATTTACCTTAAATATAACTTGATAGTTTAAAGATTTAAGCATTTAGCTATTCCTTTTCCTAAATTTGAGACTCCATCATTCTATAAATCTGCATAACTAATTATTTAATTTATATTAATATTATTAAAAAAGTAAAATTTTATTTTTTTATAAATAAATGAATAATTTTGTTTGTGAAAAAATTTTGTCCAAACAAGCAAAATTTAAATAAATAAATTGAATTTTTAAATAATAAAAAGTTAATGAACTTCAAATATGAAAAAAACGTTACTAGATTAACCTAGTTTTAAAAAAATAATGAGTAAATAATAAATTGATAAATACTTGAGATTTATGATTAAAGATATAAGTTAAGTATGTTATGCCAATCGAGAACCTAAGTTATATGAGCTTTGATCAATTAATTAAAAGTTTCTTTAAATTTATAAAATTAAAATATAATCAATATAGAAAAAAAAATATATTAAATAATATTAGTTTTTTAATAAAATAATATAAATTTTAAATTAAATTATTCATTTTATATTTTCTTCACTTAAAAAATATTCAATTATAAAAATTAATTCAATTTACTTAATGTCTAAAGTTAAGCTTTCAAGTCTAGAGTTATTTTTAAATCCAAAATCTTACTCTAAATTATTTTATACTGTTTTTTCATCTAAACTTTATTGATAAAGATATTAAGAATATAATTCTCTCAATAATAATTAATTATCTCCTAAAATTATATAATTATCGAATTAGAGAAATGGCAAAAACTGTAAATCCTCATATATTAGCACCTAAAAGATACAAAATAACTACATTTTTAAATAAATTTTGGAACCTACCAAAAACAGGTTAAAAATTAATGGTCGTGGCGTGTGTGTATATGATGATTTACAGTATATACATTAGTAAAATAATAAAGTTAAAAAAATAAATAAATTTAAAACAGATTTACCTTAATTAAAGAGTTAAACTTGTTAAACTATAGCTCTAAGTTAATCCATAATCCAATACAAATAAACCTCTAGAGCTTATTTAATTTTCTCTATTAAAATTTAAATATTTAACATTTAATTGAAAATACAAAATAACAAAATTATGAGGAAATGTAAAATAAAAAATAATAACAACTTTATACAGGAGAAATAATTAATTAATTAATTAATTATTTAAACTGTAATTTATTTAAGTAATTTAAATGCTGTTTAGTATATTTTTTGTGCTAATTTAAATTTTCTTAAACATATTTTCTTAGCTAATTTAAATATCAAAATATATTAAATTAATTTACTGTATTTCTACTGCTAAAGTTGAGAGATTGCTTAATTTTGATAAATGGCTACTTAAATACTGAACTCCTGTGTCAGTTATTTAATTTTAGCTTTCAAAATAAATTATGAAAATAAGATAATTAATTTAAGTAAATATTTAAATTAAAAAGTCATGTATAATTTAACAAGTTATCTAAGTCAAAAAATATTTATGTTTGAATGATTGATGTTTAACTCTTTTCAATAAAATAATATAAAATTATTTCATTAATCAATTAGCAAATTACCTTAAGCAAATCCTTAAATTTTCCAGATTTAAGCATTTTTGAAATGTACAACTTAAATTTTTCAACTCTAAATCATCAATATTTTAAGCTCTTTTATTAAAAAGATAAAAAATTTTTTTCAAACTTTCAAAAAAAAGATTATCTCATTATTTGGAAAAAGCATAATAGTAAAATTGAAAATATTAAATTTTTGCTTTTGAAATATAAAAGCTATTTAAAAGATCAAATAAACTTTAAAATAATTAAAAAAATAAATGAAGATAATTTGTTTTTTACCTAAGTTTGATATATAATTTATAATGATCTTCTAAGTTTGAGTTTAAAAACTTTTTAAATAAAATAAATAAATTTTATAATAATTAATTTAAAGTTTTTATTTTTACTTTTTTTAGTTCTTTGTATTTTTAAATTTATTTAAATTAAGTTTTTTTTTAAGGAAAGCTAAATAAAATCATTGAAAAAATTTTTAAGTTTAATTTAATTTTTATATTATTTATATAAAAAATTATGTTTATTGATTAATATAAAAGTGTCTTTTTTTAATTTTAGGAATTTTTATATTTTAAGTTAATAATTAAATAAAAATAAAGCATTCATAAATATAAAAAAATATAAAAAAATAAAAACATAATATAAATTAACTTTGATTATTAGAAATGATTTTAGTTATCAGAATTCATTTATTTATAAAAAATCAAATTAAATTTAGCAAATTAAAACTAATTCCATTAAACAAGCCATTACTTTTTCTAGACAATAATATAAAAAATTAAGATTTACTTGATTATGATAATAAATTTTATTTGGATTATTTAAATAAATAATGATTTTAATTACTTTATTTACATATAAAAGAGTATGATATTAATTATGCTATTAAAATAATATTTATAATTCAATAACCTAATTAAATATAAAAGAAGAATTTAAATTTCGGGGTTGGGGTTGGGGTTGGGGTTGGGG